GAAGTCCCCCTCCGAAAACTTAGACGTATAGAAAAACGAGGACCCTTAAGAAAATAACCCCTTACTTTTAATATAGAAAGAGTACATTCGGGCAACCTACGAAAACGATACCATAGTATAGCAACTATTAAAACAAATTTACGACCACTCGGAAGAAGACCCCGACCTTATACTAAGCCTAGAAGGGACGATTCTATTTAAAGAACTAGTCTATATCCCCTAACGGCTCCGACGACAACTTATTAAGAAAATCTACGCAGCCCCGGCACACGGCTATAAAGATATTAATCCTATAATAGAAAGAATAGAAAGAGTATTCTATATACCGCACCTTAGAAAGCGAGTACGATAGTACCTCGCAGACTACGAAGATTACGCCCGAAACAAAGTAGCACGACACGCCCCCTACGGAAAGCTATAGCTAATTACACCTCCTAACCAACCCTAGAAATCCATCTCTTAGAACTTTATTACCAAGCTACTAAAATCTAAAGAGCCACTTATAGGAGTACGCTACGACGCAATCCTAGTCATTACCGATAGACTATCTAAATAGGGGTATTTCATTCCCTATAAGAAAGTATTAGAAGTCTCCGAGCTAGTCTACATCTTTCTAAGATATATCTTCGTAAACCACGAAATACTAGAGATAATTATCTCCGACCGCGACACCCGCTTTCGCGCTCGATTCTAGTAAACCTTAATAAATAAATTAGAAACGACGTATAAGCTATCCACTATCTTTTATCTCTAGACAGACGGTTAGACGGAACGACTTAACTAAACCTTAGAGGAATACCTACGAAGCTACGTAAACTACTAGTAAAATAACTAGATAGAACTCCTACCCCTAGCATAATTTACTTGTAATAGTATACTAGCAGAGACCACCTAAGAAACGCCGTTCTACGTCAACTTTAGATTCGAGCCCTAAGCCTACGAAGAACCGATTTTATAAGAAAACATCGTATAAAAAGAAATACTCTAGACAGAACAGCTAAAAGGACTATACCAAAGCCTAGTCTAAGATATAGAATTTATTAACTACCGCATAGCTATATACTACAACCGTAGACGCTAGAAGCCGCCGCCTCTAGAGAAGGGAGATAAAGTCTAGCTTTTTACTAGGAACCTCAAAACCAAACGACTAAGCCCTAAATTAAATTATAAAAAAATCGGTCCCTTCGAAATTAAATAAAAACTTTCTTCTATTACCTATAAACTTAAATTGCCTAAAAACATACGCCGAAGCCCCGTCTTCTACGTAGCACTTCTTAAACCAGTACTATAAAACGCCTAAATACTAGAATACCTTAAGAAAGAAATCTAACCCGAAGACGCACAAGAATAGAACGTCGAAAAAATTCTAGATAGTAAATAGAACCCCGACGGTCAGCTTAAGTACCTCGTTAAGTAGAAGAATTACGACGACTTAGAAAACACCTAAGAGCTCTTATCGAACCTTAACTACCTAGAACTTCTCGAGGACTTCTACCGATAAAACCCGAACCGTCTAGACCTAGAGTATTCTCCCATAACGTAAAACCCGAAGGAGGAGTCAGAGATACCTAAAACTAATTTACGGGAGCCTGCCGAGAAACCACGCCATCGGCGTCCGCTACGTCACTACTAGACCCGCCAAGCGAATACGGCGTAGCCTTACCGTCCGAATCTACAGAAACATCCCGAGAAGAGCGACCCTCCCGAGCAGTAGCCTCTCTCTCGGCACGTTTCTTCTCCTCTAAAGCAGACATTTCCCGAGCAAACAAAGTAGCGTTTCGCTGTTCCACATACCGTAAAAGGCGCCGAATCTATCGCTCCTTCCGCTAAGCATTACGAAACCGACGAGCTGTAGCCTTCGCAGCCAGAGCGGCCCGGAAAGTAGCCTCCGCAGCCTAATCCGCCGCCTCAGCCGCGGTATTAGCACCCTTCTCTTCCGCAACTACTTAACTCTCCGCCTGCTCTAACCGCTAAAGTAAGTCGGTACGAGTACGATCTAAGCGACGAACTAAAAACCAGTTAGAACCGCCAACAATAATAAAGATCGTCTTATACTCCGAATCTAGAGAACTCGCTATAGTATTATACAACGTACGGCCTATAGCGGTATAGTAAGAACAAGTAGAATAGAACCCAGCGATAATATAAAGAGATCCCTCTCGCTGCTAATAACGATAATAAGACACGTTAGCACGCTGGCCCCACGCCTCAATACGCTAAGCTTAACGGCGACGACGAAGAGTACGAGTAGAAGATATCTCGGAACTAAAGAAAAAAGAACAAGAATAGAAGCAGCACACCTTATAAAAGCTTTCGGGCCGAAAGCTATCTAGAGAGGAGATAGTGTTACAAAACACCTATAGAAGAATAGAAGTTAGAAACGCGGCGCCAAGCGAATTCCCGCGCTAAGAATCGATAACTACGCTTATTACTTAGCACCACTACTAACGGTCATAACGCTAAGACTATACCCTCATAAATATAACCGCCCGTTATAACCTACCTCTACACAATGGTCAGAAATTACGGTTATAAGGCAAATGTTCCCTTATATATATAGTACACTTATTTATAGTAGATAGAACCTCCGTAGTCAATTCTAATCATTGCCTTGCACCCCTCTAGTTACCTTCTCTACCTAACTACGGCTGCTATTCTCTATATATAGTGTCTAGTAACATCCTAGATAGCGGTAGTAAATATCTAACGCTACGTACCTCCCCGACGCTTCTATCTTATCCCCCTTTCCGGGTCCTAGCGTAATATTAGTATAATTAGTATTAGTTACTAGTAGTAATTAAGGTAACCAGAGTAATTAGGTTGCCGAAAAGGGTTTAGTAGCTCGGGTCGGTAGGTTTAGGTGCGGCTAGGTCGGCCGGATCGATCGTATTAGGTTAGCGTTACTGGTTACGTAGGCGGTAAGTCGTATAAGATTCTAACTTCCCTACTACTATTAAGCGTGTCGTAATAGATACGAATCCGCTCTTATTAACGATAAAGTCGAGTTACTATAACGTTAATTAAGAAAGATACGAAAAGAAGAAGAATATACTCTTAGCTATAGAAAATCCCTCTACATTATATATCGCTAACCTACGAGCGACGTACTTACTACAACGAGTAGCCCGGGGACTAACTCTATATAAGCGACCGTTAGAGAAATAATTAAAATAAGGACGAGTAGCCGGAGTAAAAGAATTAATAGCCGTAGAAAGCTCGGTACGTTAAGACGACTCGTCTCAAATACGCTTCTAACTAGATATCGCGAATAACTTATAGAGAAGAAAGAGAGTAAGTAGAAAGAACGCGATATATATCGCGAAAGCTTAGAAGAATCTTCAGGCCAAAGATCTCTAAGAGAAGAAGTAGTATTACGAACTCTAGAAAACACGGGCTTTATAACCCTAAAAGTAGAAAGCCCGTACGAAAAGAAGTACCACGGGGGCTAAAGAGTCTTACGAGTAGAAGCGCCGTACGGTCTTAGATTTCGTATAAGAAACTAAAGAATACGAAAAGACGGCGCGTACGAAAATACTAGTAGATAGTAGCTACGGTCCGTACGAAAGAACTACTCTTAAAGGCGCGATAGCGTAAAAAAGAAGCACGGACCGAAGAATCCTCTATAGAATAAAGGACTATAGAGCCTAATTAGAAACTATAGATCTAAGCGTATAATCGTCTTAAAGTAATACGTAAAGACGAGAAGCCGAAAAGCGGATAAGCGAGAAAAACGGGTAAGAGATAGTACGATATTATAAACGTTCGATAAAAATAGAAGTTAGATATCGAACTCGTACTCTAAGCGCCTGGGTTACGTACGACCTACTAGTTTAGAGGTTTAAAAAGGCTTAGTACGCTAAACTACTAAACCCTTAGTTTAGACGTTTATCCGTCTTAGTATAAATAAACTATTAAACTCTAGATTATAACTAGCTTTTCTATAGTATATAAATACACTTCTTAGCTAGATACTTAACTCTTTATAGTCAACTTAAAGTTCTAATTAAGACTCTTTAGTTAGAGGTAACCGGCTTACTATATATCGTATAATTACGTAATACTCTCTTATCTAATTATTATCTTCCTTCTCTTATCTTTTTAAGGTAAACTCTTACGGTTTAACTATCTACTAAGCGACTCTAAAGCTTAGTAGAAGAAGTCTATCGTTATAGTATCTATAGAGTAGTAGTTAAAGTATTACGCTAGAACTTAAAAAGTAGATAAAATAAGAACGTTAAAGAGGTTCTTAGCGTTAAGAATTTACTACCGCTATTTAGAATATTACTAGTCGCTTATACGTAGAGAATAGTAGCTATAGTTAGATAGAAAAGATAATAAGAGGGGTATAAGATAAGAATTAGAATTAACTACGAAGGTTCTATCTACTATAAATAAGTATACTATATATATAAGAAAATATTTATCTTATAATTATAATTTCTAATCGTTATATAGAGGTAAATTATAACGGGCGGTTATATTTATAAGGGTATAGTCTTAACGTTATAATCGTTAGTAGTAGTACTAAGTAATAAGCGTAGTTATCGATTCTCGGCGCGGGGATTCGCTTAGCGCCGCGTCTCTAACTTCTATTCTTATATAGATATTTCGTAATAGTAATATCTACTATTATAACTAATTATTTTAAATTTTATTTAAACGTTTAACTCTTTATTAATAGCTTAATCTATATACTTTATAATAGCTTAAACTATTTAAAGTAAGAATAAATAGAGTATTTTTTTAGTATTACGTAAGCTACGTAACTTATATAGATTCTTTTTACGCCGTACGAGTATACTCTACTTCTTTTCTTATTCTAATATTTCTTAACCCCGTAGAGGCTGTATTGTAACACTCTGCTAACCTGACTCCAACCAGGCACCGCCGCCATCGTTGCCTATAGCGCGCTATCCCGCCTCGCAACGCAAGCCATTACCGTGCAGCGTCCGCCCGGCTATCTCGAGAACAACGAGGCCGGCACCGGCGACGGCGCCTCCATGCTCGTCACGACGCACCAGAACGCCATGGAGTGGCACCTCTTCACGGGCTCGCGCGCTGTCGTCGACACGCTGCTCAATAAGACGATGTTCGCCATCCCGCCACACCAGACTGCACTTACCGGACCGGTAGTCGTGGCGCGCTGGCTCCGCCTCGCACACGCCCTACAGCTGCTGGCCATGACATTTACGGCAGCTCAGAAGGGCTGGGATGGCGTCTGCCTAGTCGTGCTCTTGGCGCTCAACGCGATTGGCCGATGGCGGATGCGCGAGGGCAGCCTGGCCAGTTGGTGGCTGGCTGTAGAGGGCGTTAGCGTAAGGCTGAAGAGTTTCAGCTTCTCTGGGCGCTTAGCTATGGTAGGGGTGGTGCATGCCTTTAGTGAAACAAATATTACGAGGTGGATGGATGATATCGTTGCGCCGTATCCTCGGCGTGACGCCTGGTTGGCGCGGATGCGCGGGCTGGATATTGCTGAGGATTGCTGGAGTAGCCATGACTTGGCGGCAATCGAGCGCAACGCGAGGCTGGCCAATACTGCGGCTAGCATAATAAAGCGAGAACTCAACAAGAGGGAAGTATGATGACTCTGTGGGTTACACAAGAGTACTGGATGGCCGGGATAAGCGAGTTCACGGATTTTAAGATGGGTGATGCCCCTTTTAAAGTAGAATGATAACTTACCTTCCTTCTCACCATCTACCTCTCTTATCTACTCTTAACAGCACTCTGTGTCTCTAAAATTTTTCTCTTGCCCCAAAAATGGCGGAAGTTCATCCTTCAATGCAGCGTTTGCCTACGCACGATGATGTCTGGCGAATATTACAAGACGCAATCGGCTTCCGCTACCCCGACGGCCAGAAGCCCACGAGACCTTTCTGGACGCGTGACGCGACAGAAGGGTTCACAGATATCCTCGACACTTTCTACAAGGATCTTTCTCCAGATAAACGCCTTGAAAATGCTAAGAATCTCTGTCGAGAGTGGTGCATCCTGATTGCTGATCCGAATGGACATTGGGAACTCTTAAATCAAGCGTTCGCAGAACGACTCCACATTCATTTCGACAGCATCAAAGAACCGCCTGGGCATTATGTACGGCAGGCCACGGAGCTGCTGGCAAGGCTTTCTACCGCGAAATTCACACACTATAACCCAGACGACGAGACATCCTGCGCTGAGTTGGACCCTCGTTATTTCACGTCTCAAGAGGCGCCCAGGGTGATTCAAAATCTTAACCTCGTCTCCCTCGTTGATACAAACACGATCCGGGTGGTCCTATGGTTCCTCGTGACGGAAGGCCTCACTGCTGGATCATTGGAGCGGTACTTATTCTTCTTGACGGAGCAACTTGAAGCCGCGCTCCACCTGTCCGTTGGCAATGGTGTTGGCCCGACCCAACTCCTCTTGATAAGAGCCTTCTTATGGAAGTCGTGGCAACGTGCCACCATACTCTTCCGGTGGTACATTCTGGATAGAAAGCTCAATGTCGGTGGGCGCCTCGCCGGCGACACGTTCGCCGCTGCAATCAGCCGGCACCATAAGCGCTTGGCTGCATCAGTAGGCCATCCACTGGTTGTTGCCGTGCCACAGTCCAGTGAGATTCCGCCGTACATGTGTCAGTGGGCATTCGAACTCCTGCGAACCAACCGTGCCACTTCAGCCACGGACTTCAGTCATTTCTTGCACCGGTACAACCAGGCTTTCGGCTCCCTCCCGGCGCGCTGCGTGCCGATCCCGACAACCGCGGACTCCTTCCAGCAGTGTCCCGGGCAGTCTCCAGCACAGTGTCGGCGGTTTACTGGCGCAGTAATCAAGGACCAATCCGTACATGCAGCATTCTGTGGTGGATCCTGCCAGAGACTATACTGGGATAAGGAGTGCTACGTGAGCGTGAGGGAAGGGGCACGGGCAGTAGCGCTGGACATGGCCGAAGATGGGCTGCTAAAATACTGCAGCGCCTCTGAAACCACCATGGCTATCTCTCATGTTTGGAGCCACGGCCAAGGCGGAAGACCGGAGAACGTGGAAAGCTCGACTGGATTCAACTCGTGCTTGCACCAAAAGTATTCGGCAATAGCGCGGCGGTTCGGCTGCCAGTCGTACTGGATGGACACGCCGTGCATCCCAGAGGACCACGACTTACGAAAAGAAGCCATCAAGAACATCAACCAGGTGTTCGAGGCCAGTCAGTTCACACTTGTTTGCGACAGAGATATCATGACCATCGATGTACGCAAACGGCACGACGACATGATAGGCACCTACGAGTCCCTCCTTGCAGCTCTGCTCGTGTGCGATTGGAACGCGCGAGCCTGGACCCTTCTCGAAGGGTACCAGGGCCGCGAGAATATCCATCTTCTCTGCAAAGATGACGAAATCATCCGCCTCGCCGACATTATTGATGTTGTGCATAGAGCCGGAGATATCGTCCTAGGCAACATGTGTTTAGCCATGGACCACCTCATCCCGTTACGAGGACCTCGGATCAAAGACCCGCAAGACAAAAGGTTTTCCGTGGAGCAATCCGGCCGCCTCCTCAGCCACCGCCACGCCAGCCGCACCGGCGATGAGATCGTCATCTGGAGCCTGCTCCGCGGCGGCCTGTTCAACACCGCGGAAGACTTCTGGCGTAACCACAGTACAGTCATCCAAACCGGATTCCTCATCTCCGACGCCCCGCGCATATCCGACGTGCCTGGTATGGGCTGGGCGCCGGCCCGACCGGACCTGCCGCCTGCAACAGACGTGGTGAGTACGCGCCACTTTGCGTTCGAGGGGCATGACACCGAGGTCGGTTTCATTCGACCAGATGGACGGCTGCAGGCTAGCTGGTATATCTGCATGTTTGCGGATGCGAGCTTCCTATGGGGGGCTTGGGGATATTGTTCCACACAAGTTGTTAAGCGTACGGGGTTTATGGCAGGAGACGTGTTGTTCCTCAATGCGTGGAACCAGCAATGCGATGAGCAGGCTGCATACCACCGCGGCATGGCTATGCTGAATGTAGCTACGAAGCGCAAGGCCGAAGAAATTGCTGCCAATGTCGGGGTAGATTTTAATGAGTTGGGTTTTCTACAGGCTGCGGAAGTCCGGGGACGCGTACCATATACCTACTTAGGTGATGTAGAAGGTACGTTGTTGGTAGTTGTAAAGAGAAATGGTAATGACGACTGGACATGGATAAAGGTAATTCTATGGGAGTCCGATATTCTACTACCCCCTTTTATAAAGAAGAAGATTAGTATTAGATAATTACTATAATTTAGCGTTAAATAGAAAGGTACTCTGGCTGTAATGTAGGAACTGGGGCCGAGTTATCAACGAAGAGAGTGTTACGTGTCTGAGCTTTAAGAGCGCGTATGGTCGATATTCTAAATTCCGTCTAGAAATAATTTAAAATAAATTCTAAAGGTTTAAAAGGGGCATATAGTGTGTAGGTTTATAGTATAGAATGCGATGCGGAAAATGGTGGTTTGTTTCTCTCATTGCAGGCTATCAAACCTTATGTAGAATCTACAAAGAGGCATCACGTTTGCATATCGGAGACATTGCGGGGACTAAGCAGAGATGACATAAACTGTTTTGGAGATGCTCGGTCCGCTGCTTACATGGGGGCCAGGTTCTCCATAAATTATTGCTTCAGCACATCTGGAGATTGACAGATAGCCGAGGGAACATAGATTCATATCGAAGTTTCCTAATTAACTGGTTCTGTTGTACAAAGAGAGACAGTGAATCTGTGGAATGCATTCTGTGCAAGGGATTCCGCTTGTCATTCTCATCGATCCAAGCTTGATCATGGAACAAAGCGAGGTCCGTGTCCACCTCTTACAAGGTCGAGTAATGATGGCCAGTAGGATGCGAGACAGGCACGATCTTCGCCTCGAATTCTACACCACCTGACTGACCTCCAGGGTTTGGGTTGCCGGTGTTCATCCAGACAGCCCAGGAGCCACCACTGCCGCCAGGGGTGGCGAGGAAGTTGGTACCCTTTAGCTGAAGGCGGTCACCGTGAACAGCCCAACCGTTTTGCTCGATGCGGTTAGGGTTGAGGGTGGCGGCTGCTGCAGCATCGCGAGTGTACTGAAGGATGCCCTGGCCCATTCCAGAACGGTCTGTGTAGAGTTTCTGTGCTGGCGGATCGTTGTACAGAAACAACTCATCTCCCTTGAGTTGGAATATTGCGGGTTGCTCGTGGGATTTGAGGTGCAGGCCGGATTGGGTTGCCGTGATGGGGCTGTTGTCGATGGGAGAGCCCGGCTTGACAGCAACGAGAGTGAAGTTCTGAACCATTGTGGCTGGTGGTGATGGCGATGTTTGCTAGTGTGTAATTTTGTATTTCTACAAGGTGGTCGATTATGAGCTCTGCGGTAGCAGTGCGTTGCAGACTACACATTTTTATATTAACTTCATGGCTTATCTCCCTTTTCATGTGCAAATACATCTATACCACAAACGGTGATTAAGGTTTAGCATCCTGGAGCCCGGTGCTTTCACCACCGTAGATGACTGGTTCTTTACGCGATGCTTGCGGGCCGATCCATGGAAACTCCCAGGGAACTGATGATTGACCCCGCCTTCCCCACTTGCCAAGAGCTGAGCTTGATTTTTTCAGGGATGCAAAATGGTAGTGGCGCACGGGAAGAAAGTCCGCTAGTATACATCAGGTGTGGAAGCTTCTCGGCTCCTGGGAACTGCTGCGATCTTTCTGAGCTATGTAGCCGCATTTTTGGTATTGCATTCCGTGTAGCAGCCCCAGTTATTGCCCACTTAAGAAATTGTGAGCCTCATGAAAGGGGAATGCTCGAGAACCTATATGGTGAAACTTTAAGCTGGCGTTTCGAAATCCCTCAAGCAATAAGGACTGAGAGCCAGGCCATCCACGAATATAAGAAGTCCATTTGCCAATTAAGACATGACCTATCTATTACCACCTCAAGCGCGCTGTTACCCAAGCTCAATCAGTGTCTTTAGCAACTTTGAGGACAATTCGCCCCATAATATCTCCCTTCTGGAGTTCCTCATACACTGCGGGCAGGTCTTCGAAGCTGCGAATTGAAACCTTCGGTTTCACAACCCCACGCCGAACAAGGTCAACCGCCTCCAAGCATTCCTTGAGAGACCCTACAAGATTGCCCGTGATGTGAAGACCCTTGATCACAATGGCACTTATCGGAGTTTCAATGAAGCTCTTCTCAGGAGGAATCCCTACACAACTCAGCGTGCCACCGACTTTGAGCATGTCTGCAGCCTGAGCAAAAGCTTTAGGGTTTCCTGCTGTTACAATGACAGCGTTTGCCCCACCGTTTGTGAGTTCTTTAACCTTCTGGACGAGGTTGGGGGTGGTTTTGAAGTCGATGTAGTCGCTCGCGCCGATGGATTTCACAAATCCGCCCTTTTCGAGGCCACCATCCACTGCGACGACCAGTGCTCCTTGCGCTCGGGCGTACTGAACTGCAATTCTTCGTGAGCTTGTAGTTCGAGGGTGCGGGCATAGGCTGCTCCATGTAGTCCGGGTACATACCTGCCAAGTGACCCAGCCCACCACCTGCTCCAACCACGACTACCGAGTCTCCGGCTTTGACATTCGCATTTTTGACGGCCTGAATCAACGGTCAGCTAACTTGCAATGAAGAATTAGTATTCATATATCTCACCTTGTATGATGTCAGGCCGGCGCACAATACTGGTCCCATGATAGCCGGATCGATGTCATCTGGAAGTAGTGTGAGGTATCCCGCATCCAGAGCGATGTACTCTTGGAAGCTGCCGTCCTCGTGATGTAGGTGATTTGTGCTTTTGACGCAGTACTGTTCAGTCCCGGCCAGGCAGAACTCACATCGTCTGCAAACCCGGCTTGCAAATCTGATGCCAACAAAACTGCCGATCTTGATGTCTTCATCGCAGCCGGGTCCCAGTGCGATAATCTTTCCGATTCCCTCATGTCCACCAACGTGCGGAAGTTTAATCTTTGTTATCGGGTTGCCGTCCGGTCCAGAGGCGGTCCCAGCCTGGGTATGAAGATCTGTTACGTGTGTCAGTCGAGTTTTCCCGTGAGCTATTTTGAACTAATTTAGCTTACCGCTCTGACAGACCCCCGTGTAAAGAACTTGCGCAAGAATCTCATTCTGCCCGGGTTGGGGGACCGGATAATCATAGACAAATTTAACTCCAGCGCCGAGCTTTGGGACGGTGGCTGCGGTTTGCGTTTTTGGGATCTTAGGGATAGAGATGTGAGACATCGCGATTGTTGTGAGACGGACGAGACTGCGTGCAGTAGAAATGATGTGCGTGGCAGGGTATGTTGCGTTGAGAGTTGCGAGGTAACGGGAGACAGTCAGCCTTTAACCAATGCAAGTCCTGAGATCAGGATCGTTGGTATTCGGAGATCTGAACTAATGAAGGAACCCAGCCGTACGGTACGTGGAGTATTTGCGGACAAATTCAACGCCAAACGATTGCACTGGCCCACTGAGATCTCATACTACTAGAACACATTTCGATTTGTCGCGATGACGTTTTGCATGCCCATGCACCCCACAGGGGAGTGTCAGCAGCGTCTTTCCCCGCTTTTCTTTTCCTGGGACATACCCCGCCACCCCACGGACCTTGTGCCACGCACTTTGAGTACTACTGTTGAACCCCACATCTTATTTCTCCATAATAATTCCGCTGGCCACCTTTGTCTGTTCACCGTATTTCTCCAGGATAACTCCGATGGCCGCCTTTATCTCTGAGACCAGGCGTTGACTGGAGTTAACCGCCCCGACACTTGCTACGTCCAGTCAATTCGTCTCAGGTTGGACACGGCACAATTTACCCCTCTTTAAATCTACGTCAGAACCCCGCATCCAGGGCATGGCGAAGAGATCCTGTGACTATTGTGTACGACGCAAGACAAGGTGCGATGGTGGGTTACCATGCAGAAAGTGCACAGAAGCGAAGCCGCCACTCGAGTGCACATACCTCAATCCGGTACGGAAACGCGGCCCAAAGACTACCAAGCTTAGGCGGCCGTTCGATGAAAGGCGGCATTCTGGAAATGACTCTTCTGGGATAGACCTTGTGGGACGCCATCGCAATTCCAATTCCGATGAAGCACCCCTGGCGAACAGCCGTCTCACCATTCCTACAAGATGCTGTCAGACAAGGATCAGGCGGTTGCATCCATCTGTTTTTGTCCCTGTCGTTGAGATCTACCGCTCTCGGATGTACTCGGTCTGGCCTGTGCTTGATGCACACAACCTTATCTCCAAGCTTGAGGAACCCGGATCACAAGGGGCGCCAGATGTAGAGACGCACACGTTGGCAGCGGCATTGTGCGCTGCTACAATGGCTCAATTGGATCTGGACCCAGTGGGAAGTGGCCCTGACAGTGTCGACAAGGCCTACATGGAGGGAGAATGTTTACGGGTCCGCAATACTACCAGCTATCGTGAACACCCTTCAGTAGAAGGCATCCTCACCTCATTCTTCCTTCACGTGTACCACGCCAAGATCGACAACCGTAACGCCGCCTTCATGTTTCTTCAAGAGGCTATTTCTCTTGCTCGACTGCTGGGTCTGGACGACACTGGCCGTGATTCCAGTTTACCCAATGAGAACAGTTTGGATCCGCAGAGATATCAAAAGCAAATGATTTATCTCTTGCTATGGGTAAGCGAAAGGTTCTGTCGCCAACATAGCGTTTCCAACACTTTCTGAATACAACTTTGAACTAATTATTAACAGAGGTTACTCCATTCAGAACGATCTACGGATGTCCATTCGAGAAACCATGAAGCTACCGTCGGGCGATTGTAGCGGTTCTGATATTCACGGGGAAGGGTTGGTCGAGTTGGCAAGCCTCTTTGCCGCCTTCGATTCTGCATTTCATCACGCACCAGGCCATGTCTCCGGGCCGTCATCTTCATTGTCCGACAAACAATTGCTCGTTGCAGTCCAAAATTCACTTACCATGAATCGACCTCGGCCAACCAGCTATGACCCGGTGCGGCGGGCAGACTACTGCATCACGAAGCAGTGGATGAAGGTTCTACTATGGCAGCAGGCGATGTCTCGGGGCTTACTTTCATCGGTATCGGATGTTAAGTCGATGAGTTTCCTATTCCCATCTCTTGTTGCGCAAGAACTACTCGCCTCTGTTGCAAAGATCTCCCACGGTGATCTCCTACCTTTAGGAAGGGATCAGGTACGTATCCCCACCGATATATTGCAAATCTCTTAGCTGATTATCAGAAAGCTGGTCAAGCTTTTTGAAATCACAAATACCCTTGCAGACGTGATCCTTTGCGTCCCTGCTGCTTCAATTCCCCCATACCCCTCTCACGATCACCTCAGTCATCATTCCAACCGCCATCCCCACTACCGTCCCCAGAACAAGGAATGCTGCCGCTTTGGCCCTGCAGACTTTCTCCACGGTTTGTACCAAACCATGTTGCCGTTTCTAAAAATTGACAGAAGGCTCAATTGCATACTACGTGAAAAGGCTGCGGAGGCATTGCTTCGGGCGCCAAACAGGGTTCTTCCGAGGAGCATTGGGGATTTCCCTACCGGGAATAGGTGGGGCATCGAGTACAAGACTTATGACAGTATGTACAATAATACATAGCATCGACCACGTTTATTAGCACTATGATCCTGTGCACATCTACACACCTACGAATATTGCAGGAATATTTGTCTTTGTAAACTTGAGTGACAACCGAAATCTGTTAGAGAACCCACCCCTTCAAAGTCGACGATACATTACACACCAAGTATTCATGCACTCCATCAACCCTTTAGCATTTCCGTCACTTGCGGTTCATCCCGATCCTCATCCTTTCCAGGCCACAGTACCATCTTTCGAGCAATGGCCCTGATTTGAGCTCCCGCAACAAAAAGCCACACGACGACCAACGCGACTGTCATTCCGCTGGCAACCCAAAGTATAACCTCACTGTCTAATTCTTTACCTGTATTGATGGTAGCGACCGTGAAGCCGACATTGGGAAAGACGTAAGCCCACCATGCTGGTGTCCAGCGAACTCTGGGAACCGCCATCAGACACGCTGCCAGCGCCAGGCCAAAGAACCAGAATGCCAAGCCCCACAGGAAGATCGCAGCCCAGGTGGAGAGGACAAGCAGCAAGTCTTGTGCTCCAGGATGCGTAACGGCGAAGTAATCGTGCGTTTGTGGGAGTGCCTTAGCGTTGGAGATCAACGCCAGTGCCGTGAAGCTAGGCGGCCCGACCATCATGAACATGGAAGCGCGCTGCTTTCGCGGAACCAAGCCCGCCTGGAATAGGCGCAGCAGATACAGTGCCATGACAGCGGAAAACATCATCCAGCCAAGTCCTTGGAATGATACGCCGGCGGCGATTATGGGGAGCGCGTGGTTAGGAGGCTGGTGTTGGGCGATGATTCCAGATAGTGTGCCGCCCAGCATAACAGGGAAGATTGGGAGGACCCAACTGGGTGCAGCGCCGTCAGCCTTAGACTTTGCATTGACAGAAGGCGTGCTGAAGAGCATGAGGTACAGCAGGATTGCGATAATCAGGGCGCAACCGGCGTAGAACCAGAAGATGACACGAAGCGCCATCACGAGCCAGGGTCCAGTTCCAGACACTCCATAAATCTGACTGTTGCTGATTATTGTCGAAATACTGAGCCAAAACGTGGGGAAGAAGAAAGCTTCAGTGCAATCTGTCAAAGAAGCCTTCAGAGCACGGGGACATAGTATAAATCGTGTGATGATAGAGGATACCAGGATCACAAAGAGGACAAGATTGAAGATGAAGACAGCCTTGCCAATGGTTTCCAGGCCGGGGAACTGGTGTGGTGTCTGGCCAAGAACCAGGGCCAATCCACCTGTGCTCATCGTTGTCGTGAACCATGCCCAAGTCAAATGCTGGATGCGATCCCTGACGCCGATCTTGGCGTTCCCCGGAGATGGTTTCTGCTGCTCTTTTCTGATCTCAGCGTCGCCGAATGATTTCATCTGGCGTGACCCAGACTCGTTGCTGGATGCTTTTGATGTATACGTCTGGAGAGAGGTGGAACATTGCGAGTCATTCCTGCGTGATGCAATTGGGCCGCTGCTTCTGTTCGCCTCTACATCGAACTCGGTTGGGCATCCAGAAGTGCTGGGCATACTAAGTTTTCCTGCCGCCGTTAGGATTGGGAGATGCTTTTGGTTTACCAGAAATCTTTCCCGGCCGTTCCTCACTCTTTTCGCGTTTTCTCGTGTTGACAGTTGGCCGGCACCGCTGTTTTTGTTGACGAGACAGCACTGCTGGGATCAGAATTTGCTTCCAAGGGGTTGTAGTTATTGTTGAGGGACACGATATCAGACGTCACAGTGGGGCTAGGTCGAAAGAAACATAGCCAATACCCCTTGGTGGAGCTTACTTGCTATCGTGACGCAAGACGTGCCTTGTTTCGTTGTGCCCGGACGTGCCCGATCGATGCGCCGAAGCTGGCCCGCGGGCGTGGGAGAAACCCTGTTCAGAACCGAATTCTATCTTAACGGTGCTCATTTGTATGTGGTGCAGCTGGCGACGATTGTACAATACGTGTGGTTTTCTCGTGGTGAGCGAGGGAGGATTGCCGGGGGCAAGGCCTTATCCTCCGCTGATCACTGAGCTATCTACACGTCATGTCTGTAACATTAAACTTGTTTAAGTTCGCTCACTGCAACATTGCGTAGGCAATTCAAAAAGAGATCCAAACGTACATGTGAGGTCGGTTCATACACCGGGACGCTATTCAACTCCCTCCCGAGGAAGATCGCAGGCTCTTCAGTGGAAGGTACGCAACCCAATCTTTGCAAATGGCAATCTGGTAACACCAACAAGACCTCCCCGTATCTTCACAAAAACTGCTACAGCGCTACCTCAGATTCCCTCCTTCGGCAAACGAGCCTGACTCCACCATCCGGCAGCATTTGATCAGCCCGCATCTTTGTCTTCGGCCTTCCCGCGCCTTCTTCCTCAAATGCCCAGTCCCACCCCATCAGAAGATGTACCAACGCAATCTTGATTTCATTGCTGGCGAAGAATCGCCCAGGGCATGCATGGGCTCCGTGTCCAAATGCAAACATGTCTCGGCTAGTGGTGACATACTGCCACCCATTCTCTTGCCCAGGCTGCTGTCTCAGCTTGACAAACCGATAGGGATCGAACGTTTCAGGATCCTGGTAGCGCGCTGGATCCATCATCCCCAGAACCGGAACTCCGATCGACGCACCGCGTGGCACGTACGTTCCGTCTGATAGAGTGTGAGGGGCCAGCGCAATTCGCTTCATCGAGATAACGCTTGGCGGATTGAAGCGTTGACTCTCCTTCATGACAGAATCCATGAGCCGCAGCTTGTACAGTGTCGTCTTCTGCCACGGCGTTCCGGCCTCCCCTCCCCCGTCTCCCATCACTCTGACAATTTCTTCCCGGAGCTCATCCGCAAGGCCTGGCACGGCAACGATGTCAAACATGACGTTAGTCAGAGCAGCGCTGGTCGTGTGTATGGCCGCGACCGTCAGACCCAGCTGCCCCATGACCGTGTCCACATTGCTCTTTTTCGCCGCTGCCGTTTCGTCAAGCCACTGCAAAGAATCCAGCGGCTTCTCTTTCTTTCCACCCAGCTCCTCTGCCTTCTTTCGCTCCATCCGCCGCCTCCTCAGTTCTGGCTCAATGATACTGTACGCCTCCTTCTGACACCTCTGCAGCCGTCCGATTTCCGGAACCAAGATGGGGTGGAAGACGTAGACCAGCGGACGGATGACTCGCGGCCAGCGGCGGAAGGCGACGACGGCGCTCATCACGTCGACTGTATACTGTGCCGAGATACGCTGCCATGTCTCGTTGCGGCATAGAGGCGAGCCGAGGAATGCGAATGCGGAGAGCCGAGACACAAGGCGGACAACCGTGGCATAGAGGGGATCTTTCATTGTAGTCCATTCTGATTGGTAAGTTGTGTTAGCAAGCTAGAACAATAAAATACTCAAAGGTGGTTTCTTTTGCGTTCCGTAATTTTTGTTTTAGTTTTCTCAAAATAAAAAAATAAAAAACTGCTGGAAATGTAGCTTACCATCAGTGGCCGGGAATAGCTCGTTGACAGCCAACTTGGCTTCGTTGGAAAGACCCACAGTAAGTCTTGCTGGTTCCCAAAGTGAGTATCCTTTGGGAGAAAGCGATATTCTTGGGAAACTTACGCAGCGCTTGCGTCAACTTGATCCTGACCGTTTCCTGGAAGACGCTGTCTTTGAAAAGGGAATCGGTGCTTCCAAACGTCTTGTAGTCACCCATGAACTCCTATTATTCCCGAAGTCCTTTGGATCAGCCGACCTTGTTGTCCTTGACCCTACAACATTATATCATCGACACTTACCCGTCTCACAAACTCCGTAAAACTCAAATGCGCCTCATTTCGAATCTCATCCACAAAGCTTGGTGGGAGCAGTATCCTCGGTCCGGAATCTGTGAAAATTTGGCAGATCCTATCCTTGCTCTGTACATTCCATTAGCTTCCCTCCCTCTGCTCTTCTCTATACCGGAAGAAGTAACGCACCTGCTCCCAAGCACTCTGTAACACCCCCTTTGCATCACGAGCGAAGCGTGTCTTGCTCGCTGACACACCGCCCTCGCCACCGACCAGTGGGATGTTCGGGTAAGGGCGCTGGGATGTAAGGACGACATAGGTGGCGTAGGTGGCAGACAAGAGAAGGGCCGCAGCCAAAAGCTCCCACGAGGTGGTGGTAGGGAGGTTGAGGGGCGAAACTGAGTCTTGGGTGGTCATTGTGAGTGTTGTTGTAGCAAGGTTGGTCTGTGTGAGTGGGGAAATTCTGAAAGGTCAGATTCTTGTTTAAATGCTGACGCGAACCCCGCAGATTTATCTCTCATGGTGGACGTAGAACATGGCCACTTGCGGGGCGACCGGCAAAAAGCTTACTTTAGCTAGATGCACCACTCAAGTCGCAGGATTCTGGGCGTCGTTCGCGCAAATGAAACTCTCTTGTTCGTCGATCAAAGCTTACGGCCAACATTTCTCCGCTGTTTTGATTCGACAAGGCCGCGTACGCGCCCGTTGCATCGGATAAATTCCCCCAAGTTGGCTGACCGAAACAGAAACGCCACAAGGTCCTCGGCGGGATGGTTGCCTGGTGACGAGCTCCGCATCACGGTATGACTCTTGGAGCTCACCGGGAATAAGGTGGGAAGCGTGAGCGGAATTTGGCGATCCTGCTGGGGTCAAGGCGCGGAAACGGTTTCGGGAGTTGATCAACCGTTCGCCGTGCAGATCGCTATGTCTTGTCTGGTATCGCACAACTTTGATTCGCTGTGGCGACTGCTGCACTCTCGGCTTCGGTAAGAAAGATTCCCGACAAACACATCATGTATCATCTCCGATCGTCCAGCAATCTATGCATCGCTACGACTAATTTTATAGATACAGAACAAGCTAAAAGCGTTTCTTTAAACGGACCTCAAGTCCATGTAGAAAGACAAAACCACTGGAGAAACTCGTTATTAACAAGAACTCATGGACTATTTTGGCTTAAAACTTACGCGTACTCTTCGGCTCCTCCATTTCTGTCGGCCAGGCTTAAATCAAAATGCATCAGGATTGTCGGTAAAAGCTAGATAGTGGTGAGAAGTTGCTCAGAAATGTGATTTGAGTAGCAGAGCCATACCTTTGCCATTTCCATCCAGCTGATATCTACCCGGTCATGTTAGCAACTACATTCACAACATTTCCGCATGCAGTACCTGCTTTTACCAATACATATACGGGAACCGCTGCCAAAGGTAAAGAAGTAGGGCCCTGGTAGTTCTCGTATCAGTTGAAGTCTTTTGCCTGCCATTATGTTCTCAACACGGTATATACTTACTGAGTTCGGCGCGTGCTCGGCTATCAAGCCACCTCTCCGGCCGATATGTGTCCGCATCTGGGCCCCAGACTTCAGGGATACGATTGATGACCCAGGCACTTTTCCCGACAACGGTCTAAAATGATTAGCTAACCCTCCTTCTCAGCCAGTCGGATTGAAGACTCACACCCGGTGGAACGTAGTGATCGCCGATATTCATGCCGCCCTGTGGAACCACTCGTGGCAACGATGACCCGACTGCCGGGTACAGACGCAAACCTTCGTACAGTACTCCTTGAAGGTACGGCCACGCCTCGGATTCCTCCAGAGTAACTGGATCACTCAGCTCGCCCTTCGCTCGTTTCTCGAACACTTCGTCTACTAAACGCCGATACGTTGCAGGGTGACGAAGCAACATCAGGATGACGGCTCTTAGAGACGTGGCCGTGGTATCCGAGCCAGCAAATACGTTCGTGGTCATCATGAAAGCCATACTCGTGTCGTCTAGCTCGGGTTTCTCTTTCTGAGTGGCCAACATCTGACCCACAATGTCTTTGCTGTGACCGCCTTGTTCTTTTCGCTGTGAGACCTCTGCCTTGGCAAACTCAAAGAAATAGACGTTACGGTCGTTGAATGCCAGCCAGTTACCAATCAGAGGCATCATCGCGTTGTGCATGTAGATGATCCAAGGGGCATGCTGAAGCCAGGAAATTGACTTCAGAGAATTCCGAAGTCGCGTAAAGAGGCCGTTATCGTTCCCAGCCTCGACGTAGCCGAAGCTTCGAGAAAAGCTAACAGCACCAATTGCATCTAGTCTGAGAGTCAGCAGCCGAAGCGCGGGTGGCTTGAAGACACAAACCGAAAGCAAACAGCTGCAGCCAGTATCCCAGTGATACCGACTTGCCATCAAACTGTTCAAGCTTCTTCATGAAATTGACGATGAGAACGTCAACGGATGCCTGAAGCGTGCGCATCGAATCTTTCGTATACGCCCTCGCCACTAGCCTCCGCTGGGCGCCGTGTATAGCTTCATCTCTCTCGCCAGACAAGTCAAATTTCCTTTTTCCCTTCACAACGCCGTACAGTTCAGATTTAATGAACTTGCCGCCAGCCCCTTTATTTGTACGTTAAACGAGAATGGTTTCATGGGGATATATCGGAATCAAAACTCACTATAGATCTCCTTAAAAGCGTGCGGATCTGCGACACTCCTTCGCTGACTTAGCGCCATCGTCAGCTATGTAGAAGGGATATATTACGTACAATTCGTCTGGTGCAATTCTAACGACGCTGCCGTATCGTTGGTGCATCGATATAAGCTCACGGTGCCAAGGGCCAGTCTTGGTACGGTATGCCATCCATAACTTTGTGAATTTCGCCAAGAAAGGCCCAGGAATCTTGGCGAGCGGTGCAAAAAAGTATATGTAAACGATGTACCCACAGATCGACAAACCGGCCGCGGCAGGCACGGTTACCGACCATGGAAGGTTAAATGACTGAGTCAATTGTTGCAACATCCTTTGACACCTTCCAATGATCCAGTAAGAGAACTCACAGTTAACATAGAATGATGCTCGTTGAACAATCAATGGCGGTACCTTCACCCATTCGGCGTTTATTAACTTGCTCTCGGCGACTTTTGAGAATCCAATTCCCAACCACCTCGATAATCCGATATTCTCGCATAGACTCGGAAAGACGGAAACTCATCCCAATGGTCGGTCGTTGAAAACGGCCTGGATCGCCTGGTTCAAAAATCGCCGAAGGGAAAAAGATGCACACTGTTGCAATAAGACATTGCACGCCTTACTGCACAAGGGACATAGCTAACCAAGGAGATAACGGCCCGGTTGGCCTAACGAAACAAAGCGTGTACGTAGTACGTCACAGACTTGATTCCCACAAGCCTTTTCCGTCTCCATTCCCGCTCAAACATCCCCGCCCGTTTCCCCATGTCAATGGTTGTCGCGGATGGTGTACGCTGTTTCGCCCGCTCTTTATCGACACACTTCTAATACACGAAAAGAACCCTGTTAGTACGTTTATCAGCGCCCACAGAATGCTCAACAGACGAGCAAAAGCTGATTGAAATATCATCAATAAGGATGTCTACCTACGACGATCACGCCACTGAGTCGAAGTCTAGCCGCTCGAACGTAGTCGATGAAGAGAAGAGCGGCGGAGAAGAACAGCAGGTTGTCGGGGCCGCCACAGGCCTGAGTGAGAAAGGAAGTGAGCCGACCACAGAACAGGCGGCACTGGTCGACTGGGAGGGCCCTGGCGACCCAGAAAGCCCTTTGAACTGGCCCAGCTGCACACGAATGACACATGTTCTGATGGCTAGCGCACCGACACTTCTGGCGTGAGTCTCCCCACCGCCTTGGACGGCACGCAAGCAATAACTCGACTTCCAGCAACGTCACCACGACTGCCTTTGCACCCGCAGCTGGATCGCTTCAGAGAGAATTTGGGATCACAGATAAGACTGTCGGGGCACTTACAGTTACTATATATCTGCTTGGCTATGGCTTTGGGCCGCTGCTCATCGCCCCGCTTTCTGAGCACTACGGCCGCCTCCCCATCTATCACGTATGCATGACTACCTCTGTCGCATTCCTCGTAGGCTGTTCCCAGGCGACCAACACCGGTATTTTTCTAGCCTTTCGCTTTCTAAACGATGTCGCTGCTTCGGGTCCAGGCACAGTCGGAGCCGGCACGATTGCGGATGTCATGCCGCCGGAGCAGAGAGGCCGCGCCCTGGGCATCTTCTCGGTAGGTCCGCTCTTGGGGCCTGTGTTAGGACCCATAATGGGCGGATTTGTATCTCAGAAGCTGGACTGGCGCTGGGTATTTCGGATCATCTACTTTGCGGTAAGCCGCCCGAAGTTTACGTTTTGCGGTCACTTTCTCACGGGCTACGCGTTGCCAGACTGCCGTCATGGCGGTGGCCATGCTTATGGCTATGCGTGAAACATATGGACCGGTGCTTCTGAAGAGGAAAGCAGAACGTATTCGCAAAGAGACCGGGAACCTGGCGCTGCACACTCGTTTTGAGCAGCAGAACATGAGCCCGCTCCGCTCGCTGTGGCTCGCTCTGCAGCGCCCTACCTACATGCTTATCTTCTCGCCCATTACGCTGTTTCTCTCGTTGTATTGCGCATTCGTCTTTGGTCTCTTATACCTCCTCTTTACTACCTTTGCGTCTGTCTTCTCCGAACAATACAACTTTAGCTCAGGTATTCCCGGTCTGGCCTACTTGGGTGTGGGTCTTGGGATGGCCGTTGGGGTCGCCCTGTTCAGTATCCTGTCAGATAGGGTCGCCAGTAAGAACCAAGAAAAGGCCAGCGGTGAGCCGTGGAAACCGGAGAGACGGCTTTTGCTAATGGTCTAGCTGGGCCCCGTGCTGCCCCTTGGCTTTTTCTGGTACGGATGAAGCGCGTATTACAAAACACAGTGGATTGTGCCACTCGTAGGAACGGGCTTCATCGGCATTGGTTCTCTCATGATTATGGTGCGGTCATTTATTTCCCCTCTTCATCGTTCCAAGCTCACTGCTGTAGATGCCGATTCAAGTCTACCTGGTCGATGCATTCGGTCCACGTGCTGCAGCGTCTGCGCTTGCTGCCAACACCGTCCTACGCTCCATTGCTGGAAGTTTTCTCCCACTAGCTGGTCCTGCAATGTATGCCGCGCTTGGACTAGCCTGGGGAAATTCGCTGTTAGGATTCATTGCCATTGGCTTTACTGCCCTGCCTGTTCTGTTTTATCGGTATGGCGAGGGGTTGAGACAAAAGTACTCCATAGACTTCTAGAACTCATGCTGCACGAAGCAAAGGTAGGACTAGTAACTTGTTTATTGATGATAATGGAGAAAGGCTGATCACACATATGGTCGTTCCGTAAGGCCTGTCCGCTATTCCTTTCATGCCCGACAGCCTTTCAATTTCCATGTCCATTACATTGTCTACGCTTGCTGTAATGGATCAAGTATCCCAAGGAATTTCTGCAGCGCGATTACGCCTGACCAGCGTCATGCCACCGCCGCGTAAGAAGGGCCAGCAATCAAGACTGCTGAAGAAAATGCCGCCGGACTAGGCCCGCCGCAGTACCTATCGACCACGGCACGAAAGAGTGGCATAGGAGGAATACAAGAGCTGGAATGTCTGTCTTACATAGCCACCAGGAAAGGAAAGATATAGTAGTACCGTTTTAGTTCCATAACCCAAAATTGAAGACCTAAGACTTAGCGATGAAACCACCCAAAGACCGAATTTCATCTTTCCCGTACTCCTCCATCAGTCTGGAAAAGTAAACTTTGAGTATCCCTCCCTACAGTGTTACCTCTTTCAGTCACAGTGGAGGTGAAGGTCATCGTTTTCGTCCCTGGCACACTGGTCCTGCCTGCCGGTAGCCGCCAAATTGATGCCCCCGCCATCGTCGAGGGCCCAGAAATCATTTTCTACACAAGTACAATAACCGTCAGCCTTCCACTTGATAGTAGGCAGTATTAGAGGAAAATCGAAGAGGAGTTGCTTACCCCCATTCATGAAGAAGCAATCGTAATCGGTATGCAGCAGGCCCAGCTCTAATTTAACCGCTGTCTTTTCGTAGATCCGATCCCAGTCCGCTACGTCGTAGTCAAGGTTGTAGCAGATGGCGGCATCGTAATTGTGCGTCCTATTACCCCACATGGCGTCTACCGTGTCGCGGGTGAATGCCTTACGGACCTAATAAGCAGGATATTAAGTGTAAGCAGGTTTGTCGTAGCTTTGAGAAACAGTTGAAGAGAGAGAAACACGGAGGGTGGGGGAAACCAGCGTACATCGTCCCATTCGGTGAGGTCAACGATGAGATCGATGACTGACTCGACGGCCGAGGCAATGATGCCGCTGGCTGCGCCGCTGAGGATGGTGACAACCGCCATTCTGTCGTTTAAGATGAGACACCGGGCTCATAACCGGGTAGACTCTTCTAAGAGATGTGGAAAGCTTTTTAAAAAGGCTGGCCGGAGGGGGGATGGCTGTCTGCCTTGCTGCCTACGTGTTTCTACAAGGCTGACTTCGGGATGCTAGTAGAAAGTTGAGGCTGTATAGAGAACATACCCAATTGCGTGTGCAAATTAAGGGAATTTAGGAACCCTGGCCAGGCTTATATGACTGCTCGTTTACCCTATCGGCCCCTCTTTCCGTACCATTTTAGGCATTTGCATGTGCTGTAGGAGGTGAGGCTACCACTCGCACCTCGCTACGTCTACTCCTTCGCCCGAAACGATCGCGATCCTGATCCTCACTTAAGTCATCTTGTCGCCTCACCTTTTCGCCGGCTCGATTTCAATTGGTGATGCTTTCGCCACTGCTGCGATCGTTGCCATTCCGCTCCTCGCAGAATCTCCTATTAACTTAACCAACCTGCTAGGATCCGACGCGCGATACAGGTTCTGCCGCCTCGTACAAGCTTTTTGGTACGCCAAAGGTTGCTCGACTCTACTTAGACGACCCACAACCCGCGAAACTCGACGATTACGGCCATCTTGAAGGCATGCAGGCCGCCTAACTTCCATGTAGGAAAGATCTGCAGCTATATCTCTAGAGCCATACGGGAAAGATCTAGTTTGGTATTCGCATCAAGGTCATCCAGAAAAATGCTAGTAGAAAAGCCTTCGTCAACACCTTTACGGCTTTATTAGATGATTACCGCAACGTCTTCAAAGTATTGATATTCCTGTCCAATGATCCCATCACTACGACCAATCCGGAGCGGAGAGGGTCTCATTGCTCTTCGTTATTGCCACCGTGAATTGCTCCGAGTCAATATTCCAGAAGTTTTCGGTTATGGCATAGAATAAAAAACTGTCTCGTGAGTGTAGAAAGAAGAGATTCTCGCGAGCTGATTAGGCCGTTGCTCGTTTCAAGATATAATGTTGTCGTCTGTGAAGCGTTGCAACATGGTCGCCTGCGCTTCTGCGATCGAGATAAGCCTTGCGCGATTTCCACCCCGGTTCTCACTGAGACACCGCGGGATCAGTTGTTCAGCAGGCCCCAGGCCTGGATACTCTTGAAAACGTCATCATCCAGGTGATAACTTCTGCTCATTTATTTTTTGTTTTTGGTTCTTTTACAATACGAACAGGTGCCGCGCGCTCTTCTTCGTAGAAGCGGTAATGGTCCTTGTGCCCTGACACAGGCTGGAATGTCCATAGACTTACCTTGTCACGGAGAAGGCTTTTATACTGTCACTGGGACGAAATTCCGATACCTTAGCATATACACTGAATCAGAGTTGGAATTTCGCAGTTTTGATGAATTAAAAGGACTGTCTGAGATAGAGTGCTGGTGCGCATGATTTGTTGTCTCTATACTTTTTCGGTCGCCTAGAGATTTAACAATCTGTTGAAAACACTATCGGGTGTGCCTTTCCGCCATCCAGTGCTTGGACAATCGGAGCAGCCTTGGTGAATATCCAAATCAAGTGTCTCATACACATATCTTCGATGTGTGCCATTAATATTTCGGAATAGGTTCCAAAGCGCTCATCACCAATGTAGGTGAACAGAGCAAGAAAGAACTTAAAATCCTAGCTGCGAAGTATTAGCAGAAGAAAAAGCACGAATAGTTGTGCTTACAAGCTTGCTAATCGCCATGTGTCAGAGCTACTGTGCACCCAGCCCTGGTCTCACCTTTACCTCAGTCGTGGGAAGCCACGCACTTCGGCTATTCTCTTCGGACTCTCTGTTCCTCTGCGCCTTTTTCTGTAATAACCGATCCTTTTTTCTTACTGCATGCAGGGGCTTGTGGCTGCGTTTTACTGTTCGAGTCAGCCGCATCATGCACTTCTCATTTGCGGCGCCCTGGATTGGCCTGTCTGAAATCTCAATACCTCAGGCAGGTCATGATCAAATGGCCATGACCTTAAAGGTCTTACGTTTTATTGGTAGAACTCAGTATAAATTATAAATTGAAGTTCCAATACTACTGGATTGGCCCTCATTCTTGGACGATCGAGGCCGCGCGTCAATGTGCTTTTTAGCCGAAGCGAATTCATATTTATAGCTAGTCCGCGTGCGCATACATGACATCAAATTAGTTGTCGGTCGTTCTTGTCTGGCGTACGTAAGTCTCTGCGATAATTGGCGGCGCCCAGACCAGAGCCGCCAATAAGATTAGAGCCGCCGTGAGCCTAACAGCATACGCTGCGGGGAGTCGGCTTACCGTTGCATTTTAAGGAATAGGACACACTTTACGGGACGAAATGCAAGCCCCTGTAAGCCCCTACAACTGTGTGGAGTGCGGCGTAATTTCTAATAGAAAAGGCGTGTTGCATCACATGGTTGCATAGAGGTCAGCATGTCAGCATGTGCTTCAATGGGATCTGGAAACCATCCTGTGAGTAGGGCTTGAATCGTTGACGCGCAACATGCAATGCAAAGAGGCTGACGCGAGACGAATTATGCGGAGCGGGCCGATCCATTAGTAGTCTTTCACGATGATCTTGATCATGTAATACAATGGTTGAGTTCAACAAATCAATTTTGCATGTCTATAGGCTAAGAAAGTTCGCACGCTCTGCTCTGCATTTCTTTGTAAACCAGCCGAGTCTACAAAGGGAAGCTGCCAGCCTTAGAACGTCATGTTGATGACCACCCATGGAACGCACGAGACAAAATGCTATCTGACATCGTTCAGATGCCCAGACCGTTTGAGCGATTCGTAAAGCGCCCATGCAGCCAAAGTCTTGGCATCTCGCGCCCCGTGGCTCCAAAGATCCTCGTAAGGGATCAGCCTGATGCGGACCATTTCGCCTTGGGATCTCAGCCCCGACAAGCGGCCTTTGATTTTCTCTATGGATTGGCGGTTAAGAACCTTTTCCCATAGAAACAGGGCGATATACTCGTCGCATCCGCCAGGGCTTGGGTACATGGCGTTTTGGAGGTGCTCGCCAGTATGATTCTCGACTTTGTCCAGAGCGAGAGCCGTCAAATCTTTGAGCTCGTTACGGCGAACAGTAAGCCCTGTTTCCTCTTTGATCTCCCTAGCGGCGGCTCCGGCAAAGGTTTCTGTGCCATCGTCCATCATCCCGGCCGGTATTTCAAGGAAGGCGAGGCTGCCCGCTGGAACGCGCGGCTGCTCTGTCATGATGACTAGGCGTTCACTTTTGTTATCGTGGGGCCGCAGTATCATGAGCATGGCCACGCTGGGTCCACGTAAGAGGACCACGCCCGGGAGTTCCTCGTCCGCCGCATTGGTGATCTTGGCCTCGAACTTCAGGAAGCCGATTCGCTCGCCGAAGAAGCTGACGGATTTGATTTTGATAGACCTGAGAGAATAGGGCTTGTCGTGGAACGCGTGTTTTTCGTTCTCCTGGTTTTTCAGCGACGCCTGCAGCGTCTTATACCAGTGCTGAAATGCTGCGAACCCTCGGAGTTGATCCTCGGAGAGACCCTCCACTAGGGTGACAGGTACGGGAGCAGTGGAGGGTTCATTGAGATTGAACGTCACAGAGGTCGACATTGTGTGAAAAAGAACTCAGAACCGATTTAGAAGTACTGTATTCAGATCAAGTGAGCAAAACCGCCTTTTGAATTGTCTACGATAGATGACCACGCTGGACTGCAGCGAGGCGCAGCAGCGGAAACATGAATGACTCCCATACTAGCTGCATATACAGATGCGGTGACTGGGGCTGTGCTTCAGCTGCGTCAGCATGACTGTCCGATTTAGTCGATAGCACCATGGTGCCTTGGTGTGTCTCGGGCTGACGGGTAGGCACATGAGATGATACCCTATAGAATTTCAAATGATCAGCAGCCACATCGGATCAGATGTATTGAATACAGGGTTGCATTGCAGGGTGCACATGTTTCCCCTCAGCTGAAATGACATGCAGAGAATCGACTCTATCCGGACCATCGCTGGCGCCTCCGCATGTCCATGCTTTGGTGCAGCGGTGGTACGGCACTGGTTGGCCTATATTTATTAGCGCAACTCTAGGCAGCTAAGTGCCAAATTCGTTTCATATTCGTCACTCGTCTACCCCATTCGCAAACATGCTTTGTAACTGTTGCTATCTCATGCTGCGGGGACAAGAAGGCTTCCAGTGGAGAGGCTCGTACGACTTGCACTTTCGTCACCACGAAAACGAGCTGGCGCTTCAAGCGTCGGCCAAAACCTGTTTCATCTGCCAGACAATCGCGAAAAACTTACCTGAGAGGGGATTGCTTGACTTCAGTGCCAGTCAGCAGGAAGAAGGACGATTTAGAGCCAGTCTCACACGCCTACCCGACAATGAAGAAGACTATCTTCTTGAATTTTACCGTCAGAAGCTGAAAGTTGGAGTTTTCGTCCTACAGAACTCTGGTTCGTGGTTTCACACTATCCAAACCAGTGCCTGACATTGGCTGATATTCAGCTAGTTGAGCCACCGTCCTCGACACCGAGATCCGACAACACGTGCTCCGATGAGGCTTTTCAACTCATCAGCACGTGGATCAAAGGCTGTAAATGTGTCAACGTACACGACGATCCAGCATATCCAACTCGATTGATTGATCTGCACGATTTGAAGGAGCGTCTTGAAGACCGGGAGCCTACCAGCGATGAAGATGCCAAATGGAAGCCGTTGGAAGTCCGCTTAGTCGATGGGGCGTGCCTGCTGGAGGAAGACAAGCAGACGGAGGAGAGGAAACAGATAAAGAAGGGCAAGCAGACAAAGAAGGGGAAGCAGAAGAAGAAAAGCAGGAAGGCGAAGAAATGGAAGAAGGCGAAGAAGGCGAAGAAGGCGAAGAAGGCGAAGAAGGCGAAGAAAGGCAAGCAGATGGAGGAACGAAAGCAGAAAAGCCCTTCCTACGTCACATTAAGCCATTGTTGGGGTCAAGCGGAAATCTTCAAGTTAACGAAGGGACGATACGACGATTGTCTGCAGGGAATACAGCTCGACAAGCTACCGCAGACTTTTCAAGACGCCATGAAGTTTGCCGCACGCTTAGACCAGGTTCGATACATCTGGATCGACTCGCTTTGCATCATCCAAGACGACAAAGAAGATTGGCTTCAGCAGTCCAGGCAGATGGCCGACATCTATAGCAATGCGTTTCTCAACATCGCCGCCACAGCCGCGACCAACAGTAACGAAGGGCTGTATTCGAGACGTGACTGGCGATGGCTGTGGAACAACGAGATCGACCTCAACGTTGATGGTCTGTCAGGCATACAAGGCTCAACTACTCGTAGATGCACCATCGCAGATATATCGTTCTGGGACGAGTGTGTCGACCGTGCTCCCCTGAATACCCGTGGCTGGGTGCTGCAGGAACTTTACATGTCACCAAGGCAGGTGAACTTCTGCAGCGGCCAAGTTACGTGGGAATGCAGCGAAGACCGAAAATCTGAGCGACAACCTGAAGGCCTTCCCAGGTTCAACGGCATAGCACGAGAATTCGTTCGTGGCGCAGCACTGGAAAGAACCCAATTGAATGGCGCTTCAGCAAAGCTGAACGGCAATGAAGATGCAGCCCTCGCGTACCGCTCATGGAAGCACATTGTGGAGCGGTACACACGGGCAAAACTAACTAAGCCTGAGGATAAGCTCATCGCCCTGTCAGGAATCGCCCAGCGCATGCACGCTCGGATCAATCGCACACCCTACAGTCCCCAATCTTACGACCCTCAAAACTTCGATCCAGGGAAGTATGACCAGCGATATTTGGCAGGAATGTGGGAGCACAATCTCCAGTATCAGCTGCTCTGGTATGTGGAACCACGCTGGGATGCTCGAAATGAACGGTTCCATGACCATTCGACGCGACCGAAGGAGTATCAAGCCCCAAGTTGGTCCTGGGCAGCCGTGGATGCTGATCATGGCATAACGTACGGCGAGATCCTTGAGCATGAGTTGCATTTCAAAGTAATCGATGTCAATGTGTCACCAAAAGACGGTGGGCTCTTTGGGACGGTGGAACGAGGATCATTAGTCCTCGCTAGTGATATTGAGCCAATGAAAATTGAGCTAGAAGAAAGTAGAGAAAACGGAAAGACGATGTACAGCTGGAAAACAGTAGAAGCGAATGGGGACCGTCTGGAGAACAGGTTCTGTACTGTCTGGTTAGACAGCCCGGTGAGCGACTGTCACATCTTTGCAGTTCATGCACGGATGTATTGTCTACCAGCTGTAGGTAGGGATCAGGGGACTGATATCACCTGTCTGTTACTGGAGGAGCTATCATTACAGGACCTGCTGTCGCGGGGACAATCATTGCTGGACAAGGCTGCGACTGATAAGCGTAGGTACTTCAAGCGCGTCGGTTTAACTTGTATACCAAGCTTTGATGCTGCTAGCGCGGAGAGGATGCATCGCTGGATATCAGGTATTGGTAAAGGGAGGCATGAGTTTTATATTTTCTGGAGTTTTGGCAATTTTGTTGGCAGGATAAAAGAAAAGAACAAAACAACATGGGTAGTGGAAGCTATCGTCCGGACGTGTACGTAGAGTTTTGAATTCGACACTCTTGTCGAGATGATAGCTTCAACTGTCCATGATACGAGCGAAAATCAACGCAAACCTCAGTTTGTATTTCGGCACTACTGGTGGTAACACGCAGTGCTTCGCTGAATGACGTCACATCCATCTCAACAGGTGGCCCAACGCAAACACTCAACGGAATGAACAGATCTGATTCAGAGCTATGATGGTTCTAGTGTTTAAATAGCACAGTTTTGTCATTTTTCAAGGGAGGCGGTGCTTGGGTGGTATGTAGCTCGGCCATGACGCGGTGTCGCGTTTGCACGTGACGATCGCCGCCGCCCGACTGCAACAACGCGTCCGCCAACCTCCGCTTCCCTTCCTCATCCACCCCGCCACCACAACGCGTCGCTCCGTCTCGCTTTCATCGTCGCCGGCATCTAGTACGACTGCGATATCGTACTACATACAATTGTCCATTGCTCCCAAACACCCCTGGCGCCTCGTTCCACGATCGCTCTACGTCCACTGTTTCACCGCAAACAACTACCGACTACCGAAGCCTCGGCCGTTCAGAGCAGGCCATACAACCTGCCAGCGTCTACCTTCCAAGCGCCCGCAGTGTGTACACTGTGGTTTCCCCTGGAAGAAGACTCTGGGGCCTGTCGAGGCGCCCGCGAAAGCGGCACCGCCCATCTGCTCCGCCGAGCGTCCCCTTCATCTTCTGCGGTGTCGCCTTAGGCTGGGCTTAATCGGTCTCGGCGCTAGTCTTGAAGCCGGCGCGCTCTCCCGTGGCGAACTGAAGTTCTTGACGACTGCGGAGCTCTCAGTTTGTTGCGGGATTGCGTGCTTCTTCGGCTCGCCGCAGTTCCTTGATTGCGGCCCACGCGCTACGTGCTTGATTCGCGCAGTAAGTTGGGGACTTCGCTTTGGTTCCAGACGAGTCAAGGCTGCTCGTCTCCAAAGCCTGGGTGGGTGGGATCTGCCGTGTGCAGGGCTTTTACTTTCTCCGCATGACTTGTTGTTGTGTTTGGCTAACTGCTGCAGCTGTCTGTCACGACCCTGTCCTCCGGGAGACCGTACACTGAACAATGCCTGATGACGACACCAATATGCGTGGCTGGGGAGGGCTTCCGTGTGTCATGAAGGAACAAGTGCTGGTGACTTGGAATGGACAAGATGACTACTATCTGGGATGCCTTTCTGAGGCCAATGATGGATGCGAGGATAGCAAGAGGGGACTAGGCCTGGAAGTTCACGCAAGTGAAACTGAACAGGCTGTACTAGTCAAGTTTCATATCAAAGTCTGGACCCCTGCCGCAAGGACCAAAAAACTCCGGGACATGTACGTCGTCTTCCCTACAGCAGGTCTCTCAATGACCAGGGAACTCGTCACAGCCGTGCCGGAGAACGTGCGGAAGCATCTGCCTCCTGCACCATCTTACAATCGTATCCACTTCGAACTCTCCGGATCGGAACCACCGTACGTAGTTATGCCTGAACTCGCGAGGCGTCCTGATCAGCTTGGCAGGCGTGTCACAGGCCCCTCAAGGACCAGGATCATTTGTCTCCAATCAATTTGCAACGCAAAGAGTTGGGATACTTTCCTAGTGGGTGACAGTGCTTTGCAATGCCAGCTCGACAGTGTGTGCCGATTGCTCAGCACGAGTCGTGCCAGTCAACCGAAGATTAACCTTGGGTCCATCTACGGCGCCGGTATCCGTGGCCTCGTCAACAATTGGGTCGACTACCCTTTTAGTATCCATGATGATCCGCCGCCGTACCTTGAAAGAGACCGGGACCAAGAGGTGGCTGGTGTAGCCTCGAAGAGTAGCTCAGGGCCAGAGCTGTACTGGAAGACATCTCCAGTCCAGGCTACCCTCTTGCACGAAGCTGTCAGTTCTCAGGCTGTCACCACGGCTAAACGAAAGCAGGCTGAAGCAGCATCTTCGTCATCAGACGAGGGAGCTGTAGTCCACAAGCACCCACGTCAGGCTACTTCTGATTCGGATTCAGAGCCTGACCGAGGTGGCCGGATGGCAGCTTTTCAAGCACAGCTGGCTCTTGCTCAGGAGCTGTCCCCTACCGAGGCAGATCCAGAGTCCACACCACCAGACGAATTGCATTACAAAATGGTTCATTTCATTCTCTACGCCCTCCGGCGGGACGGAGATGCGATAGCCAATTACGCGAAGGACTTCATCGAAATGGGCCACAACGTCAATGCTCGGGATGACAGGGCCTTCCGCGCGGTTAAGCACCGATGCTACAACTCCCTGGCTACTCAGTCTGCCCGCCGTGGGTTTCGCATCCTGTCGACGCCGACGCCGGACCAGATCAGCCACCAAGTCAAGATGCTGCTGGAGTGGTTGGACGACGCCATCTCTGAAGAGGCCTACGCTCTGGTTGACCGCCATTATGCTTGCTTGGCCGAAATGGCTGCACAAGCTGAAGAAGGTAGTAGATTCGTGCAAGAGGAGTTTGAGATACGCAAGGCTGACTTCTACGCGGCGGCGTTTTGTGTGGCTGATGGGATCAAGCGTGGTTGTCCGAGGAGGCCGTCAATTCTTTGTGTAGAGGTCATCCCTCGTCTTTCTCAAGCATACAGCTCTTTTAGATGACTTCATATAGGACACGTCATAATGTCAAATCGAATTTCTTATGATGGGACAAAGCTGTTTTGGTTGAATAAAGGTGTGAGGCATAGCCTTACCCACTATAAAAAACCCTTTCACGCATCGTCTACTGCCCGAACCCGCACCGCATACTATGCGCCCCCTGGGAACCTTTTGAATACCCTTGAATTATTTCCAGATGCACTCCAAAAACATCGACCTTGTCTGCTGTGAAATCCCTTACACCCAACACCCTGTTCGTTCGTGACTCGCCTCCAGTTTCTGCATTACAGCCAGAGTACCTCCTTGAGCCAGGTCCTTCGGCTGATAATACTCCGAACGAGATAAGGTTACAGCCGGAAGCGGGGCGCGAATTCCTAATATGGAAGGCGCGGCCCGAGCTAGGCTTAACGTAGATACTGAGCCAGCTCGGCCATCGTCCAGAACCTCAATTTGATATGTACCGCAAATCCCAGTAACCATAGCATGCGCCTCATTCGCCCTCTTCCGCCGCATTGTACTTGCTACACTTTCATCCTGGCCGCTTGCGGTGCTGACACGTCGGTCGCCCAAGAAATACGCGCTGAAGCAACTGTCTCTCGCGTCATCGGACCGCTGTACTTCAGCTAAGAAGACGAAAGGGGAGTAGAGAGGGTGGAATAGAATGCTTTAAAGGGCTCTTCTCCGCCTGCTTGCACTATCTGGTTAGAGCCCCGTAATGCTGGCTGTGTAGGGCGCACGTTCAAAATAGGAAAAAGTAGCGGACGAAACGGGAGGAATTCTCGGCAATCGAATCCTTCATGCCTGCCAAGCGACCCACCATGGCACCACGCCAAGCCAATGCTCCCTCGGCGGAAACAGGCTGAGCCACATAGTCGGTTAAGCAATCTTCTGTAGCAGCCTAGCACCTACCTGCTGTTATCTTGTGGCGCTTGTAGAGCAATATTTCCGTCAAACCAGGGTGGTAAAAACTTTTATTTAAAAACTGGGCGCGAGTGCCTGAACCCTTCCTTGCTCTCACACGTGTCTTACTTTTCGCCCCCTTTTGCGATTGTACGAGCAACCGCTAAACCGCCTGAGAGGGGGAAAAATGCGCCACACGTTCCCTCTCATCACCCTCGCCGGTGCCGGTGTCATGGCCCAAAGCAGTAGCACCGCTACTAACAGCATCCTCACCACCTCTTTCTATTTCCCGAGCGGCGCCAACGTCATAGTATCGCCCGTGGCATCCATTATCGGTATCAACGACACTTTCACCGACATCGTCACCTACCTAATCAAGTGCGCGCCACCATCGCTGTCCGCTTCAACTTCCGTTCCAGCTTCCACTTCTGCTTCCGCTTCCGCTACAACCACTCCGGCTCCGACCACCACTGCTCCACTTAACCGTCGCACCTCTGTACCTTCTTCTTCTTCCTCCTCTTCCTCCTACACCTACTCCCCCGAGACCTGGGACGACGATGCCTACGGCGACTACTACGATGACGAAGACTCGAGCAATGCCTGCGTTCTTCCCGATGACGGCGAGACGCTTGTCGCCGGCCCCAGCACCATGAGCCTCTCCTACGCCTTGTCGGGCACCACCGCCGACGCGGACTGCTCCATCACCTGGGGGTCCGGTTCGGCATCGGCATCGGCAACGGCGGCGTCCGCATCGGCATCCGCGACGGCAACAGCCGGTGCCGATGCTCGTTGCTACATGTACGACATTGATCCGGCCGAGAACTACCAGATCGTTCGGAACGCCTTCTATCCGGATGCGGACGAGTCGAACTCGTGGCCGACGCTGTTAATCACGGCGGGGTTGGAGAAGTTAGAGGCGGCAAAGGCGACGGATACGATGGGTAAGGAATTTTTTCCCCCTTGATCTTGTGGTCCTTCCTCGGAAAAATGAACAAAAGAGCTAACTTTGCCCGAAGATTTACCTACGATTACGGGCTCCACGGATACGTCGTCGTCGACAGGTACGGCGGCTGCAGTACGGTTCGATCTCCCTACAGCTATAGGTATAGTAGGCGCTACGGGTATTTTATTATTATATAATATACTATAGTAGCGCCGTAGTTGGCTTAGTTATCTAAATAGAATATAAAGCCGCTACTAGCTAGTTACTCTTTTAGTTCTTATACTACTTGTACAAGTAAACCTCAGCAGGCTAATCTTCTGCCATAATTGTTTTCGTAGTGGCTTTATACCAGTTATCGGTTGTCTTTTGCACGACTATAATGCCACTTGCTGAGAGATATAGTATTGTGACATCTGCGTCTGGTCGTCGGAGCTCGGATATCAATTCCGAATCAGCAGAGTTGATATATCCATTCAAATGAGCTACCTCCTGCAAGCTTTGAAACGCATATTACTCGAGTCGTCCAAATGTTTTCTCACCGAGAATCTACTTACCCGATGGTGTAGTCCACGGGATAAACCCCCATCTCCGCGATGGCTTTGTCCCATATCATGTCATTCGGGTACGTGTAATTAAAGTCGCTGGAGATGTGACTCGCGCCTATCGTTCGTTTGTCCCTCATCGTGTTTGAAGTCGGACGGCAAACGTGAGGCAATGCAAGGCTGACCGTCGCAGGGATGAGACTGAAGTTCGTTTTCATCCCAAGAGCGCCGATGGACCCCCACTTATGAAAGTCAGCATTAGGGGGCCTTTGGCATTCGCATGCTGCAATTAGCGTGTTGCGAGGCGACGTGCATATGTGTTTACAGCGTCAAAAACATTTGCGGTAATCGAGTCGTAGAGCTGCAAAAGGACGAGGAGGCTGGATTCCATTTCAAATTAAACCGTGATAAGGGTGCATACAATAAGATTGCCTTTTAGCCGCAGAATTTTGAAGTGGGGGCTGAAGTACATATCGCCCTCAGGCGGGAGAGGGGCGGCAGTTGGTTTTCACAATCGAGTCAACCGGCTTTCGCGAAAGATAGTTAACGTATGCTCAAAAGCTCTTCGTCCGCAACAAACACCAAGCCACCCACACGGACGCGAACACAAACGCGCTCCAAGTCGACAGCACCACGACCTCAGGGCTGACCCTGGAAATGATGACCCGCGCCACGGCGGCCGCCACCAGCCCCATCCACGCCGACATAGCCAGCACCGTACCCACATTATCCCACCCAGGATGCGGCGCCCTCATCCGGTGCTGCGTGCTGCGCATCTGGGTGCCCCAGCCATTCTGCAGCATCGTCATACAGCTCCAGACGGCGATGCCGGGCAAGGGTATCTGGTAGAAGACCTGGGACACGAACAGCAGGCTCCAGTGGCGGACGGTGCCCTGGTACTGGCCGAAGAAGACGGCGTTGTAGCCGGCGCAGAGGGCCAGCCGCGCCAATATGTCGGTCAGCGACAGCGGGAACGGCGCCGACCCGTCCCACACGAAACGCAGCACGATGGCGGCCGTGGCGATGGGGCCGTACACGCGGCGGAGGCCGCAGAGGAGCGAGATGGGGCCGCGCACCGCGTAGACGGCTGGGTACTGCAGCGTCTCGACGTAGGTGGCGCGCGACCAGCGCAGCTGCTGGAGCATGAGGTTGACTAGCTTGGAGGGCGTTTCGGTGACGGTGAGGACCATGGTGTTGAAGGTGATGCGCCAGTTGTTCATCATCAGGAGGGTGCTGAGGTGGCGGTCATCGTTGACGACCTTGTGAAGTCAGTATCTGGTTGCTGTGGTATCTGATGTTGAAGTGCTCACCGTCTTGTGTCCCATTGCCGTCTGCATATACCATTTGAACAACACCTGCTCCACGGCGCGGATCTTGAAGGCAGCGCAGGGTCCCGGCTGGCAGTCCGTCGCCTCGACAGCGCCAGTCTGGCCACGACAGAAGGCCAGCTCGCTCCAGTACGCAGCAGCTGTGACGGCAGCGATGAGGCTCGCATCTCCGTTGTGCGCCCCGAGGCTGGTGCAGCTGCCACCAACACCTGGGTCCAGCGCCATGCAGCCAATGGTCTGGTCGACAGTCTCCTCGAGCACGAAGGTGTCTGAATCACTGGACCAGACATAGCCGACGCCATGTTCCGCACCGAGGGCGGAAGTGAAGACGGTGTTGGTGAAAATGATGTCTTTCTTGCAAACATGCGGCTGTGTGACGCAAATTACCTGAAAGCCATCAGTCTCCTGGAAGGCGTCGTTTGCGTGCAGAATATCCGCAGCCATGACGGCAACTTGGTCCATTGCCCACTTCTCCGCCTCCTCTTTCGTTTCCTGAGGCAAGTCGTGGAACATCTCGAGCCGCTCATCATCGGATTCCACGCCGCTGAGGTCGTGCCCCAACGCCCGTGTTTCAGCCAGGCGCTGCGCGGCCTTGCCCAGCGGCTCAGGCAGAGTGATGACTTTGGCTTGTGGGTATACAGCAAGCACGCAGCGCACCATCTCGGCATCCTCATCGGCTTCATTGCCGTCAATGCCGACCAACAGGGTTATGGCGCCCGTGCAAGTGCTGTACGAGGCAAGGGCACGCTTGAAAAGCGCGCTGTCCTCGCGGTAGCCGACAACCGAGACAATGTAAGGCACGCCAGCCTTGTTCGTCTGCTTCTGGCCTTTCTCAGCATCGTTGCTTTGCTCGTCGAGATGGTGCTGCAATTTTTGAAGGCTGTGCTCGCTCTTGCGTCGGCTGATTTCCGTGAGTATGATTGACAAGAGCGTGTCCAGCGTCAATGGGAAGCAATGCGGGACTCTGCGTCTGAACTCGAAGATGAAAAGGAAACAAACAAGGATCCCAGCCAGAGAATTGAAGACTAGCTTTGCCAAAGTAGGCTTCGGGGGAGTGTAAGAAATGTGATCCAAGTAAGTCGACATGGTAGTGGCAGCCGCGACATTCCGCTGGTCGTGAATTAACTTTCAGTAGCGAGTTGCGCGCCTTTTTCTAGAAGGCTACCGGAACAAAATAATAAAACATGAGGGCTTAGGACCACTTCATTGGGAATTTGCAGACCCACCATTCCACGAATTCGCAATCCGACCATTCCATGGTGAACGAGGTCTCAGTTGCCTTGTGGGGCGCCTCATCTATTTAGAGGCCAAAGCGTCGACAGCCGTTGCAGATCAGTCGCAGAGGGCTGACAAGGTTTCTCAGCGAGTAGCTAGTGTCTTGACCTGAAAGTATAATACCCGCCTCTCCGTGGCGGCTCAATTACCTTAAAACAACATCGAAAGTAGTCGAAAAAGCGGCGCGCGACTTAAACCAGACCATTGACAGTCTCTATTCATTGTTAAAAAAAAGCGTACGTCACGCGCTGTACTTGCATGAGTCGTCCACGCTTAGGCCTACAACAGTAGGGAGTCATGTTGTTGGAATTGGTGCGATCGATGGTGGCCTTTGCGCACCATATCCGAGTCATCCGGCATTGCCTACGAGACCAGACCGCATGACAACAAAACAGCCATGGCAACCAGACTGAAGAAAGGAGAACTCCTCACTAGACTTTTCTCTTGATTTCCACCAAGATGGGTGCCGAAACGTACAACAAAGGCCGCATCTTTCGGCGTGCAAAAGGTGTTGCATATATCTTTCTACTGTTATGCATTCTGCTCACCCTACTTTCCCTGGACGGAAGCATCGGCTCAGTCACAGGACGCGGAAGCCACCGGCAAACTTTCGAGACAGCTTCTGGCGAGACTGAGAGCAACGAAAATGCCCATCCGAGCCACAGCCCTGTTGAACCAACAGCGCCCGCCGTCTTGGACCCAGCCGACGTGCTGATCATGGTCAAAACCGGCGCCACGAAGCTCTGGCAACGACTTCCCATCCACCTCTCCACAACCCTCTCCAACGCCACCCTTACCCCCAATGTAGTCTTCTACTCCGACTTCCCCACCACCATCGCCTCGCACCCCGTCACCGACGTCCTCGCCAACGCGTCCAGCCAGCTCAAAAACTCGCCAGACTTCCAGACCTGGCACGGCATCCGGCGTGCCGCCAACGATGACAACTGGTACCTGGACCAGCAGGGCGAGGAGGCGACGTACATCGAGGGCGCGTGGCGGCTGGACAAGTACAAGTTCGTGCCCATGGTGGCGCACGCGGCCCGCAACTACCCGGGCAAGGCGTGGTACGTCTTCATGGAGGACGACACGTTTTACTTCTGGGAGTCGCTGTACGCATGGCTGGCGTCGTTCGATCCGGCTGAGAATGTCTACGTGGGCGGGCCGGCGTCGCGGCTGGGCGAGGACTTTGCTCATGGTGGGAGCGGGTTCGCTTTGTCCAGAGGGGCGATGGAGAAGGCGTTTGGTGGGGCACAGGCTGATGCGAAGGCGTTGACGAAGTGGGATGAGTACAGCCTGGAGCATGGCTGTGGTGACCATATTCTCTCCCATGTCCTGGCGAGTAAAGGGGTCAAGCGGAGGAAGGACTTTGACGGAACGGGGCTCATGCCTATGCAGGCTTTGCCGCTGTGGCAGTTGCCGTTTGGGGGGTGGGATTGGTGTTCGCCGCTATTCACTGTGCATAAGGTGCATGCCCAGGATGTGTCGATGCTTTGGGAATGGGAGAAGGAATTTAAAGCAAAGAAGGTGCGCTTTGATCAAATATGACTTCACGAGTGCCTCCCTGCTGACATGAATTACAGGGAGGGTCTGTCCGCTACAAGGACGTTTTCGCGGATCTGGTGGAGCCGAAGCTTTCTGACGTTCAGGTTGAGTGGGATAACTTTTCGGATGAGAAGCGTTACTCTGCAACATTGGAAGACAGCGCAGGCGAGACCTTGACAGACCAAGAGCGCTCGGCCAAACCGTGGTTCAACAAGGCGGCCTGCGAAAAAGCCTGTCATCAGTGGGATAAGTGCCTGCAGTGGCGTTATATCGACAACGACTGCTACCATAGCAGTGTGGTAAAGCAGGGTCGCCGCATCAACTCTGGCATTAAGATGACAAGCGGGTGGATGCTACAAAGGATTAAGAAATTGAGGGAGAAGGACTGCGATGCTCTTCCATGGCCGGAGTTATGAGTAGCTCGCTACAAGGCACAAGCGAAGTTTTACATATAGTTGCAATTACATATCTTTCCTATTCCGCAATGCTAGTAGTATCGCCTCTGCTCTGCATCATTATAAGCCAGTCTATTCCTCTGCTGGCCGAGTTTCAGTACAAGCTTTGAATGATCAACTTGAGTTAATTCCAATCGGTCAACCTTTGTACGCACGTGTCACCTCGCGCCTCTCATGCCTTGACTACGCCGTATTTTACTCCTGTTCAGAGCACTCTAGGTACCCTCGCACAATTCCAAAAACTAATATGCTCTTTATGCATTCCGGTCTTAATGTGAGAGAGCTCTTAAGCGGAGCCGAACCCGTCCTCATTGGTTCAGCGCGACGTTACACAAATCATGACTCACAAATCTCAGCAGCTCTCAGCCTGCCACAGCTGGCATTGTCACTCGATCAACCTTGGATACTCTACCAGACTCTTCCGCAAACCTTTGAAAGTTGACATCTAGTCTCCCTGCGATCTGTTATTATTCACAGATTCAGCACAGGTTACCACAATCAAGCCTTGGTGGACGTATAGAGCGTTGGAACCACCATCAGCTCAGCCTTGCGGCCGGAAAGATAATCTTCAAATGGAAAATCCACTAACACTTGTGGAGTACTCAGAGCAAGAGCTTTGCCCGGGATGCAGAGACCTCCCGCCGGTCGACAGTTTTCAACATTACCAACACATCCTTCACGATACTTTCAAATCTTTCCTTACGTGCCCATGTCCCTTCTGCTTGTGGCTACAGAGAGCCCAAGAACCCGACCTGGCGCCAGAGTCCCGTAGCTCTCTGATTGAAGAAAATTCGGTAGTAGGACTGCTTCCAAACTTAGCCGCAACACCGCAGAGTATCAGCCTGGGCGATCAAATGTCTAACATGGGCAACCTCCATTCATCGAATTACGTCAATGTTTACTTCGAAGTATTCACTGACCCATGTGAGTTTATAGCCGAGAGAAAAGTAGGGTTGTTCCTCTAACAAGTAGCTTAAGACGATCCTTGCTCAAAATCGATACGTGGCCGCGAACCTTTTCACCCTGGCTCAGACCAAGCATTCGAGGCCATCAACAGGTCCATCGAGAACTGCATGAGTAGCCATGAGTCGTGCCAGTCCCCCGCCGAGGCTTATCTTCCCTCGTACATCGTCGATGTCGATCTCCCGGGGCAACAGGGATGCCGTCTCGTGCGGACCAATGGGCAGGAGAAGGGTCGCTATGCGGCGCTGAGTTATGTCTGGGGCGTGCCTCTCTCGGAGCAGCCCGTTTACTTGAGCAGAGACAGTGAGGAGAAGCTAAAGCGAGGAATTCCGGAGGCGGAGCTTCCGCCGACTCTCAAGGACACCGTTCACGTCTTGCGGAAGCTCAGAATAAGGTATCTGTGGGTAGATGCACTGTGCATCGTGCAAGATGACGACGCTATGAAAAGAGTGGAAATCGAGAAGATGCACAATATCTTCGGCAATGCGTTTCTTACTATACAGGCGTCTCGGGCCAAGTCCATCAGAGAGGGTTTCCTGCACGAAAGGCCATCGCCAGTCCTCCCGCGCCAGAAGCTTCGGTACAACGACGCTAGTAGCCAGGAGCCAGCTTTCATTTATATGAGGGCTGCTTCAGTGACGTATCAGGAGGGAGCCGCCGGCACACGTGCTTGGTGTTTCGAAGAAGGCGTCCTTTCGCGACGAGTCCTGCAGTATGGCCCGGAATGCACAACCTACGATTGCTTTGCCGGAAGGCAGTCGGACAACGGCATGTGGGACAAGCAAGGGACATACACATCTTCGGGACCCACCTTCTTCTATCCAGGCCCCTGGTACCGCGGCTCGCGCGTTCCCAACGACGAGAGAGTCAATGATCCCAGAATGAATATACTCATAAGGTGGTACACCGCCCTCGACTACCACTACACGCCGCGTTTCCTCACTAAGGAACGAGATCGCTTGGCCGCAATTGCTGGTGTTGCCCGCCGTATCAAAGCCGATATTTGCGGCGAATTTCTAGCCGGGCTATGGTCATCTGACATGCTGTGGGGTTTGATGTGGTCCACTCGCTTAGGGTTAGGCGTCAAGTTTGTCAACAGGGACATAGCGGAAGAATGGAGATGTAAATGGGGACCACGAACAATGATGGTGCGCCCGAAAGCGGAGAATCGCGCACCTTCGTGGTCTTGGGCGTCTGTTGATGGGCCAACGCATTATGATATTTCGAAACGGCGATCTATAAGGCCCCAAACTGTTGCGGAAGTCCTACAGTACCCCAAGCCAAACGCTGGAGGCTATCCTGGAGAGTTGGATGATTATAGGCTCGTTCTTTCTGCATCTGTTCGACTGGCCTGGCTTGTTATGAATGAGGTTGCAGGACGAAGGGAACACCTGGGACGACTTACCGGGGGTACTCGGAATCTTGTTGACGAAAACGGAAAGCATATTGCTCACGCGAGATTGGATATTGACGACGATGTGCTGGAGCGGGTTTGGTGTGTTCTTATCTTCAACTTGATGGGACTCCTCCTTGTCCCGGCTGGAGGAGACAGTGAATCATTTCGGCGGGTTGGTGTATTCTTTCCGCTAGTACCTTGGGATGTGGAAACCAAGACGGAAATATGCATTCAGTAAGCAGCTTGGAGCGGATGTATTTCTATAGAGGTTTTGTAGGGCAATGTGTGCTCATTGTGTCGATATCTGCTAGGATCCGGCATTAGCCACTTTTTCAAGTGGAAGTAGTGGGTAATGGGCCGTGCTCGAATCCTCGCCAGGGATGGTAGAGATGTGACCGATTAAAGGCCACTGGAAAGTCGATCCCGGTCAGCTGCAGGGGAGAAGTCCACCGAAAGAATATAGATGCGCATCCTACCTGGCGTAGATGCTAGATCCCTCTCCGTAGGTTAGAGTCTGCTGTGGCGTCTGCACAGACCCAGGGGTTGAGCGATGCGGTGTATATCCATTCCGGCCTCCGTCAACCGCTCAAGTAGTGCAATTTCGAAAGAATGTTTTGCAGCCGCCTTCTCCAGTCCAACACCTTGCAGTTTTGCTGCCAGCTCCAACTCAGCCGAGAAACCTGTGTCGTCGCTAGGCCCGCATTCCCCGTGTCGTATCAGTAAACGGGCCGACTGAGTATCTACTCCCATATACAATTGCATAGCGTTGCGGTGAGGCGTTAGCTTAAGAAGGTGCTTCTAGGGGCATGCGCTAGATCTAATCGTCAACTTGATCGACGTGCCGATCGCGAAGTTAGAAGCGCCTAGCTACTTAAAAGGGGCGAGCCAAGCTGCCCGGCAAGCAGGATCCTACGCTAGAGATCAGCTAAGCGAATACTCCCCCGCTGATCACAGCTGTAGCTGACTCTGCTATTCGTAAAGCTGAAGGAATAGTCGGCATTATCGAAGTATAAGAAGGCCGCAGCAGTCTCAGCACCGTCATCACCACACAGTTCCAATCCTTAAACGCCTACTCTACAAGCGTCTACTCATTGATAAGCAATATGCGTTTCTTCTCCAAGCTCGTTACTTCTCTGCCCCTCATCGCCGGCATCTGCTGCACCACCTCTGCTGCAGCCATTCGTCGCGCTGTTGACTCGGAGGGCCTGGCCTGGAGCATTCTTGATCTCGCTGACATGTCCCACAACGTGACCGAGATCCTTTATCACTGCGAGGAGAGAGACAAGAACGATCCTTTTTGGCAAGATGTAGGAAGAATTCCACCTTCCGACGAGAACCACTCATGCACTAATACCTATCCTGTCGCAGCTTGTCATTGAGCATCTTACCGACCTCACCCAGAACACAAAAGACCTTGACATCGCCATGAATGGCACGCAGGCATTCACCGATGAGGCCGCCCAGAAAGAGGTTTGCGATAGCTATGACAGCGTGAGCCATCGTATCGCCACCGCTTCCATCGCAAGCGCTGACATGCTACATAGCTCTTCACGACCCAAAAAGAGACTATGGATGTGTTTGTTGAAAAAGGGTACTTCCGTATTACCGATGCAGGTGTAAAAATTGAAAGCTTGCTGGAGCAGCTGGCTGGAGCCGAAGATGTGAGAGCTTCTTGTATTGTCCTGCCTCTCTCGTTTAGATGCTAACAACGCGTAGACCCTGGGATCCAAGCTAATCAATGCGGTCCCTTTTTGTGCGGATGCTGCCACCGACGACAAGAAGAACCTCGATACTGCTGTCAAAAAGGCAATCTGCGTCTTCAAGTTTGGTAAGAATTGTTGAACAAGGCGGAACGTTGTAATGAAATGTGTTCGACCACATGGACAAGTAGTTTAATGAATGCTTTGCGTCGACAGGTGGCTGTTGGGCGTGTATGATATTCAAAAGTAATGTACGGAAGTTTGGAAATCAAAGTGGTACAGAATTATGTATTCCATCAATTTTTATGGTATCTTTTTACCAAATTCGTCAAGCATTAGATAATTTCCTGATTCTTTCTCAGCTCCTGCACGGTTCCACGAATACCGAAGGCCGCATGATCAATGCCATCTGTGCGGCCAACAACACCGAACTGCAGTTTCAGCTTCTCGAAGTTCCGGTCGAGCGGCTGGGCCCCCAAGCATTGCCCCACCGCAACGCCATCCAAGTCTGGGTTTCTGGTAGTCAGTAGGATGCTGGAAAAGGACACATCAGCACTGTAGCCATTCGCAACAAGCGCCCAGCCGCCAACAAGAAGTGCCACAAACGCAACAGCCACACCAGCAACGTATGAAACGAGCAGGTCTAATGGACCATATCGCCAGAAATTCTTGGGCGAAGTAACCCGTATATCCGTCATCATATTCCCGTTCAGAAACTCGCTGCTCAACAAGCTCAGGGTCAGGTTCTGAAACAAATCCTCCACAGCTACCGCCACCGAGTTGTTGCGGCACATCCACGGCGAGACGAGTTTGTCCAGCGGCGGCTCTCTGCTGCCGAATGCATTCCAGCCGGCCAGGACTTCAGGGCAGGCCATCAAGCCGGTCTTGACAACGGGAAGATCTGATCCGAACATTCCGGAGGATGACAGCCCCTGCCGGATTCCGACCTCGCCGGACAATAGGTCGGACATAGCTAGGTACATGGCGAGGTATGCCCTGCCTCCCGGCGGGAGCGATGTAAACGCGACCGAGGTATTGAAGTCCATCGTAGACTCGTAGGCGAGATCCTGGATCAAAGTGGTTTGCACGCCGTCGTTGAACTTGAATTTCGTAGTGTAGGATGCGTTCCAAAGCTGGCAGCTGATATTATGGGGGTCTCCTCCCACCGACTTCCCTCCGCCGGCCCGGATGAAGAACAGGTTCTGAGAGTACACCGGCTTCGTCGCCTGCCAGTAGTAGTAGTTTGCGGCAAAACTACTGTCAATGGTGTCATCCCACAGCGTCTGTAGAGAAGTGCAATTGTTGCAGTTGCCAACGGGCTGGCCGTTCTTTTTCGCATTTGCCAAGGACTCACACTTCAGTGCGGGTGCATAGAACTGCAGTGTGAAGGATGAGTTGGGAAATGGGGCGGTAATGGGAATGATGCCGATCGAAGAGGAAACCGCCGACAAGAGGCGGGTGACTGCTGGGGATGCCTCGTTAATGTAGCCGACTCCCATGGAATCGGACCACAGTGTCTCATCCCTAGCAAAGTCTACCGAAGGCACTCGTCCGTTGGTTGTATTTGTGACAGACCTGGATTCGACGGAGATGGTACCCGGCGTAACGGTGGCGATAAGTGGCATAAACCTGTGGACGTTAGCAGTGGGCGGAACTTGGCTGGGCCCTGAACACTCGCCATGATGCCAGTGCAAGCAAAACGAGTAGTTTCGCTTTCCAGAGAACTTCAAAATTTATAAACGCCAGCGGGTTTTTCGTCATCGAAAACATGGCATCGATACTGCCGACAGCCATGGCTTCCGTTCTCGCGACCGTCCACAGGTACTGGGTGAAGGCAACACCTACGGAAGCTGCGAGTGCTGCTTTGACCAAAAATGCCAGACCTGTTCCGATTCGAATAGTCCATTCTTGTTGACTGGTGGAAGTAACGAGTGTGCCGTCCAGCGAGTGGTAGAAGATGTGGTGGCCGACGGCGAAGGCGATTCCGGCAACGAACAGGAAAACCATGAGCACTGGAGCTCTCCAGTGAATACCCCACCTCGCCATCGGGATGTCCGATTTTGACGCTGACTGATACGCAGACATGGCTGCCCCGTGGAAGCTGTAATCTGCCAGCCTTGAAGTTGCACGCGCGCTATGCAAAACGGCGGGTGCGAGATTCACCCAAACCTGAGGCAACGATGAGAATGAAAAAGGAAAAGGAAACCAACAAATACTCAATTAGTACATATGCCAGCGAACCTCTTATATGAAATTATTGCCGTGTAAGCGTGTAAGCCAAGCTAAAATTAGTCTGATGGGCGCGAAGGCTTGCAGCCTTACAGATGGCGTTTGACGATGCACGAATCCGGCGCTTTGGCCCCCAACACAGCCTCTAGTGCTGACATTTCTCTGAAAATTTCTCACGTGTCTCTATTTGGCGTTTTTAGCCCCTTCGTAGTCGGCCCGTAATGGCTCCGGCAACAAACGCTGGTCTGAACGGCAAACTCGCTTTGCTGGACGGCAGCGTACCTAGATGGAATCTTCTTATAGCTTAGGCTGTCCTTATTTTCTTCTCTATCGGCTACAAAAGGTGGGGCTACATCAAAACTAAGCCCTGCCGTTACAACACATTTAACAGAAACTAGCTCGATATAGTACTATCTTATGTTCACTCTGGCTCCTAAACCGACAGCGGTCGACATCGTCAGATCCCTCGCTTACCGATACTTCGAGTAGGGCTCCCATTGATCAGCGAGAGCTTCCTGCACAAAAAGCCACCGCCACGTCTCCCACGTCAAAAACTGAACAATCACGGCGACAGCCGGCAGACAGGAATTTTTGCTTAATGAGGACTGCAGCGAGAGCAATGCACGTATGACGAAACCGATAAGCTCTTTTCGCAATCTGTAGCTGTTCAGTCCTCCAGCGTCCAGGGCTACCGCTGTATAATCAATTCGAGGCCTAGTAAAGTTCTGGGTTGCTCATAGAGTTGCTTACTCATCTGGGAAGACGGCACGTGCTCTGGTGTTATGCGGCACAGTTGATGAACGCCCGGGATCTTTTTGTTTTGTTTTGTTTTCGTGTTCTCGGTAAAGTGTCAGATCAACTGCAAACCCCGCACCTGTTTGCAGCATCCACATTCTTCCATTCACCCATCCATCAACACCAGTCCCAAGCTTCTGCACAGTTCACATCTTCGGTAAGTGCCGTATTGTGACATCCATCTCCTTGTATTGTTTCAACCTTTGCCCAGGCACAACCTCCGCCGCAGCCTCCGCTCACGCCACGCACTCAGAACTCCATTACCATGGCCCTCGTTCTAGCTCCAGACGCAGATCTCGATAATTCGACCATCTGGACGGCTACTACACCTCCGGAGAGCGTCGCTGAGGGTCTTCCGGATAATGAGAGCCAGGCAGAGGGTCTTCGAGACGATGAAAGCCAGGCAGAGCCCGCCAGACTCTCTACGCCAGTACCCCGTCCTGGCCATACCTTCCTGATCAGATCCGTTTCATCTGGAGAGGTAATAACACTTGTTAATGGCCAAATCGTTTTGGCTCATCCAGATGGCCGCGAGTCCCATTGGGTGTGCGAAGATGTTGGCGGGTGGTTTGGCTTCCGAAATGTTGTCTCGGGAAGATTTCTGGGTCGCAACTGGGACTGGGACTTGTGTTGTTCGGCCCCATGGGGTAAGGAATGGGAGATCTTTCGCGCTCATCAACTGCCCGAGGGAGGGACTGTCTTGTTGATGACGCATTGGTGGACGGAACGGCCTGTGGGAATCAAAAGGGAAAATGGGGCAGAAAGGCTGGCGATGATCGAAAATTGGCAGGCAGATGCGGCAGTCTGGGAGTTTGTCGAAGTGCAGTAGCATATGGCTCTTGGCGTATTTGGACTGTTTGGAATGAGTCTTGGGATGCACGCATAGCATTGCGGTCGGCGTCGATTATTTGTAGCGATTTTTACGGCGTTAAAGTCCTTACAGAACTACGTTGGAATGGCCATATATTTAAGCAAAGAAAGGACTAGGATGTCTAATTTTGACAGTTCTCGAGTATTGCTGGAACTAGTCTGGATTTGATACTCAAGTGAAGACACAGTGTAGTTTGTGGATGCGCAGCTTCTACCTAATATCGTCGGATTCGGCCCGGCTTCCGAGACTTCAGTGTAGAAAAGAGACGGAAAATGATGCCTTTTCAAGCCTGCTGTGGCTAGAAAACAAATCAGAATCTACCCCGCATCATCGGTAGGAGGCTCGGCAAGTCACCTGAATCTGGTAGGCACCGCGCCTAGTCTGGCAAGATATGCCGTAGAAAGGATGTATTTAAGGCCCACTACCACACACCTAGCTACAGTATCGACGTCGGAAAATTTCGATGCGCCGTCAGCGGCCCAGTACACAACAAATTTGACTAAGACTATCACGATGGACAACATCAATTGGAAAGACTTTGGGATTATTGATCCAGAATTTAAAGCTGTACTGTTCACGCCATCACATGACAGCTAGTAACCAGTTACTTACAAGTCAATTGGATCAGTTCCTCGAGAAGGTTGGGCCACCGCAAAAAGACTTCGACGACCCAACGGTACCAACAGCCACCATCCGCGCGAAGCAGGCTGCGAATCCCAGAACCTCGGTCCCGGGAGTCAACGTACCAATAACCATGGACGGTGTTGAGAAGCGACACATTGACATACCCGTGCGTGATGGTAACAGTATCCCAGCACTCCTTTACCAGCCAAAGAGCCCACCAAATGAGGGAAGCCCATTGATTGTGGCATATCACGGCGGAGGTTGGTGCGTGGGAAAGCCAGAAAAGGAGGAAGTGAACTGGTGAGTGAAATTGCCTCCATCCTTCTGCAACAGCCAGCCCCGTTATCCCTTGCAGCACTGAACAAGTGGAATGATCCAGCGTCAATGCCGTTCTACGCCTGGGAGCCGTCTGTGTCAGTGTGGATTACCGCCTCGCACCAGAGCATCCCTTCCCAACGCCACTCAATGACTCCTGGGATGCTCTCAGATGGGTGAGTACTCACACAAGTAAACTGCCAGGCCGAATTACGCTAACACATACAGGTCGCATCCAACACATCAAGTCTCCGGGCCGACCCTTCTCAAGGCTTCATCATCCATGGTGAATCCGCTGGCGGCAATATCGCGCTTGTCCTGGCGTTACTTGCACACAGTGAGAAGCTTGATCCGCCACTCACCGGCATCTCTGCCTCCATCCCAATGCTTGGCCTCTCGCCGGACGCGGTACCGGAAAAGCTGAGGGCGAAGGTTCAGAGTTATGAGCAGAATCGAGATGCACCGGCAATGGATACCCAGGCTGTGCGGTACTTTGTTGGTGAGAATTTTCATGTCGCAAAACCCCTCCAGCAGTCGTTAATGCGAAGTGTAAAGAGAACTACGATCCGGATATATCGTCACCGGTCTTGAGTCCGTTTAATTGGAAGACGGGCCATCGAGACTTGCCCCCTGTGTTCTTCCAAGTTTGTGGTATGTCTTTCCTACTCATAGCTAAAAAGAAAATTTCCTCACTGAGAGAAAATGACTCACGTTTTACAGGTCTGGATCCGCTTCGCGACGAAGCTTTGTTATACGAAAAACTTCTCAGAGAAGGTGGGGTTCGCACCAAATTGGAAATTTATCCCGGCGTGCCTCATGCCTTTTGGGCGTTCTTTCCCGATCTGATTCTTTCTAGAAGGGCGGTTGAGAAGACGGCAGAAGGATTTGTATGGCTGCTGAGTGGGGGACTGGAATAGCGGAGTAGCCAACAGGGCAGGCTGAACGAACCTAAAGGTTATTTGGAAAGTCCGGCGCAGGAGGACTATCTAAGGCTTGTTCTGAGTATGAACGTTCGCGATCTGCTGATGCGGCCGCGGGGTAGATTGCCTTTTCGAACGTAGTTTTGGTGAACATCCCCGCACCGACTCAAAAGTGCCTCGCCACTGAGTGCTCGAAGTTAGTAGAATAAACGTGCTGCATGTTCTTCCCCACACAGTAAAAAGGTCCTGCAGTACGGCGCGGGGTGCACAACCTAGGAATCTTACAGAATGCAGCCGAGTCAGTAAGCATCTATTCTAACACTAAGACATCGGTTTCTGCAGAGTGTCAGCACTAAGCGTTTTCGGTGTACCATATCTACCACACATTGACGCAGCCGGGTTTCGCCTTTATTATTCTATATGCTTCTAGCAGGCGTAACTATCTAATTGTCCTTTTGAAACGAACTTAATCTAATGGCATTTTTGGTAAACCTTTAAAGGATGCTGCTGGCAATCGCTGCCAGAAAAGGAGGAGCCAAATGTGCTGAGCCATATCCTTTAGCCTTTCGCGCAAGTCGAGTAATCTGAAAGGCAAGACTATAGCTGCTAACTCGTGCGTGGCTGGGCCACGTCACAGCGTCACACATCCCCGCCATTATCTCTGCTTTACAATCAATTACGTCACCCTCAGCCTCAACCGGTCAGCCAAACCCGGTATGATCATTGGTGCATATTTGTAGAACCCACATCCTGCATAGCAGCGAGAGCAGCCACATACCTGGATCCCATGGCCTGCATGAGCTGAGAGTCCTGGGTTTTCGGTTGCGTGACTGAGCTCGATCCGAGACTTTGGGAAGTCGCAGCTGGGACTTGTTGATAAATAGCCCAGTCCACCAACTGGTTTTTAAGTTGCAATCCAGAGAAAAATTCTACGGTGGCTCATGATTTTATCTCTTCACAAGAGCCACGGAAGTCCCAAATGGATGATGATTCTCCAACTGCCCACTCATCCCGTCCCAGTACATTTTGGGAGCAATTGACTCACCTACAGAATGACCCTGCAACTGCATCCGGTATGGAGATGGTTCCAGGGGACTCACAACTTCGCTTTCGTCCTTCAGGTGGCTCTCAGCAACCTCTCTCGTCGGCCTCTACTGTACATATTCCAATTTCTTCAGCGCATCATAAGAACGAACACTAATTTAAACATCTCACAGTCACACTACACGTCACATGGAATTTCAACCTCGTACCTAAGTCTTACGAGTAGCTATGCAATTTCCATGTCCAGACACATCGACGAAATCATGCACAAGTGCATGGAGATTCTCCCCCTACTGAATGAAAACACCCCAATCCCGAACGAGGAACTTAAACAGCTGAGAACGATGAGCGACGAGTCTTATCTTACCAGTGACCTCAATAGTTGGGTATGGGGAAGGGCCTTGGAACAGATAATACACTCAGATCCAAGGAACGGGAGAGTAGCAGGTCATAACCGGAATCCTTTTCTTTTCTTGATATTCCGTGCATTTGAAAGATATGTGGAAGATCTGGAAGACTGTGCTAAAATACTTCTATTTTTCCCGTACTTCTCTCGGACTAGAAGCGGTCCGCGTAATCCTAATACGTAATATAAAAGCTTCTGACCCTTTAACCTACTATGCTTGTCCAACCGTGGTCAACAGCAATACACGCTCCATTGATGGCATTCGATCCCGCTCCATGGGCCAGATACAAGCAGAAACCTGCCACATCTTCAACACGGCACTGTTGCGGCCTGCTTCCGGATAGAATGTCCATGACCTTCCGTCGTCCCTCAGCATTGCAGCCTGCCTGGAAAGAGTCGCAAATGTTTGTGTCCATCATGCCGCACAACAATGCGTTACAGCGGATACCCTTGGCACCGTAGAATGAAGAGGTGCTCTTCGTCAATCCGATCAAACCGTGCTTGCTTGCCGTGTACGCGGTACCTGTGACGCTAAGGTCAACACCTGCATTTCGGTACGTTTAACTGTTATACTTACCCGCAAGCCACCCAGCCTTTGCTGATCCAGAGGCAATATTAATGATGCACCCATTGGAGTTCGGCTGTTGCAGCATGGCGCGCAATGCCAGCTTGGTCATCATGAACGGCGCCGTTAGATTCACCGACAGAACCTTATCCCAGAGCTCGAGGTCGAGCTCGGCGACCGGATCAAAGCGGTCCATGATGGCGGCATTGTTGACCAGAACGTCCAGGGTGGGAAATTTGCCCGCGATTTCGGTGAACAAGTCTTCTACTTCGGCCGGGTTGGTGATGTCTGCTCGGACCGCCGTGAGGGAACCCGCACCCGCCAACTCAGTCGAGGTCTCCTTCAGTCGTTCCTGGTTAATGTCGCACATGATAACATTGGCGCCGGCTTTGAGGAACGCCGTGACGATGGCCTTGCCCAGTCCACCAGCACCTCCAGTGACGAGACAGGTCTTGCCAGCCAGGGTAGTGGGCTCAGCCGCAGGGAGTGGCATTGCAAAACCTGGAAGTGAAATCGATGGTCGAATTTTGGGGACTGTCAAACGGGAATAGATTGACCAATGGCTTGAAGGAGATTCTTGTCGGCTTTAATACTGGTACTCCTACAAGACAAGTCACCCGATCACCACTTCTATGCCAGGATGAGCTCTTGGTGATTCTCCGTTACTAGACTACCGAAGGATGAGTGGGCCGGGAGGATGCGACTTTCTCGGATCGTCAAATTGCGTCTCGAGTGTCAGCCATCCATTTTGCGGTTTGAGCCGTGTCATCCAACTCACCGATGCCGCGACAACGGCAGTTACATCAGCGGCCGATTATTTTGGCGCTCCGGACGCCTCTTACACGGGGATATCGGCTAGTTTTTCGTTGCGATGACCGTCGTGCGCCTTCCCCACAGGTTTCCCCCGTGCGTTTTCCCCGTGCATTTTCTCCGTGCGTAAAAGTTCGGCGACTTTCCCAGTTGGCCGACAGTACATCGGAATTATCCAGGCCAAGATCGCGTTCCTTCGATATCTCGTCTCGACCTACTGGTTCAAACAGACCTGTACATTTACACCTTCCTTTAGTATTCATCTACCTCAAGCTACCGTGCCCTGCTATGATGCCATCAATGTGGATGAAAACTCCTTTGGTGGCTGACGGAAACGCTCTTGTCCCATCTAAAACCATATAAAGTTGTGCTTCTGGTTGCCTCCGCCTTTCGAACCCCCCTGTTGTGCTGGTTGTCTGGCCGTGGCTTTAACTCCACTGAGGTGTTCTCAGGGGTTGATGTTGTTGGTTGGTGGAACGGGCACATTCACTCCGATGTTCGCCTACGCGCGCTCAGACCCGCTGTACCGATGGCATTCCCCTTATTGTGGGTCCAACACTCTTATTCGCATTCAGCACCGGGCCGTTCCTCTTGTTGTCCTTGGCGCCCTTGAACAGGACATTCGATGACTTTGCCTCTCGCGAAAGAAGGGTTGCCTGCTGAACTTTGGGGGCAGAGAGAAGGTCAAGTGGAAAGTCGGGCCGTGGTACGCGTGGAGAGGCGCGGGGTTAAATTCTGCCAACCCCAACACCGCTCGGACTTACGGTTAAGCTCGATTTTAACGATGAATCCGAGAAAACTGATTTCTACCAGCGCAAGTCAAAAAGGTCAACCCGAGCATTTGCTACCCTGTCTCGGCCATGTGGCTGGGTCCGTAGCATGACATGTGGCTCAAGTTTGCATTTAAAAGTATAGCTGGACGATGTTGTAAGTTTCTTCACGAGCCGCGAGTTTTCGATTCCCTCGTCCGTTTCGGGGCAATGGAGATGTGGGTCCCGGGTCGCCAGGGGAAACGTAACAGTGCAGCGGACGATCCGCCAATCGCGCTAATAATATCTTTCCCTGCAACTGCCGTGTACACAGTACGGTCAGGCACACCGGTCCTTGAGAACCAGACCTCTCCCATCGCGTGAGGCGATCCTGCAGGATTCCCGCGCGTCGCAGCCAGACTGCGGCTGCCGGCTCGTCAACAACGGCCTTGGTCCGTGACAGTCTCAAAATCGGCGGAGAAGGTTGTACTTCTCTAATGATGTGATCCACTTTTCTACCTAACATTGGGCGTTTAGTACACCTGATATGGCCTTCGCCGGACCGACCCTGAGCGGGAATGGCACGCCGGGACCCGTGAGCCGAGATCCATGTAATTTCAGAATAGGGGTTTGTAGGGTATCTTATGGAAACGAAGCAACCGGCATCGTGAAGGTGGCGTTTGTGGAGTCCTATCGCGGGCAGCAGGATGCCCATGTTACCGTCACCGATCAACGCGAGCGATGACGACTCATTCAGCCTCAGTTATTCTGGGAACAGGTCTGCCTACGCGCCAGTCAAGCGTTCATACACTATATAATATTTCCCAGATTTAACCGTGTCGGTGATGGGCTACAGGAAGTAATAATGTTGTCTTCTGGCTCGCCCTCTCCAAGCATTCCGTCGCCGCAGCAAGCCGCGTCCGCCCCCCGCCGCCGGTTGGCATGCGATAGATGCCATGCCCAAAAACTACGGTGTTTGCGTACCGTCAATCCGGAGATTCAAGTGTGCGACCGATGCTTGCGCCTCTCAGCTGAGTGCGTGTACAGCCCTTCGTGCCGCATCGGCCGGCCACGTCGACGTCCCTCTGGAGCGACAACCAACAGTCGCAAAAAGCCCGAACCACGCAAGCTCTCGATACAAAAAGATGACGGCCAACCTCCGGACCCACAAAACACTCTACCGCAGTGTGCTGCAGCATCGACTTTGGATTCACAATCACCAGAGATGGTTTCAGCCATGGGCTTTGATATAAACGACGTTTGCAACTACGGCTTCCTCGGATTTCTCGACAACTCTGTGACGCTTGGTCCTGTAAACACTGCGCCAGTAGATCCGGGAGCGCTCCCTTGGACTTTCTTCGACGGCTTCAGCGAACGCACCGGAATCCAGCCTGAAGGATATCCATGTGACCCCGGGCTGGAAGACTACGTTAGAGAATTGGCGGACCTGAGCGTTGTCCTGCACACCCAGCTGGAGGCCGTAGAGAGGGCAAGCGGGATCTCTCCGCAAGGGGGAAACGTTTTGGTTTCACGGCTCCGAGACTACCCCATCACGGCCATGTTTGAGAATACGCAGAAGCTCGTGTCCATTGCCACAAGGCTAGCCGACACTTCGACAGTGTCCGAGGCCCGATACAACCCGACTTGTGGAATCGATGGGGGCGCAGTTCATGTCCCCATCAACGACTTTTCTGGATCCGTGGGTGGCCAATCGTCGGGGAGTAGTGTCGATAGCTCGTCTCCATTCGACGCCTTAACTGAGCACGGCAGCGCGTGGTCGACCAATGCGACGCCTTTTCCTACTAGCACTGAGCTTCCAACCCCACATCGGACTACCACTCCTACTGCGAAAGTCGACACTTCGACGGTACTACTCCTGTTGTCCTGCTATACTGCACTCGTCCGCCTGTACACGAGCTTTTGCTCAGACCTAAGGGAGCTCCTGTTTTCCGGTCCGCTAATGGGATTGAGTCGTCTCTTTCCTGATTTGAAACTAGGATCCTTCCAGGCCCTGACCGGGATGGGTATGGACGCTGTACTAGTCGCGCAGGCAAGCACGCACCTGATAGATCGACTTCACAAGGCGCGTAATGACTGCGTCGCCGCTGGGTTGATCAATTCATCTCTATTGCATGCCGTACAGATTCAAGAGGAGATAGATGCACAAAAGCACGGGCGGTTTACGTATAAAGACTTGGCTGGATTGATGAAGGATATTAGGAAACTCTTGCAAACCAGATTCTCCTAAAAATTAATTTAAAATTCCTTTTCCATGACTCTTCTTGATCTTCTGCAAGATGTGAACCCTTACGACGTCTGCTGTTGGATTGCAGAGCCTGGAATTTGGTTCTCCCTGGATGGACGATGTTCTGCTTGCTGAGAGTATGGCAGTAAAACGGTATGCAGTTGCAATAATTAAAGTGAGATTATTGCGAGAAAAACATTGTTCGAAAATTGCCATTGTTCTTCTATCAGATGGCGGATTGGGAGGTGGTAGTTATGTTGATTGTTAGCTTGAGACTGCGCGCTGTAATAGAAGTACAGCTGGACGATACAACTCCCTCTCTTCCAAGAAACGCAAGATGACTATCTACACCAGAAGTGTCACTCGAACCTTCAAGAAAACCTCAACTGCGCACACAAGGATTGTCCAGACCCCAAGCATAAAGTTACTCTTGTGCAGTGTCCCTCCTGTTGCAGGCCGCTTCGGGTCGAATCGAACGAGCTGGTCGGTAAAGAAGACGGTCCAAAGCCCCATCCAGCTTATCCACAGCCACAAAGAGTGGAAGTGGTGCAGAAACAGAGGGATACACGCCAGAACTGGCGCGACGAGCGCTAGTAACATATAGTGGATGTTTTGTCCTGCAAGGTTGTAAGACGAATTCACGTTCATCTTGCGGTCATCCTCCACGTCCTGGTAGCTGTATGCGGTATTGAGATACATGGTCCAGAAGAAGACCATCGTGCAGAGTGGAAGGCATTGGCGGGTTGTTTCGGTAAAGGACTGGTGTTGGCCATTAATGGCCGCCCACCCTGGAATGGCGGGCCAGGCGATGGTAAAACCAAGAATGACCTGCGGGTATAAATAAAACCTCCGGGCTATCGGTCGCTTGCCGTAAGGGTAAATAATTGAAGCCACCATCACCGGGACTAGATGCTTCCATCTGTATGTGGTACCGTTAGTAACTCGACTTGCCTTAAGGCCGATGATGAAATGGCAAAGGAAATGAGAAGGAAGACTGCTCCCAAATACTTACACATCCTTCCCATTAAGCATGATATGTAGGACCAACCAAGAAGCGGCGACCTGCAGCACCATCCATATCATAGCCTCCGTCGTCGTGACCATTCCAGTTACTAGAGGACGGTTCTTAGTTCGAGCAACATTGGCGTCAATGTCCCGATCAACCCAGTCGTCCCAAACCATCCCAGCGCCACAGAAAAAGTATGCGGCAAGGAAGCATAATGCCGTCTGTCGAAACACAAAGGCGAGGGACCCAGCCGAAGGCTGGTCAGCGATCTGGGCTGCACCAGCGAGCAAAGCGGACCAGACTGTATTTCATACAATTTATGTCAGCTCAATGCTATGTTCTGTGCTGGAAGGAGGTGAATGAAAATACGTACCACCTGCAAAAGTGGCAAATAGAGGGTTATATTTGGTGAATCGTGAAAGAACAAGAAGATGTTTAAATAGTTGTCTTTGACCTGCGGCTGCCATGGTTGAACACTTGAGCTGAAGGCTTATCAAGGTCAAAAAAGCTAGCGGGAAGTAAATCGATGTTTTGGATTGATGTGCGAATTAGACGGTGTTGCAAGTTAGACTTAAAACTTATTATACACAGAGAGCTACTAAGAAAGATTCTTTGCAGATTGCACCGAACAGACGAGCGAATCCCCGTATGGCTCGCATCGCAATCCAAAACTCATCTTCGGCCCTCACTATGCGCATTCGGAATGGCAGGAACTGTGATTATGGCGTAGATCAGAACGACATGCAGCTGGTGAGGCGAAATATGATTGGCCAAAAATTAGCCGAAGAAGTGCTTCGGACGCCGACGTTGATCTTTAGGCTGCGCCTCCTGGACTGTGCGTTGAAAGCTCGCCGACTCTGCAGTACCGGAACCAAACCAAATCAGATCAATACCATGACGTGTACTTTGTTGGTAAATCTCTCAAGAATGACATCTTTTCCTTTTTTCTTTAAAAAAAGAAGGTCCCGTTCCATTGCACTGACGGAATTACATCCGTATCAGTTCCTCTTTCACGACCGCCACGCTCATCAACTGAAAGATGGACAAAGACAAGTTCAGAGTTGTTATTGTTGGAGGGTCCATTGCTGGCCTTACACTCGCTCACAGCTTACACAAAATTGGGGTTGACTACATCGTCCTGGAGAAACGAAAGGAGGTTGCGCCGCAAGAAGGAGCGTCCATCGGGATTCTACCCAACGGAGCACGGATCCTAGATCAACTCGGAATCTACGACGATATTGAGCCAATTACGGAGCCTTTAGGAGTCACGCATATCAATTATCCCGATGGCTTCCATTTCGTCAGTCATTACCCGAAGAAAATGCATGAGTAGTGTGTATGACGTGTCCCAATACAGCACTAGCCCAGTCACGCTGATATCTTTCATTGTTCCACAGTTTTGGCTATCCAATAGCCTTCATGGACAGGCAAAAGCTGCTGAAAATCTTATACAACACCCTTCCGGACAAGACCAAAATCCAGCTTAACAAAACCGTTTCAAGAATTGATCATCGCTTAGGACCCAAAAGCAGCGTCCAGGTACACACCGCCGACGGAGGTGTGTACGAGGGTGATCTCGTCGTCGGTGCTGATGGAGTGCATAGTCGAGTTCGAGCAGAGATGTGGCGAATGGCCAGCTCACATCCGCAAAATGAGATCTCGGAGGGGGAGAGGAACGGTACGTCTGTTTCAAATAAATGAGACCTCTGCTGACAGTGTGTCCAGGTATGACGACACAGTATGCCTGTGTTTTCGGCATCTCCAGCGGAATTCGTGGATTAAACACTGGCGGGCAAGTCCTACACATCAATAGTGGATGGACCTTGGTCGCAATTCCATCAAAAGAGGGAGAAGTCTTCTGGTTCATTGTGAAAAAGCTAGACCAGGAATATCGGTATAGCAATGCCCCTCGCTTCACGTCCGAGGATGCCGCCGCAGAGTGCCTGCATCTGGCGGACGTACCAATGTGGGAAAATCTCCGATTTGGTGATTTGTGGCAGAAGAGACGGAACTTCAACATGACTGTGATGCACGAGAACGTATTCCAGACATGGTATTGCGACCGTCTGGTCTGCATCGGGGACAGCATCCACAAGGTAGGACAGCCCCTCTTATTCGCGCTGATTTCTCTTTCGACTCACCACTCTTTGCCAGATGACTATCAACCTTGGACAAGGAGCCAACTGTGCCATTGAAGATGTGGCTGTTTTGACAAACCTGTTGAACAACTCCTTGGCTGAGACAAAGGAGGCGAAACTCTCAGACCAGGAAGTTGACGCTCTCCTGCGTCAGTTCAACAAGAGGCACCTCCAAAGAGCAACTCATATCTATGGACTATCGAGATTGGTGACACGAGTGCATGCAAGTGATGGATTCTTGCTTTCATTGGTAGGAAGGTATGTGCTTCCGTATTTCGGAGAAAGGTTTGATAGTCGGCCCTTCAAAATGATTGCGGCGGCCGCGGCATTGGATTTCTTACCGTTGCCTCGACGCTCGTTTCCAGGCTGGGAGAAATACAGGAACAGTGAGGCCAGAATTTGGCCGTGGATCATGATACCAGCTTCCTTCTTGTTCTTGTATATATTGATGCCACGGGGTCACACGCACTAGTCTTCCGTAGCATTGATAGGGAATTTTCAATTGGAGCTCTTTATATGGCGAATTCACAGCTTAGTCTCTCCAGATATATGAAAAATAAGTTGCCACACTCTAAGCTCATCCAGACAACCTTTGAGCCATGTTCAGAAGCCAAGGAAAAGAGGAAAAGGAAGGAACGGGGTATCAGCGCTCGTTGAGATCTTATATTGCAGCCTAGCTTTACATCCTTAAAGTAGAATCCCAGTCGCGAGCTTTCTGTACGGGGATCCGCTATTACTTTGAACGACATCATGAAATAAATAGATCAAAGATGGTGAATGTAAGTGAAATTCGGCGAGTTGGATTTTGGCAATTCAATTTCCTATTCTGGGAACTGCTGACGACATACAATTTACTATTTGGCGAGCCACGATGCCGTCGACTCACTCCATCTTCAATCCTTCGCGTTTGTTCAGCCCCTGTTCGTTACGGCGAACATACCAGAGACAGATGCCGTAAACGCCATCCAGTGCGCATGAAAACACGACACACCAAATGTACAGAGGGGAGCTCATCCACTCATGTTCTTGACGCCAATATTTGTAGCGTAATACGTCTTGGGGAAGGAGCACAAGGGACCCGAGGAACCGAGACAACCTGACAGGTAAATCAAATTTGTGGTCAGCCATCACTGATTATCATATGACCCATATTTGTGAATATACCATAGAAAATAGGACGCTCCGCGCGAATTGCCTCGGCCGATCAGTTGACATATGGCTCCAACGCTCAAGAGGAGATGGCAGCCGTATGCACTCCAGGCCTGAGCCAGAGTAGGTCCGAATTGTGCGGCCAGAGCCAAATGCGTAGACATCCAGCCGACGACGCAAACGGTGAAGATCAAATGGAGGTTTCTCTGAACCAACGGCGCGTGTGCCCATTCGTTTCGACCGAATCTGACGGCAGTGTACATGACGACGCCATTAAGAACCAATCCCGGTAAAAGAACGTATTGTTCCACCCCGCTGCCGAATGGGTAGAGGACTGCGTATACCAACTCCCACGCAAAGTTACAGCAGAGTGGCATCAATGACATGCAGTAGGTCTTCTCCTGGAACGACTTGTAGATCATGCCGATGTAGTTCGTCATCCAACCGACCCCCATCAACAGTTTGCAAGCGTCTGCAATCCAGGCGACATTTTGGTACTCGGGAGGTGCTTGGGCTACGTCGGCGGCATTCATATTCGAGAGTTCCGTGATCAATATATCCGGGTGTCTAGGCGTGAAAGGAGGATCAAAAGAGCAGTTTCGAGAACAAAATAGTCTTTACCGCGCGCTGGCAGCCTCGAAGTTTAGAGAACAAGATAAAAGATGAAGAATTATTGCGGCAAGTCACCTTATCCTCATCCATTTATCAAAGTATATAGAATCGTATTTGATAGGTGAATGCTTCGGGATGTAAATCCGTTCGGCGTAGGATCTTGTCATATTCAATATCCAATTTCGCGGGTCTTTCCGTTGTGTTGTGATATGGCCCCTCGGCGGCCGAATCGCTTATTCAAAGGATCGCTTGAACGCCGAATCGCTTACGCAGTGGATCCCCTGAACGTTGAATCGCTTGCACAACGGATCGCCTTGGCAGATCACCTAAGCGCCGAATGCTTTACATACCGAAATATGGAATTGAGCAAGAGGATGCTTATTCGGCGAATATGTTCCCCAGAGTTCTGACACGGTGCTTAGTTTGCGGCAACTCTAAACTGTCGAAGTGCGAAGACCTTCTGCATATCTTCCCACTACAGACGATCTCTATTGGGTTCAGCCTCACCTTGACGTATATTATTGCACTCTTGGTAGCCTGCCCCGCAGAGAATTACTCTATCCCATTTCAACATCAGCGCAGCCTGGGTATATTCTCTATCATAAAAACCTCCTTTCAAGACAGCAACTACTTCCTCCTCCACCAAATGCCGTGTGTAAAGATCATGGAAAAGCAGTCTTTCCCAGTGATGGATTCTAAGTTTGTGACCAATGACGAAGAGGTACTTCAATTCACTGAGATTAGCCGCTCGTTCTGTACTTTTTCTAACATTCGTATAGGTTATTCGTGCTCCATTGAGCTATCTTCTTCGGAACTCTGGCAAGGACGTCAGAGGCAAGATCATCTCAGCCTTCAATGAATGGTTGCAGACACCCGAAGAAAAGCTGGATGTCATCAAACGCATCGTAGAGTTTCTGCATACTGCATCCCTTTTGTATGCCGGCGTTAAAGGACATGCGAGTACGCTTGCTGACGACATTTTAGAATTGACGACATCCAGGATTCCTCTAAACTGCGTCGTGGACTCCCCGTCGCGCACAGCATCTTCGGAGTTGCCCAAACGATTAACGCTGCCAACTATGCATTCTTCCTAGCGCAGCAAGAACTTCCAAAGCTGGGAAACGCTCGTGCATTTGAGATCTTCACTGAAGAGCTACTGAATCTGCACCGAGGGCAGGGTATGGACCTCTACTGGAGGGACTCATTCACCTGTCCGACTGAAGAGGAATACCTCAAGATGGTGTCCAACAAGACCGGGGGACTTTTCAGGCTGGCGGTCAAGCTGATGCAGATGGCCAGCGAAACTGATCAGTGAGTTGAAACTCCAATCCGCTGGGAGGGAAGATGCAATACTAATGTCGTCCTTTTGCTGCTTTTCAGAGACTTCGTTCCTATCGTCAACGTGCTGGGAATTATTTTTCAGATTCGTGATGACTACCTCAATCTGCAAAGTGACGCATACACAAAGAACAAAGGGTTTGGTGAAGACCTGACCGAGGGAAAGTTCTCCTTCCCAATCATCCACAGTATTCGCTCGAACCCAGCGAACATCCAGCTGTCCAGCATCCTCCAACAGCGCACGGAGGACGACGACGTCAAACGGTTTGCAATCCAGTACATCGCGTCGACCGGCTCGTTCGAATATTGCGAGCAGAGGCTCGAGGATCTAATGGCTAAGGCAAGAGAGATGGCAGAGGAAATGAGCGGGGAAATCGATTATGTCGGGGGGATCGACCGGGTCTTGGAAATAGTCGGGCTCAAGACCCACGTCGAACCATGATAGATGCTGTTGCAACGGAGGACGGGCTAGTTGATCTATCGCTTAGATCTGGTACTTAAGCAGCTAAAGCACAATGGAAAGGAACTATATTTCTTCTCCTCTTTTTTTTTTTACAGACGAGCCTTTAAAAACCTTAGCATAATCTCTTTTATAGTAAGAATTATTCTTGAGAGCTATTATAGCGGGCCAGAACTACTACTCTCTCTCGTAAAGACTCTACTAATAAAGAGCTAAGATTATTGCTTATATTACTAATAAAACAGGGTGCGGCAATATTGGCATTAGACCCTTTGCCCTGTCTTTAAATACCTTTAGATGCTTCTATTGGCTATTTAGGGTATTCACAAAACATGGATTTTCGTCGAATGATAGAACTGGTGGAACGATTCAAAGTGCACTGATCAACGCTTGTCCCCCTTTGCCGGACCCCGGCCGATTCCGAAAGGCGGGAAGGAATAGGAATAGCATTGGCCCCCAAATTGCGGTCGGCTTCCAACAGTTCGGTGTTTACATAGTGTGGGGTGCATCGGCGACTTTAGCACTATTGCGGCTCCTCGTCTTGTTACTTGATTAAGATGAGCCGTAGCCAAAAATAACTATTGCGCGTAAACGATGTTATCCGTGCACATTGTATGGAGCTACCCAATGTCTATATCCTCTTCTCTGCAAGTCTTGTCCATCTATAGCTAGTGCCCTTGCCATCTTGCAAACAGGCTTGTTCTTGACAGGTCAATCGCCACGGCCTCTCGTGAGGCAGATTCGAGATTCCTCCACACAAACCTTCACGCCTTTTCATTGGACCGCAAGTTCGCTTCGCACCGCGTCTGTGCGTTGGAGCGACAGTCAGACAAGTTCGCATTTATCTTTGTTTCTTTCGAACTCTCTGAAATTCCGGGCAGCAAGCATGGCGGCAGAGTCGCCAAACCTAATTGTTTGCGGGTCACAAATGGGAACCCCTGACGCAACATATCTCTCTCGACTCCGCTCAATTTTGGTCAACGATCCAGACCTCCAAGGCTTCCGGCAAGAATTAACAGAACTTCCCGAGGTCTGGATGCTTCTAGTCGCAACGGAACCCTCTCTCGAACGTGTTGCAGCGGCACCTCTTCTGCAGGGTTTGGCGGACTGGATCACAAGCGACAACTCCTCTGCTCTGCCATTTACAGAAGCGACCACGGGTAACACGCTGTTGGCGGTATTAACGGTTCTGGCTCACATTCTGGAGTACATGACCTACCTGAAGCATGGCCATGACGGTCAACTAACGGATGGAGAAGGGGACGCGCATTTGGATGCCTTGAAAGGGGTTCGCGACGGGGGCATCCAAGGGCTGTGCATAGGGCTGCTCTCAGCCACGGCATTGGCATGCTCGCAGACGCGAGCAGAGGTGGCCAGACACGGCGCTATCGCTATACGGCTGGCTTTGTGTGTCGGAGCATTCGTCGATCTTGACGATGTGCAGGCGTCGGAACCGACGCTCTGCGTGAGTGCACGGTGGTCGCCGGCCGAGGGCGACAGGGGAAGGGAAATTTTTGAAGATGTGCTCGACAGTTACCCCCAGGTACGTGTGCTCCGAGATGGATGGAAGCGGGCCGCCGGCTGACTTGCAACGCAGGCTTACGTGGCTGTCACCACTGACTTGTCAACCGCAACCATCACGGCACCCAAGTCGGTGGGCATGGCGCTGATACGCCGCCTAGAAGAGAAGGGGATTGCGACCAAGCAGCTTGACCTGCGGGGCCGTTACCACCACCCGCACCATGAGATGGCGTTCAAAAAGCTGGTCGACCTCTGCGCAGCCGAGCCCATGTTCCGGTTCCCCAAAGGCCGCCTTCCGCTGGTGCCACTGCGGCGAAACGACAGCGGGAAGGTATTGACGGACGAAATGCCGCTCCACGAGATGGCTTTGTGTTGCATCCTGGTCAAACAGGCCGATTGGCACGCCACCATGACGTCGTCGGTGGCGGCAATGGCCCAGGAAGCTACTGAGCTCCCCAAAAGCAAGCGCCGAGCGCTTCTCCTGGGCCCGGTCGACTGCGTCCCCCGTTCTCTGTCGCTGCGGCTGATCCGTCCCGTGGTCGGAATGCCCTACGATTACCCTGACCAAGCCATCGCCATCGTCGGCGCCTCCTGCCGGTTTCCTGGCTCGGAAAGCCTGCCCCAGTTCTGGGACACGATACGGACCGGGAAATCGACGGCAGGAGGGCCGCCCGGCGAGAGGGGATACTCATCGAGAAAGAGCAACGACGAGGAGCCGGAAGCGTTTCGGGGCAACTACCTGGAGACGACGGGTTCCTTCGACCACAGCTTCTTCCGCAAGTCGCCCCGCGAAGCACTGTACATGGATCCGCAGCACCGCATCGCGCTCGAGCTTGCCTACGAGGCGCTGGAATCGGCCGAGTACTTCGGTCCGTGCGGAGCGGCGAGCGACGACGTGGGCTGCTTCGTCGGCGTCTCATCGTCCGACTACGCCGACAACGTCAGCGCGCGGGCGCCCACGGCCTTCTCCTTCACGGGCACGGCGCGTGCCTTCGCGGCCGGGCGCATCAGTCACTTCTTCGGGTGGACCGGGCCAGCGCTGGTGGTCGACACGGCGTGCTCGTCGTCGGCTGTGGCGGTGCACATGGCGTGCAAGGCAGTGCAGTCGGGCGAATGCGCCATGGCGCTGGCGGGCGGCGTGAACGTGATGGCCAGCCCGCGGTCACACCAGGACCTGGGCGGCGCCGCGTTCCTGAGCGCCTCGGGCGGGCAGTGCCGGCCCTTCGATGCGGCTGCGGACGGGTACTGCCGCAGCGAGGGCGGCGGCTTCGTGCTGCTCAAGCGCCTCTCGGCGGCCGTGGCCGACGGTGACCGCGTGCTCGGCGTGCTGGCCGCGTCGGCAGTCAACACCAACAAGGGCAGCTCGGCCATCACGGTTCCCTCGGCCGCATCGCAGAGCGCCCTGTACCGCCGCGTGCTGGCCACGGCCGGCATGCACCCGCTACACGTCTCGTACGTCGAGGCGCACGGCACGGGCACGCAGCGAGGCGATCCCGTCGAGTGCGAGAGCATCCGCGCCGTCTTTGGCGCCCCGCGGCGGGCGTCGTCGTTGCCCCCGCTGCGGCTCGCGTCGGTCAAGGGCAACATCGGGCACAGCGAGGCCGCGTCCGGCGTGGCGGCGCTCGTCAAGGTCCTGCTGATGCTGCAGCACCGCCAGATCCCGCCGCAGGCAAGCTTCGCCGTGCCGAACCCGGCCATCGCGCTGGACAGCGCGGCCATGGAAATCCCACAGCAACTGCAGCCGTGGCACGAGGCGTTCCGCGCCGCCTGCGTCAACAACTACGGCGCGTCTGGCAGCAATGCTGCCATGGTCGTGTGCCAGCCTCCGCCCGCGCAGCCCGTGACGGCGTCGCTCCCCGCAGGAGTGCTCAAGTACCCGTTTTTGATTGCTGCTCATTCTGCAGACAGCCTGCGCCGGCAGTGCCGCGCTCTTGCCGACTTCGTTGAGGCCCAGCACGCGGCCGATGGAGCCTCGTTGGTTGCGAGCATTTCCTTCCACCTGGCGCAGCGGCAGAACCCCCGGCTCCGTCACCGCAGGACTTTCGCCGCCCAGTCTATTGAGGAACTAAAAGCCTGCCTCGACGGCCTGGACGACGCTGCGCTGCAGGCTCCGGACAGCCCCAAGCCCGTGGTGCTTCTCTTCGCCGGCCAGACGGGGCATCGCGTCCGGCTCAGCGAAGAAGCATGGCGCAGCTCGGTCCTGCTCCAGCACCACCTGGCTCGCTGCGACCGGGCCCTGCAAGCTGCAGGCCTGCACAGCCTCTTCCCGCGCATTTTCGGCACGGAGCCGATAGAAGACCTGGCCGACCTCCACTGCATGCTGTTCGCGCTGCAGTATGCATCCGCACGGTCGTGGCTCGATGCCGGGCTGCAGGTCAAGAAGCTGGTTGGCCACAGTCTCGGACAGCTGACGGCTCTCTGCGTCGCCGGCGCGCTCAGCCTCGACGACGCCGTGAAGATGATCTCGGGCCGCGCGGCTTTGATTCAACGCCGCTGGGGCGCCGAGCGCGGCTGCATGCTCAGCGTGGCTGCCGACGCCGCCACGGTGCAGGCACTGGCCGCCCAGTCGCACAGCAGCATCGAAGTTGCCTGCTACAATTCCCCCTCCGACCACGTCGTCGTCGGGCCCGACGCAGCCGTCGCCGCCTTCGAGGAGGCCGCGCGCTCCAGTGGTCACTGCGTCAAGCGACTGGCTATCACGCACGGTTTTCACTCCCAGATGGTGGACTCCATCATGGACGACTACCGAGCGCTACTCCAGGGCCTCGAATTCCTCCCTGCAGCCATTCCGATCGAGGCCTGCTCCAAGACTGATGGCAGCAGCTGGGCCACCGTCACGCCGGATATGGTGGCACAACAGTCCCGGGACCCCGTGTATTTTGCTGACGCCATCGCCCGGGTCGACGAAGAGCTTGGCTCGTGCATCTGGCTGGAGGCTGGCTCTGGATCCGCCGCCGTGAGCATGGCTCGCCGCACCCTCGCCAAGTCCGGAAGCCCCTCGTCTCATCGTTTCTACACCGCGGGGCTGCACGGCCCGGAGCCTACACAGTCGCTGGCAGACACGACTCTCGGCCTCTGGAACGAGGGAGTTCGGGTGCAGTTCTGGCCGTTCCATCCCTCCCAAAGAAGCTGCTTTGCGTCCTTGGAGCTGCCTTCGTACCAGTTCCAAAAGACGCATCACTGGCTCGAGTACATCCACAGGCATGAGGAGCTCACCAGACCGAACTGCCAGGAGCAGCCGCAGGAAAGCCCGAAACTGCTGTCGTTTTCTGGATATGGCGATGCCCAGACGGCAGAATTCACCATCAACCAGCACAGCGACGAATACTCAGCCTTGGTCCGCGGAAGAACCGTCCTCGGCCACACTCTGAGCCCTGCATCGACGTGGTTGGAGTCAGCCGCGCGTGCCATAGCCATCCTCTCCGGAAGCCCCGCAAACCTTTCGTTGGAGGTGGAGCAGCTCAAGCTGCACGCGCCCTTTGGCCTTGACCCGAGACGCCGGCTTCGCCTGACGCTCCAGAAGCACTCACACTGTAGCTGGAAATTCGCCGTGAGCAGCAACGCCCTAGACGACGACGAACATGTTAGACTTCAAGCCTCGGGCATCATCAAACTGCCGGAGCCAGGTCGTGCCCCCACCGTCGAACCGCACCGGCAGCTGATCCTCCGCCTGGTGGACTATGAGCGATGCCTGCGCCTGCGCCAGGATCCCGAGGCATCGGCTGTACACGGTGCATTCGTCAAGAAGGTCTTGGGCCGAGTCGCCATCTACAGTGACGCCTACTTTGGAATCCAATCCGTCACTTCGAGAGGCCTCGAGGCTGTGGGTGACGTTACCATGCCCGAGATCGCTTCCCAGGGCTATGCAGGCACAGCGCTCAATCCACCAACCTTTGACAACTTCCTTCTTGTGGCAGAACTCCATGCCGGCGTTTTGGGCGCCTGTCAAAGCGACAAAATATACATCTGCAACGGCATTGACGCCATCATTCCACAAGCCGGTTGTGGAGACCAAGAAGAATCGGCGTCGCAAGGACCGTGGACAGTCTACTCAAAATTGAATCCGAAAAGTGACGCGACTGTTCTGAGCGACATATTTGTGTTCAATGCACGCCAAAAGACACTCTTCCTAGCAATCCTGGGTGCAAGCTTCTCTGCGGTTCCTGAGACCTCTTTGAAAAAAGCGCTGGAAGCCATGAATGGAAACGAAAAGAAGCTAATGGGTACTGTGGACGTGTGCTCGTCTTTTGTAGACCCGGAGGCCCTGCCGACTACGCCGAAACCCCGGGCACAAGAAAGGTCAAGCAGCCTGGCTTTCGAAGTGCACGCCACCGTCAAGGCCCTTCTCCATGAAGTAACTGGAGTCTCATGTGAAGGCACCGACCAAACGACTTGCCTCAGTGATCTTGGGGTGGATTCACTGAGTGCCATCGAACTTCAAGCGAGGATCAAAGACACCTTCTCAGCCGAGATCCCCGTGCGGCAATACTTCGACCAAGATAAGAGTTTTGACAGTCTATGCCAGGAAATCTGCTCGACATTACATCCTCGGCTCGCTGTTGTGTCTCCGGTCCCACAACTCTGCTTGAGCGAAGCTGAGGACTCGTCCGGACCTCCTACAACTCCAGCAAGTGTTGAGACATTCGACCAAGAGCTGATTGCTGTCAGGTTGTCGAACCTACTCGCAGAGCACCTAAATTGTCCGGACGGAATCTCTCAGGACATGCCTCTTGGGGATATGGGAATGGACTCACTGGTCGCCATCCAGCTCAAATCGGATATGGAGAGCATGTTCGGGAAGAGGCCAAAACTGCTCGAAATAGACGAAAGGTGCACCTTCTCAGACCTCCTCGACATTATTGGCCGTGAAGACACAACAGGGCAGCTGACACGTGGCCTGGCGACCACCACGATGACCAACTCAAAAGCGATTGTGTCAGCCCACCGGAACCACTACTCTACCTCCATCGACTCCAACACGGGCAGCCCCAGTGTTTCTTCAGAACCACACTTCATCCTACAAGCCTTGGCTGAGTTCGGGCACATCAAAAAGAACTACGTGCAGTTCGCCCGGCAGACGGGATGGGCAGGATTCTTCTCAGACGTGCACCCTGCGCAGGACTCCCTCGCGCTGGCCTACGTTTCCGAAGGCTTCAGCGCTTTGGGTTGTGACCTCCACGCCCTCCCCGCCGGCGCCGTCCTCCCGCCCATCCCCCATCTCCCCAAGCACGCCAGGCTCGTTTCCGTATTGCTCGATTTCGTTTGCGACGCCGGCCTGGCTATCCGCTCTGGCGACGGCAGCAGCGGCGGCTCCTCACTGGTCCGCACCGCCGTCCCAGCTCCATCCGCGACAGCAGCATCACTGCAAGCCGCCATCCTCGCGGCGTTCCCACGGTACACCCCGGAGCACTCACTGCTCGCCGTGACTGGCCCCCGTCTCGCGGCGTGTCTGACGGGCGCGGCCGACGCACTACAGCTGCTGTTCGACAGTGCGCAAGCGCGCGCACTGCTCGAGGACGTGTACGTCTCGTCGCCCCTTTTTGCGACGGGCACGGCCATGCTGCGCGCCTTCCTGCAGCGGGTGCTGCAGAACCGCAAACAACAACAACAGCGAACACAGCAAAGCGAACAGCAGCAGCAGCAGCAGCAGCAGCCTCTCCGCATCCTCGAGGTAGGCGCCGGGACGGGTGGCACGACGCACGCCCTGCTGGAGGAACTGCTGCTGGCCTCGTCGTCGTCGTCGTCGTCGTCGCCGTCTTCAGGGGAGGAGGAGCCGCCGAGCTTCTGCTACGTCTTCACCGACATCTCCGCCGCTCTGGTCAGCGCGTCCAAGCGCAGGTTCCAGGCGCGGTACGGCGCGTCGGTGGTGGAGCGGCACATGGACTTCTCGGTGCTTGACATCGAGGCCGAGACGCTCCCCGCGCACCTGCTCGCCGCATGCGACCTCGTCGTCTCCTCCAACTGTATCCACGCGACGCGCTCGCTGCCGCATTCGTGCAGAAACTTGTACCGACTGCTGCGTCCCGGAGGGGGGACACTGTGCCTGCTCGAGCTGACGCGACCACTGAGATGGCTGGACTGCGTCTTCGGCCTGCTCGACGGGTGGTGGCGCTTCGACGATGCGCGGGACTATGTACTCGCTAATGAAGAGCACTGGCGTACGCAGTTGCTGGAAGCTGGGTTCGGGAGGGTCGAGTGGAGCGGGAGCGGGAACTGTATAGAGGAGAAGGTTTTCAGGTTGATTTTAGGTGCTAAGATATAGATATATTATAGGGTTAGGTCTATAAAATTTAACTTCCTTCTAATCTAATCTAGTATAAGAGTTCTATCGTATTTCTAGTAGAAATACGGTTAGAGAATCGTATATATCTAGACGATATTAGAGTAAAAAGTATAATATATAACGACGAGATAGAAGAACTTATTTAAGCTTTATAAATCGTCGTTAATAAAGACTTTAAAGATAAAAATATTTAAATCTACGTAAATAACTAGACTACGGTTTATAAACTTTCTAAATCTACGTAAATAACTAGACTACGGTTTATAAACTTTCTACGCTAGCAAACTCGCTAAAATAGTCTTAACTTAATAAAATAATTTTACTAGCTAATAAGCTAGCTACTTAAAGAAACTAAATTACTTCTTCTATTAAGTAGAAATATAAAAACCTCTACGTAGCGCGCTTCGGCGCCGTCTCTAATAGCTAGCGGCTTAAGAGAGATGATAAACTAAATAAATAAATAAATAAATATCTAGACGAAACGGCTACTAGTGTTTCTAACGTTAATTTAGAATTAAATCTCGATTGGAAACATGCCCGTGGATTACTGTTGTATAACAACGCAAGTCTTACAATAGAATGGTGAAACTACAAGCAAATTACCAGCCGCCCATACCAGAACCTGTGAGACAAAACAATGGGTATGCGAACAGGAGCTAAAACGCCGATAGATTACACAGCAGCACATTCAAAATGTTGAACTCGTGCAAGATTCCCCGCTTTTGACTCAAACGGTGCCCCGTCGTAATTGTTGCGTATCTCCGGTCGAGACAAGACGCGAAGATGTAGCAGCACTTTGTAGGTCTGGTGCTTGAGGTGAAAGATGATTTTGAGACTGTAGCGGCAGCACTGGCCGTATTCTCCGTGTGGACAAGCCTCCTTCAGCACCAAGGCCAGAGGAAGGATCCCTACTGACGCTAGCCGCTCTCGATCGCTGTTCGCGCATACTACGGGTGCCATCGTTGTCTGCATCCCAGTTTCTCATAATCCGAAGCAGCTGATCGTTTCGTTCCAACTCCCCTGGAACCTGAGGATATTGGCGCGCGTTTCCTTCTCTGAACTCGGAATCGTCAAACGTTTCATGCGGTGTGTTACTGAAGTAGCTCCCGAATGCATTCAACGCGTCAGCCACTTTGCGTCGATGGCCTTGGTATGCATCGCTTGCTCTTCTATCACTTGTAGGTGGCACTGCATCATCGGAATGTTGGCGGGCAAAGTGGGCAGGAGCCGGGGCGGCGATAGAGATGGACGGCACTTGGGTTAGTTGTGTACCGTAATCGCCACCTTCCAACAAGCGATCAGAGTCCTGCCCAGCTGTCGTTGTCTTTGCTCGCTGTTCCAGATATTTTGCGAGATAAACGTACAAGGATCCATAGGCAGCGAGACCGGTGCCAACAATGGGTGCCCATTGACCTAAACATCGTCGGAGGACATTTTATTAGCCATCTGCAAATTCCATGAACAAGGGTTACGGCCTACCTATACTGGCTATGGGTTCCGTCTGATACCTGACTTGGGCGCTGAAAAAATTCCACTCGCCAACGATGATGATAGCTAATACCGCAGAGCCGAAAACCAGAAACTCGACACCAACCAGGAATTTCCTAATCTTCTCATTGACCGTCTTCATCTCATGAACAGTGGCACCGTTTATGCCTTTGAACCGCTCACTATCATTCCCCTCACCGAAGCGGGTGTCCCAATTCATCTGGAGAATCTTGTACCAAATCCACATTAAGGAAAGAACGGCGGGGATGCAGCATGCAGCTGCGAGAAGCATAGCTGTACCGAACGTGATCTTGTCTGGCGCGGGAATCACAAATATCTCATTGGCTGAGCCGTCGCGCAGGGGAGAGTGGGGACCTCTCTCCACAGAGCAAGTGAGGTTACATTTGGGATCATCGTTATAAGGAAAGTTGGCAGCGTGAGGAGATATCGGGTTTCCACGGTCGTCATGCAGGCAGTTGGACGGTTGGGCTCTGTAGAACTCAACCGTCAGGCTTAGCAACCCTTTGGAGACATGTAAGTCAATACCAGATGTTGGTGAAACTGACTTAAACGGTACTCACCAGCTAGAATAAGGCCAGTCCATAAGAAAATGCTGTTTCGCCCAGGGGCTTTGAAGTACGTCTCAGAGTTCCTGACGGTGACCTGAGCGGCCAAGATGCCTATTGAGCAGAGCTGAAAAGCCCCGTAGACATCCATATCAACAGCACCTTAGAGATAGATGTGTCAGCGATGAATCCACATGGCCTTGGTAAACTTACCATCGACATGTACTGCTGCCAGCACAATGCCATGAATGGCAGCAACGGCAGGGAATAGTAATGCGGCTGCCAGGCAAACATCTTTCAGCCATGCAGTTCTTCGAGCAAGTACACAGACTGCTACCAGAACATAGTATCTAGAACGACAAGAGATGTCAGATTAGGCACTTAGGCTCAGAAAGTGAACTCACAACATCCTCGAACCCGGTCCATACTGCCCTGATACTGGCCAGGCACATATGACCTGTAGAGCATCACTGGTAGAATTTGCGGCTGGGTGCGACGAATTAACAGCAATGGCAGGGTCTCGAGTAACGGGAGTGGTTAGTAGCAGGGGCGAGGGCAGAGGCGGCATAGCTCTTCGTCCGTCTCACGTTTGGAGTCGAGTACAGATGCTAAAAGCCTCAGTAACGCGAGTCAGCCCTTACAGGGGCGTAAGTGTTGTCTGATTTGTTCTTTTGTCTGCTTGATGGTCCGATGTATCCACTGTGGGTCCTAATAAAGAGCGGTCAGTGGATTTGGCATCGGCTTGCTCAGGTTGAAATAAGCATCAAAAGCAGCCTTGCCATGGCTGACGCAGAGCTGATGAGGCTTAGCTGGTAGCACCAAGTGGTTGTCAGGGCATATGAAGAAAGCGATTCGTTTCCTCGTTTTGGGAAGCTGCTCGTGTGCTCCGCGCATGGACTGTCCAAGCCAATCATCGATGTTCAAGCCAGCCATCAGCTTCCAGCCCAATGCTAAGCTTACTTATGTTTGGGATACTGTGTCTAGCTTATGCGGCTCAATTATTGTAAAGAGCATTTCCGTATGTTGATGGTATTTATTGTATGTTCGTATCGAGATTTGAGACAAATTTAAATTTTTTTGGCCTTTCTGCTTTTACAGTAGACTTGGAGGATCGTTTGTAACGGGTACAAACCTCGCACCAGTGAGTTATTTTATTATGCATGCATGATGGATAAGTTCACCATTCGCTCTTCGCGGCTGCGTCCGCATATTTGACGAAACCTTGATGCAGCCCCGCATTACATCGGCGATGGCCGCCGGGAAAACTAGCGAATTACATGGGCTCCGGTTGGTTACACTGCATAACGAGGTGTTGTGATCAATACATGGCCTAGCGATAGCGCTTACAGCGCCCGGTGAGGGAGGCGGCAGCAGATCAAATACGACTCTGGGTTGTCACCATAAATACCAAGGCGTCGAGGCTGCAAGGCGCGCGATTAGGCCTTCACACATGTCTTCCCTGTGCGATAGGGCTCAACCCAGCCCCGCAATGCCGAGCCGACACACCAGCCGACGGAACCCATAAGCAGTGCCTGCCTCATCCTATTCTTTACCGCCACTCTTATCATGCGTTATTCATGACGCATGGTACATGGGATGCACTACTCTAGAGTGTCATTTTGAGCCTCCTTGCATCTCAGCAGCCAGCCATAAGACGACGCTGCTGCGACCACTTGCTGAAGCTATCGAGGTTTTTTGCCTCCTCTCTGTTACACATCGACTCCAAAATGGCAGAAGATCTGGATACCAGTCGCATAAGGAATTGGAGATCAATCGTCACGCTCATAGTTTTCGTCATTACTAGTATGTACACCAGAAGTCTGCGAAATGTTACTTTGTTAACTGTCTTCCTCTTGAATAGATATCATTGTCGTTTTTCCGTTTTCGCTCCCGGTTTATATCCCTCGGCTACTTTCAGATACAATTCTGAACATCCTCAGTGCTTTAAAAATAATAGCTCCAAGGAAAAAGAGCTCACACGATGCTCCAATAAGCAAACCTGGATTGTTTGTAAAAGTCCAATTGCCCTTCAACTTCGTAACAGCACCACTGATAGCAGATCTATTCTTGCTTGCTATCAAGGCTATCGGCCGACAAGAAGTTCACGACGGTACTATCGGGGCAAACAACATCTCTCCAATCGACATTATGCTCTTCTTTTTGTCGCTGGCATACATCGCCATCTCAATCGACGCATCCGGCTTGATTAGGTACTTGGCATTTAGGGTGCTTCAATGGGGAGGAGATGTTGGGCACAAACTTTTCTTCTACCTCTATGCATTCTTCTTCGGCCTGGCTAGCTTCATCGGAAACGATCCCATCATACTTTCGGGCACAGCGTTTCTCGCCTACATGACCCGGGTTTCAAGCAACATCAAGCACCCAAGGGCGTGGATTTTCAGCCAATTCGCCGTGGCCAACATTGCCTCAGCAATCCTCGTCTCGTCCAATCCGACGAATCTCGTGCTGGCGGGTGCTTTCAACATCAAGTTTATTGACTACACGGCGAACATGATAGTTCCCGTCACTGTTACGGGCATCGTTCTCTTCCCTTTCTTACTTTACATCATCTTCGCGAATGAGAGTCTCATTCCCCCAAAGATCAAGATGCACGAGCTCCCGCCAGAAGCGAAAGACAAGAAGCCTGTGAATCCGAACATCCCTCATGCGAAAGGAATGGCGGAGGAGCAAGAGGACGATCCCGAGAACGAAGAAACGGGGAAACGCCTCTCTCTCGAGGAGATCATGAACCCTTTCATAGACAAAGGAGGCGCAGCGTTCGGAGCTGTCATCATGGCCGCCACACTTATCACGCTCCTGGCTCTCGACGCTGCGAGTTCCAGAACTGGGAAACACGCTGTCTTCTGGGTTACTTTGCCCGCCGCATTCGTCATGTTCTGCTGGGATATCGCGTTCGGATGGTGGCATCGTGAGGAGACACGCTATATCGCTCGCAAGGGTCGTGAGGAGGTTGAACACGCTCACAGCGAAAGAGAAAGGAAAGAGAAGGACACGCAAGAACATCAAGATGGTACCACAGCATGCAAACCTGATTCAGCCGAGGCGATTTCGCGAGAAGTTCAAAGACGAAGCCAAGGCCGTGCTGTTGATTGTATTCATGACATTGAAAAGGGAGAGAATGCTATTGAGATGGTTCCTCAAGCGGCTGATAAGCTACAAGATGGCCAGCCGAAAGATGGTATTCAAGTTGAAGAGCGAGAAGCAAAGTCTGGATCATCCTCGGAGGCGTCATCAGGAACAACATTAGTGGAACAAACAGACGAGGGGAAGCTGCCGGCGGACATCGAAGACCTAATCAAACACAAAGTGACACCTCGGCCGTGTGAGCAGACAGATAAGGATAAGCGCCCGGTGGAAATGGAAGAGCAAGGCAAACACGAGGTGATATCTGGACTGTGTGAGCAGGAGCAGGGACCGCAAACTCTCGTCTCCCTCATCGCGGATACGTACAGGTGGTCTCAGGAGACCTTTCCCACAGCCACAGCTGTTTTGGGGCACCTGCCATTCGCACTCGTGCCCTTCGCATTCTCCATGTTTGTTCTCGTTCAAGCCTTGGTCACCAAAGGCTGGGTTCCAGTATTCGCATACGGCTGGTACCATTGGGTGAGCAAGACGAGCACGATGGGAGCCATTGGCGGCATGGGTTTACTTTCAGTCATCTTATGCAATGTAAGTGTCTATATTTGGGCTTGCGTATGGCTGACTGACTCGTCATGCTGTTATTTAGTTTGCAGGCACAAACATCGGTGCTACCATCCTTCTGTCCCGCGTAATTCAGGCATGGCAAGAGATCCACCGCGCGGAAGGCGTTGCCCTCAGCAATCGAACATTCTGGGCAACAGTGTACAGCATGGCTATCGGCGTTAACTACGGTGCGTTCAGTGCAGCCTTCAGCGCGTCTCTTGCTGGGCTTTTGTGGCGGGACATTCTTGCCAGGAAACACATTCATGCGAAAAGTCTCGACTTTGCCCGTGTGAATCTCCCTATCATTGCGATCTGTATGGTAGTCGGTTGTGGCGTCCTCGCTGGTGAGGTCTATATCATGAGGGATGAATCTCCTTACGATTCATCATGATCATCTGTTAGAAATCTACTATTTTTACTTGTGGGGAGCAATTCCAGACATAGACGCCGCTTCATCCGCTTTAGTACTTCACTCTACCTCTTTTCTTTTCTTTTTTTACTTTTCATGCTACATAGACGGCCCGTGCGTATCATGCAGAATCTGTAGCATTACTAATGACGAGAGGTAGCACAATCGCTGCAATGCAGTTGAGGGATTGGGAACGAGCGGGGTTGCGGGGCATCGCGAAACCCCCGAAAAAAGCCAAGATTTTTCTCAGCCTTGTGCTGCGCTCTTACTTTGGTGCCTCATATTCATCTTATCAACCCTTGCGTTTTTTACTCCTCCCTCGCCGCTCTGCTGACTGCCATGTGGTGGCACTGCACAGGAGTGTGTGTGTGACCAAACACGCGGGGCTGGCGACTGTTGCCGAAGCAGGGCTCTCAATACAACCTGACCACATGCCCAGGCGCAGTCATGCGGCTTACTGTCTCGCAGTGCCCGATTGCGAGGCTGCTCTGTCTTACACACGACTAGTATGTTGGTGGATGGTATAGACTGAGCCGCGGGACGTATACTATCCAGCAAGACGTGCGAAGCTCAAAGCGTTTAAAGTGTGGGGAAGCACGTCGACTGTGTACTCAAAACAAGCTCCCATCTAGTGAGCAAAGCTGTACAAGTGCGTGTCGGCTCAGGAATGGCGCAGGCAACTGAGGAGCAGGCTGGCAGGCATTGCTTATCGATTAGACCACAGAGTCGCGTTTCCCACCCCCGTTATTACCCGATTAGGCTTAATGTAGTTTGCCATCAATAGGTGCACACTACTGCCGGCTAAATCTACGAATCGCATCCTTCCTCCCCTTCACAGACTCATAAGCTTCTTTCCTATGAACATGCATTCCGACGCGTACATGTTAACCCCAACTATGCAAATCCTCCAAGACTAGCGAGTGAGCTGTAGCCGCTGCATTTCAAGGTGTCGAATCCCCCTCTAATCTGTTAGACGACATAAGACGGCGTTCCATAATTGGGATATTCTGTTCGCATTTTGGTTGGGCCTGCAGGCTTCGCGCCTACGCAAAGGAGGACGTAAGTAACACCACGTACACTGGCTACATCGTCTGGTCGGAGGGTATTCAGCCACTTACCGACAAGCAGGCGACTCTCAGCATGGGCGGCTCAGAGTCATTCGTCAGTGATGCGGTGCGTCTGGCCACCAGGAATTGTGCGAACTGCCCTCGTCATCCCGAAAAGAACCACCCGGAAATTGCTCCCACTTTCCAGGTGTTTCGCCTTTAAGACGGCCGTAGCAACGGTTTACACAATAGAAACATTCTGTACGATCCCAGAAATGTGGAAACTCGGTCGGGAAGGTGGAATCAACAGGCGGTGGTGAGTCACGAAAAACAAATACGAAAGAGAAAGAGAATCCGACGGGCCTCATGGTTTCCGTCGTTGCAAGCCTCATTAGGACCCAATGTTTCATTCCAAGCAAGATGACTAAATCAGTACACAGACGCTTACTCCAACGCAAGACCGTCGCTTTCGTGTTGAACTCCGCTTTAGGAAACGTTACCGCACCAGGGTCGACGATCGAGCCGTCCGCGCGGGGTCCGATATCGAGCAGCAGATTCCCATTCTTCGACACCATATCAACGAGCGACGCCACGACCGTCGACGCATTCATATACGCGTCGTCCGCTGTGGCGCGGTTGTACCCGTAGCTGTACGGATCCATGCCCTGGTTGCTCACCAATAAATGGATTTTAAAAAGTGCCGAACCGAAGTCGGAGAGAGAAAACCGGTGCCATAATCCGGAGAAGTCTAATCTTCACCGATGAAAATCGCCGATTGTGGGACAGGAAGAGTGAGGGGATCGATCGAGCCCGGCTATTTGAATAGCCGCCTGGTTAGGCCAGCAGCTTCTCTCCAGCGATCCATGACAGAACATCAAAGTATATCCATTGACGTATCCCGAGGTTTGACGAACAAGTACTACTTACCAGGTAAGCTTACGTGCGTTTGGCATAACACGTTCAAAGGATGGCAGGCATTGCAGTGTTCAGGCGACCACAATAATACGGCCGTAATCACCTTCGGCCGTCCGGCGTAACCGCAGAACTCGGGAAAAAAAAGCTGACACGACTAGGATGGAATCCTCCTGCATCTGCTCTTGCATTTGGATTTCTTGTTCGCGGCATAATCTCTCCGTGCTCCAGCTATCGCACGTCTGGATTACTGATCAAGAATTTCTCCAAATAGGGGCCGCAGACATTTGACCTTGCCCCACATACGATTACATTTCTCCTTCCAGAAGGCCACACCGTTCGGCCATCTGATGACCCGGCTCGCTTGAATAAAGATTCAAGGTGAACGTCACCAAAGGATGGTGGTGGGAACAGTTTGGAGTGACCGCTACGGCCTGTCATCATGATGCAGATATCTGTTTCAATTTGTTCTCGAGTTTTCCAGACCCTGGCTTATACTACTAGGAGTGTGCATACTATAGGAGGGAGTTCCTCAGCGTGGCATTGCCATATTTCTCGAATTCCTCTAACTGCTATAGGGGAAAAGGCCTTTGGATAGGCAAGGTCACTACAGTCGCGGGCCTCATTTCCCAACCAGCATTTCCTTATTCTTCCCACTTGTCCAACAAAACGTCTTAAGAAAAGGCATAGTTTTGACTGCAAACAACTTTAACAACCACAAGTATTGCAGGTCTCTATCCTAATATTCAAGTCTATGGTCCCTGCAAACTCAGGCTGAAAGAGGTTTTGCTACATGATTCTGTCTATCCTCCGACTGGTACAGTAGTTAGATTCAGCTAATCCGTTCCTCAGCCCCTGTCCGCGTTGGTAGTGCTAACGGCAAACCCAGAAAATACTGGTCTATTGAGATCACAGCGGTCCCAATAAACCATGATCCGGAATGTGCCCCTGTCTTTGTGTCGACGGCTTTCAGTCAATATACTCAGCACAAATCAGCGACCCTCGAAGGTCCATGACTTGAGCTATGGTTACGTTGGGGAGAAGATTCGACGTCCAAAGGTTGTGGTTCAAAGTTGTCATGTTGCCTTCATCTCCATCGTAGTCCAGAAACTCCGGGCCAGGGTAATCCAAACCCATCGCTGTGATGAACTCGTCTGAAGCCACGTTCTGACCGGTCATCTCGACAAGACGATTCTCCAAGTCTACCATCTGCCACCTCCACCACAGACGATCGAGATTTGTGTGGTGCAGGTAGAACAGGGGATCGCCAGGGCTGGAGACTACATCCAGCATCTAGACCGGAATCGTTAGCATCGAGCATCTCTGGTAAAATGGAGCCGGTAGCTTACGGTGCCTCCAACGCCGAAGTGGCCTGCCAAATGAGGATTGGTACCCCAGCAATTCCAAGAATCCGCGTAAGTGTCAATCGCCTGGCACTCGTCGACGTAGGTGCTGTTGGCAAGATTGAACTCGGATTGATTCAAGTCGCGCGTCAAGCACAGATTGGCGTCGGTGCTGGTCAAATTGAGATGGATCGTGAGATTCACGAATGGTCCATCAGTCACGCAGCCATTTGCGTCGACGTTGCCACTCCCGAAGCCTGTCACCGTGTCGAATACGGCGGACTCGTTGAGCGGCCCAGCCTCCGCATCCTCGAGCTCATTCCAGTAGGGCTGCGAGCCGTTGTAACCACACTCAGTCTGGAGGTAGATTTCATGAACTCGCACTGTCGGAGTTTTGTGTTAGTCAATCTGCTAATCCCTGTATTTCTGGCCACGTACTGTACAGCCGGTGCCACGGAAGGAAAGATCCAGTGTTGTGGATGACATTTGCCTGATTGATGTGTGTGTACATCAGATCGCCCCAAAGATTTTTCGAGCCCGTGACATTGAGCTTGGATGGCTTGTTCATCAGACACAGCTCAGCATCAATGTACGACTTCTTCTCAGCATCGGACAGCGATGTCCTGGAGGACTGGTGAGTCACTTTTCAAAACAGGGGACTGCAAACTTTGGATGCTTACCATGACTTCCTCTGGTTAAGGGCCGTACATTCTGGTGCTTGCTTGACAGGTACACTGGCCTGAATGGAAGGAAGCACCAGAGAGGACAGAGCCAGAGCCGCCAGGAACGGGGAAACCATGTTGTCGTTGGAAAATTGACTGAGTGTTTGATTCTGAAGACTGCAAGGCAGAGAGAAGCAGCTTTATATGCGTGTTGCTACAATGCCATTTCAAACGAGATGAAAGAGTTCGCAGCAGCCTTCTACACAAATGGTAGCCGCGAGGAAGTTTCAGTGGCCATTCTCCTTCCGGATATTTTTGCCGAAAGATAGCACCTACAAGGGACACACGATGAGAACAGGTACTCTTTGGCGAGCGCAGCGGGGCAATGGGGACTTAGTCAGGGAGCCAGATCGATCTGATTAGATTGACCGCTCCGGCTGCCGCTGTGGGGCTTTGCGACTGTCGAATCAGGATTAAAAGCGCGCTAGTACCGATACCGGCTCCAGTCTAACAGCCTCTATCAAAGGAGTCTACTCCACCCTAATGGATACGCGACGCTCTGAGCCATTATTTTTCGGCCGCATAATGCAGGCACCACACTGTAAGCACGGTGCGCTGCGTGAAAATCACGCAGTCACTAGGCTTTCCATGTCTTAGTAGTTTCAAACCTTTCACTACGCGCGGGAGATGTCCTTCGAACGCAATTTCCGTCTCGCCTCACATATTGATGGTGACGCGGCATAGCGAGTAGTTACCATTTGATGTCATCTTATAAGTCCATAAATACAACAAGGTCTAGGTTCAAAGCTCATCATTCTCCAACACGCTTGTCTCTCAGTCTCTAAGCTCTCTCTTTCTTCTTCCACCCTCTCTCAATAATGCACCCTGAACTCAGTACTGGATTGGCTGCTCTCAGCCTGCTGAATCTCGTTGGGGCCGTACCGTCCTGCCAGTCTGGGCAGTGGGAAGACCTTGCTTCCATTCCAACCCCCCGCCAAGAGCACGGCACCACTGCTATCGGCAACACAACCATTGCCATCCTCGGTGGCATCGTTCCCACAAATGGCTCGACAACCACGACCGACCTCCTTCAGCTTTACGACATCGATTCCAACACCTGGAAAACCGTGTCTCCAGCCCCTTACAAAGTCAACCACCCCAACATTGCCGCAGTGCATGACAAGTTGTACCTTCTCGGTGGCTTGGCCCCTGGCCCTGTCTCTACTGACGTGACCATGAACTGGGTGGCTTCCAAGCTCTGCTACGCATACGATGTCGAGACGGACACCTGGACCCAGCTGGCTTCCATGCCGAGCGGCATGGAGAGAGGAAGCGCCATCGTCGGGGTACAGGGCGAGATGATCTACCTTGCTGGAGGGATGACGGTGCTCATGACGGGATACCAGGACGCGGTCGACTCCGTCATATCCTTCAACACGACATCTGGCAAGTGGCAGAGGCTCGTAGTAGCCGCCGCGGAGCTGCCCGAAAGCCGCCAGCACGGAGCCGGCTCCGTCATCGGCGATACTTTCTACGTTGTGGGTGGCAGGCGGTACAACCAGACCAACTACCGTGACACGGTTTTCAAGCTCGACTTGGCCAACCAGGAGGCTGGCTGGGAGACAAGCACGGGTCACATGCCAACGGCCCGAGGAGGTATCAACGGAGGTGCTGTTGGAAGCACGTTCTACGTCTTTGGTGGCGAGGGCAATCCCGACTCTACCACTGGAGTGTTCAATCAGACTGAAGCATTCGACACGGTGGCGCAAGCGTGGACTGAGCTGGAGACCATGCAGGTACCCCGTCACGGGACTCAAGCAGCTGCGGCAAACGGCCGGATTTACATCCCTGGAGGTGGCCTTCAACAGGACGGGAAAGTGGTCACCGTGGATGGAGTCACTACTTATCAGAATCCGACGGCGCATTTCGATGCCTACTGTGCTTAGTGTCCCACCGGAATCTTTGAAGTGGGGGCGGGAAATCCGGGTTGCTGGCGAAATTGAATACTCCCAGCGTATGACTTGTATAGTAAATTCCTACCTGCTCAATTGGTAACGACAACAACGTTTCGGAAGCCATGCCGCTTCCAAATTTCTTTCGGCCGAAAGATAGCTTACAGGGTACACGCGATAAGAAGGAGTACTGGGTTGCAAGTGCAGTGGGGTAATGGAGACGTAAGGAGAGAGCAACCTTAGATTCATCTGATTACATTATGCCAAATGCGTGAAAGTACCGATCCCGGCCTGCGCCCGGCATATTCTATCAACCGATGCTTTCCCCACAGTATAGTTGCACGTGTGGTGAACCAGCTCGAGCCTCCCCAACAACGCCAAGTCAATTTGCGTATGTTTTGTCCAAATAAGCAAGTGCTAAAAACTGGTATTGATTCTAATGACCAAATGGCCCCATGATCCACCTTCGACCTTCAGGCTTGACCACAGAATTCGGGGAAAAAGACCGCAAGACGAGCACACATCCTGCTGTCTTTATGAGCTTTGACTGCGCTTTACTGTCCGTACCTTAATGTTCCCACGTTCTCAGGCCGCTGCGCAACTAAGCTCGCGATCGAGAACTCGCTTTGCCTAGCCATGGGGTCAGTCTTTACATTTGTCAGAGTCTATGTGAACTCACATATTGAATAACATCATGTCCCATCAGATAGGGATCATGTAATGGACTGTTTATATCAGGCGGTTCATCGATATGCTCTCCCTTCCATACATTCTTGTCCGGTTCATAGCTCCGCACCTGCAATCGCATTTTCTCATCGCGCTCCTGCTGTTTAGGGCCATCGGGAAGGTGAAACATCAACTGCCGAGCAGCGGAGCGAGCGGCAACAGACTCGGCACGTGGCTTCCGAATCATCTCGAAGACGCGCAGGAGCTCCATCAGATCGGCACCGTCGCGGGAAAGGCACTCGGCGAGAGCACCAGCATCTTCGACACACTGTGAGGCGCCTTGGGCTGCGAATGGAACCATAGCATGCGCTGCATCCCCCAGGAGAATGACACGTCCGCTCTTACTGATCCATGTCGGCAGAGGAGGAACTTCTGAGATGCGCCACAGGTAGCCTTCCTGAGTCGGCGCGTGCGACAATAATTTCGTGATCGTGGGCTCGAAATCGTGAAACAATTCTTTGATCTGATCAAAACTCTGTCCTTCGTCCTGAGTGTATGCATCGTGGTTGGCATGGTCAACGATAAGCGTCATGTTGTACGCGTCCTGATCCGGAACCGTTGCTGCTGTGATGGAACGGCTGGGACCGAACCAGAAGTTTAAATCCCCGAGACACGGCTGGAGTTCTGGATCTTGCTGAAGGATCGGAATTGGTATGTTCACCATCCAGGCGCTCAATTTGTAGACGGCCTTTCCCTGGGTTTGAGGTAGGATGCATTTTCGTGTAATAGAGCCAATACCTAAACAAGCAAATTAGTTCATCCGCAACACTTCTGAAGCAGCCGTAATGGCGGACTCCAAGAAAGGGAAGGATGCTGCTCCCGAGTTGGACGTACCATCAGCACCAATTATGATATCTGCTCTCAGCTCGCTCCCATCCTCCAGCATTACAGCTGGCTTTTCCTCGTCGATAGCGGCAACCTTGCAGCCAACTGTGACGTTGACGTCTGCCTTCAGAGCTTCTTGAACCAACATGGTTTGCAGGCGCTGGCGGGTGAAAGTCCAACTCTCAGTTCCAAAGGTTCTGGCATACTGGCCCACCTCTCTCTTAGAAAGTACTTCACCACTCTCGAATCTACGCCAGTTCCATGTTGCCTTTGGTTGGTGCAAATTTTTCGTAAAGGTGTCACTCAACCCGTAAGCTCGAAGGACACGCACTGCGCTTGGCTGCAATGCGATTGAAGCGCCAGCAGACTGATGGAGCGTGGGCTGTTTCTCCAAGACGGTGACATGATGACCGTGGGCCCGAAGGGTAATAGCAGCGGTAAGACCGGAAATTCCGCCTCCGATGATGACAATGTCAAATGGCATATTCGTTTTCGTACACGATAGATGAAACAAGTTACCGTTAACATGATAGTCATCAAGACTCTCAGCAGAAAGCGAATTCATATATTCTCTGAAATTAAGCTAGCAGCCACTTTGATCCGAGGCTATCCGTCGATTCCCGCATAGCCAGTAAGTTTATAACTATAATCTTAGGAGCCTCGGCTCTTCCACCTGATGCATGCAAATCTACGCGTGAAAGCATAACGCATGCAAGGGATGAATTCTTGCAACGCCATAATGTTTGGGCGCAGAGACTTAAGGAGCTTACAATCGTATATACTACGGTAAAACGAAAACTAAAGGGTATCAATATTCGATGACGGATGAGTCGGCAATGGGACGTGCCGAATTACCGCTCAAAAATAAGGTTAACCGCAGACCGAGAATGCGGTGCCAGATCGACCACTCGCTTGATGCTTTATAATAAACTTTATAGACTAGCGTAATGGCACCTTATTCAGTGGCCGTCAAAGTTCGTGCGAACCTATCATGAATAAACACCATTCCTGGGACTGGCAACATTTTAAAGGTGCTCTTTTTGTAGGCTCCACCGATCTTCAACTCACAAGTCTTTTGGCAAACAGGGAATATTGGCATGATGGGTTGATTGTGCATGCAAATTAATTCGTACTTATAACAAATATCATTTAGACAAGAATGTTTTTTGACTCAACTCGAGGATGCCGCTAGCTCACACGTCCATTGAAGTGAGACCATCATGGCCGATTTCACATGCCATGTCATATCTAAATAAGAAAGACGACATAGAACACTATAGGGCTGTGAGTCTATGAAAAAATTTACTACATCCAACATTTATATACATGGATTGGGTTCCGCTTTGCGGAACTACATCTACATGGACGACAACAGCTCGACTTGCTCCCGCATTCTCGGCCGATCGATCAGCTCCTCCATCCCAACATCAAAGCCCTCCCTCCGATACAACGTCGACAGCTGCGCAGCAGCCGCCTGATCACCCCAAACGTCGTAAAACGGCGTGTCCGGATCGAAGTCAGCGTTGCCGGCACTATCACCCAGGACGAAATCCCAAGCACGCTTCACCACCTCCTCTGCAGCGCGGCGCCGCGACTGGAGGTCACCACCAGCCTGCCCGCCTTCTACACCCACAGTCGTCTCAGTACCACTACTAGCACACGCCGCCGCCTCCAGCAGCGGAAACCTCGGCGCCGCACCCGACGGCCTAGGCAAGACATCCGCCAACACCTCCGCGCCATCCGCCCTCGTCAGCGCCTCGATCGTCTGCACCAGCAGATCCGCCACGGCCTCAGCCTGCGCCCGCGTCATCGTCGCGTCGCCGTACGTCAGATCGATAGTGACGCGCTCGCCATCCTGATCAGGGTACGACCACACCCACACATCAGCACGATCATGCGGCGGGACGACGATGTCCAATTCGCACCTCGTTCTCCCCGCCCCCGCACCAGCCGACCACTCCCCATCGTCGTCGTCGTGATCGTCGTCATGCAAGTTCTCATGCGTAACCATAGAACTAAACCGCGTCCACAGCGGCCAATCGCCATCAGTGCACCGCTCGACGATCTCGCGCAGTCCAACGTGCTCATGCGGCAGCGCAGCGGCGTACGCGGCGTGCACGCGCGCCAGCAGCGCCGCGACGGTGTCTTCGCGCGGGCGGACGCGCACGCGGACGGGGATGAGGTTGATGCACGGGCCGGGCAGCTGGTCGACACCAGGAGCGCTACTGCTGCTGCGGCCGGATACGGTGTTGCCGAAGACGACGTCCCACTCGGCGGTAGAGGAAGACGACGCAGACAGCGCGGCGAGCACGACCCCCCACGCGGCCTTCAGCACCGTCGCGAAGGTGACGCCGCGGGCCTGCAGGGCGGCCGGCGCGGCGCGGACCTCGCGCACGACGGACTGGTCGACGCGGTTGCGCGTGGGCGGCTGGCGGTGGGGGAGGATGGGCGTCATGGCCGCGCCGGCGAGTGTGTCGCGCCAGAAGCGCAGGCTGGCGTTGTCGGGCGCGGGGTGCTGCGAGTGGACGAAGGCCGAGAAGCTGCATGTAGGCCCGCGTGAGGAGGGTAGTTCGTTGTTCTCGTAGGCGGCTTTGAGGTCGCGGATCAGCAGCGGGATGCCCAGCCCGTCGTACTGGGCGTGGCTGAGGCGGAAGGCTAGCGTGTGCTGCTGCTGCGGCGGCGTCCCGTTGGCGTTGGCGTTGGCGTGGTGCTCGAGGAGGGTGAACGCGACGGTGTTGGTGGCGCCCATGCGCGTCTGGATGGCCTCGTGGCGGTCGAGCAGGTAGCTGTCCGCGTCGACGCCCTCGGGCAGCTTGACGTGGTGGAGGACGACCGGCTGCTGCATCGTGTCTTTGAGGACCACGGCCCAGGTGCGCTGCTTGTGTGCGAGGAAGGTTGTCCGCAGGATGGCGTGGCGGGCGACGAGGGCACGGCAGGCCTGCTGCATGCGCGGCACGTCGATGGCGCCGCCCTGGAAGCGGAGGAGGAGGTAGTTGAGGTAGCCGCGGTGCTGGAGCTGGTTGGAGGCGTATGTCCAGGACTGGTAGTCTGTTGCCCATGCGACGTCGGCGATTTGCTCCCGCGAGACACCCACGTGCGGAGCGACGATCTTGTCCACGAACTGGTCCATCTGCTCTTGCGGAAGCGCCGAGAACGGCACGTATTCGCGTACTTCGGGAGCACTCTCGTCTGCCGACACTGCAGCCTTGCTCATGTCGCTGAGCACGGGATTCGTGAGGATCTGAGAGACGGAGATCAATACACCTTCAGCTTTGAGGGCGTGTGCCAGGCGCATGGCAATGATTGAGTCGCCTCCCATGCCTAAGAAGCTGTCATCGACGCCAATCCGTTCAGGCTGGAGACCCAGCAGCTGCGCCCAGTGGCGTTGGATCCTCTTCTCCATGGCTGTCGTTGGCGGAGTCTTCGGCTGGCCGCTGGCCGAGGAGCCGGAGAGAACGTGGTCGGGCAAGGCTTCAACGGCTCTCACCAATTTCTTGCGGTCGAGCTTTCCGTTGGCTGTGAGAGGCAGCTCGCGCACCGCAAAATACAGCGATGGGATCATGTAGCGAGGAAGCGAACGTGACAAAGCCGCATCAACCTTCTTGAGCGAGGCCTTGAGCGCCTGCGGCAGTTCGACGATAACATCGCCCGTTCCCTCGATTGCCGATTCTCCACAGCTGGGATCGCAGATGAAGGCTGCTAGCATCTGGTGCGTGGCTCGAGATATCACGGCCACGGTGATGCGGTCCGCCCCGGGAATCTGTTGGCGCAGATGGTGCTCGACCTCGGCAGTCTCAAGCCTTTGTCCGTGTAGTTTCACCTGGCCGTCCTGCCGCCCCATGGTTCGGAGAGAGCCGTCAGCCTCGTAGCGGACGAGATCACCCGACCTGTAGACGCGTCCCGTGCGGCCCAGCTCCTTCATCCAGTCCGGCGTCCACAGGAACGACTCGTTGGTTTTTTCGGGCATGTTGAGGTAACCGTTGGCGAGCACAGGCCCCTCGATGAGAAGCTCGCCGGTGCATCCAATCGAGCAGAGCTTGTTGGGATCAGACGGGTCTGCAATCCACGTGTGAACCGCCGCCAGTCCCTTGCCCAAGTTGCGGCAGTCCGAGTCCGGTTGCAGCGCATTCAGCGTGCACAGAATGGTCGTCTCCGATGGCCCGTAGAGCTCGACAAGATGCAGCTGACCAGCCCACCGCGCCACAAGATCCTGGTTGAGGGCCTCTCCTCCACAGAGCAGCGTCTGCAGCGTTGGGACCGACGATGGGCTGAGCAGGTTGGCCACGGTGGGCGTCAGGTATGCCCAGTTGACGTTCATCTTGGTGATGTAGTCGCCCAGGTCGTCCACCCGCTCATCTTCTGACGGCATGCATATGCAGCCTCCGCTCATCAATGTAGCGAAGATGTCTCCGATGCTCATGTCGAAGTTGAAGTTTGAGAACTGCACCACGCGCGAGGTCGGACCGAGCCGGGCCATGTCTTTGTAGGCGCAGATGCTGGAGCAGAGAGCTCGGTGGGAGAGGAGCGAGCCTTTGGGTTTTCCGGTGCTGCCGGACGAAAACACCACAAACGCGGGTTGGGTCGGGTCGATGGCGTAGGGTAGCGAAGCGGCCGAGCTCTGCGGAAGTGCGCGTAGCATCTCCGCATCAATGATGACCGTCTTTTGAGCAATAGAGGCCAGTTTCTCTGCGCTCTTCGTGTCGGCCAAAACAAGTTCAGCGCTGCAGTCGGACACGATTTCCTGCAGGCGGCCTATCGGATGCGACGCGTCGAGAGGAACGCAGGCACCGCCAGCTCGCAGCACCGCTAGCTGAACGACGACGGCATAGATGGATTTGTGGAGGACCAAGGGCACCAGCATCCCGGGCGTTACTCCTGCCTCAGCCAGGTAGACGGCCAAGCGGCTTGAAAGATGGTCCAACTCGGTGTAGCTGAGGGTTCCCTCCCACGTGGATTCCAGCGCGGGAGCAGATCCGCGAAGAAGGACTTGGTCGGAAACCAGCGAATGGACGCACGTGTCTGCAGCTGATAGATCTTGACTATTCCACGCGACAATCTCGGCATGGTCTCCGGGGCTCAGCAAGTTGAGGTCTTGGAGCTTGATGGATTTGTCTGCCTGGTTCAGCTGGTGCAAGCACTGCTCAAACTGACCAAGAATCCTGTGCATCTGGGGGGAGGGTACGGCGCTGGGCTTGAACTTGGCCGAGATGGAAAGCTCGCGGGGATGCAGACCGCATTCAACGACCAGGGGATACGTGTGGAACGCGTCCGTGTCCGCCGTCGTACCGGCCAGAGTCCATATTTCTGGGTCAAGCTTCGATTCGTCTTCAGGCTGCACAACAAGGAGGTTCTGGAAGTCACAGATGTTTCGGAGGTTCTGGTTGAGCGAGGCAATCTGCTGCAAGCCCGAGTGCTCGAAGGGCATGGCCTTGACAGAATCATCCTGAGTCTGCTGCAGGTACTCGGCGATGGTCAACCGGGGGTCCGGGCGGACTCGGACGGGGATTGTGGTGATGGTGGGCCCAAGGACATCGGCAATGTCATCAACAGAAGCGGAGCGCCCTGATAATGCCATGCCAAAGACAACATCGTCCTCGCCGACATGCTGCGAGACCACAAGGGCCCACGCCGCCCGCAACAGCGTCTGTGCGGTTATGCCGAGATCTGAAGCAACGTCCCATTGCACAAGGCGGCTTACGACTTGTGCCCGAGTGTCTTTGTGGGCATCCACCGTGGGCGCTGGGAACTGCGTGGCAGGAGCGCCGGCCAAAGCAGAGCTCCAGAACTCGTCCGCCTGGGCCGAAGGCGCTCCATTGAGATGTTTGATGAAGTCTGCAAATGAGCTAGCGGGCAGGGCACGGGGCGTGCCGCGGTACGCCTGCTCGATACGGTCCAGCAGCTGCGGGAGGGTCCATCCATCATACAAGGCGTGGTGGCAGATCCAGGTGGCCGTCTTGCAGTCATGACTGAGAGCAAGTTGATGCAGGGGCCGCCCGTAGGAGATGTCCAGCTCGCTGTTGTCCACGTCGCTGTACGTCTTCCACTCCAGAGCCTCATCCACCACCACCTGCAGGAGTGCGCCACCAGAGGCGGCCTGCACGACGCGCGTGCGCAAAATGGGCGTCTCGGCCACGACCGTCTCCCACGCGGAGCGGAAGCGCGTGATATCAATGCCGCCCGCCAGGGAGAAGACCATGCGGCCGACGTACGCGCCCGGCTGCCTGTTCGAGGCGGCAATCAGCCCCTCTTGAAGCGGCGTGCAGGGATAAATGTCCTTGATGGCGTCGCGCGGGACGCCGCACTGAGAGGCCGCCAGGCTGACGGCGTGCTCGCGCTCCTGGACGAGCTCGAACGGGGACGCCCGCCTCGAAGCAACGGCAGCAAGCGGCAGCGGCGCCGCCAGAGCGGCCATGCGGCGCAGCACCGGGGCGGAGAAGACCTGGGCGACGGTCAGCGCCAGGCCGGCGGCCCGGCGACAGTGGGCGACCAGCCGCATGGCCGCGACCGAGTCGCCGCCCAGACGGAAGAAGTTGTCGTCGACGCCGATGAGGCTCTCAGGCATGGCCAGCGCGGCGGCCCAGCCGGCGCGCAGCAGCCGCTCCGTGTCGGTCGTGGGCTGCAGCTTCGCGGCGTCGGCCAGCGAGGCGCGCGCGACATCGTCGGCGGACAGCTGGGCGCCGACGTCCCGCAGCGCGCGGCGGTCGACCTTGCCCGACGACGTCATTGGCAGCTGCGGGACGCACACGTATAGCGACGGCACCATGTACTGCGGCAGCGCGTCGGCGAGGGCGCTGCGCAGCGCGGCGAGGCGCTCGGCGGGTAGCTCCTCGGCGGCGGACGGCGCCAGAAAGGCGGCGAGCTGCTGCTGGCCGCCGCGGCGGATGACCTCGACGGCCAGCGGCAAGCCCGGCGGCGCGGCGGCGCGCGCGTGGTGCTCGATCTCGGCCATCTCGACGCGCTGGCCGTGCAGCTTGTGCTGGGCGTCGCGGCGGCCGACGAAGGCGAGCGAGCCGTCGTCGTTGTAGCGCACCAGGTCGCCCGTCGCGTACGCCCGTCCGCTGCCGAGGCCGGGCACCGGCACCGGCCAGGAGGCGGGTAGGTCGACGAAGGAGCGCTGGGTGCGCTCGGGATCGTGCAGGTAGCCGCGGCCGACGATGGGGCCCTCGATGAGCAGCTCGCCGATGGTGCCGACGGGCGCGAGCCGGTCCGGGTGGCCCGGCACCACGACCCAGGTGCGGCAGCCGACGCCGAAGCCGATATTCGACGAGTCGGCGACGCGGCCCAGGCCGACCATAATAGTAGACACAACAGTGCACTCGGCGGGCCCGTAGCCATTGATGAGCAGCACGCTGTCGGCCCAGGCGTCGACCGTGTCCTGGCGCACCGCCTCGCCGCCCATAGATAGAATACGCAGCGACGGCGCGTCGGCGGGCGAGAGGAAGTCGCCGACGACGGTGGGCGTGAGGTCGGCCCAGTTGCAGCGGTACCTGCGGATGGCGGCGGCCAGGTGGTTCATGCGCTCGTCGTCGGACGGCACGCACACGACGCCGCCGAACAGCAGCGGCGTCAGCGCCTCCTCGATGACCTGGTCGAACGTGTACGCGGCGAACTGCAGCGCGCGCGTCTCGGGCCCGAAGAACTGCGCCGCGCCGTGCGCCCGGCAGCCCGTGGCCAGCGCGCGGTGCTCCAGCATGATGCCCTTGGGCGTGCCGGTGCTGCCGGACGTGAAGACGAGCCAGGCGAGGTTGTGCGGCCGCACGGCGTCGGGCAGCGCGTGTGCGGGCGCCGCGGGGAGCGCGTGCAGGAAGGCTGCGTCGGCTGCCACGACGCGCAGCTCGGCGTGGTCGCGCTCCAGCACCGCGGCCGCACTCGGCGACGCTACGGCGACTCGGGCCGCCGTCTGGGCGAGGATCTGGCGGCGGCGGGCCGCGGGCAGCTTCACGTCGAGCGCGACGCAGGCGCCGCCCGCCTTCAACACCGCCAGCACCGCCACCAGCGCCCATCCGCTCTTCTCGAATGCGAACGGCACGATTGTTTCCGGCCCCACGCCGCACTCGCGCACCAGGTGCAGCGCCAGCGCGCTCGCCAGCGCGTCCAGCTCGCGGAAGCTCAGATTGCAGTCCCACGCCTCGATCGCGGGCGCGTCGCCGCGGGCCGCCGCTTGCTGCTCGAAGAGTCGGTGCACGCACGCGTCGTTCGCCTCCGGCAGCTTTGCGTTCCACCGCGCCACCCGCTGCGCGTCCTCGGCGCTGAACAGGTCCAGCGCGGCGACGGGCGTGTCGACGCCCTCGGTGATGCGCTGCACGATGGTCGCCAAGGTGCTGGCGACGCCGGCGGCCTGCGCGGACGACAGGTGCGTGGTCCAGTAGTCCAGGCTGAGAGCCAGGGCGCCGTCGGCCTGCACCGCGACGGCGAGCGACACGTCGAACTCGGTCGGGTCGTAGTAATGGGAGGCCGTGAAGCGCAGCGCGCCGGGCTCTGCCGCCGCTTGCTCGCGCTGCACCGAGATGGCCGTGTTGAACAGCGCGCGGCCTGGCGCGCCCAGGGCGCGCTGCACGTCGGCGACGGACGTGTGCTGGTGGGGGATGGCGTCCAGGAAGCCACGCTGTGCTGCTGCTAGGGCGTCGCTCACGCTCGCTGTGAGGTCCAGCCGGCAGGCCAGCAGGTTAATGAACGGGCCGACGGCGTCGTCGACGCCGGCCACGGGCACGTCGCGGCCGGCGGCGAGGTAGCCGAAGCACACGTCGTCGGTGTCGGCGAAGCAGCGCAGCAGGATGCTCCACGCCACCTGGAACAGGATGGCCACCGTCACGCCCGCCGTCTGGCAGAAGTCCTGGATCTCGCGGCCCGACGCGTGCAGCTCGACCGACTGGCTCAGCAGCTCGCGCCGCGCCGACGTACTGCCCTGCTGCTGCTGCCGCAGCGCGGGGAAGTAGCACGGCTGCACGCCGTGCAGGTAAGTGGCCCAGTGCTCCAGGTGCTCTTCCGGCTTCACGCTCTGCAGGTGTTTGATGTAGTCGCTGTACAGCGGGCCGCGGCCTGGCGCCAGCCGGCCGTCGTACGCGAGGCACAGGTCTCGCAGCACAACCGACATGGTCGCCCCGTCGATCAGGGCGTGGTTGATCTCGAGCTTGCAGAAGAGCGTGCCGTTGTCGGCCGCTGCGAGCGTGAGTAGATGCTGCGGCTTCGCCTCGTCGGTTTCGTCGAGCTCCTCGTCGACGAGGCTCTGCAGCGTGACGTCGCGCGACCGGCCCGTGGCCTCGAAACGCGAGCTGGCAGCCACGCGTTGCAGGACCACCTGCACAAAGGTGCCGTCCTCGGCGGCGCTCTCGAGCAGCACTGTGCGGAGGGCAGCGTGGCGGTCGACGACGCGCTGCCATGCTGAGCGAAGCCGCTCCGGGTCGACAGCGGCATTCTCTGCTGTCACTTCCCAGACGGTGAGGCATCGGTACACGCCGTCTTCTTTCTGCTGGCTCAGGAGGAGGCCCTGCTGCATGGGCGCACAGGGGTAGATGTCTTCGATAGGACCTTCGACCTTGGAAAGCAGACGTTGCAAGGCGCCTCTGTCCGTTTGTAGTAGCGGGAAATCGCTTACGGTGTACTCAGGCTCCATTTCCTCCAGGCGCAGGACCATTTGCTTCAGCAGCGCCTCGCAGTCTCTAGCCCAGCGGAGGACGGCATCGCGCTGCTTGATGGCCTGGCTGAAGGCGAAGGTGAAGGTGACACTGCCGCGGTCCACCGAGACCAAAATGTCGAATATCGCATCCCGCAGCATTCCCGGGGCCACGTCCTGCCACTTTCCAATCCTGTCTGCCGGGACCAGTAGCGCGTCAGAGCGCTCCATCTGCTGATATTTGCCAGTGTAGTTGAACAGAATCTCGGTCTCGGGTGCATGCTGGTGCCCATCATCAGTCCTCTTCATGTGGCGCGCTGTGAAATGGTCCCAGCCGTTATTCGTCACCGTCCTCCGAGAATCCTTTGTCTGGCGGAGAACTTCTATCGGATCATCGTCTGGCGAAGTGGTTCCTGGAAGGGGGTACATGGTGGTGAACCAGCCCACAGTTCTGGAGATGTCAATATCGGCCGTCCAAGGCTCGCGGCCGTGGCTTTCGACGCTAAAGTGCGGGCCCTCGCGGTCACGGAAGACGCGTGAGAAGCTGGAAACGAGGGCCGAGATCATGACGTCGACGGGCTCGGTGCGCAGCGCCTCGTGGCAGCCTTCCAGCAACGACAGAGAGGTATCGTCGTCCAGCGTGAACTTTTCAAACTGAACGGCGCCAAAAGTATTATCAGCGGGAGAGATGCCCCAGTAGTCGACGATCGACTGGTCCACGGGCGGGGCAAGAATGGCCTCAGGGGTATGGTTTTTCAGGCTGTACTCCTCTTGAGCATTGACCCAGGATCTGAACGACATGGATTGGGGCTTCTGCAGCACGCCGTGCGTCAGCACATCCTCCAGATCTTCGGCGAGGATCCTCCACGACACCAGGTCGATGGCGAGATGATGGACAACAAGGAACAGGACGTCATGGCCGCCGTCCAACTCGAACAGATCGACGGAGAAGACGGGCCCGCGCTGGATGTCAAGACTGGTCTGGCTGAGGGCAACTGCGTCCTCCATCTCCGAAGACGACGGGCCCGCGTGCACTGCGAAGCGGTAGGAGCCCTGGACGTCGGGCTCCACAGCCTGGTGCCAGGCGCCCTGGCCGTCCTCCTGGCGGAACCGCGCACGCAGCATGCCGTGCCGGCCGACCACCTGGGCGACAGCGCGGGACAGGGCGTCGGCACCCACGCGGCGGGCCAGGCGCAGGGTGAAGCTCTGGTTGAAGTGGTTCTCGGCAGCGCCGCCGCGGAGGTGCATGCGCTGGATAGGCGACAAGGTGAACGGCGCACCATCATCGACAACGTCGTCATCGCGGCGCACGGCCGACGTGATGAAGCGGGCGCGGCGGGCGAGGTCGACGAGATCAGCACACTCCAGCATATCACGAACAGTCAAGGCAATGCCCTGAGCACGGCAGCGGCCGACGGCCTGCATGGCGGCGATGGAGTCGCCGCCGAGGCGCAGGAACGGGCGGCCCAGCGAGACGCGCTCGGCCGCCGGCTTGCCCAGCACTGTGGCCCACACGGCCTGCAGGCGGCGCTCCATGTCCGAGGCGGGCGCGTGGACTGCCTCGTCGTCGAGGTCGGCGGCGGCGAGGGCGCGGAAGGTGTCGTCGGCCAGCTCCTCGACCCACGCCCGCACCCTCGCGCGGTCCATCTTGACCGACTTGTTCAGCGGCACTTGTTCCAGCACCACCCACACGGCCGGCACCATGTACTTCGGCACCAGTCCCGCCAGGCGCGCCTGGACCTGCGGGAGCGCCTCGGCCACGGCGGGGCTGTCGGTGGGCGTCAGCACGCGCATGGCGGTGCCCGTGGTGCGGCCGGCCGGGTCGATGGCCTTGAGTGAGAGTACGCACACCAGCTTGCCGGCGCAGGCGCCTTGCTTGGGCAGCAGCACGACGGCGTGGCGCACGCGCTCGTCGTTCCACAGGTTGTGCTCGATCTCGCCCAGCTCGATGCGCTGCCCGTGCAGCTTGACCTGGTTGTCCTTGCGCCGCACGAAGCTGATGGACCCGTCGTCGGCGTTGTAGCGCACGATGTCGCCCGTCTTGTACATGCGGCGCGGCTGTCCATTTTCTTCAGTGATTGCCCACTTGGGATTGACGACGAAGGCCGCCGCCGTCTTCTCCTCGTCGCCGAGGTACTCGCGGGCGAGGATGGGGCCTTCGATGAGCAGCTCGCCGGGGCAGCCGACGGGCAGCAGGCGGTCGTGGTCGCTCTCGTCGACGATCCACGTCAGGGCGCCGACCTGGTGGCCGAAGTTGGCCGGGTGCGCGTCGACGGCGACGCCGGGCCGGCACGACATGGTCATGGAGCACTCGGCCGGCCCGTACAGGATGTTCAGGCACGTGTTGGGCGCCCATTTTTCAATCGTCTCGCGCCGCACCGGCTCGCCGCCCAGGCAGAGGTGCCGCAAGCCCAGAATCTTGGCCGGCTCGAGCAGGCTGGCCACCGTCGGCGTCAGGCACGCCCAGTTCGCCCCGAGCCGCCCGAACGCTCCCGCTAGGTCGTTGAGTCTGTCCTCTTCGGATGGGATGCACACGCAGCCCCCGCGCATCAGCGTCGTGAAGATGTCCTCGATGCTGACGTCGAACATGTATGCGGCAAATTGCATGACGCGGGAGGCGGGACCAACGCTCATGACCTCGCCGTGCGCCCTGGCACTGGTGGCGATTGCGTCGTGCTGGAGAACGATGCCCTTAGGCTTCCCCGTGCTTCCCGAGGTGAAGACGACGAAGGCGACGTTCGAGGGCTGCGCCTGAGAGCGCAGAGGACCGCCTTGGGAAGAGAGCTCGTCCAGGTGCTCCGCGTCGACGACGACCACTGTCGAGACCTGGTCGCTGAGGAAGGACGCCATCTTGCTGGAAGTGACTATCAGGTTCGCGCGGATTGAGTGCAGGATCTCGACTAGTCGTGCTTTGGGATGCGACGGATCGAGCGCCACGCACGCTCCGCCCGCTTTCAACACGGCCAGCATTGCAACCACCACGTACGCCGACTTCTCGAAGCACAGCGGCACCAGTGTCTCAGGACCAACGCCGAGTGCCTGAAGGCGCAGCGCCAGCGCGTTAGAGCGGTCGTCAAGCTCTTTGTAGCTGAGGTCAGCATCCCATCCCCGCACTGCCTGGGCTTCCGGCCGCAGCAAGACCTGTTCGGAAACCAAGTCGTGCACGCAAACATCGAGCTTCTCTGGGTAGTGAGCATTCCAGCCGAGGATCGTCTGCCAATCGCCTTCGCCTAGCAATGCCATGTCTTTCACAGGTTGGTCGAGGCGGTCGAGCGTCCTGGAGAGCATCTCGCTCAGGGCACCGGCGACGCTGTTCGCTTGCTGCACCGACACTCTGGGAGCCCAGTGGTTGAGGATTACAATCACCTCGTCATCCTCCTGCTCGACGTTCAAGGTAAGATCGTACTATTGCACACTTAGCTTTAACATAATGTAATCAGCAACAAAGAAACTTTCAAACATACCTCGGTGGGGTTGTGAGTACTGGCAACTCGCAAATCGACGCCGGCAGCTGCTTCCTTCCAACTTGTCAGGGATTTCCCCGTCGTGACCATCGTGTTGAACAGGGCTTGTCCAGAGAGCCCCAGGACGTGCTGGATCTCGGCAAGAGAGCAGTTGCGGTAGCTGAGGCATTCCAAAAAGTCTTTCTGAACCGTGTCAAGCAGGTCCTTCATGGTTGCCGTGTCGTCGACTGCGAGATGGCACACTGACATGGTCATCAGCGGGCCAACGATTTCGGCAGCCCCTTCAACCGGGATGCTCCTGTCCGTGACCATGTATCCAAAGCATGTGGATCCCATGTCGGTGTAGTATCGTAGCATCAGAGCCCAGATGGTTTGGAACAGTGTGTTGACCGTGTAGCCGTTCGCCTTGCAGAAAGACAGAATCCTCGGCGCCGCGTCGCCCAGGTCAACCGTGAACGATCGAAGGGCGTTTGGCTCGCCCGCTTTCTCGAGGTCCAGCGGAAAGTAGCAGGGGTTGCAGCCGTCCAGATAGCTCTTCCAGTGCTCTAGACCGTCGCTCGAATCGAGGCTGCGAGTGTGGGCCACGTAGGCTCCGAAGGGAGAAGCCGGGCTTGACCACGCATGTTGGTCGAGTGCCATGACGAAGTCACGCTGCAACGTCTGCAGCGATGCTGCATCCATGACGGCGTGGTGGATATCGAGCTGCAGATACCAACGATCCGAGGAAGTGTGGTAGGCAGTAATCTCGTACGGGACTTTGGCAGTCGAGCTGGAAACGACGGCCAAGCAAGGTAATTGGCCTTCGGGAAGCTCGTCGCCGTCTTTCTCGACAAACGCTATGGTGTCTGGCACCTGCTTCAGGACAGCCTGGAGGTAGAGCCAGTCCTCCGAGGCGCACTCAATGAGCACGGAGCGGAGGGCCGAATGCCGTTGCGCAACAAGGCTCCAAGCTTGTTTGATTTCGGATAAAGTGATAGGCGACGAACGCTGCCGCGGGGTAAGTTCCCAGACGTTGCGGAACTGGTAGGATCCTGCCATCTTCTCCGAACCCAGCAACATTCCATGCTGCACCTGCGAGCACGGGTGCAAGTCCTCGAGCTCATCCAAGCTCTGGATGCCCACGGCCTGCAGCGTTGCGACCGCCTCTTCTAGCACCTGGGATGACAAAAGGGAGAACGGAAGGTATGATGTTGGTCCGGCCGCGCGAGCGCTATCCTGCAAAAAGTCATCCGGCAGCGCCTGCGCTGAACGTTCAATGGTCATGCCGACGAACAGCTCCTGCACTGTCAGAGAGAGCCCCCTTCCCTTGTAGAGCGACACGAGCGTCATGGCTGAGATGGAGTCTCCGCCGAGGCTGAGGAAAGACCGGTTGAGCGGCATGCGCTCTGGATCGCCGTCGAGGGCCTTTCCCCACAGCTCCCTCAGGACACTTTCCTGCTGAGATGCTGGTCTATCAAACGTAGAGACAGAAGAGAATTCATCAAGAGATAGCGTCAAAAGATCAAGCTCGGTGCTGCTCAGCTCCTCGGCCCACTGCCGAACGCTGACTCTGTCCACCTTGCCCGACAACGTCAGGGGAAGAGCTGTGAAAAGGCCCCACGTCGGCGGCACCATGTAGGAAGGAAGCCGCTCGGCCAGCGTCTCTTTGACCCTCTGCACCAGGCAGTGAGCCTCCTCATCCTCTTGGCGGCTGATCAGCTGGAATGGCGGCGTCTGATGCTGAGAAGACTGCTGCTGCTCTTGGTGGAAGCAGACGGCAGCGACCAGCCGGCCCCGAGCTGGGCCAACACGCGGGACGGTCACCACGACGTGCTTGACGAGCGGGTCGGCGGCCCAGACGGCACGCTCGATCTCGGCCAGCTCGACGCGCTGGCCCCTGATCTTGACCTGCAAGTCCTTGCGGCCGACGAAGACGAGGCTGCCGTCGGCCTCGTACCGCATCAAGTCTCCCGTCTTGACCATGCGCGGCGCGCCTTCTATCTCGAGTCCGAGCTCGCGCAGCCACGCCGGCGGCGCCGAGACGAACGTGGCCGCCGTCTTCTCGGCGTCGTTGAGGTAGCCGCGCGCCACCGTCGGGCCCTGCACGACCAGCTCGCCGACCGCCCCGACGGGGACCAGCGCCTGGTCGTTCCTGGGGTCGACGAGCCAGGCGCGCGCGCCGGCGGCGAAGCCCAGGTTCTCGCCGCGGCCGCGGTTGTCGAAGAGGATGATGTTGGTCTCGCTCGACCCGTAGCACTGCACGAGGCGCACGCGCGCCGACCACCGCTGCGCCTGGTCGCGCGGCATGGCCTCGCCAGCCAGGACCAGCGTGTCGAGCCCTGGAAATGCTGACGCCGGGTCGAACGGCTTCAGCACCGACGGCGTCAGGAAGGCCCAGGTCACGCGCATGCGCTCGACGACGCCCGGCAGGTCGTTGCGGCGCTCGTGCTCGCTGGGGATGCACACGGTGCCGCCGAAGATGAGCGTCGTCAGCGTCTCGAAGAGGCTGGCGCCGAAGCTGTATGACGCGAATTGCAGCGCGCGCGTGTGGGCGCCCATGCGCATGGCTGTGCCGTGGTGCATGGCTGACGAGGCGTATGCTTGGTGGTCCATCATGATGCCCTTCGGCTTGCCCGTTGAGCCGGACGTGAAGATGACGAAGGCGAGGTCCGAGGGGCCGGCGATGGTCCAGCGTTGCCGTGGCGAAGCGCTGTCGTCGTCGTCGTCGAGAACGTGCGGGCCGAGCACGATGACTTGCTCGACCGCTTCTACCAGCAGATGCTCGTTTGCCACAGACGTCACTGCGATCCGGGCATTGACTTCGGCGGCGATGCCTGCAAGCCTCGCCTTGGGGTGGGAGGGATCCATCAGGGTGAATGCTCCGCCGGCCTTGAACACGCCCAGCATGGCCACGATGACCCAGCAAGACTTTTCGAAGCAGACCGGGACCACGTCACCCCGCTGCAGGCCCGTGTCGACGAGTTTTGAGGCTAATGCTGACGAGAGACGGTCGAGCTCGCCGTAGGTCATGCTGCCGTCCCACGCGCATATTGCCTCCTTGTTAGTCTGTAGTTCAGTCTGCCGGTCAACCAGCTGGTGGATGCAGGCTCGCGTTGCTGCTGGTTCTTCGCGGTTCCAGGCCGCGATTTTGCTGCGATCAGCGTCGCTCAGGAAGCTCATTGCGCCGACTTTCTGCTCCCTGTCGGCCAGAATACTTTTTAATACCTGCTCCAGGGTCCTGCATATGCTGTACGCGCGCGAGGGCGCGATTTTAGTGCTGGAGTACTGCAGGCAGGGCTCAGACAGGTCCTCCGGGACGCGAAGGACCAGTTCAGGCGGCGTCTGGCAAGCGTTGGGGTCAGCAGCTGCTTCAAGCGCCTTCAGGATATCCACATACCTCCAGTGACGGCCTGCAGATTATGTCATCCGTCGATGATGCTGGGCGCATGTCGACAAGGGTGCGGCTCCAGCAGTCGCCCCCTTCAATCTGTTCTGCTGCAGCGCCAAGCAAGCCATCACGGCACAGGAGGTCGTTCAGCGAGTCTTGAGCATCCAAGGCCACTTGGACTGTCGAGAGGCTCTCGCCCTGCAGTTGGAACTGCACGTGATCGGCGCCGCTGTAGCAACGCAAGACCAGCGCCCACGCCACGCCAAGGACACGCTGTGGAGCGACACGGCTCGACTTGCAGACGTCGTTGAGCAGCAGCTGGTCCACGGAAGCATGTTCAACCGAGCCGGTTTCCGAGGGGGTTGTGGTTGTGTCCGCATCAAGCGAAGGCGAAGTGGAGCGGTCGCTGGATGAGCTGGCGGGAGACGTCATGGTGTGCTGCTGGTTGCTAGGGATGCTGGTGCTTGCTGGCCGTCTAGCTGTTCTGCCCAAGTGACTATATTCTGGCATGGTCCCGAATAGGCATGGGTCTTACCCGGCCCGGTCCGTAATCACCATACCGCATTGGGCAGGTGAGCCGCTTACTCTTATGCTGTTCCGTGCCGCCCCCATCCTCGCGCACCGTTTCCCCTTCCCTCCTCCCTCACTTCCAGAACAGCCGCAACCATGGCGCCCGCTGCCTGCGAACCCGCCGCCGACGACCGCTTCGGCCCGATCGTCGGCCCCGAGTGCCGAAACGGCCTCGACTTCACCCTGCGTTTCGAGGACACGATCCTGTCCATCCTCCCCGCAGCCATCTTCTCTGCCCTCGCCCTGCATGCCATCCTGCGACGCCATAGGACCCGTTCACTCGTCGATGGCAAAGCGCTGCTGTGCGCCAAACTGGTGCGTGCCCACCATCTCCATCCGTTTTCGCCATGTTTGCTCATCGAAGCCGGCATGCACGCAGCTTGCTTATCTAGTTTTGCTCGCGCTCCGAATTGCCCTGATAGCCGAGTGGGCGCTCTCGCCGGTTCGCCATGTGACCGCCATCGCCGCCGCCGTCGTGGCCGCTGTCGAAGTAATCCCCATGGCTGTGCTTTCGTACTACGACCATGCCCGCTCTCTCAGGCCCTCAACCCTGCTTGGGTGCTACTTGTTGACGACGCTCGTGTTCGATATTGCCCGTGTCCGGACACTATGGCTGATGCGCGCCTCCTCTGCCGTCACAAGTACCTTCACCGCCGCCTTCTCGCTCAAGGCCCTGGCTCTTATCCTCGAAACCATCGAAAAGCGGCGTTCCATCGTTGCTATCCAATCGAAAGATGCAGCCCCCGAGGAAACAAGCGGGCCTATCAACCGAGCCGTCTTCTGGTGGGTGAATCCGCTGTTGGTCGTTGGCTGCCGCCGTGATCTGTCCGTCGTCCAGCTACCGTCCATCGGATTGGACATGGATTCAGAAACCATCCACCACAGCTTTGAGTCTGCCTGGGCCCAGCGTATGTTGGCTGCCGTGCTCCCCCTCCAAGTTTCATTGTGGTTGATATGGTACCATAGGCCGCCAGTATTCTCTCCTGATCACCCTTCTGCGAGCTTTCAAGCTCGAGATCCTCTACGCCGTCGTGCCCCGTCTGTTCTTATTGGGCTTTACTTTGGCCCAGCCCTTCTTCATCGAAAGGCTCATTTTATTTGTTGAAGAGCCCAGCGATGACGAGACTTATTTTGTAGGGCCCATGCTCATCGTTGCCTGTGCTTTGATTTACGTTGGTGCTGCAGTAAGTCGAGGCCACCATCCCGCGCTTCCAAGCCTATATTGATTTCGAACCGCAGGTTGCTACTGCTGTATACTGGCACATGACATATCGATGGGTAACAATGGTGAGTCATCATGCAACATCACCCAGCATGCACTTCGGCTTAGCAATGCATAGGTCCGCGGCAGTCTCGTCACGGCGATCTACAGAAAGGCACTCAATACACCTTCGGGATCGGTAACGGAATCAGCCGCCCTCACCTTGATGGGAACAGACGTCGAAAAGGTTATCATCGGCCTCGAGGATACTCATGAAGTTTGGGCGAGCATCTTGCAGGTAGCCGTGGCAGTTTGGCTGCTCGAGCGCCAGGTATCATGGGCTTGTATTGTTCCAGTGCTTCTATGCTTAGGTACTGCTGTCTCTCAAGCTACCGTATCCCGCAGACAACCTGCTAATACACTTTGGGATTTGAAGCGTGCGTCCTCAGCCCCCTTTGTCTGGCCGGCCGTATTGGCAAGCTACAGAAATCCTGGAACGAAGCAGTTCAAAAAAGGCTCCACGTAACAGCCGACGCCCTCGGACGTATCAAGGAAGCCCGGCTCATGGGTCTCAGTGGCATTCTGAGCACTATGATTCAGCATCTCCGTGTGGAAGAGCTCAGGCGATCAAGAGCATTACGCAAGCTCTTGGTCGTTGTCCTTACCATCTGTATGTTTTCTTTCACCAGCGGCGTCCTCCACAACTGACAGCCTCCCAGCCCAAGCCACTCCAATCGTAGCTCCGGTGGCTACATTTGCCTTGTATGCTGGACTTTCAGTTGCTCAAGGAAAGCCGAGCCTCCTCGCCGCCCAAGCATTCAGCTCTCTGACGCTGATATCTATTCTTGCGAACCCCATCCTTGTTTTGATCCAGGCCATTCCCCCTCTGGCTTCTGCTGTCAGTTGTTTATCACGCATTCAAGACTATCTTGCAGCCGAGAACCGGAAAGAAAAGAGAATGTTGCGATCAAATACCAGCCTGGACCTTTCCGAAAGCGGCGATAAGTCCACGTATCCACAAGGACACAAAATGCAACTTCTCAATGGGAATTCGGGAGGCACAGGCTTTTCTGTAGCTGTCAAAAGTGCTTCTTTCGGCTGGGCTGCAGGACAGCCTGTTCTAAAGGATGTTTCATTCGCAGTGAGCCATGGCTCTTTCTTGGGTATATCGGGTCCAGTTGGCTCAGGAAAGACGACCTTGATCAACGGTATTCTGGGAGAGACTCCTGAGTTCGGAGGACTTGTCGAGCTGGATGTTCGTTCTATTGCCTATTGCAGCCAGTCACCTTGGCTGCCCAATGTTTCCATTCAGGAGGCAATCACGAATGGCTTTGACTTCGACTCCAGGTGGTTCCAGATCGTCATCCATGCGTGTGCATTGGACGTAGATCTGGATCGTCTGCCTGAGGGGGCGAGGGCAAAAATTGGCAGTAAAGGATTTTCCCTCAGCCAGGGCCAGAGACAACGCGTGGTACGTCCAACCAACTGTTATCGTTTGCAACTAATTCTAAGCATTTGACGACAGGCACTTGCTCGGGCTCTGTACGGCAGACATAACCTTGTGCTCTTAGACGATGCTTTTAGCGGGCTCGATGCGTCAACCAAACAATCCGTGGTAGAACGGGTCCTCAGCCCGGGTGGCATTCTCCGCACACAGAAAACGACAGTCATAATGACAAGTCACGATTGTAAGTCGGCCTCATTCCGTTGATGCGGGCAAGAGCTAATTGTTTAAGCGTTACTGCTGAAGCTTTGTGAAGCCGTCCTCATGCTCGATGAACACGGTACTGTCACAGAGCACAAAGCCGACAACTTCGAGCTGGTCGACGATCCGCTAGAAGTCGCGGAAGATAACGCTGCCGATTCAAACGCAAACCTTGTGGCAGATCAAGACAGCCCGACCGATGCCACAAGCACCAGTCCTGACAAAATGCAAGTCATCAGAGATTGGGCCGTATATCGTTATTACTTCAAATCAGCCGGACTTCCCCTCTCTTTGAGCTTTCTCGGTGTTAGCTTGCTTGTCGCATTCTGCTACAACTTTCCCAGTATGCTTCTCATATCTCAGTTTCAAATATTTGTGCTAACCGCATCACCCTAGCACTTTGGCTCAAATGGTGGTCGGATGCCAATGCGGTTTCTCCAAACAATAACTTGGGCTTCTATCTAGGTATTTATGCAATGCTTGCGGTCGTGGCATTAATTGGCCTGATGATGGTTTGTTGGTAAGTTCAGCGGATGTTCATGTCATCATCTATACTTGCTAAGTTACCGTTCAAGGGTTATGTTCGTGGGCATGGTCTACAAGGTGGGCGAAAAGTGCCACAATAGAATGCTGGACATTGTCATGAGGTATGATGCTCACTCCAATCACAAAATCAGCCTGACACATCTATAGAGTCCCAATTGCCTTCTTTGCGCTAAACGATACGGGAAAGACAACAAATCGGTACGTTGAACATGCGTTTGCTGGCACCTCCCAATTTAACACAGCCTCAGTTTCGGCCAAGATCTCCAGCTACTGGACACGGTATTACCCATGTCTGCGATAAACACTGCCCTTTGTAAGTAATTTGATCCCCTTTTGAGGAATGATGGTAGCTAAACGAGTGCAATCAACAGTCGCTGGGTCCTGCCTGGTTCAAATAGTGATTATCAGCTACGCGGCCAATTACATGGCAGCAACACTGCCGGTTTGCCTCGTCGTTGTGTACATGGTCCAACGGTACTACTTGAATACTTCCAGACAACTCCGTGTGCTCGAGATTGAGGCCAAAACCCCGCTCTATTCTGCATTCATCGAGCTCTTGGATGGTTTGGCTACAGTCCGAGCTTTCCGATGGGAGCAGACTTTGGAAAAAAGCAATTACCGCAAGGTCCAGGATTCGCAGACGGCCATGTACCTCCTCTTTTGTATCCAAAGATGGCTCAACCTCGTTCTTGACTTGATTGTTGCTGGACTTGCGATTACACTTGCTTGTCTCGCTGTTGGACTAAAGGAAAAGTCCAACGCGAGCTCCATAGGAGTGGCCTTGTCGAACATCAATACTTTCAACCAGACACTGGCCAACCTGATCAAGGCTTGGACGACACTGGAAACAACGATGGGGGCTGTTGCTCGCATCAGGAGTTTCGTCAAAGAAACAAAGGTCATGAAGCATCCCAACGGGAACCTGACCAGCACTCCCCGTTCTGAGTCTTTGGCGGGGATGCTTGAATTCCAGGGTGTTTCTGCGTCGTACGGGTAAGTCCGAAAATGGGTGTTCCTTTGCGCTCTTTTAATTTCAGTGCTAATTTGTCATTTCCCAAAGGATCAATGACGATGACCTTGCATTGAGCGGTGTGAATATGTCCATCAAGCAAGGAGAGAAGATTGCTATTTGCGGACGCACAGGCAGGTAAGTGACAGAAAAAGCCTTCATCAATTTCTTCATATCCATCGTGGGAAGGAAAAGCAACTGACGGTTTATTTACAGCGGGAAGAGCACTTTAATTCTGTGTCTCTCAAGAATGTTGGAGCTTGCTTCTGGATCTATCATGATCAATGGTGTGAACGTCGCCCTCCTGTCCCCGGATCAGGTTTGCTCCTCACTCAATATCATCACGCAGGAGCCTCTGATCATATCCGGCACAGTGAGGTTCAACGCAAGTCTGGGGAACAGCGCTTCAGAAGCAGAACTGTTGAGTGCATTCCAGACAGTGGGCATATGGGACCTTATTCAGGAAAAGGGTGGGCTGGATGCGGAGATGCAACCTGCAAGCTGGTCTCACGGGCAGCGTCAGTTGTTCTGCTTGGCCAGGGCGCTGCTGTATAAAAAGCCGATTCTCATACTGGACGAGGCCGCGAGCAAGTGAGTTTACCACAAACACTCTCTGAGCTTCCTACTGACTCTCAGCAGCGTCGACTCCGCAACGGAGCAGCAAATGCAGGATGTGGTCAACACCGCATTCAGGGACAACACAGTGATTTCTGTCACACATAGGCTTGGTTCCATTTTCTGTTACGATAAGGTAGCTGTGTTTGATAAGGGTATCTTGGTGGAGTACGACGACCCACACGCGCTGCTCGAGAAACCGTCCGTATTTGCGGAGCTCTATCGCGAGAGTGGCGCCCAGTAGATTATTCGTGTCGAGGATCCTGAATCCTTGACACTTCGGAAATGGAGACTTCCTGTCTAACTTTTGCGCAATTTCGAAAGAGTTCTTCTCCGGGTCGGAAAGTTCCCACTAGTCAATTCCGAAGTAAATTAATCTTTGCCTACTTACTCAATTCGTTACCCAAATGCATCCTCCATGCTAAGCCTTTCGGGGATTCCCGTAAGCTGTAAGCTTACGCTGGATTACTGTGGGGGTCCGAGGCATCGGCATCGTCTGGTAGTCAGGACATACTCGTGCTACCTGCTCGGCCCCTACCGTGACATTCCGCTCTTCTACATTTTCGATTGTGCTCACATCCAAAGCAAGGGCATTTTATTTAAGTAAACGATTCAGTTGGATCCTCAACGCACCATACTCTTGGTCAAGCACGCATACTCGTTTTACCTTTTGTTATTTTTTTTCAAAATGGGCTCCATCTCCGCACCGAGCGTTTCGCAGGAATTGGCCGACTTGCCTTGTCTCAATGTCGCCAAAATCTATGCGAAGGACGGCCTGGAAATTCAGCGGCTGCTCGAAGCAGGCCAGAAGTACGGATTCTTCTACCTCGACCTGCGTACCGAAATGTCCAAGCAGTTTTTGGAAGATTGGGAGAGCACACTGCGGTTCATGGACGGATATTTCCACCGTGACATTAGCGAGAAGATGAAGGACGCCCGCAACAGTGATACGCACGGGTCAGTAGATGATTTGGAGAGGAAAAACATCAACAGAGCGCTTATCTGACCGTGATGTAGGTACGAGCCCGTGGGAACTTCTGCCGGGTCAAGCGAGAACCACCGTGACTGCTACGAGAGCTTGAAGGTAAGATGGCCCCAACAGGAGAAAATTGGAGATTTGATTGGCGCAAGCTCACCCAAACAATGACTCCAGATGTCAGATGACGAAATGGCAATCAAGGCGCCGCAGCTGCCGCCCACGGTCCTCAAAAACTATGACCACTTCAAGCGGTTCCAGACCTTCTGCCACGAGACATGCATGGAGATTCTCGACTGCATGTCGTCGGCGCTGGGCATGGACGGCGACGCGAGCCTGACGCTGAAGCACCGCGCAGGCCGGCCGACGCTTTCAACCCTCTCGCTGTTCCTGTACCCGAAGCAGGAGGGCCCGTCGGAGCTGGTCGGCCACAACAAGCACACGGATCTGGGCACGCTCACCTTCCTGCTCTGCGAGCAGTGGGGGCTGCAGGTGCTGCGCCCCGACACGGGCGCCTGGCACTGGGTCGAGCCGCGCCGCGGCCACGCCATCATCAACGTCGGCGACGCCCTGCGATTCCTGTCCGGCGACCGTCTCCTGTCGGCCGTCCACCGCGTGGCGCCCCACGGCGGCGCCGAGTACCAGGACCACGACCGCTACTCCATCGTCTACTTCCTGCGGCCCGAGAACGATGTCACGTACCGCAATGCAAAGGGCGAATTCGTCACCGCCAAGCAGTGGCATGACGAGAAGTTTGACGTCTTCCGCCTCGAGCACGAGCAGCAGGAGAAGGCACCCATCCTTTGCGGAGGCATGGAGCGCCGGGGCAATTTTGTCGGCACCATTAAAGTATAAGTCTCGTGGTAGACTGGGCATGGTGCTTATTCCATTATTTGTTAGTTGAGTGGTGATTGGTGGCAAAAGATAGCTCAGAGTAGTCAGAATTCAAGTTTTTGTTGTTTTATTCCTGGGATATAAGCAATCGTCGTGTAATACTGTATTTTGCCTTGACCAATCTGCAGCTTCGATTCCGTGAATGCCGAATAGTAAGCAGCAAAGAGAACGAACTATCCCTCAAGCTCTTCAACTGTGCTGAAGCGTTGAGCCTTGTTTCCTGACAGTAAACCTAGAGTCTGACGCACAAAAGTCGGGGAAATGAGCGTCAGAAAGACGAAGAGCATATAAATGCTGTCAAAGTGTTCTACGAAAGAAAATATCTAAAGCGGAGCGATTCCAGATAATGCCGGAATTCAGGACAATATGGCAGGAAATAAATTCTGCAAGGCCAAAGTTTTTCTCGAGAGATGCCGTTCTGCCACTCTCACCAGAAGTCCATCATTAGTCAACAGGTAGAATGAAAATTATCAAATCCCTACGAAAAATCAAGGCAGCATGGACAGCAGCAGCGTCTCCGGAGTGCACGGTTCAACGGTCCCAGCAAACGGCAACCATGCCAAATCAGGCAGGCGGGAAAATCCTCCGGCGTCGGCACCGGGCCGGTAAGCACAGGCAGAAGAGCAAGCGTAAGCTTATACAGAGCACGGAACAGCCAGGACCCACAATAAGCTTATCCAGGCAGCCGGAGACGGCTTCAACCGTAGCGTAAGCTACGAATGCGGCATGTCCGTGCTTCATGTCGAGACAATGGTTCCTGGAATATCAGTGAAAGGTTGCGATGGTCACTCAGTCGAAGATTCACCTCCAGATCTCTCTCCCATTCAATCGTCGGTGGTCGAAGTTCCGGTCCCAAGCACTTCTCTTTTTGCGTGCGAATTGGGTTTCAACACCGCGGCACTCACCTCATCCAGCGTGTCCTTCAACTAGAAATTCGCATCTTACCTTGAGGGAAAAACAACCTACCGCAGTCATCATGAAGGAGACAAGCATCGACATTCCGGACCTCAGCCCCGTCCTCGGCGGCACCGTCATTGGTGGGTCAACAACGCGCCAGGAGGCAGCAGCGGCAGCGACGATGACGACGCATCGACCCGACCCTCACGAGCCCATCGCCATCGTGGGAATGAGCTGCAGGTTCCCCGGGGAGTCGGACAGCCCCGAGAAGCTGTTCAAGCTCTGCTCGGAAGCGCGGAGCGCGTGGTCAGAATTCCCCGCCGACCGGTTCAACGCAAAGGGATTCTACCACCCGCACGCGGAGCGCCTTGGCACGGTGAGAAGAGTCCCAGCGGCAACTCATTTACGAAAAAACAGAAAGTACTAACTGTGCCGGCGCAGATGAACGTGAAAGGGGCGCATTTCCTGGAAGAGGACATTGGGTTGTTCGATGCCTCGTTCTTCAACCTTACGTCAGAAGTCGCCAGTGTAAGGACTACCAGCGGAGCACCAGATTAGAGGGAGAAGGGGACACGCACACTAACCTCGAAAATGATAATAGTCGATGGACCCTCAGCTGCGCCTGCAGCTCGAGTGCACGTTCGAGGCGCTCGAAAACGGTACGTCGGCGGCAGCACTGACAAAAAGAACGGACAGCTAACGAAGGTCAGCCGGATTGCTCCTCGACCGGATAGCGGGCAGCAAGACGTCCGTCTTCAGCAGCTCCTTCACCAAGGACTACCACGACAGCCTGCTGCGCGACCCGGACACGACGCCGCGCTACTTCATGACGGGCAACGGCACGGCCATGCTCTCGAACCGCGTGTCGCACTTCTTCGACCTGCGCGGCCCCAGCCTGACCATTGACACTGCCTGCTCGACCAGCCTCGTGGCGCTGCACCTCGCGTGCCAGAGCCTCAAGGCCGGAGAGTCGTCCATGTCCATCGTCGGCGGCGCAAACGTCATGCTGAACCCGGACATGTTTGTGACCATGAGCAGCCTTGGGTACGTGTTTGTTGTTGTTGTTGTTGTTGCCTCCTCCTCCCGACACCACGAACCACACTCTCTCTGACAACTAAACTCCTTTAGATTCCTCTCCCCCGAAGGCAAATCCTTCGCCTTCGACTCGCGCGCCTCGGGCTACGGCCGCGGCGAAGGCGCCGCCACGCTCGTCCTCAAGCGCCTCAGAGACGCCCTGCGCGACGGCGACCCCATCCGCGGCGTGATCCGGGGCACGGCGACGAACCAGGACGGCAAGACGCCGACACTAACATCGCCCAGCCGGTACGCACAGGAGGAGCTGATGCGCGCGTGCTACGCCGGTGCCGGGCTCGATCCCAAGGACACGACGTACGTCGAGGCGCACGGCACGGGCACGCAGGCGGGCGACGCGACCGAGATCGCCGCCATCGGAGCCGTGTTTGGTGGTGAGAAGGAGAAGGGCGGCCGCGGGCTGCGGAAGGGCCCGCTGTATGTGGGATCGGTCAAGACGAACATCGGCCATCTCGAGGCTGCTAGTGGTCTGGCAGGCGTCATCAAGACGGCGCTGTGCCTGGAGAAAGGGCTCATCCCGCCCAACGCTAACTTCGAGCGGGCCAACGAGCGGCTGGAGCTGGAAAAGTGGAACATCAAGGTGAGTGAACACGCCAGCCCCAACGAGTTGGCGACAACGGCTGATGATGGGGTTTGATGATGCATGTAGATACCGCAGCGCCTCGAGCCGTGGCCCGACCACTGTGTGCGAAGGGCCTCCGTCAGCAGCTTTGGGTATGGCGGCACGAACGGCCATGTCATCCTGGACGCGGCCATGCACCACGAAAAGAAAGACGTCGAGCACACGCGCGAGCAGCAGCAGCAGCAGCTCCTCCAATCCCGCCTCTTCAGCATCAGCGCAAAAGACGAAGACGCCGCCAGAGGAGCGGCCGCACGGCTGGCCGAGTACGTGCAGGAGAAGAAGGGCGACGGGCCCGAGCTGTTCGACAACCTCAGTTACACGCTGTCGGCGCGGCGCTCCCGGTTCCCCTGGTCCGTCTCGGTGGCGGCAACGAGCCTGGGAGCCCTTGCAGATGTGCTATCAAGCGACGCGCTGAAGCCCGTCCGCAGCGCCGGCGGCGCCGCGCCGCGTCTGGGCTTCGTCTTCACGGGCCAGGGGGCGCAGTGGCACGCCATGGGGCGGGAGCTGCTGGGCGCGTATCCGGTGTTCCGACGGTCCATCGAGGACGCGACGCGCATCATCAAAGAGTTTGGCGCCGAGTGGTCGCTCATGGATGAGCTCCTACGCGACGCCTCAACGAGCCGCGTCAACGAAACGCTCATGAGCCTGCCCCTCTGCACCGCCGTCCAGCTGTCTCTGGTCGACCTGCTGACGTCCTGGGGCATCGCGCCGACGGCCGTGACGGGCCACTCGAGCGGCGAGGTGGGCGCCGCCTACGCCGCCGGGCTGGTCGACTTCCGGTCGGCGCTGGCCATCGTGTATCTGCGCGGCGAGCTGACGACGAGCTTCAAGCTCAAGACGCCGGGAATGCGGGGCGGCATGATCGCCGTCGGCCTGGGCCGCGACGAGGTGCAGGAGTACCTGGCGCGCGTGAAGAAGAGTGCCGCAGGCGAGGTCGTCGTGGCGTGCGTGAACAGCCCGTCCAGCGTGACCGTGTCGGGCGATCTCGCGGGCGTCGAGGAGCTGGAGCGCCTGCTGCACGCCGACGAGATCTTTGCCAGGAAGCTCAAGGTCGACGCCGCCTACCACTCGCACCACATGCAGCCCATCGCGGCCGAGTACCACCAAGTGCTCGAGGCGGCGCTGGCGCGAGGCCGCCTCCTTGACGGCGTCGTCTTCAGCTCGCCCGTGACGGGCAGCCGCGCCGACCGGGTCGACGCCGCCCACTGGGTCACCAACATGGTGAGCCCCGTGCTCTTCCTCGACTCGTTCCGCAACATGTGCCTCGACGCAGAGGAGCGGCAGCAGGTGGACCTGGTCGTCGAGATCGGCCCGCACAGCGCCCTGGCGGGGCCCATCCGCCAGATCCTCAGCCTGCCCGAGCTGCGGGACCGCGGCGTGGCCTACACGAGCTGCCTGGTCAGGAACCAGGACGCCACTTCGACCATGCAGGCCATGGCGGGCTTCCTCGCCGACCGCGGCTACCCGGTCGACCTCACGGCCATCAACTTCCCCAACGGCGCCGACGGGTGCCGCGTCCTGCACGACCTGCCCTCGTACGCGTGGAATCACAGGCAGAAGCACTGGGCCGTGTCCCGCCTGGGTCGGGCGCTCAACCAAAAGCCGGCGCCGCCGCACGACCTCGCCGGCGCCAAAGTCCCGGGGACCAACCCGCTGGCGCCGCTGTGGAGATGGATACTGCGCCCGTCCGAGATTCCCTGGGTGCAGGACCACGTCGTGCAGTCGCACATGGTCTATCCCGCCGCCGGCTACATCAGCATGGTGCTCGAGGCCGTGCGAAGCAACGCCGATGAGCAGCGGCCGCTGCGGGGCATACAAATGCGGGAAATCGACGTGAAGAAGGCATTGGTGATTCCAGAGGAGACGGCGGGCGTCGAGGTCCAGCTCGCGCTGCTGCCCAAGAACGAGAAGGCTCTGGCCTCGCACGACTGGACCGAGTTCCGCATCTTCTCCGTCGACCATAATGACAGCTGGAGCGAGCACTGCAGCGGCTTTGTCTCTGCAGTGTATGGCGACAGTACTCCCTTGAGCGGATCGGGGTCTGAATATGCCGCCTTGGGCAAGCCCGTCATGCAGCCGAAAGCACTGTACCAAACACTGCAGCGCCTCGGCATAAACCATGGCCCGGCCTTCCAGAACATCCACAGCGTGCACGGCAAAGTCACCAGCGTCTTCTCCGTAGCAGACACGGCGGCCCTCATGCCCGCGCGCCACGAGCAGAAGCACCTCCTGCACCCAACAACCTTAGACTCGGTCATCCAGACGGCCTATCTCTCACTGCCCGAGTACGGCCAGGGGCAGACGACGGCCATGGTGCCTCGATCCATCGCCTCCCTCTTCGTGTCGTCTGAACTGGAGGGCGTTGGCGCCGGCTCTCTGCTCGAGGCGCACGCCAAGCTCGGCAGCGTCGACGCGCGCAGCTTCCTGTCCTCGGTCGACGTCAAGGACCCCAGCCGCGGCCACCAGACGGTGCTCCGGCTCAGCGGTCTTCGGTGCCAGTCCCTCGGCGCGGCACTGCAGCAAGACGACCAGGACCAGAACCGCCTGTGCTTCAACATCGAGTGGAAGCCTTACTTGGCACTGGCAGACTGTGCCAGCATCAAGGACCTCCGCGTCGCGGCGCCCAGCGAATCCGAGCAGCGCATGGTCACGGACCTCAGGCATGCCTGCTTGCATTTCATCCGCGACGCTCTGGACGAGCTGACTGCAGCTGATGTTGCAAACCTCGCAGAGCACCACGCCGCGCTCCACCGGTGGATGGAGATTGTGTCCAAGAGCGCCGAGCTGAACGATATCTGCACCCAGAACCCAGCCTGCTCGGACCGTGCGGGCGAGTGGGCGCGGCACCTCTCTGCCGTTGCTGATGCCAGCGTCAGCGGGCGCATGGCTTGCCGCATTGGCGAAAAGCTCGTTCCCATACTGCGAAAGGAGATTGCGCCGTTGGAGCTGATGCTAGAGGACCGGCTGCTGTATGCGTACTACGAAGGCGCTATCGGCATCAACCGTTCGTTTGCTCAGGTGGAGCGGCTGTCCGAGCTGCTGGGCCACCAGAACCCCGCGGCGAAGATCCTGGAGATTGGAGCCGGTACGGGCAGCTGTACGCGCGCTGTCCTCGCCGGCCTTGGCCGCGCCCACACCGCCGGCAGTCCCAACTTCGCCCGCTACGACTTCACCGACGTCTCGCCCGGCTTCTTCGATGCAGCCCGCGAGAAATTTGCCGACAGCGTGGACCGCATGACTTTCCGCAGGCTTGACATCGAGCTGGACCCGGACAGCCAGTCTTTCGAGTGCGGCACGTACGACGTCGTCGTCGCATGCGAGGTACTCCATGCCACCAAGACCATGGATGCCACCATGGCCAATGTGCGCAAGCTCCTGAAGCCCGGGGGCACTCTGTTGCTGGTCGAGACAACCAAAGACGCAATAGACATTCAGTTGGTGTTTGGAACGTTGCCAGGATGGTGGTTAAGCACCGAGGAGGAACGCAAACTCAGCCCCTCGCTCCCAGTCGCATCGTGGAACAAACTGCTGCAGCGCACAGGCTTCAGTGGCATTGATCTTGATGTGCAAGACAGCGAAGACGTCTCCTTCAGCTCGCTGAGCGTCATCATGTCGACTGCAGCCGGCGACGCACCGCAACGCCCCTCTAGCATTGCCCTGGTGCAGGTGCGACCGAAGAAGGAGGAGGCGCAGCAAGCCTGGACGGACCGTCTTGCCGCCCGTCTGAGGCAGGAGGGCGCCGCCGAGGTGACTGTCGAGACTCTCGAGACGGTCCAGCCCAGAGGCCGCACATGCATCATCATTGATGATCCTGCCGCACCCCTGCTGTCCGACATCACGGCCGCCGCATTCGAGGCCTTGCGCGGCATGCTGACCACAGCAGACGGTGTTTTCTGGGTCTCGCACGGCGGCACTATCGAGTGCCAGTATCCAGAAGCCGCGGCGCACATGGGCCTGCTGCGCACCCTGCGCTGCGAGGACGGGAGCAGGCGGTACATCACGCTCGACCTGGACGCCTCCCACGGCGCGTGGCTGGCCGAAAGCGTCGACACGGCGGCCAAGGTATTTCTGCAGGCGTTCGACGAGAGCCGGCCGCGCGAGGAGATCGACTTTGAGTACGCGGCTCGCGACGGGGCCGTCCTGGTCGGCCGGGTGCGCGAGGACGCAGAAGCAAACGCCGCCGTTGCATGCGGCACCGCGGCGGCTGTGCTCAAACCCTTCAGCCAGCCCGGGCGAAGCCTGCGCATGGAAGTCGACACGCCCGGCCTCATCGACAGCATCACCTTCCACGACGACCCGCAGGCCGAGGAGCCGCTGGGCGAGGACGAAATCGAAATCGAGCCGGCCGCCTTCGGGCTGAACTTCCGCGACGTCATGGTGGCCATGGGCCAGCTCGACGAGTGGATCATGGGCTACGAGTGCAGCGGCGTCGTGTCCCGCGTGGGCAGCTCCAAGGGCCACGGCTTCCAGCCCGGCGACCGCGTGTGCGCCATGACCAGAGGCCACTACGCAAACCGCGTGCGCGTCAGCTGGACCGCCGTCTGCAAGATGCCGCCGCAGATGAGCTTCGAAGAGGCGGCGTCGGTGCCCATGGTCTTCATCACTGCCTACTACTCGCTGTTCGAGATCGCGCGCCTGGAGGACGGTGAGTCGGTCCTCATCCACGCGGGCAGCGGCGGCGTTGGGCAGGCGGCCATTATGCTGGCCAAGCTCAAGAAGGCCGACGTGTTTGTGACGGTGGGCAGCCAGGAGAAGCGTGCCTTTGTGCGCGACACGTACGGCATCCCGGACAACCGCATCTTCTCGAGCAGAGACACGTCTTTTGGCGACGCCGTCCTGGCAGCAACGGGCGGCCGCGGCGTCGACGTGGCGTTGAACTCGCTGGCCGGCCCGCTGCTAGAGGAGACGTGGAGGTGCATCGCTCCGCTGGGCCGCTTCGTCGAGATTGGCAAACGCGACATCGAGCTGAACAAGAGACTGGACATGGCGCCATTCCGGCAGAGCGTGTCGTTTGCCGCCGTCGACCTGACGCACGTGGCGGCCCACCGCGGCAAGCTGATATCGCGCATGCTGGCCGCCGTCATGGAGCTGCTGGGCCAGGGCAGCATCAAGCCCGTGACGCCCGTGACCGTCTACGGCCTGGACGAGCTGGAGAAGGCGTTCCGGCTGATGCAGGCCGGCAAGCACCGGGGCAAGATAGTCATCCGCGCGGGAAAAGAGGACACGGTGAAGGTACGTAGCAGGCCCCCAGGCCGCAATTCTCGGCTAACACGAACCCAGGTGGCCCCGCAGCGGCCGAGAGCACGGCTGTCGCCAGACGCGTCGTACGTCGTGGTGGGCGGGCTCGGCGGCATTGGACGGTCGGTGTCGCGGCTGCTCGTGCAAAGGGGCGCCCGCCACCTCGTGCTGCTGTCGCGGCGTGGTGAGGACGCAGACCGCGGCTTCGTCGACGAGCTCAGGACGGCGGGATGCGCCGTGGCGGCACCGCCCTGCGACGCGAGCGATGCGAAGGCGTTGGCGACGGCCGCAGCCGAGTGGGCGAGAACGATGCCGCCGGTGCGGGGCGTGATCCAGGCGGCCATGGCACTGCAGGTAAGTTGGCAGTGAGGGTGAGGCAACGGCCAGATGCTGACTAGGGCGCAGGACTCGGTGTTTGAGCGCATGGGCTTCGACGAGTTTGCCGGTGGGATGGCCCCCAAGCTGCGGGCGACGCGCAACCTGCACGAGCTGTTCGGCGGGCTGGACTTTTTCGTGATGCTGTCGTCGGTTGTGGGCGTGGCCGGGAACGCGAGCCAGGCGAACTACGCGGCGGGCGGCGCCTTCCAGGACGCGCTAGCCCAGCACCGCCAAGCCCGGGGCCTGCCCGGCGTGGCGCTAGACCTCGGCCCGGTGCGGTCGGTAGGCTTCGTCGCCGAGAGCGCCGGCGTCGAGGACCGGCTGGCCCGCATCGGCTTCCGCGCCCTGGAGGAGCAGCAGGTGCTGCAGCTGATCGAGGCGGCCGTGGCCGGCGGCAGCGCGGCCCAGGTCGTCACGGGCGTCGCGTCCGCGCCCGCGCCCGAGCTGGTGCAGCGCGCGGCCTGGCTACAAGACGCACGCTTTGCAGGGCTGCGCGCGGCCGGCGATGCAGCGGGCAGCCTCGGGCGCGCCTCGGGCGGCAGCGGGCCGGCCGTGCCACTGCAACTGCAGCTCGCCGACGCGGCATCCCCCGCCGCCGCCGCTCAAGTCGTGTGCGCCGCCGTTGTGCGCAAGACGGCCGACATCTTCATGCTGCAGGTCGACGAGGTCGACGCCCGTCACCCTGTCACCCACTACGGCGTCGACTCGCTCGTCGCCGTCGAGCTGCGCAACTGGTTGGCTGCCCACGCGCGCGCCGACGTGTCCATCTTCGACGTCCTGCAGAGCGCGTCCATCGCCGACCTCGCCGCCGTCGTCGCCCGCAAGAGCGCGTGCGTCAAGGCCGAGTAGTTGAGCGGGTGGCGCATGTTAAGCGAGAGGCGTCGCGGGCCGGCGCGCAGGGAAGGACCGCTGCCTGGGGCAGTCATCGGGCGGAGGCCGGGATGGGGCCGTGAGTTGAGACATGCCAGATCGCCTGCCAATCGATTCCCCGCCTTGGCCCTAATTCAGCCGCATAATCAACTCCGTGACTCCATAACCCTAATTCCTATTGTGGCAGGCCTTCGGAGTTCTTACGCGCGCTGATTACGTCCGAATACGGCCACTACCCCGTCCTTATCAACAACAATGATAATAGCTCCCCTGCGACTCGCCAGCCAATGCGCGCTTTGACCGCCGAAATAATCCGAGAACATTGTTCCGATGTTCTGGACCCCACCCTAGAAGACGCTGCACGCACTGTTCAAAATATATCCGAGTTAATGGCCCCCACCAATAACCCTAAATTATGCCTCGATAGTGAAGCCCTGCTCGGCGTCAGACGGTGTCCTGTAAAACAAGCTTAGTCAACTAGATAGACCAATTGCAGCCACTAGCGAAATTTTCAGTGGCTTTCTCGCGCAATAGATGGGTTTAATCCGATGTTGTGATTGCAACACTACCAATGCCGCCTTTGCAAGAGTCTCAGATGGCCGTTCCTGACAGGGAACAGAATCCTTCACGGCTGCGATGCCTCACATTAGTGCCCCATTCTCTCTGCAATGTACCATATTTATATCCACCCTCTTCAAATAGTCACAAATTCACACACTATAGTCTCTGTAACCAGCCATGTCGTCGTCAAGTATTCATGGGCTCGAGGAGTGGACCTACGCAATGGGCTACGAGGAGCGGCGCCGAATCCAAAACCGAAACGCCCAGCGTATCTTCCGTATGTTGCTTTCCCCATGGAATGTATGAATGATGGCATTAACAAAAACAGGATGGAAGCAGAAGAGTAAATCAGCGAGCAACAACAAAAACCACAACGACGGCACTTTCACCGGGCAAGAAGATCGACCAAACGCCTGCATGTCTTCGAACGAACTCTCTCAATCCTCTGGCTTCGATTCAACTCCAAATACGACCAATCTCGCCGAACCTATGGCCGATGACGAAGACTTTCAAATGCTTTTTGGCGCCACCGACACAAGTGCATCTTCGCCATACCACTTCCAAGACCTCGGCATCTGTGAAGATGACTTCCAACCTCGCCGCTGCAGCTGCCCTCCGAGCCCCAACTCTGCCGACATGCAAGAAATGCTACGTCAAACCCTCGCCACCACTCATCTGCAGTGGAAGAAAGAGCAGTTCGGCCGCCAGGCCGACATGATACTGGTCACCCTGGCCACCTTGTATGAAGAAAACGTTCGAAACAACACCATCGCCCGAGATCCGCTGGTCGATGCCCAGCTACGGGTTTTACGCCAAATTTTCCAAGACCTGGCACGCCCAACCTCGACTCCAGACGACACTCACCAGAGCCTTCTAGATAATAAAACTAACTTTGATGACAAATATCTCTTAGAAATGCTCACAGTATGTAAATAAAATATTACGACTTGTATGCTTACTCGTTTCTACTTGGCTCATTTCTCCTTTTACTTGAACTATTCTTTTTTAGACCTCCCTTTTCTTCAGCAGCTTCTTTTCGTACATAGTTCTGATTGCCTACGTTTCGTGACACAAAGAACCAGTCTTGAATTTCAAATAGAAAAGATAGCATGTACATAAATGGCAACTTATGAGAGAGACTACAACGTCAGATCTATTGTAAATCCCAATGGAGCGGAGACGGAAGCGAGGATGCTTATGTGCACGACTAATCGGTCCGACGCGCTTAAACGAATGGGGTAATTACGAAATGCCAGGGTGCATGCGAACGCTGACAGGGCCAGTTGGAGCAGGCGGATGCGGCGCAGTCGAAGGTGCAACAGACTAAGCGGTAGGTGCGCGCGGGTGCTGTGGCTGCGGCGTGCGGGCAGCTGACACGTGCCGTCGGGCTTCGGTACATAGCTCTGGGCCTTTCTCTATGTATCACACACAACTGCAAGGTACAGAGTGCAAACTCCACGTACAATCCTTCTCTCTATCGCCCTTTATTGCTGGCAATTTGACAGCCACCTGCTCACTAAGCCTGTACCTGGCGACCGGGCGTCCGAGCCTTTCCACCGCACCGCACCGCATCATGCTTCGCCGCAACGGCAAGCCCAGCTCGTGCGAGCCATGCCGTAAATCCAAAGTCAGGTGCGACCACCGCACGCCCATTTGCGCCCGCTGCGAGTCCCGCGGTGTTGCTGCTCAGTGCCGTTATCATCCCGCGCCTCTCACTCGTCCCGGTCGAGTCTACAAGCGCGCGGAGCGCCAGGGCTCTCCCAGCCTATACGCTGCCGCTGCAAGCGAGTCCCGGTGAGTCTTCTGCCGCCGTCTGCTGCTCCACCTGCTTACCGACCTGCAGAGAGCATACGGGGGATCAGCAAATGTGGAATGCCACGCCAGATGTTCCCCACGCCAGTTCAAATCCATCGCCTGCCGGCGTATCTCTGGACTCGGGCCTTGGATCTACCAGCTACACGTCCGTCTTCCAGCTGAGCCTGGCCACTCCTCCTCCGATACATGCTGTTTCCACCGTCTCCAGCCCCAGCAACATGCCAGCCCTCTTGGCTCCTGCTTCAGATCGTGCCGAGCTGCGGACTTGGGCGCTGTCACACTTGCACCCTTTCGTGACTGTCCAGGCGCTTGCCGAGCGATATCTCAACAATAGCCAAGTCACTGCCATACGACCCATTTCAACAGCTGGACTTTCAGCCCTCGGAGAGACTCTTGAAAGCGAGAGGCGGGCAGGGAGAGATGCATCCGCCTTATCTCGCCGTATTTCCACCGCCACTTGCCGCCCACTCGAGCTCCCGGCTGATGTCTCTGCGCGAGAGTTCCACAAGTTCTTTACAGGCGACAACTTGCGCTGGGAGTTTATCGGCCTGGTCTTCACATGGGCTGGTCTCTCTGTAACTTGGTCTCCGCCCTCTCCGACAGAGCCATTGTTTGCCCAGATTGCTGCACCAGGTAATGACTGGAGCCAGTTTGCAGCTATGATGATGGATTGTAGCAACGCCTGCATATCCTTTTGCCAGGAGAGTGGGCCAGCAAACGACCTTCTGATATGGCTCCTCTACGAGAATCTGGTTCTTCTCACTCTGATACACGGTGATTCCAGTATGCAAACGTAGAGTATCTAGTTAAAGTATGAGGGCTGACAGACTCTCAGGTCACTTTGCCTGGCAGCGGTTGGGCGATTTATCAACCGATATCTTCGCCCTAGGTTTTCACAAGGAGCCAAAAGACCCATCAAACGTGCCATTGTTCCTTCTGCAGTCGAGAAGGAAGATATTTGCCATCGCCTATCGTCTTGACAAGACCATTGCCACTTTCTTCGGTCGACCGCCTCGTATTCCTGCTAGGTACTCGAACGTTAAACTTCCATTTGACGTGGATGACTCTGTCCTTTTAGATCCCGCGACCTCTCTTGAAAGTGTCGCCACAAATCTGGACGAGGATGGCTGGAGCAGGGACCGTGTTATACGCCCATCCAGTTGGATCAGGGTACGGTTCATCATGAGCAAGTTTCGCGAGGAAATCTTGGAGCTGTCCCTAGGCCCTGCGAGTGCGGACATTGTGCAAAGAATAGAGTGAGTTGTCCATGCCTATCCGCCTATTCATACCTGATGTCAGCAACAAGGGGGATTCTTCAGAGGTCCAATGAAGCTTGGACGGCCATACCTAATACACTCCGCTACGATATCTCATGCTGGGACTCGGGCCTCCCTCATAACGTTTGTCTGATGTTATTGGTGGCCTATCTGGATCACTTGCACAGCGAGTTTCAACTCCAACGGCTGCTATCTCAACATTCATCTGTGGCAAGTAATGCCCTCCTTGACACATCATTACGTTTGCTTGCTACGGCGATGGTGGTCACAAGTCGTGACATTGATACACTTGGGATGCGGCGAGATCGCGCTTGGATTGTAAGTGGTTAAAATCCACCGATAATTCACTGAGAGGGCTGACCAAGTAGATTCTCTTCTACGCTCTTCCCGGCGCCGTTGTTCTCGCCCTCGAGCTGCACCAGCGGGCACAACAAGGCATTCCATTCCCTGCGCCGATATCAAAGGGAGAGATCATCCGGCGTCTCTGCGTCGTCGCCTCCTGTCTTGAATGTGCTGCTCGACCGTCTGAAGGCAATTATGGCCTTTGCAGCGCTGCATCCAAAATCCTATCGCGGATCCTCGACGAAGTTCTTGACCCTCCCTCTGCTGTTTCCAACGAAAGGGTGTTCGGACCAAACTCATCACTGCCTACACTGGGCTTCACAGGAGACCATTCACAGGACACGGAGGCATTTTTGTCCTGGTGTGACTCCATTGGCTGGGAAGGTACAGACAACCAGCTTCTATTCTAAGTTCAGAAGCCATGAATCAGGCCCCGATAGCCAACACATTGCGTACGCTCCAAAGCCCCAGAATCAACATGAAACAAACGAGTCCTCGCTTCTGCGCAGAATTCGCAATTATCCGCATCGGAATGCTCATTCGGTCTTTCCTGCAAATTTCTTCGTGTTGACCGGAATCAAAACTTCTCGGAGTCGGCGCTCAGACGCCCACTGTTGACCTCCCGCATTTGGATCACTATTCCGATCCCTGCTTATCACCCGGTAGATTACGCCACACCCGAGATTGTACAACTATTCCGATCCCTACTCACCGCCCCGCAAACGTGCGCGACTGCGTAGTTGATCTAATTATTGCTGAAACCATTCACGAGATCGCCAAGGCTTTTGGTGTTGTCGAGTCCGTTCCCCTGAGATCACGCCATGCCCCAATCTGTCTATGCCGAGCTGACTGTGGGGCTGGATTGGATGAAGAGACTATTTTTTTGGACTCCGATAATACGATCGGAGTGCGTTGGTCCGATGCATGGTAATCCGCTGAGCGAGGCGCCACCATCGCCATGACCAACATCAATTAAGCGATTGGTTTCCTCCCCCCCAGGCGAGCGACACAGCTACGCGGCCAAAACGAAAAAAAAAGCAAGTCAATAGCGACACCGTCTAATGCATCAGAATCCTCCTCGGTAAAAAGTCGAAGGGGCGGTCAGAGAGTTACAGGGCGGTGTAGGTTGGCTGCGGTAGCCTCGAAGATGTATTCTCGGAAGTAGGTCCACGAGTAAAAAATTGAACCGATTCCGATGCCCTCGGCGCCAGCGAATCTGCGTCGTACGTCTCGCCTAGCTAGCCTTTTCCATGTCTTCCCGTTGCGGCAAGCGGTAGAAGAAAAGCGGGAATACCCGTTCTAAAAGATTTTAGCCCTGAAACTGAGAGGCCGTATCTTAGGTATCATCTGCTCCGCCCTTCAACGTCACGATGTTCGGCGTCTGATGGACCAACATGCTGTACACTATGAAATTTCGTTTCTATTAATTTTTATCAACTTTAATACTACTATTCCTCTAGCAACAAAATGAAATATCTTTTCGCTGTTAAATTAGTTCTTTCTTCGAAAATATCGTAGTAGCTCCGTGTGAACGGCGGAAGTTTCCCAGAGTACGTACTGTTTGAACTCAATAGATTATCTATCTAATGGACCTCATTAGAGGGCTGCTATCTACGGGACTCAGGAATATGCTAAACTACCTTTGGATTTCCTAATTGGGCTACATGCTTGGCAGTAACTTTCGACTTTCAACACGTATGTCGAGAACGGCAGATAAGGCAGCAACCGGTAGAAGCTGGGATTGACGCGGCATGTAGCCAGCTCGAGTGGACTTGGGACTTGGCCTCCCCCTCGCCGCCATTCCGGAAGGCGACTGCGAGATCGTTTACCACATCATGCTCAACAACACGCCCCTTTTGCTTGGCCGATTTGGAAGGAAAACCATAGCCACAGGCTCCAGAGAATTATGCCATTATCGCCCAACCGCAGCGTGCACACGGTCTTCATGGGAAAATGACCTAGATCGACTCGTGGCGGTCAAGTACTCCTCCGAAGTTTCTCCTCGGGAAAATACTAAAACAAGATAGGAGGCGAAGTCCGTGGGCACCTGTTCTTTGAGGGAGGGCTAGAGTTGGGGTGGATCATGGGCTGGTCCAGAACCACTGAAAGGAGCGGGACACTGCGACGGCTGGGCCGGTTCCGCCTCCGAACAGACCAGATGAAGAAGAAAAAGCAGAAGCACGTCCGTTAGCACAATGGCCCTGTAACAAAACGGAGTATGGCGCGAGGCTCAAGGGTAAATATCAGGTGTAACGCGACATTCTTCGCGCCGGATTCTCTGGAAACGGGCATTGGACGGCTAAAGCCCTACCTGGTTGACGGCCTGATCGGCATGGCCTTTGCGCCTTGGCGTGCATGCCAAGTACCCGTCTCCACGCGGGACGGTGAGAGGGTCGCGTAGCGCCGGTTCACAGGCAGTTCGCTTGTCCGCTTGTCCGCTTGTGCGCTTCAAGGATACTGCTCCTTACGCAGTTGCTTGTGAAGCGCTGGCGGAAGGGTCTACATACGCTAGGCTATGCGATTGTCCATTCAAAAAATTTGTAATTTGGAGTCTCCAATGATAACGCGGTGGAGAGATCAAGGCTGTTGGAGCACATCTAACCACACTCCATCCTCGTGCAATCCCAGGGCCCGGAGATCAGCAGGGTTCAGTGATGCAGGTGTTTGTAGGTCAGGAGAAATCGCGGCGTCCAGAATTTCCTCAATGCGTTGATGAGCTGATCTGAATGCTGAAATGTGGCAATCGCCTTCTCGCGCCGTATGGTCTAGGCATCTCAAAAAGAGACTTAGCTCTTGGATGTGCTTGAAACGCACCGATGGCGCTGATCTCGACGCCATTGAGGGACTGCGGCGGCTTTGGTATAAGAGCACAACGGCGAGCACGCCCGCGCATTGTATGCCATAAAGGTACATCTGTAGTAGTACCCGTCAGCTGCTACTGCATCTTGAAAAGAGGTTTGATGAACATGAGAGGGGGATTTCGTGACACGGAGATATCCCGACTGTTCATGGTGGATGCTGAGAAGGCGGCTTTGTTACCTTGGAGACGAAGTCTGAGCGGAAGAACCCCAGGCTGTTGCGATTCTCAGCGACGGTCAGCAATGCGGAGAGCATCTTGTGGGAGACCGTTACCAAGCCATCCACGTATGCTGCATCACTGCGGACTAGATGTCGCCGGAGTACGAAGTGGGGATAAAGGTAAGAGAGGTACAAGTCGAAGAGGAGGTAGCACTCGTCAAATGGCCGGCCAGAACGCCAGCAGTCCGGATCGTATCGGAGCGACACCGGCACAGCCTGCCATGTCTCTTCGAGCAGCTTTACTATGTCCCTACAAGATCTGTTGGTGAGAAATGATGGTTTTGTCGGTGAGCTAATCAAACGTACTGTGGAGAGGCGCTGTTGTTCGCACTGGCGGGCTCTACCTCGAGCATGAAAACTAGAAGCTCCTCGAGAAGCGCGCTGAACGCAAGAGCAATTTGGTCAGACACACTCTGAAGAGGTGCTGAATTAGGTAAGTCTAAGATGTCGCCCAGGGTGGGGTCGCCGCTTTTTTGTTGTTGGCCCCAGTCGTCTGGACTTGGCTCAAATTTCCACGTGGAGTACAAGCGAGATATCGTGGGCGGGCGGCCAAGGATGATGGCGATATGCTTATCCAGACCATAAGCCTCGATAAAGAGCCGTTTTCTGAAGCCAAAAAGCGAGTTTGTGGATAGACTCCCGAGTGGGAGTTTCTGATGGATCCCCGAAGCGAATACCGCAGTTGCGAGCTCGCTCAGTCTACGCTGCACAGCATGGTCTTCTGCAAGTTAGCCGTCCGTTAATGCGGAATCATTTGCATTGTATCCGGTAGTGCTTACTGTTAGCCCCATAGAGCGTGAAAAGCAGAAGCAAGTTCTGGTAAAGTAGCCAGACTGCAAGCTCGCCGTGTGTCCCTAAGCTCATGTTGAACTCAACACACTTGCTACTTGCGTCCACCAGCTCTTGGAGCAACCGTCCTTTCGCTTTTGGGCTCACACCCGCTGGGCTTGACAATTGGACATCCTTGCTTAGTGTTGCAAGCGATAGTGCAGCAAAGGAAAAAAGGAGCCCGAAAAACTCCCATCGCAGATGCGGGATGGATAGCGTTTCATCTTCTTCTTGTAGCGTTGCGCTCGGATTGCTACTCGTATCTCTGAAGATTCGATCCGAAAGAAGAATATAGTCCAGCTCGGTCAGATGCGGTGGCATGTCCACTCGATGCAACATTTTCATGGCAGAGCTAACAGCCGACAGTTGGATAATGCCCGGGCCTTTTTCAGGCAGTTGGTCCATCAGGCTACGCAACAGCTGATCGTCTTTGGCCAGAGCCAATAGCTGTGCGCCTTCCCGGATCCTGTCCAGACCAACATCTCCCCGCTTGCACCAAAGGTCCCACGGGAGCGTCGTCTCGTCCGGGAAGATGGAGGAAATGCTGGTCTGGCCCAGGAAGCCAGCTCCAGCATGCCTCGAGCTTTTGGAAGACGATGGCGCCAAGATCCTGGATGGTTCCGGGCTGGGCTTAGCGTCAGCACAGAACAGTAATTGGCAAGACATGTTCTAAAGGGGTCCACCTTGTCGAATCCGTGACCCGCGTATTTGAGCTGCATCTACGCGACTGGCTACCAACGGTAGGTGAGGAGTACTTCCATGTTCTCTGTCCCTGCATTAGCCTGGCTTGGCAGATCACGTGGAGAGCAGGGGAGAGACGGACCTGGTCTAGGTTTCCAGCTGGAGATTGTGCAGAGTCAACGGAGTAGCTCCTAGTGGAAGAGAACATAGTTTCTCGCGTGATGCTCATTCTAGGGCTCATCGATATCGACAGTTTCTGTATATATAAGTCGCAAGCCATTCTCATGCGTAGTCGTGCTGTGAAGGATTCGCACTCTTGGCTTGCTGTAGAAGACAGGAGACTAGAATAGCCTTCCCGTTTCTTATCCATCCAACGGCTTGGTACGATGATCCTTCCGAGGCCAGCCAGCCAGTCATGTTTCGTTACGGGGCCCACGTCGATTTTGGACCCCATCGGCCGCTACCACCTTCCTAATGCAGCGCGCTGCAGAGGGCTATTGTATTGTATCTGTACTTACGTCTAGGGTGCGTCCGCCTGAATACGCGAATATGCCAACAGGTTGTCGTCAAGACCCATTCTACCTCAGTTACAGGGGTGGGGATAAATCCGAGCGCGGTAACTGTACCGCTTCCACAACTCGATGTGGCCCCACAACTGTTTCGGCCCCCACGTACGCAACACTCACCTCGAGTTGCGTTGTTTGAGCTGAGTTCGCGAGCCCGTGCAGCCTGTCAAGCGAGCTCGCCACCTGCATTCCTCACAAGTTACACGGCCTGTTCCGAAGACGATACCGACGCGTATGTACACGACTCGCGGATTGAGGGGCTGCAACCTCATTCCCCTATCTTGCCTTTGTGCTGCAGTCAAGTGAGCCACCAAATCTATCCGTTCCCTGTACAAAGCCATAAATCTAGACGACACCGTGTAGGTTGCCATATACCAGCCTACTATTGACTGCATCATAAAAAGAAACGCGCTTCCGAGTCGTGTTCGTGGAGGGGATAAGTGAGTGGATTGGCGGTGTGCTTTTTGAGCACAAGGGAAATTTCCGAGCAATAGAATTAGAAACCGAAGAGCGAGTATACATGTACGACTCATAAAATCATTCGTCCCATCCTCAAAATCTCGCTTAAGAGAAATAGCGAGACTGCTTAAGAGGCACGTACTGTAATACTATTTGCAGTGATGTCAGATATGGAGAGACGGGCTTTTGTGACTATACTTCTACTATTGACTTCGTGATTAATCATGTCTCAGTGATTGTTAAGTATGAAAACTTTTTGAACGGTTCTATCATTCCAGCTCAAGGTTAAGTGGTCATCGTGATGAATAGGCCCGGTACCCAGAGCGACTCTATTCCCGAAAAGTTTCTAAGCTGCTACTGGAGCTACTGGGGCAGAACAAGAGTATCAAGACCTTCCTCAGGCTGCCAGAGGTGGTCTGTATAGGTTTCGGAACTTCCTAAGAGCAGAGGGATTGTTTGATTGTTATGACGCTCTCGTGCTAGAAAAAGGGGGGTTCTCTGCCATCGGTCCACTGACTCTACCGAAGCCCCTCGTTCCAGCAACAGCTGTACAATAAGGCTATGCCCTTCTCTTGCGGATATGTGCAATGCTGTGAGTCCATTGCTGTCTGCTGCAGAAGCATCGACCCCTTTATTCAAGAGCAAGCGTACGACTTCTTCATTGCCTCTTTCAGCAGCCGTGTGAAGTGCTAACGTCGCCCACTCTTGGGTTGTCAATGACCTCGAGTGAGACTGGAAAGCATTGAAGGATAAAGCTTGAGTTGTGTCCTCGCTTCCATCAATTCTGACTGGCTCGGGGTAGATTGTTGCCGATATTGTGTGGTTGAATGCTTCGGTTGAAAGAGATGCGGACCAGTCCAGCTCTGTGAAAGGTCCGTGTTGCCAGCCAATGGTTGCGTCTGGGAAGTCCGTCCTGTTGCAGGATACACTGGTTCGAGGGCTCAGTTGGGAATGAGATTGATCCATGGTGTTGTCGAGTTGGGCATTGTTCATGTTGCTTGTAGAGGTGTCTTCTGGGAGGTCGATGTCTTGGCTTCCACCAGCCTGGAGTTGCAGCTTCCGCTTCTTCGAATTCTGCCTGAAGGTGCGTTGTGCTATGCGATTCTGAATCCGGCGGCGTTCGACCGGATCTGTGACCCTGGTCCAGTCTTCATGTGGCTGTGAGATGTCAGAGATCATCTCTACCCGGTCGATCATGATAGTGCTGATGTCTGGCAACGAACAGGAGAAGTCGCTTGACCTCTGTGATGTGCTGCTTGGACGTTCCATTTCACGTCTTTCTGGAGCTTATAAAATACTTCGGGATACTATTCCTCGGAATTCGATTGGCAGAAGTACTTGACTTCCGAGGGGTCAGTTGGGGGCCATTCTCAAGGTCTCGACCGGTCCCTACCGAGTGTCCGTGCTTCTGCATGTGTGCTGCGGGAAGTTACGAATACGAGGTGCAGGAGTACGGCATAGAACTTATACATTACATTTACCGTGCTCTCTTGGCTAGTCGTTACAAATTGTGAGAGCCCCACTGTGTCTTGATACACAGTTGTTGTCTCCCAAACCTTTAGCTAAAGTCCTCACTAATAGACCAGTAATTTAAAGCGTCCTCATGTAGAGGGAAGTACCAGTCAAGAGAGCGACAGTAATGAGAGTGAAATAGTGTTCAACTCTATGAAGAAAATAATTCTCTCCAATCACGATTCTGTTTCACGGCTCGTTGATTGGCGAAGCGCTCGAGACCATTTGAGAGGATGTCTTCAACATCATCATCATCCAAACCATTTCGTTGCAGATTCTGATTTCAACATGGGGAGTGGTGATAACATACATTCCCATGAATCTAAGAACATTTCACTATATCTAGCGCACTCTCAGGTAGTCCTGAGATTTCCCGCGATTGAATCTTGTCGTGGGCTCTAGCTCATGTAAGCACTCCGGTGCCAGCCCCTCGGTCTGCAACGCCAAGTTGGGGTGCAGAGTGAAGGCTCATACTTCCTTCCACTGCCAGGTGTCAGGTGAGGACACGGTTGGCTCGGCCAGAATCTCCACTGCGGCGTAAACTACGTGAAGAGGTTCAGTATCAAGCTCTGGCTGGCCCCTGTGCAGGCAGGACAAGCAGACCACGATCTACACAAAGATGAAACAGTCACTGAAGTGAGTGCTGGAAATGAGATTGGCAGCTGAGATTATTCAGGCTCATACCTTGAGCTGGCTGGAAGATGTTTCTTCGACGACGCGTCCCTGACGGATGCTGTCTTGAGACCTATGCATCCACGCTGCATGCACAAAAACGATCATGAATGGGATCACTGAGATAGGACGCGGATATGGAGGAATACTAGCTTACAGAATACTGAACAAGAAGGGAAAACATACAACGCAACTGCAAGTTGCGTGGTCAGCACGCCTTGTCTTTCAGTTGGGACATCCGATCTATAATCTTCCCACACGAGTCCTTCTCGTGGAAGGAGCTCACTCGTACGATCTTCTTGGGAGGGAGATTCGTAAATGCATAGAAAGCTTTCGCAAAAAGCGTAGCCTGACTGACAGGAGGTGGCGTGAGGATTTCCAAAGAGTGGTTTGTAAAGGACAAGTCCGAAAGGACGTATCTTGAGGACATGATTTGTGCCGAAGTTCTATACATTGCACACTCCGGATCGTGCAGAGTTGCCCCAACCATTTTATACGACCATGATATTTCTCTTACGCTACTCCGGGCTCAGGAGCTGCCGATCAACATGTGATTCGGAATAAGCAGGTGGGTCGTAAGCCGATTCACGCTTACTAGTCTGCTGATTTGCTGTGGATATTACACTTAATCACCCCACATGTAATATCATGTAAGTGAAGGTTCATGCCGAGTGGCACAGCATGTCAGCAATCCTTGAAAACTTCAGCCGTTATGATTGTCTTAAGAAGGTTCTCTCGAGGCTTTGGCAAAGCCAGTCTACCTGACTCGGCATCAAAATTCCGTCCAAAATGTTACCTTTGGTTGCGTTAGTTGCGCTTGGCACATTTTCAATCTACTATTTTGTCCTCTATCCTTTCTTTCTCTCCCCACTCGCCAAGATTCCAAATGCTCACTGGAGCGCGCCGGTCTCTTCGTTCTGGGTCCTACGCCTTCGCTATCGGTATAGAGAGAAACAAGTGTTGCACGAAGCTCATCAGAGACTCGGGCCTGTGGTCCGAGTCGGGCCGCAAGATTTGAGTGTCAGTTCTTACGACGATGGTGTCCGTGTCATCTATGGAGGCGGATTTGACAAACCTGGCTACTTCGATTTCTACAAATACTTTGGGTACGTAAGCGCACGTAGAAATGATGATTGAATTGCCACTCACTGCATGTTGTAGCGAACCCAACGCATTTTGTAGCCTTCTCAAAAGGGACCACGCCGTTTATCGCCGACGCGTGTCCAGCGTCTACTCAAAAAGTGCACTTTACAACTCAGAGCATTTGATGGACATCACTAAGAAGTTACTGGGCGCGACTTTCCTTCCTATGATCCAGGGTTATGCCGACTCATCCTCCTCTGTAGATATGCTGACGATGACATATGCCCTCTGTCTGGATTGGGTTGATTCGTTCATCTTTGGCTATTCAAGCATCAACAAACTACTTCGACCAGATGGCAATGACGTCAACATCTTCCTCAAGTACTACGAGGAACGATATTCCAAAGAGGCCTTTTGGCTGCAGGAGCTCCCAGCATTGTCGAAGCTGGTCACCAAGCTGGGCTTCTCCATCATTCCGAAAGAAGGAAAAGAGGCTACTCGATGGCTCGAGGATTGGCTGCAGCAGATGTGCGACAGAGCAGATGCGGCCATGGAAAAGGGTGATCTCCTCGATGCTGCCAACGTACCCATTGTATACCAGCAGGTGAAGCAAGCAGTGAACAGAGACTGCTCCGATGACAGCGAGACCACAAGGAAGCGCAAGATTGCCAGTGAGCTTTTCGATCACATGTGTAAGCTGCTCCAACCATCCAAAAAGAGAAAAAAAAGTCCGCAGAGATTGATACTGACCACTCTCATAGCAAGCGCCCGTGAAGTCTTAGGTACGAAAACTTTCCCAGCAGGAGAAAAATAACTGACGTGCCCCGTAGGACTGGTCTTGGGATACGCAATCTTCTACCTCTCGGGCAAGCCAGAAGTGCAGTCGAAGTTACGGGAGGAGCTCCTCGGCTTGAGCTCGCCGATCACTGCGGGTACTAGCGAGTCTCAGCTACCAACACCGTCTTCCCTCGATGATCTACCGTACCTTGATGCTGTTATAAAGGAATCGCTCCGAATGCGCCCAACAAGCACTCCGTTGCCGCGCGTAACGCCCACAGACAAAGCAGTCACGCTTGGTGGATTCGAGAACATCCCGCCGGGAACGCGGGTCAATACCTTCCAATGGTTCGTGCACCGTGATCCCAGGGCGTGGTCGAATGTGGACGAGTGGATCCCTGAGAGATGGCTTTCCGGCAACGATGGATCAGATTCCGGAGTCCTGTGGCCCTTCGTTACGGGTTCAAGGATGTGCTTAGGATCACATCTTGCTGGATACAGTAAGTCTCTCCATTGCGCTTTAAGAAATATGTATGGTACTAAGTCGTCCCTTCAACTTTCCAGTCATGAGGTATACCTTAGCTGCGATCTACACAAACTTTACTACAAGTGTCGATCCCAGGTATACGTCTAGGCATGAAGAGCCCGGATCGTTAGAGGATCACTTGATGATTAAATTTCACTTAACTATATAGTCTTATCGTTCGTGCGTTTAGACTTGGACATAGCTACGGGGAAAGACTTAAAGTCGCTAGGCAAGAGTATCTAAAACCAGAGAATAGGTGATGGGGCACAGAAGCGAGGAGCACGATTGTGGATTCGTGGTAGTCGGGTCGATTTATCTATTCTCCAACTCGTACAGTAGTCGAATTCAGCCAATCCATTCCTCAGTCCCCATTAGTCTTGAAAATTTAACGGCATCCAGCAAACACTCGACTATTGAAATCACAATGGTGTTCATACCGTCATTTCCTTCAAGCCTGAAGCGAGAATTCCGCTTCATGTTCCATGGTGAAAAGCAAACGGTCTTAAATTTTAGTTAAACTAAATCACTACTTTTGTAAGTAATCGTAATAGATAAGAATGAGGATCGATAAGGCCGGCGCTCGGAATGGTACTTGGGTTTCGGGATTTTCGGTATTCACACGTTACTTATTACGGCGAAACTGCGATCATGGCTTCAGCCTCCACCTCGATTAAGAAGTCCTCCGATGCAAGGGCTGTGACGCCTAGAAGTGTGCTCGGGGGTTTGTGCGGCTTCTGCGAGCCGTCGTTGGTGAAGAAATTTGTGATTGTATCCACGAGCACCTCCCGCATCCACAGCTCGAAGTTGACCACGTAGATGGTGATCTTGGTAATATCTCGTGGCGTTACACGGCCTAAGGATAGGCAGGCCGCGACATTCGCAAACGCGTTCTTGGCCTGCTCGTGGAAAGACGAAGGAATAGAGGTTGACGAGCCGACAGCCGAGGTGCCAACCTGACCAGCCGTGCGTAGTATGCGCACGGTTGGATTGTTCGGAGGCACAGAAACCATAGATAAGTCCGAATACGCTCCCCATATTAGTGTTACCCTAACCGCCGACGCATAAGCTTGATTCGAAAAAGTAGCCAGCCCGATTAGAGACTAGATAATTGGAGAGCGGGCTGTTTATAATAGTGCCCGTGAAGGAAGACGTAGAAGGAAAGAGTAGAACAGGAGAGAGAGCCTTTAGACCGTTTATTCGCTCTTGAACGGCACTCGAACTGCCAACCCTACTTGAGAGCCGATATCTTCTATTCTCTAGAAATCTGCTTATAGACTTGCAATTACCCCCTTTGTTACGGCGCAGCCTCTACAGGTTGAAGAAGTGGGGAGACAGAAAACTCGGGCGGAAGGGTGCGCTTGCGGGTATGCAGTGGCATTGCTAGCTACAAGGAGACTAAGCTGGAGAGAAAAGCAATAGACAAAAGACGAGGGCAGTGCGGGTAATATACAACTGCGCACTGGACGCTTTCCAGATTTAGCAACATGTTCTGGCACCTTCTCATTCCCCTCCACTGGCTGCCTGCCGCAGGAACCATCCAAGGCATCACACGGGTCCAACCCCTGACACACGGGCGTCCTAAGGGATCATGGATTGGTCGCAGAAGCCATAGTTATCCTGAAGCTCCATTGCAATCAGCGGGATCGCCCTTTTGCTCGTCCCACCAGCAGTTGTGAATTTTTCCGTCGTTTGGGCAAGCCTGTGACTGAGCACAAGCTACAGAGGGGGTCCCATCTTTGAACTGGCAACTGCCATAGTATAGGCCGTCGAAGAAGCAAGTTCCATCTTTCTAAAACATAGATCAGTTTATTAAAGCATTGGTGCAGTAAGATTTAGGAAGACGAACAGCAACGGCTACCGCCGCGTAACAGGCGACGAAGGTTATAAAAATCTTGAGCGACATCTTTCTGGGCGATTAGATTGGACTAAGAGGTAAATGATAGAAATTGGTTTCCCGTGGATCCAGCGTGCGTTTTTATAGACGATTCTTTTCACATATTACTCGTATCCCATCTATTTTTAGCTACTAATCCTTAGACATCTCAGTTTTACGAAAATTCTATCAGAATACTAGGTAGAAATTTAGACTTCTTCTAACCTAACTTAGTCTAAGGCTAAGAGGTCTCATCTTAAGTTTAATATATATACTTTCTTAGGTTATATCTAGAGTACTAATAGAGATAGCCGAGTCAGACGGAAATTATTATTTATTTTATTCATAGAAATTAAAATCTTTTAGCCATGGTTAGCCCGTCAGGACTGGAAATACCGGCGGCATCCGGAATTATCGAAATACACCATGTAGAAAAGGAAGGGCTGGGGGACAGCTGCAACCATGCATGATGACAGAGAGAGACAACTGGGTGGAAAAGTCTCTCCATCGTGGAAAAGCACAGTCTCTTATGCGCTGTAGTCCTTTCTTTGGATGACCTGAGCAGTTCGCAGCCGCTCTTCCATACCCTCGGGGTACAGGTTCAAAAACTCGACAAGTTATTCCACACGTTGTACGAAACCACATGACTATAATCCCACCAGATTACGTATATAACTTTGCACGCTGGGAATAACTGTTAAAACAACGAAGAGAACCCCAAAGACGCTCATCGACAGTGAACTCAACGCCGCAGCCCGGCGATCCTTGTCCAACAGCATGGCTGTGGCGATAGCAGAGGAGTTCGCCCCAAGCACCACACCAGTAGTTACGTAGTCATCTGTCAACAGCCCGTCAGCGTCCTTCATGTGTCGAATGAAGCTGGCTATTACATACCTTTCGGGATGCGCAGCAAGCGCAATATGGTTGGCCCAAAGATGGGGCCGGAGATGCCACTCACCACCGCGATGGGCGAGATGGCAGACGTGTCGCCGCCGAGATTCTCTACCGACAGCTGCGCTAGCGCAAGAGTCACGCTGCGGGGAGCCATGGCGACACTCCGCGTTGCAGAGATGCCGAGAGCGAAGCAGACGGGTGGGTACCCGAACAGCGACGGCATTGTCAGTGCCACCACTGGACCCAGGATTGCGAGAAAGTACCGACGCAGGTCGTTCCGGTGCTGGAACATGGGCATTGCGAGTGACACGATGCTGGCATCGAGTAGGCTCGAGAGGATGTCCCCTGCGCCGGGTAGTGGGAGTCCCGCAGTGCCGCGGAAGTATTGCAAATAGTTCGAGTCGATCTTGTACAAGCTGAGCCCGTCCTCCAAGCTCATGTTTTGTGTTAAAGCAATGACCCAGATTCCGAGAACGCTGAAGAGTGCGGTGATGATCACAGGATGAGCGACTCGCCGAATCTTGGACGGGATTGAATTCGCGCCGAAGAACATCAGCACGTTGAAGGAGAGGAAGATTGGCATCGTGTAGCCAGTGGAATAGTAGACAGGGATACCGATGAAGATAAAAAGGCAAAGGTAGGTGCCTATGTCGATGTACTTTGGGATGGCATCCGCCAACCTCTTTGTAGCAACGAGAACAGCCGACGGCTCATTGGGAGATGATGTTCGAGAATCAATGTCCGACGGCCTCTCCGAGCATGGAAGGCCTGTCTCTGGTTTTCCGGAAGAGGACCCCTCGGCACTGGCATCTTGCGACGTGTCTGAAGAACTATGGTAGATGAATGAGCAACGGTTGATTGAAGATGTGCGATTAATGGATGGGTTACTGACCTCGTTCCAGGGGCTTGTGATGGAAGGCCTTTGGATAAATGAAACTTCCGAAGCAGGAATTGAATAGCTCGTGATGCGTATGCCGTCAGAGCCAACTGTAGGATGTACCCAATGATGAATACCCCAATCAAGACTCCAATCTCCGTACCGCCGATCATCTGGCTCAGTGGAAGAAGGATGAAGCTGGGTGTGAAGTAGAGGTTCATGGTTCGGAGTGCGAATCCGCTCGGAACATCTACCACTTTCAGCATCTGCTCCATCTGACTGTGATTCAACATGAACTCTGCCAGAATCAAGACAAGGAAAAGGATCAGAAGACAGGCAACGCTGGCTGGGAATGAAACGGTTCCAAGGCCGATGAGAGCATCGAGGGCCAATACAAAATACAACATGATGACTACACCGAGCGGTACGAGAATCCATGACCGGAATAGCGCTTCGCATGAAGGCTTCAAGGCCTGGGATAATTATCAGCGGCTTGAATTGCATGGACACATTATCAAAAAGACTGCAAACCATCTCGAAAGCCTTCCGCACCTGAGGAGATGCATTCGTTCGATCTGCTCCCATCGTGGAATAGAGTGATAAATGGGACAACGGTAACTTGTTGCACTCGAAAGCCAGTGATGCACCGGAAACAAGAAATACCCAAGCTTCGTGGCCGTGTTGATATCACAGCCAAACACAGGGAATTAGCATGTGTCTCTCTGGATGTCATCCCATTCTGACGCAATTGGTGTACACGCTTGACGACTACATGCCGAGTTTCAATCCCGTCCATCAAAATTCTAGTCCCGAGCTCCGTCACTCTATTGCGCAGTCATGCTTGCGTGGATAGTTTGTACAAAGGAGACCAGGGGTTTCTGGCGATAAAGTATGTTCCACTTGGGGATTCATGCTCATACAATTGCTTTGATTGGCGGAAATTTCTACTTTCCATGAGAAAACAAGTTTGTGCTATCGTACCGCTACAAACCCACATATACTACGGTGGAGAGCTTACGACAACAGTATAAGGTGCCTTCTTGGCGCAGCGGAATGCCAACGCGAAAGCCGTTACAGGGGAGCTAAGTTTGTTCTAGTAGTCTGATAGGTCAGAGTAAGGGATTTAGGTTCATTCTGATAGGAGAATAGATTAGGATTTGCGGCTTTTGCTGGAAAAGAAACTTTGGTTTAGGCGTCGGACGCGTAACCGTTGCAGGGAATTCCGATCGGCGATGGCGGCGCGGCAAACCCCTTGTATAGATACCCGATATTGCGGGAGAGCCGACAAACCCCGGCAATCTGATCCACTCGAGATCGTTCAAGCTCTCAGCGAGCGGCTAACCGAGCGATCTTCCGCTCCCGCCTCCACAAACGGGAATGCTCCACAGTGGAACACTCGCCTGAATTAGGCTTTCCGTGTATCAGAAGCTTGTCAATGGCCGAGAGTAGTGGACCTGACCCATCGTATCATGCACACGGGTACACTTATTCTCCGTGCTGTGCCCGTATCTTTCTTGGCGTTAGTAGGCGGCTGCCGAACTCGTCTGTACACGCAAGCACACCTCCAACTGGTTGGAGGTGGCTGGGATATAGTAAGGCAACCCACGAACACTGCCAGGGTCACTTGGCATATTCCGCCCACAAATGATGCAATAAAGGTTCCACTAGCCACAGGCCTTCAAGGGAATGTAGTCTTACCCGACTCTCGTGACGTGGCGATTATCGCTGATCTTCAAGATAATGGGAAGGAGTGTCTTTGATATCGGCCCCACGTAGTCAGAACAAAGAGTATGTGGACCATCGGATGCAAGTTTCACAGGAAGACAATACACGCGTCCTCGAGGGTTGATGATGCCACATGCTGTGGATTGGGCGGCATTGCTTATCAGAGATGGGCAAAGCAGCAAGCCAGAAGAGATAGGAGACTTCTCTACCTGAGTATCCGAAGACAGACCTCTGACCAGCAAACCATCAAGACTTGTTGACATCGAAAAATGGCGGAGCAAATTGCGAAGCCGACTATGGCATCCCCATTGCCAGCCGTTACACATCTCTTTGGTTTGTTTGACCTCTCACCAGTCAGAACTCAATAGCTTGCTGATTTTCCCTTCTCCAAAAAAGCGGGTGGAGCGGCAGGCATCATGGAAGCCTGTCTTTGCCATCCTTTAGACACAGTCAAAGTGAGGATGCAGCTGCTGCGCAAAGACGCTACTTCTGGGGTAAGATAGAATGCCCCAAATACCACACCCTTCCCGAAGCTAACCATCTCGAAGACTAACAGGCTCGGGATTGGCAGTACATTCTCCCGCATAGTCCGTTCGGAAGGCCTGTTTGCACTGTACAAAGGCTTTGATGCCGTGTTGATCGGAATGGGACCAAAGATGGCGGTTCGCTTCGCCTCGTTTGAAGCCTACAAGACATCACTGCAGTCTCTCTCCGGTGAGCTCAACCGAACAGCCATCTTCGCAGCCGGTCTTGGTGCGGGTGTCACTGAGGCGATCTTGGTCGTCAGTCCCATGGAGGTCGTCAAGATCAGACTGCAGGGCCAGAACAGCGTTCCGGGCATCGGAGGGGCTGCGGCATTGCCGCAGTACCGAAACGCCCTTCACGCGGCCGTGTCTGTTGCATGGCATGAGGGCATCGGTGCCCTATACCAAGGCGTGGCTCTCACGGCACTTCGCCAGGGGACCAACCAAGCGGCAAACTTCAGCGTTTACACTGCGTTGAAAGCCAGACTCGCGCAGTATCAACCCTCGGGCAGGGACCCTCCAAGCTATCAGACGGCGGCAATTGGACTAATCTCGGGTGCTGTTGGCCCTCTTTGCAACGCACCAATTGACACGATCAAAACTCACATGCAAAACTCCGTCAGGATTTCAGGCGAGAGCGGGCTACAGAAGGGAATGTTCATTACAATGGAGCTTCTTCAGAGGGAGGGACTGCGTGCATTCTACAAGGGAATTACTCCACGAGTCATCAGGGTGGCGCCTGGACAGGCTGTCACCTTTACTGTGTATGAATTCGTGAAGAAGCAGCTGGAGTGACGGCGAGCACTTTCAGCACAGTTGTTTTCGGGACTTTTTCCTATAGTAGATACGCAATACACAGATTCTTTCACATTTACAGAGAATTAATTTCTTTTCCTTTCCAAGGAAGTGATATTCTATCTCAGATGATCAAAACGATAGACACCTCCACGCACCAGGAGGCAAATCCCGATTGTAGCGAGTCCCACTCGATCTGCTGCATATAGGCCGGCATGATACCGTGATATGGATTGAGATTGAATCGACGCGCGTCGTTCAGGTCCACAGCTTCCGTGTACATGCATGCAGCTCCGGTGAAACCAGCTGCTGTACATTTACTTTGCCCTGCTACGCATCCATGCAGCTATCGGTAGGTCCGTCGGGAATTCTGAGAAAGTTGTAGTCATGTCAGGCTTCCGACCTTCCAAAATACACGCAAGCACTCATGCGCCGCGTCAGTGCTGCCGATCAATGACCAGGCTGAACCTTGGGCAATGAGTGCATCCACGGGCCGTGTCCCGTACTTGCCAAGACACGGCATGCGGTCTGAACTTTAAAGAGCACGCCAATTGCCGGCCCAAGCCCATCAATCCACTCCAGAGTTCACCACTTCATCTCAACTTGTTTCTCACAGACCTCTTTTGATCATGGGCCACGAAGCTATCATCAACGGCACGAAGTCCAAGGAAGTATTCGACCCACAACTCAATCACCAAGTGTCAGAGGACGAGAGAAAGGCAATCATTGACATGTACCTCGAAGACGCCGCATTCGCTGCCGATGTGAAGGCGACGAAAGATTGGTGGAGCTCTCCCCGGTGGTCGTCAACGAAGCGACCATACACGGCCGAGGAGATTTGCTCAAAGAGAGGGAACCTCAAGATCGAGTATCCAAGCAATGCCATGAGCAAAAAGCTTTGGGAAATCCTCGAGGAGCGCTGGATGGTGAGATCCCCATTCTCCCGCAGTACACTGTGTTCACCGCTGAGCACCACAGAACAAAACCGTCAGCTTCACCTTCGGCTGCATGGACCCGGTGCAGGTGACGCAGATGGCAAAGTACCTCGACACGGTCTACGTCTCTGGCTGGCAGTGCTCCGCAACTGCCTCCTCCACCAACGAGCCCGGTCCCGACCTCGCCGACTACCCAATGGTCAGCCCTCCACACCCCTTCCCCCTACCCACTCACTAACCCACCCACCCAACCCAGGACACCGTCCCCCGCAAAGTCGACCACCTCTTCAAAGCCCAACTCTTCCACGACCGCAAGCAGCGCCAAGCCCGCCTCACCACCTGTCCCCCCTCCGCGCGCAGCTCCGCCGCCCCCAACACCGACTTCCTCCGCCCCATCATCGCCGACGCCGACACGGGCCACGGCGGCATCACCGCGACGATGAAGCTGACCAAGCTCTTCATCGAGGCCGGCGCGGCGGGCATCCACGTCGAGGACCAGGCTGCCGGCACGAAGAAGTGCGGGCACATGGGCGGGAAAGTCATGGTGCCGGTGCGCGAGCACGTGAATCGGCTGGTTGCGTGCCGGGCGCAGGCGGATGTGATGGGGACGGAGTTGGTGGTGGTGGGGAGGACGGATGCGGAGGCTGCGACGCTGATTACGTCGACGGTTGATAGGCGGGATCATGAGTTTGTGTTGGGGGCGACGAAGGAGGGGTTGGAGCCGTTGGTGGATGTGTTGCAGGCGGCGGCGGCGGTGGGGAGGGAGGGGGGTGTGGGTGCGGGGGTGGATCTGGCGGCTGTTGAGGAGCGGTGGTTGGAGGAGGCGGAGTTGAAGATGTTTCATGAGGCGGTTGTTGCTGCGATTCGGGGTGGCTCGTACGCTGACAAGGATGAGTTGGTTGACCAGTATCTGCAGTCCGCTAGGGGGAAGTCGAACCAAGAATGCCGCGCTCTGGCAAAGGGGCTGCTGGGCCAGGACGTCTATTTTGACTGGGAAGCACCTCGAACGCTAGAAGGGTACTATCGGTACCAGGGAGGATGCGAGTGTGCCATTGCCAGGGCTGTTGAGTTCGCCCCTTATTCTGGTAAGTTACAAATTACAATACCGCATTCATCCTTAATCGATGACCAGAGCTGACATATCTGGTAGATCTCATGTGGATGGAATCGAGAACGCCCGAGTACACGCAGGCGAAGCAGTTTGCCGATGGGGTGCATGCTTTTTGGCCTTCTCAGAAGCTTGCCTACAATCTTTCTCCTTCGTTCAATTGGAAGCGGTCCATGCGTTCAGAGGAGCAAGAGACTTACATCCACCGGCTGGGGCAGTTAGGCTACTGCTGGCAGTTTGTCACCCTTGCGGGGCTGCACTCCACCGCTTTGATTACGGATGAATTTGCTCGGGAATTTGCTGCTCGCGGCATGCGCGCTTATGGAGAGATGATTCAAGAGCCTGAATTGGAAAGAGGATGTGAGGTTGTGCGTCACCAGAAATGGAGTGGGGCTAACTACATTGATTCGATTCTGAAGATGGTGTCTGGTGGCATCACCAGCACTGCGGCTATGGGAAGGGGCGTTACTGAGATTCAATTCACGTAGATACTCCCGGGGAGAATTTGAAGCATAGATCTATGGAAACGGCAAATTGATACAGAGATAGGAACACCCGTCACGCACAACCGCACGTAAATTGCCATGTCCTCCGAATCAGTTTACTAGCAATTTGTTTCGCGCGTCTCAATAATCTTTATTGTCATTCTTTCCTTTCACCTCGCTTAAAGACGCGTTTAGCAAACCGTTTCCAGCCCGGAGGTTTCTCATATACTTTACTCTCGTACTCCGCATCATGCGTACCTAGTCCAGCATCAGACTCATTGCCACTTCCGTATTCCGTGTTGGTCGAGTCCGGTAGAGCATCAGACTCAAGGTCAGGATCGTATTCGCTGAGTGCGTGTGACCCGTCCTCTATGCCGAAGTATTGCCTCCAAGCTGCAAGCCATTGCTCGTTTTCGCGCCATCGAGCATCATCCTTAGGAAAACTCCTCAATGCATTTTCAAACTCGACCACCACCTCTTTAGCTTTTTGGGGCTGTTCGAAGTCGACGTAGAGACCCGGAAGACAACGTAGTGATCTCAGACGGCTAGGGTAAGCCGAATGAAGCACGACTCTCTCATTTTTTGCAACGTGCTCAAATAGTTGCAGAGCTTCTTCTGGCCTAGCCGTGTGAAAATAAGCAAGCCCAAGCATGTGCTCCGAACTTAGCCGTTCTGGGGAGCCCTCCGGCAGCGTCCTCTGTCGTACTTGAACAACGTGTTCAAGCAATTCAACACTCTTTTTTACTTGACCATGCTTGAAATACGCACACCCAAGGTCATACTCCGAACTTAGCCGGTCTGAAGAGTCCTCTGGCAGCGTCCTCTGTCGTACTTGAACAACGTGTTCAAGCAATTCAACACTCTTTTTTACTTGACCATGCTTGAAATACGCACGCCCAAGCTCATGCTGGGATAATAGCTGGTCTCGAAAACTGTCTGAGAGTGTCATTTGTCGTATTTGAACAACGTGTTCAAGCAATTCAACACCCTTTTCTACTTGACCATTCTTGAGATACGCGCGCCCAAGTGCGTGCTGTGATGATAGCCGGTCTGAGGAGCTCTCTGGAAGCGTCTTCTGCCGTATTTGAACAACGTGTTCAAACAATTCAATGGCCCTTTCTACTTGACCATTCTTGAGATACGCGCGCCCAAGTGTCTGCTGTGTTGATAAGTAAGCTTCATGATCAGCAGGGTATAGACCCTTCTTAATCGAAACAAAACTTTCAAGCTGCGTGATTGCTTTTGCGGTCTCTCCGCTCCTCATATACGCTGTGGCAAGCCCACATTTAGATTCAAGAAGGTCTATCTCGCGGGATGATGTTGCTTCTTGAAGCTGAATTATTCGCTTCCATAAATAGATGCTTGCTGAGTGTTTTTTGAGGCGCGACCAAGTCGAGGCCATGAATTGGTAAAACGGTAGCAAATCGATGCTTTCTGGTCTGGATGGCTCTGCATTGGTGGACTTAAAAAGCTCAAGCAGAAAAGACTCTTGCTCTCGATGAAGTAAAAACACCTCAAGTAATGACAAGAGAGCGTAGTACATTTCGAAATGCTCAACAGCCCATAGGCATTGGGGCTTACATGACCCTCTGTTTTCCAAGAAGGAAGTAATGTGAGATTGAAGTTGCCTGTTGTGGAGTTCCCATATTTTGCAGTACCAGGAATGACGATTTTGTAGATCGCTTTTCGCAGAGAGGGCGAAAATTGAGCCAGTCATTAACCAAGCTTTAGTCTTCTTCCTCTGATCTAGTCGATCCTTAGCCCAGAAATGTACGAGCGGGTGCATTGACACTAGCGTGACCCCACCCATACTGGCTTGCTTGATAAATGAAAGAGCCTCCAAACAGTACAGCCCGTTTTGAAGCCGTAAAGGTGAATTTAGCCAATCTGACAGAAATTCTGGTAGGAGATTGGCAATACCAGGTGTTATTATATCCCCTTTATTGCTGTATTTATTTGTCTCCGCGAAGATGAATATTTTAGAGGCATGTTCAAAGACCAACGTGGGAAAGCCGCTGTGATGGAACATCGCAAATATTCCTAGCAAACACAGCGCGTCCCTCGCGTCGGTTTTCTCGTCGGATTCAAGAGTGTGGGCGGACACCTCGAAGGCTGCATATACATTGCGGTATTTTGGCTGCGCCTGGTTCCGTGAGGTAGCGAGAAGATGTTTGCGGTTCTCCTTGAAGAGTTTGGGGTACTCATTCCAGTTTCGAACGTCTTGAGATATGAACGCGCCGGCCTGAACCAGAGCCAGAGTATGACAGCCGAGGAGTCCTGCAATCGTCTCCGCTTGTGGCCGGTAGGACTCCCAGTCTGGTTGCCGCACTCTGGCGGCAGCTTTGAGGAGCAGGATCACGGAGTCGTTGAAGGAGACTGACTCGAGTTCGCAGCAGCCAACGGTCTCATGAATAGCACATTCATGGTTGCGCGAAGTCAAAAGAATTGATCCCCCAGGAGCGGTCGGGAAGAATTGTGCATAGTCTTCTCTTCGTTCATCGGCATTGTCCAAAACAAGGAGCCAGGGATGGGTATTGAAGTCTACTTCGGCAAGTGCGCTGAGAGCGTGTCTCAAATTCTGATGTTCTGTGCCAGGACGGATTTGATTTGCGATGTTTTTGAAGTCCTCCTCTGCAGACGCGATGTTGCTAGCGTCGACCCAAAAAATGCCCCAAAATCTTTTTCAGTTAGCATCCGCATTGTATATGTACTGCTGTGTACCCGATGAAGTCCCAAATACATCCAATTTGGTGTACGGCTGGAACGGCCTTGAGAAATGTACCTTGGAAGTGCACAATGGACAGTGGCTTGGGCTGGGTGAGAAATACTAAAACTCATTCTTCGGGCGAGCACGGTTCCTCATTTAAAGGAAAGAAACCAGGAATGAAATCATTTGTGTGCAACTTACTCGCTCTGCATATCGTTAATCAGTTTAACACAGATCTCGCTTTTTCCGATGCCAGCCATGCCATATATGACATATCGCTTCTGCTTCCCTGCATCGGCCTCCCGGAAGGCAGCCTTGATCGCCGTAATCTCATCGTTGCGACCGAGAAAATTTCTGTTCAGCGGTAGGGGATTGCCATGTCGGAACTGTTTCCGTTCGAGTGCAGAACGCAACGGCGCGTTCTGAATTCCCTGGACGATGTAGTTTCCGTCCCTCGCTGTGATGTTGCCGAATCTCTGAGAGTAAAACGCCATAGTCGAGTGTTTGGTGCTCCTCTTGTTTTCCGAAGCGTTCTGCAATCTTTTAGAAGAATGGGCAGCGTATGTGGACAGCGAGAAAGGTTTCAGAGAAGAGGAATGGCAGCAGTGAGCAGGCGGCCTCACCAAGAAAGGAGTGGGGCACCCTTGTCCAGCAACCTGACGCGCGCGAAGAATTATGCAACAATAGTCTGAGCTGAGCCTTGCAGATGCTGACACGAGCTTTCCGTCGCCCCGCCTGATCCCTGCCCTCAGGCTTGTCTGCTGCTTTAGGTTGAACGCAGGTCGGCATTTGTCGACACATAGATACTTTTCATAGGTTGCAGATATATCATTCCAAAGATATGCTTTGTTCTACTGAGAGAGGACAGATTGATGCTTTATTCGTCTGATCCAGCTTGACTTGTTTTGTCGGGCTTACGGATACCGTGCCGCCTGAAGTGGCTGGCGCCACATGTGTGATTGCGACTGTGATTCGCCATCGTGAAATATCGATTCTGGGCTCGCATGGCAAGGCAGAATTCGGTGACGTGGCTCCACACTAGTGGACTCTCGCCCTTTCATCAAGTTGCGGGAATAAAAGAGACCCTTAGAATCGATTCCGATTGAGGGTCCAGCAATAACTCCCCACAAGACTGGATCTCACTTCGCTCAGAAAGAAAAGCCTCCCCAACCTCGATGTCTGACCCTCTGAGTATTTCTGCCGGCATTGTAGGCCTTCTACAGGCCGTCAAGAGCGTTTATGGATTGATTGATAGCATCAAAGATGCCCCGGAGACTCTTACCCGCGCCGGAGATGATCTCAAGTCGACCGACAGCATCCTAGACGACTTGAAACGGTATACTGAGGCGTCCCCGCAAGCCCTGCCAGCATCCCACGCGCTTACGGACCAGAAATCTGCTCTGAGCTCAGTGCTCACGGAATTCAAGAAACTGTGCGATGATTTCCACAAGAAGCTGGATAGTTGTGTTCGCCATTCAGCTGAAGGCAGCAAGCTAAGTTGGACAGACCGGGTGATGACGAGTCTGAAGAAGGGAAGCATCGAAAAGTTTCAAGCGGAAGTGTGTAAAGCGAGGCAACTCATCAGCCTGAGAGTGGACATGATTTCCCTGTAAGTTCGTTTGGCACGATTCAGCAGCCGCTGCTGACTGACCTACTTCACCATAGCTCCACCACAGAGCAGAACACCGCAGAGATCCACGATTTCCAGCGAAAGAACGAAACCGCCATGGCAGAGATCATCCAGCAACTAGCGGGTCTCCACATAACCATGCACAATCTCCAAGCGCTCTCTGACGAGTCTTCAGAGTTGTTGGAGAGAGCGTTCAAGGACCAAGAAGCTGCACTGAAGGAACAACTCCGCTTGTGTGAGGAGAACCGAGCCGCGGCTAACAGTCAAACGCGCAACAAGCAAGAGTATGGTGATACCATTCTCGGAGACAACGTGCGATACGCTCAGTTCTTGGATCTGAACAAGGCAAAAGGCTCATTTGAGCAGAAGTATGGGGATACGGTAGTTGGCAATGGGACGTGGGGCGCCCAGGGTGCCATGGACGGGGCTATAGTGGACAGGCTGCTGAATGGACCTGCTGCCATTAGCCAACCAGAGAGATTTAAGGGACCTGGAAGGCGGCTAGGTGGAAATGTTGTGAGTTTGAATGACGTTCAGAGCGGGCCGATACCTGAAACGAAGAAGTAAATAATGTTCTACCGGGATTCGTTACTACTGACATTCCTTTGTTTCATATTTCGATATTTTAGAGACCCTTTCCACTGCTGTAGCCCATTGCCACAGCTCGGAGAAAATGTCTTTAGAGCCAACAGCAAATATCAACAGCTATTCACATTATTACACCACTATTACAGGTGGGCAAACAGTTGGAGATTGTGATTTCACAGTACCTTTATGATAGCCCCACTAACATATCCACTACTACACGATTATCATTACATCCCTAAACTCCATACAGAAAGGGAGGAAAAAAAAGGATTGCTATCGTGGACGAATAAAAACTATTGGCCAATTCAAGTACCGGAGGCTTTGCGAAATAGCGTGTTGGAGGCTTTCCATGGGGTAAGTAGCAACTGGTATGTACGGGACGGAAATCCATTGTGCATGTGCGGGGTTTGACAGGGCTAGCCCCACTTGCCAAACAGTTTTAGCTCGTAATGACCGCACTTGTAGTTGAAGATCTTGCAATGCTACGTCCCGCCGTGCACATACTGATTTATTCCGCACATCAGCTAACGCTGCAAGAAGCTCTGTATTAACTATCATGGTTCAATGTTATCCTTGTTAGGCATGCCGCAATTTGATGCATAGAATCGCGACTGTCGAACAACCCTGGCTTTCCTTCATCTCTACCCAAGTGCCCCGCTCCCAGGGCACTTTCCCCGCAAATGTGGCCATAGCGCTCTTGTCGATGTGCGTGCTACCATGCAATTATGCGTTAGTAGGTCATATGAAATTACATGAAGATGCATGTAAACCCCTCCTTCCCCTCCATGACTTAGCATCTGCGGGCCGATCCGTCATCCTCGCGGCCGATCTCCCGCTCGACCAACATTACCTGCATCATCTAGCACAAGTCAGACCTCACCTAATATTTTACTATTTGCACACATTACTTCATAGTCGTTATTGATGTTCAACATTCGTTTCTCCGCCTTCGTGTAATTGCAAAGCAATTCCTCACTGGCGCTTCACATTGAACACTACCACTTGAATCTCTGGTGCTCTACCTGCAAGAGAGCTTTTCATTTCGGTGCGACGTGACGATTCTACTTGGCACAAGTTTTGCCGCTCTGCACAACCCATATTCTCCGCTTATTGTGCAGGCCGCAGTAGCTTAGCCAGCACACCAGTTCGGTGTCTAGCCCTTCCTCGCAACCTCGACATCAATCTTACCAAGCGCACCAGAATCAGCGTTGTACGGGCTGTTGCTGACCATATATCCGGCAGCGGAGTTGCGGTCGCGGATCTCGAAGTGATTGCTCTTGCTGCCCCAGGGGCAGTCCCAGTAGATGGTGCAGATCTTGGTGTCGTCCTCGTACAGGTCGATGGTGCCCTCGGTGCCGGACGACGCGTCGGAGCGGCCGCACGCGGCGACGTCGGCCGTGCCGTTGGCCGGGATGGTGATCTGGCTGACCTCGGCGCTGGAGATCTCCGCGTCTTTGTTGCTGTCTTTGTAGAATTTGCCCCTGTTTGTTGTGAGTGGATTATGGCGGCGAATGTGTGGGGAGTTGTGGGTGTTACCAGAGGGCTTGGGCGTTCTTGACGCTGATGGTTCCGCTACGGAAGCTGTTGATGATGTGGATGATAACCCATTGTGCGTAGGCCATGATGACGGCTGTGCTGTTCTCTTGGATTTGCAGTGGAAGTGGTGGATGAGATGTTGATATGCTGATGGTAATGGGGTGATGTATATATATGCGCAACAAACCGGAGCTACGTCCGCTCCTCCACTTGATCCTTTCTCGTCAACATGTCATTTGGAACCTATCGTGACCAGTCAACATCCCGATACTATTGATCTACGCTTCCAGTTGCCATCTGAAAAGCGGAAGGTCCTCATCTATGCATCTTGATGGCGCAACTCAGTCACGCCATCGATCGTTGACCTCCACGCCCCGCTCCTCAACCAACGATATTCAACAGCAGAACTCGTGTTCCTGTAGGAGAAGCCAACAATGGCTTGAAGCACTTGCGAATCACCACGCCTCACCAGAAGAGTGTTCGCCAAGCCTGCAACCCATTGCGGGGTTTTACGATGGTGGGGAATTCGCGTAGGATCCGACCAGTAGCGTGTGGTTGCTTTTCCGGTGTTGCAGACCTGCTAAACAACCAGAAGCGGTCGATACAACCGATCATACGGTTCGAAGCGTGTAGCGAGCCGTTGTAGCCGACCATCATAGACTTCGCGCCACCAACTCACTGAACGAGTGGCGTTATGAAGACTAGCGCGGGCAGTGCCACGGCGTTGATCTTCAAATCGCTGCAGACAACCGCTTTGGCGAATTTCTCCACTTGATCATGCACGAAATAATTAGATTCAGTATCAAGATCGGAGCGGCTATTACGTCAAGCAAGATGCGGTCCGGCCCGTATTCCATGCACGACATGCACGACATTATTGAATCGCTATACACTACCAATTTAGGAAGGTCGCCGTCGATCAAGCACGATGCTCTCGGACCCTCCCCCACGCAGTCCAGAAATATGTGTTCCATATTGCTATAAGTATATGGGCCTCATGGAGGGGTGGACTACATTCTACACTCACCACATCTGATCAAGCACTCAACATGGGCGAACTCGTTCCGTACATCGATGGCATGCAGAAGGGCCAAGGGTAAGAGCCCGTCAGCACTTCTTCTCTGCTACAGCTAATTGGACAGGTACAACACGTACCTTCAACAGCTTTGCGTCAAGAACGCAGTCACTGTCGAGGGTTCGGATGGCCCAAGCAATCCGTTCCGGGCAACGTACAATTCCAAATTTGTCGACGACTACGAGTAAGTTTCAAGACAGAGCAAGAAATCATAATTGACGAATGCCAGGAAGCTTGCCCAAAGCCTCAAGATCAGCGCCGGAGCAACTGTGAGTGGATGGGGTCAGAGCGGCCAGGTCAATGCCAGCTACCTGGACCGAAGCGAGGTGGGTCCCATGGCCAACGAAAGTTTGCCACAGACTAAACCATATCAGTTTGAAAGCAGCACCCTGACGTACCAAGTCGAAGTTCTTGTCCAGCATCAAGGCAGTGTAAGCGACAGGCACACATTCAACAAGATCGACACAGAAAATCCAACCAAGAAATATGGCGACCGTTTCATATCAGGTACTGTAACCGAGGCTCGTGAAGCTGTGATGTAGGCGCTGACAGCCCCCTTCTCAGACTTTATCCGTGGGGGCCAGTTTCTCGCCCGGGTATCCATCACCGTCAAAAGTGCGTCTGAAACAGAAGAAATCAAGCAATCGTGAGTGATAAATGGTACGAAACTCTATATCCGCATACTCATTCATCTACAAAAGGGCTGAAGTGGCATTCTCCATGTACGGGGCGAACGGAAAGGTGACAGAGGAAGTCGAGACCGCCGTCTCCAGAATCAAGAAGAACACCACGATCAAAATCACCATCTACGAGTCAGGAGGCTCGTCAAAGGCTTCAGCTGCGGACTTCACTACATCCGAGACATCCGATCTGCTTGCCGTGAAGCAGAAGGCTGACAAATTCTTTGATGATGCGAGCGCAGGCGGGCATGACTATATCCTCTTGTGAGTTCCCCGGATGGCTATCATCTCTCGGAAGCTTACTTTTCCCAAGCGCTGTCCTCGGCAAATACACAAACTTGTCCGACTTTGACAATTATTTTGCCCCGCTCGACTACTCGGAAGCAAACGAAAGGGTGCGTGAAGCAATCGCTCTGCTGCTAAATATGTATGTGTGTGCTGATAACATGGACTAGAGCTGGAGCCTATCCGATGACTTCACGAGATACCAGGCTCTCAAGACCCTCATCAAATCTGGTCAGTATTGAGTGAGAAGACTTGCAGCCAGTGGCGTTGCTGATCATTCGCATAAAGTTCCTGAGAACAAATACAAACAGGGCTCGAGCCAACAGTCAGAGCTACTGGACGGGGCAATCAACAACGCGAAGAAGATTCGGGACAAAGTATGTTCTTACCATTGTTCACGATAGGCCGAGCGTTCCTGACAAATGACAGGTTCTCACCATCTCTGATCATCCCGATGACGCTCGAACACCATCTGACCATGTGCGCCCGACCGAGTTTCAACTGCAAGTGCTGGTAAGTCAATAACTCGTAAGAACAACCACTGCAGTCTACTGACTCTTCATCTTGTAGCGTGCAGTCAAGACAGTGACCTATATAGCGCAGAGCAGGCCCAAGGCCGACGACAACTGGACCGACAGTAAGCCAAAACGATTCCAAGCCTCAAAGCTTCCCACAGCTAACAACGAAAACACCCGTAGTTGTAAGCACGGAGGTGTTCCCAGATGGGGACGAAAACTTTCGCTTCGAGGCGTTTGACTTCGACAGCCTCATAGGAACGCAGGTCGTGTCGTTCGGCAAGAAAAAGGACGGCGACGCCTACACTTGCCTCATTGGCACCCGCGCATCGTCCCTCAACGGCTGGGAGGAGGAGAGCCGCTTGTGGGTGTTTTCGGAGAGAGTCGATCACTACGCCGATCAGATTGTCGGTGTCTCCCGTTCCGCCGTCAAGGACTACTTCAGAGTCTATGCCGCGGATCAGTCGGACATTGATCGCCCGAGGAAGTATCAGGTTTTTTACTTCTTCGTGCCAACTCCGGATGCTACTTACTAAGAAAGGAGTGATAGAGGAGTTGTGGATGGACTTGCATGAGCTCATTTGACAGTCCAGTATTTCGGTATTCAGATAACCACAAATCTAATAATCCCAACGTTGACCATTGATCTACCATCTTCGTAGTGCTTATAATAGAATGAATTCGTGCTCTTCTTTGTGGAGTAATACTGAACGGCGAGCAACTTGGCTCAGGTTCTAACAATAAATACTGATCCCTTGGTTGCTTCTGCCGCAGATGGATACCCAGAAATTATTCATGGAGTTAATTGGTAATTAATCCGGGAGATGGATAGTACGTAGCCTTGGGCTGTACATGCGCAACGTCCATGACTTTCTTGGAGAAGTATATATTCAAAAAGAGTAGAGAAATTATAACAAGAAAGGAAATTTTAGATGATGGAAACATCCTGCTCGTCGATCATCTTCCAATGTTCCATAAGATCCCATTTTTGCAGGGACTCATCAACGTCCTCATGCAACTCAAAAAATCCAACGCGGTAGTACTCATTCGTCTCTGAACCTGTTGGCTTGAGACAAAGTCCAAATACCTCCGCCGGGTTGCTTTGGGCATCGTCTACATATGTTCGGGTTCTATGGCGTCTCATGCGCACGAACGGACAAGAAAGTAGAGGAAGACACCAGACTCCCTTTTGGTCACTATCGCTGCTTTCACAATCCCGATAGTACGAGAATATACTTGTGACGCCTGGAACTGTCGTCTCGCCATCTCCCATTTCATCCGCCGTGCCCCGCCCAGGCATGCGGGTCATCTCTCTGAGCTTTCCCTTCAACAAGATCTTCCCGTAGAAAGGATATTGAGAAAGCTGCTCCTTCTCCACATCCACAGACAGAATCTCCGCCTGAGTCGTCAGATCTTGGTCCTTGACTTCTAACGGATAACGGACGGAATCGTTGATACTCGCCCAACTCCACGTGGGCATTTGAGCACGAGTGTCCTCTCTCATAACCGCTTGATCCCCGGGTCGCCAAAGCAGCTGTCTGAGCAAAAATGGGCCACCCCAGAGACCGGCAACGAACGGAGCCTTGTATGCGGATTGCATTCGTTCTGCGATTCCGGAGATGGCGATGAGCCGGTCGGAGCGTTTCGTCAGCTTCCGACGGGTGTAACCGGATACAGTATCGTCCCAATCTTCAATTCCACGAAAGTCGTAATTCCAGTCGAGGTTTTCATGGAAGGAACCATGCTTTGAGGCTCCAGTCATAATGCAACGCGCTTCCGAAGTGCAAGAAAAAGGCTTTTTCAGAGACCCTTCCGGATGGATATCCGTGGCATTGTGTTCTTTGCAATGCCAATAAAGTGTTTCTGAGAAGTAGAGAAGCCGTGGCGATAGAAGCTGCTCTTGTAGCGTCCATGCTCGTGAATTGATAGGCCTGTTCTTGCTCGCTGAAGGCTCGAATGCATTGATGAAAAGGTCGTTCGGAGTGGTGAACGAGCGGTTGCTCATGTTCGTAGCTGCATTCACACCCCGAAGCCTCACATCCTCTCTCCGTGGCAATGTGAACGGTGCTGGAACAGGGAACCCCTGATTCTTCGGATGAGTGCCGAATAGACCGGCATCTGCGTCCGTTCCATCGGCAGCGACTAATGTTAAGACCGAATTTCAGTAGATGCTTGCCATCTTAGTAGATTCTGCCGCCCAATCCGCCGGATCGTCCTGTACGATGCATAAAGCGTCGACCCATATGTAACGGATTTGAAGCTCCCTGGCCACAAACATGGCGTCTTCAATGGTTCGTGGAAGCCGAGAATGTGGAATACCCTGCACCTGCTGTTGAATGTTTGACTGTACGGTTCGAAGCTGTTTCGTATTGCCCCAACAGTAGCTGAGCGTACAGTATGGTATTTTCTCCCCATTACTGATGAACAGAAACGGCTTTTTGAGGTTGTAAACATCTATCACACGTGTAGGGAGTGGGGGACCATCATCACTGGCTATAGCGCATCCTGTGTGATTTGTTAGGCAGTCCTGGAGCCAGAGTGAAGCCATCCCGAGAGACGTCCCACAGCCTGTGTTTCTGTCATACTATGCTTCTCGTCGGCAGAGCAGAGATCTCAAGTGGTCTGTTACTCATACTGTTAGAGGGTTGATCTACGGAATGCTCCGATGTCCTTCAACTTGCCTCTGAAACAGGAAATGAGTATTGGAAGACGAATTCCACTTCCCTCATAGCCATCGAAAGAAAGAGATACATGATCTCCGACTTCGGTTTTGGTAGTTAATCGGACATTTTGATTCTCAGGTATGTCCATTTTTTTCTCTTCCACGATATGTAGAATCAAGAGGCAAAGTGGACATCCACTGTGACGGAAATGATCCTGTGAGACACATTTCTCAGGTGATGACAGTCCATTACCGAGACCGATGTAGCCGTTGGGTTGTGATACCATTAAAAGATCCGTGCAGGCATGACAAAGAGTGACTGTTGCTGAACTGTCTTTTACGAGAAACTTGCGCTCAAAGGACTCTCCCAGTGAATTGATCAGGTGCCCGTATTGCGTACGACGCTCAAGTAGAATATCATCTAGTTGACTTTCGGTGAGACTGAGAAAGTCCGTTATGTCCGTGTCCGGATCGAATAGAAGACGTAAAAGCCTCACCTGGCCCCGCTTGCTTGCCCGGCGTCTAGCTTGGATGGCAAATGTTGATTCAAGATTGAAGTTCGCGCCGTAACCCACAAGAAGCTGAACCGTCTTAAAATCATCAATGGATAGCGCGAGATCCAGAGGGGTTCTATGCTTGCCATCAGCAATATCAACCGCAGCATTCCTCTCCAGCAAGAGCTGTGTGAGTCCGTTTCCTCTGAGAACTGCCAAATGGAGTGCTGTGATCCTGAGCTCATCTACCCCAGGCCATAAGAGCTGGCCTGACTGCGCATTGATGTCCACACCGCGGTCGAGTATGAGGCAAGCGGCATCCTTATTTAGAAATTCGACCGAGATGTGTAGAACCGTGAGTCCGTTCGAGTCGGCTACGTTGACATCGCCGCCATTATCGAGAAGGATTCTCAATATTTCTGCATTGCTGCACTTTGCCGCTTCATGAAGGCCTGTCGTATGCGCACCCCATCCTCTCCCAAGCTGTGACCATGGGGCATTCATCCCGGCGCCATGAAGCATTAATTTAGAGACCTCTTCGGCATCTTCCCTGTATATTGCAGCTTTGAGGAGCTGTTCTGACTGGGAAGGGGATAGAGACCGGCTTTCAGACATGCAGATTGGGTTGCATCGAGTATCAATTGGGTGTTGTAATGGGGAAAACGGAAATAACGTTTGACGCTCGAGACGAGCGATGGGTTGAGCAAATTATAAGGCACTAAATTGCGGGGTAGCATCTTACGTGGTATCACATGCATGGTCAGAAACGTGCTAATAGTGGGGGCCAAACAGCCTTATCGGGCAGAAACACGCTTGTATGTCTCATTTATACAGCTTGTTTCTAGCTCTTACCAAAGTCACACGGCCGTAGCCACAACTGGGGATCATGAGCCCGGGAAAAAAAAATATGGGAGGTGAGCGTCGTATGTGCGGCCGTAAGTTGTTTAATGGTTACGAGGCTGTGCGTGGCGGAATAAGCTAGCATGTTAGCCGAACTTGTGGCGTCTGCCTAATTCAGATACCATTCATCTATCCACGCCAACAGTTTCACAATACATAATAGATCCTTACCAGTGTTGAGTGCAAGAAATCACTGACTCGGGGACTCTATTGCATCCAAAACTCGGATTCCACTCGTATATGTCACAGTTATCTTTACAGCTTCACAATGAGACGTAGCCCCCACGTAAGCATGCAGTAGGCTAACCGAAGACCCGTCAATGCGCTAGGCACCAGGCACCAGGCTGCACCAAGCATAAATACCACGCGCACCTCGCAGAACACCAGCTATAGCAACAATCGCCATGGAAGCACCTGACGCCCAATTGTGTGCATCATGCACCAAAGTGATCCAGGACATTACAGCTCATGACCCCAACAGCATTCCTCAGATTTACTTGGCCGATTTCTGCTCTACCATCTCCTCCTGCTCCCTTTGCTACTTCGTGAACCAGGTATTTCAAGAGGAGGGCTATGGGAAGGACTTGGAGCCTTGTGACGATGACGAGGGCCGCCGGCTTCTGCGAGAGCGGTACTTCCAGCTTTGGGTCCGACAAGGATCGGCGAAAGACCCCGTCCACTTCCAAGAGGATGACATGCCAGGAATATGCATCATGGAGATCAAGTACAACAGGAACAGCCACGACTATGCTTGTTTTATCTTTGACGGCTTCGAACGATACGTCCGGTTCTCTGCGGAGCCAGGTTGTTCCCCTGACATCACCCCATTCTGATGAAGCATCGATTAGCTAACCCTGCACACAGGCAGCCCAGCAGCTACCTCAGGAAAAGTCCACGCCGGCCCCACAATCACTGCATCCGGCTCTCCCGAATCCTTTGCCCACCTCAACACCCTCTACTCAGGCTGTCTAGAGCACCACGCCGAATGCCGCAAAACCCTGGGCGGCACCACCATCGACGAATCCCAGCCGCCCGATCTCCCCGCCCACATCCTCGACCTGGGCGACGACCCCTCCTCCACCTCCATCCGCCTCCTCCAACCCTCGCAGGGCCAACGCGGCCACTACGCCGCGCTGTCTTACCGCCGCGACCCATCCACCACCACCACCCCCGCCTCCGCCTCCATCCCCCTCTCCACCCTCCCCCAAACCTTCCAAGACGCCGTGACTGCCACCCGCGCCCTCAATCTGCGCTACCTCTGGATCGACGACCTCTGCCTGCAGCCGTCCCCCACCACCGCCCCACAAACCGGCCCCATCTTCACCCACGCCCGCCTCGTCCTCGCCGCCTCCGACGCCTCCACGCCCTCCGCCGGCCTCCTCCGCACCTACCCCGCCCGCCCCTCCATCACCCTCCCCTTCCTCACCACCTCCGGCAACCGCGCCGGCACCATCCTCGCCGAACTCCGCCCAGACGAGTCCATCCTCGACCCCGAGCAGGGCCCGCTCAACCGCAGCGCGTGGGCGACGCAGCAGTACATCCTCGCGCGGCGCGTGGCGTACTTCACGGCCGGCGCGGTGGTGTGGAGTTGTCGCGCGTGCCCGCACCGCGCGCTGTGGGATGACGGGGTGCTGTGGTATGCGTATGGCCGCACGAAGACGAAGTGGGCGCGGTTGGTGATGGAGTATTCGACGAGGGAGTTGGAGGTGAGGGGGGAGAAGTTGGTGGCGTTGGAGGGGGTGGTGGGGGAGTTAAGGAAAGTAAGGGACAGTGGGGGGAAGGGGGAGGGGGGGGAGCAGGGGCAGAAGGAGAAAAAGGAGAAGGTGAAGTGCGTGTACGGGACGTGGACGGATGCGTTGGCGTCGCATGTGCTGTGGTCGAGGGTGGGGAGGCCGGGGTCGATGAGCAGGCCGGCTGAGCTGGAGGCCGTGGCGCCGACGTGGTCGTGGGCGTCGACTGAGGGCGGCGTGCACATGAGTGAGTTTGAGTTCGGCGACATTGACACGGACAGCGATACCGACAGCGACGACGACAGCGATGACGGCGACGACAAGGATGCCAGAAGCGACAGCGCTGGCAAAACGGACAAGGGCAGCCGCCCCCCGCGGGCAAACGCGGAGCTGGCGATCGATGAGGAGGATAAGCGGAGGATCAGGGTCAAGGGGAAGCTGGGACGCGTGGAGCTACGCGTCATCGAGGACCCGGATCCTTACATGCATCCGTGCGACTGCCAGGTGTATTCTGAGGACGGCAAGTTAATTGGGATGGCCGCGACTGATGTTGGGCTGGGCGAGGGCGTCAAGACGGCAACGGCCTTCTGCCTGGCCGTGTTGTTTCACCCGTACAACTTTTCTGGCGGATCTTACATGACACTCTTTGTGCAACCACGAGAGGATGGCTCTGATCACTACGTTCGGATGGGCAACGGAGCAATCACGAAGAAGAAGTGGGTTGATCAATGGGATTACTCGGAGTTGTACTTGGTGTAGCTTTCGAGAAAGGCTCTGCCGAATTTGTATAGTTCGTATTGTATCGTCGTTGGCATTTATTTTGTTATTAGTAAACACTTTCCTAAAAGGTTTGGTACATGGTATCTTAGAACTATCTGCGAGTGTGGCCTGATGTGGTTCTCAGCTACCTTTGAAGCCCCGCAACGTTTGAATGATGGGGCAATTACCTTATTTGGCTGGGACTACGCCAGGACCACCCGCGTGTTACGGCGCAGCCTCCACAGGATGAGAAAGTCTGTGACTACCCGCGATCAGTCGGACCCACCCACTTCGTTCTCACCTCTTCTTATACCAGTTAAGAAAAACCCTTCGACAGGTTTCCATCCTCTTTGGTATTTAAATCCTTAGGTTAAGGCTTGCTGTTACATATAGATACGCAGGATTGCTACAGAAGACTAAGCCTTACTAAATTACGCATTCTAATAAGCATTTCCTTATTTATATACGGTGCAAGAGGTCCTGTTTGGTAATTACCCCATCAGCCAATCGCCAGAATGCATCAACATAAAGAGCAGTAGTCAGAGCAACCCCGACGAACCCGAACTACGTAAGCGACCCAACAATGTCGGCGGATGAGGATGATGGGGGCGGATACGTGACTGTTGGCGCGTCTCCAAGCCCGACGAACTGACAATCACGCCCTCCACACCGGCAAACCAATAAGGCAGCGCAGAACTCACGCAACTGCCGTACCCGACCTACCAAGCGAATCGACCTGAGACGACGTGATCGGCCTGCTCAACACCATTGTTGCGCAGAATAACAAGCTCACCGAGCAGAATGAAGCGCTTGCAGAACAAGCGACCAGCAACGAAGTTGAGATCATGCGGCTGCGCAGTGCGCTAGAGATGTCCGAGGAAGCGCAAGTCAAGATGGAATAGCGCATGGAAAAGATGGAGAAGCAGATGGCCGCGCTCGTCGAGACGACGCGCAGGAACCTGGCCTCGTAGCCGTAGATCAACGCGAATTACGCAAGCGCTCTTAGAAATATACCCGCTACGCCGCCAACATCTAAGAACACTAGCCCGGCGTCGATGCTAGCCACGCCGGTGCGAGCCGCGACTACGAACACGCTGTTACTAATGTCGCCGCCGCCAGCGATCGAGCTCAATCTCTCGGAAGCCAAAAGTAACACCACAAAGCCGGGAGACATACGCGCGCGCTTTCAGAGGGCGCTTGAGAGCCAGGAAGCGTCCAAGAAAATCAAGTGCTGTGGCCTAACGAGGTATGCGAGCGACATGGCGAAGGTGCGACTCCTCTTCCGCTCTAAGGATGATGAGGAAGCCGTTAGATCACACAGCGGCTAACTGAAGACAAGCATTCAGAGGCGCGAAGATGAGGGGCCAGCAGTGGTACCCAGTGAAGGTAGACAGAACCTCGGTCGGTTCCACAAACATACGGCCGATATTCCAAATGGTTTCTGGAGTGCGGTTGAGCGGAGTGCCCAAGACCCATCGCTAACGATAGAAGGCATAGTGCTGAGTCGCCAGTAGCCTATAGTTCGATCGAAGTCTTGCACCTTTTGCTTAGGCTTTAGAATGGCGGTGCTAGAGCTAAGCGCATTGTTCCATCATCGTACGTGCCGTTTTCGTCTTGCTGCACTGTGGATCTAACGTGGACAAGTCGGAAGAGAAAGTTCCACGCAACGAGAATATAGCTGCACTACTTCCGCTGGTGATCTTCCCGCAACTCGTAGGCTATGCATCCGAACCGACTTATGATTCCACTTTAGGTCGTGGAGAGAGCGGGGCTCGGACTACAGTTCCGATGATGCCCGTAGATCCCTGCAGCAAAACGTCGCGAACAGGTTTGCTGTATCACGTCAATAAATAATATTGCAATGCAAATAATGTCCCGACACGTGTGGTAAAACTGTTTGTAAAGGGAGTGTCCGTAAGTAGACGCTGAAAGAGAAAGGGTGCATTTGCACGCGTTAGCATTCTGATCATCAACCACTTTGCGGACCGGACGATCACCCGGCGGTGTCCCTGCCTTGTGTAACACAAATATCGTCTTCAGGTTTCGGCTTCGTCTATGCAAAGATGAGCACTGATTGTAATAATTTGCGGGCAAAGTAGTAGCGATCACTTTGTAACCAGATAATCGTTATTTACCTAGTAATGATGGTGGGACCTGGGGTGGGGTTTCCACCGGTATACCCAAATGAGCGTGGTCGCTCAAACAAGAACAAACTTTGGAGTAAGGTAGGTGTCTCATATCTGCAGCAAACCTGTTGTAACAGTACTACGCATATTCTTAGAGGATACCAAAAGATCATCCATCTCACATCTTGTATAAATTTAAAGTGGAGAAATACACGTTAGTCCCCTGCTACGGTTCCCCATATTCTCCGCAACGCGTGACCGTATTCCTTGGTATATGTTTATTCGTACTAGTAACGAGAATGTGCATTACACCATGAATGCGAATACTCAGACGTTCGGCAGGCCAATGAGTTGCTATCGTGATGTCCTAACAGGGTTTACAAAGGGCGCCTATCCTATCACGTTTGCAGGCCGAGTTATATCCACCTCTCTTCACCGATGGCGCCAAGCTTGACTGTATCTCTAGGTTCAGCCTTGCCGCTTCAGCGGACGAGTCTTCACAGAAGCAACCACTAAAGAGATTGAGAAGCTGGAGGGTCCCGTTGGCTGGTGTGTACAAAGTAGCGAGGTCAAGGAAGCAGTGGCATTGGTGGACGAAGGGTGCGATATTGGTCATATGAACGGTAATCCGTATTCTAGGGACACCGACACTTCGGTCAGCACCGGAGTTGGGAATTACTGAGGGTAGCTGCACTTGGCTACTGCAAGGTTACGCCGAGATATCCAGTTGGAAAGCAATCATCAGCGCTCAGACGCGTGACACGCCAGAAGGCGGGTAGGGAGATGAAAGGGTGTAGTGCGGAGTGAGCGGTAGGTGTGTGCGGAGCACGGAGGTGTGACCTTCTTAACAGACGCACTGCATTCCGGTGGCATAGACAGAGGTAGAAGTGGTAGAGAAGGGATTACAGGCTGCCGGCTCGCGATAGCTCGTTTCAACCAGATCACTATGCTCTGGTTTGGCTAGATCATGTGTGCATGCTCAGCGGATTTTTTTTCTCTGGAAAGGCTCTCATTAAGTGCTTTCGTGTCAATAAACCTAGGTGGGCGTAGTAGACTGGCGACAGGTGATGACGAATGAATGTTCCTAGCGCGGCGCAGATGCTAGTGTTACGCATCAGAAACCACAACGGAATACTGAAGCCGAATGCTAGGGTCACGACTACAGGTATCACGAACAGGATAAATGTTGGTGACACAACAGGTTAGGACCGCATAATCCACACGCGAAGTTCCAGCTCTATCACCGCACCGTGACCTTCGAGCTGATGCGTATATAAGACAGATGGACTTCCCCTCGGATCAAACATCATCAACACGACAGTCTTCATCAAGCCTTAAACACCAAGTACACCAACAACCACACCGACCACCGCTACTTCACTTCCAAACGCAAATATCCATCACCGTCAACATGAAGTTCATCACCGCTGCCGCTGCCGCTGCCGCTGCCGCTCTTCTTAGCGCCGCCGCAGCCTTGGCCCCTCCGACCCCCTCTTCCGACCCGTCCGTGGTGGCTACCTACTTGATCCAGGACTTCCTCATTGGCTTCGTTGACAACGTCGTGTCCTTCAAAGTTGGGATGATCAACGGCGAGACGGCCGCTGAGTGCTCTACGTCGGGAAGCGCGGTCGTCAGCAACCAAAGTTACACTTGCAACAACTCGTACTTCAGCTTCACCTTGGACACCGACGAGCTGCCATTCAACCTCACCCTTCGTGAGAACTGGGATCAGTAAGCGCAATTCTCACTTCTAGAACCCGCTATTGCTTGCTAATATTGTTTTAAGGGGACCCATTGCCGGATCCACCCTCATCTTTTACCATAGCCAGAACGTTGTAATCCAGCTTCGCTACGTTGAGTAGAAACAAGCTTTACCGTCCGCAATTTCGGTATTCTTAAAGCAGATTTACGATTGTTTTTATGGAATTAGGTTATACTAGTTACTCGTTATATTTTTATGTACTATAATATTAATAAAAATTTCTTTTATCTTTTAGTAGCTCTTATCTATAACTATTACTAACGACTAAATTTATATCTTAAATAAGTAAATCTTTTATATTTATTTATTAAGAGATAAATAAATATTTTAAGACCGATAGTACTCCTAAAGAATTTTTAGAGATATAGTTCTAACTCGTATAATTTTTAAAGTTCGTAATAGACTAGTACTCTATTTTTATGTACTACTTCTATCTATAATAGTCATGCATACGGGTATTACGAATTAAATTACACCCGCTCTGATGCATACAAGTACCCCAACACCCTCTCGCAAAGATCCTTCCGTGGCTCAGCCTGGTCATCGTTGCTCAGCGCGTGAGAAGCATTCGGTATGATACCACTAAAGTCCTGATCCCAAATCTTTGCTTCCCCATTATGATCAGTAGCATTCCTCCACCTCGCCATCAACTTCTCCTTATCAATCCAATCCGGCACCGACTGATCCGCGCCAGACATCATGACCATCAGCTTATACCTCAACAGCTGACGCTGACGAATCATGCCAAACGTCGTCTTCAGATGCTCATCGCTCAGATCCGAACTGAACAAGTCATCCTCCCGCGGCGCCTGCGGGCTCTCGGGGCTGACCAGACTGAGGAATCTCCGCGCACTCAGCGGTGTGTTCTGGTAGCCGATGGCGGACGTCATGTGCAGCGGCAGCAGGAAGTCGCAGGCCTGATCGTCCGCGGCATTTTTCTTCGCCAGCGCGAGCAGCTCGTCGAACACGGCGCGCGTCTCGCTCGGCGTCTTCCCCAACCAGCCCCAGTGCAGCACCCACTGCATAGCCTCGCGGTCCGAGACCGGGGCCTGCATGATAGCGCCGTCGAGCGGCAGGCGCTCGACGTGCTGCAGATCAGCATCAAAAGCTTTGGCCGAGGTGTGCGGGTTGGGGCGGTAGAGGTAGTGCAGCACGTGCTGGGAGCCGGTCGAGTGGCCCATCAGGACGAGTTTTCCGGAGTTGCCGTACTTGCCCGTCTTGTAGTCCTTGACGTAGCGCAGGCACTGGGCGATCTCGTCCGTGTCGCGGTCCAGGTGGCCCAGCCCCCACGAGTTGTAGGAGGACGTGAAGCTCAGGGTGAAGAGGGACCATTCGGTCGGCTGCAGGGCGCGGGCCAGGTCGGCCATGTACGACGTCGAGCCGAGCCCTTCGCCCAGGCCGCCGATGAAGACGAGGCTGTGGGGTTTGCGGACGGTGTTGGTGGTGAACTCGAACGTCATGAGACTCTCGGTCTACATGTTGTCACGAGGGGAGTGGGAAATCAGCGAGAGGCACGATTGGGATCGATGGGCGCGGAGGGCTGGCGTACGTAATGGTGCAGGATGCCCGGGACGCCGCCCTTGGGCCAGAACTTGGAGTACGCCATGTTGGAGTGCAAGGCAAGAGACGCGACGGAAGTTCAGACGTCGTTGAAACAGGAAGAACAACGGCGGAAGCAAAAAGGAACGTTAATGCCGACCCCGTTTGTTTGGTGATCGTCAGCGGCCACGTGGATCCCGGCGCAGGCCTCCGATACAGGCCAACGCGGGCCGCGGCACCCTCTCGACCGGCAACGATCTGAGAGCAAAATGATTGCATCATCGGGAACTGCAGTTTTAGTCATTTTACCGAGGCGGCTTGGGTGGCTTCGGGCTGCCGATGAAATTTTTCTGGTGAAACGGCAAGCACGGGCTGGCGGGGTACTATCAGATCCGCTTTTAGCCTCGTATTCCGGACATTGCCGATATCTGATCCGCCTGCCGGGGTCAGCGCCGCCGCACTTTGATGCCCTCGACGCCACGATGCGGCCTGGAGCAAAAACTGTGTGCCAGACACCCCGCTCCTGAAGCCAAATGAAAATCTCGCACGAGTGGAGACCTGTTCACCGCCGATCACACGACCAACCTAGTTATCCTTAGCGAGGTCTGGCTGGGGAAATGCCGCCCTGATGGAAAATCTGATAAGATTCTGGAACGCAGCGCCAAGCTGACCAAGCTCGCCACGGCATCGCTTAGCAGCGCACGATCCTGCGGGTGGAGAACCACAACAATGGTACACTACGCAACGCCAACTTCCGGATCAGATAACTTTGTTGCTTCAACCACCCCCCCTGCTACGAAGTATGCATGCTGGGGACACCCTGTTCTCCCGTGCCGTGCCCTCATCAGCGGCATGACCCGCAGGCATCGGGCTTTCCCGCCAGGGAAGCAAACCCTCGCCCACACCTCCCTTCCCTTCCCTCCCCTCGGCAATGCACCGCGCTTAGAACAACACACCCTTCGTCTGCGCCTTCGTGACCTTCAAGTCCTTGATCAGGAACATCCACCCGAGCGACAGCGCCATGATACACGTGCCAGCAATCAGCATCTTGCTCTGCGAAAAGGCATACGCCGCCTGAATCGCCGTGCGAATCGGCGTGCCCCGCTCGTAGCTCAGCTGCACGTCGAGCGAGTCGTAAATCGTCTCCCAATCCGCCTTGGCCTCGTCGGGCAGCAGCCGCCGCAGCGCCGACGGCAGCGTGTGCGTCCAAATCGCGCCGGAAATGCTGCTCCCCACGGCACTCCCCATGTTGCCGAAGACGTTGAGGAAGGCCAGGGCCGACGCGGCGTTGTTGTGGTCGGCGACGGCGAGCACGGCGACCTGCTGCACGATGATCATGGTGCCGCCGGACAGCGCGAGGAACACCTGGCACATGACGTTGTACCCGACGCCCCAGTGCGGCTGCCGGAAGTAGATCATCAGCCCGATGCCGAGGATGTACAGCGGGACGGCCCAGAGGAGCAGCCAGCGGAAGCGTCCCGTCTTCTTGATGCAGAGGCCGACGCCGAGCAGCCACACGCCCGAGACGACGTCGAAGATGTTGCTGATGTAGCCGGCCGTTTCGATGCTGACGCCGTATACGACTTGGAGATACGACGTCCAGTAGTCGTTCCAGCAGTAGTACGAGATCTGGTACGTGGCGTCGACCAGACAGGCGCCGAGGATGGTGCGCGTGGCTAACATCTCCCATTGCAGGAACGGGACGGGGGCGACCCAGCGCTCGACGGCGGCGAAGGCGAAAAGGCAGAGGATGCCGATGACGAGCATGACGATCATCGAGGCCGAGTTCCAGCCCTTGTCCGTCGTGCTGGCGATGGTGAAGGGCAGGAGGAAGAGCGCCAGGCCCGCGGTCAGGAGAAACGTTCCCAGGACTACGAATGGTTAGTAAAACACCCCCCGTCAGAACGTGGAGATATACTCACTGTCGAATTCGATGATGTAGTGCTTGGCGCTCTGCATCGGCGTTCTTCCACTGCTCTCCTTCGCCCGCAGCAGACCCCTCTTCTTAGCCACGTGCCGGTTCCACTGCAGAAGGCAGAACAGCGGCGTTGCAACGACGGGAAGGATGATGCAGAAAATACCGTAGCCCCAGCGCCAGTTAGTCTGGACGAAGTGGGCCGCCGCAGCCGGGCCTGCGTATGCGGTGATGATGTAGGGAGAAGAGGTAAACGCGTAAGCAAGACCTCGATCGCGAAGCGTCGACGTGTCGATGGTGATGACATCGATGGAAAAGATGATACCAGCAAAGCCGACGCTGTAGAAGACCTGCGGAATGGTGAGAATCGCAGAGCAGAAGAGGCAAGAAATAGGTTGCTTACCTGAGCCGCGCAGTACGTGGCAATGTCATAGCAGGTTGCACTCAAGATCAAGCCGAGAGTTGCGAATCCAGTCATCAGTGCAAAACCAACAGAGCGGTCCCAGAGGTTCAGAATTTTCGCGAGAGGCATGTACGTTGCTGCTCCCATAATACTGGACACGATGGCGATAACAGGGATCAAGGAATGCGATTCGAAGTCGCTGGTGATGTAGGCCGACGCGTTGCTGGTGATCTGGGACTGGAAAGCGTTGACAAAGTACAAACACCACATCCTGTATTTTGCCGTTAGCGAGTTGCTCTTTGTTATTCTTGCTGGAGCAGGTTTGAACTTGCAGTATGTAGGCACATCCCAGCGACGTCTTAGTCCACACCAAGGTGATGGCTTCGGCTTGGGCGACACCATCTTGGGCTGCTTCGTCAGGCGTCTGCTCGCTCGATGATGACGGATGAACGGCTTCAGCTGGAGCCTTGGAGTCTGGCTCGACGAGCCCCTCAGCGTTGGAAGAACCACCCTCCGGCGTAGTCGGTTCTGGGGCTGGGAAAAACAATTTCCGCAGCGTGGACGCCATGTTGAGGAAACAACAATGTTGTTAGGATAGAAGGGGACTGACCATCTGATGCGCCGAGACGAGGCTGGGCCAGGGAAGCTCGGTTTACATCTTTAAGAGCCCACGCCACGGCCCATCGGTCCGTTCCTCGCACATCGGCGTGAGAAGCGCTAACGCGGCCGCAGGATCGGGGGCGTGGCCGATAAAGGACGGTGTGGTACGATTCGCGCTTGCGCGGTGGCGGCTTAAGCGAATGCCCGCCTTTCGGCTGAAAACCTAAGTCCGAGGGGCCATTATTGGGCTTGACTTTTTTTTTCCTGCCGGTTTCGTGGCCCAGTCCCGCGGGGAACAAATTTTGATCTGATAAGATGTGTCATGCATTCGTGGCAGGGGGCCCACTCATAGGTGTTCTTCATTATCGGCCCCTCAAGGCGCTGCTCACATGCAGTACAAAATCCGCTGCGAAGGCTGGTCTAGTATCCATATCGTCCTCACACGGATTCGACGCGTCTGCCTTCCTTTAGCGAAGCGCCACAACGCGAGTGACCGACGACCGGTAAGTTCCCTCGCCCCTCTTTCATGCACGGAATGATAACCATCCTCGACAGGGATTGCAGTCAGGCACCGTCAACCTGCAATCTCGATGAAGGCCCTCCAGAAACTCTCTGGCTACCCCAGCCTGCTTCTGGCGGGTAGCCCTTCGAAGGCGGACTTGGGCACGCTGTTGCTGGGCATTGCAGCTGCCATCGCATCTGGTGTCCCCTTCCCTCTCATTGGAATCTTGTTTGGTCAGCTGCTTGATGATTTCAACGGGGCAACGTGTAATGAGCAGGACGACTCGGAGTCGGGTGCCGGATATCAATCCAGCATCAACAGCAAAATCCTGATCATTGTTTATCTGGCCATCGCTCAGTTCGTCCTGATATACGTCCACCTTCTCTGCTGGAGTCTCAACGGCGCACGGCTGGCTCAAAGACTGCGGGAGAACTACCTGCAGAACTTGCTGCGGCAGGAGCCCTCCTTCTTCGACAACTTACCTCCCGGCGAAGTCGCATCTCGACTCCACAGCGACATCCAGACGATCCGGTCAGGTACTTCTGAGAAAGTAGGAATATGCCTATCAAGCGTTTCATTCTTTGTCACGGCGTACATTGTGGCATTCATCAAGAATGACCGCTTGGCCGGGATGCTGGTGTCGTTGCTTCCAGCTTATTTCTTGATGTCGTTTGTTGGAAGCCATTATATTGAAAAATATTCTGGTCTCGTGTCCGACTATGCTGCTTCAGCTGCATCAATTGCTTCTGAAGCCCTTTCGAACATTGTCGTGGTCCAGGCGTTCGGTGCGAATGCCAGGCTGGAGGAGAAATTCTCCAAAGCGCTCAAGTCTTCTGAAGAGGAAGGTATCAAGAAGGCTACGGCAACTGGCATCCAGTCGGGAGTCTTGTATTTCATTGCCTATTCTGCGAACGGTCTCGCCTTCTGGCAGGGAAGCAGGAATATCGCAGCCTCAGTGGCAGGTAACGGTAATGGCACAACAGTCGGTGCCACGTTCACCGTCATCTTCATCCTGATTGAAGGTAGGCTAAGCTCCCCGGCTGTTGTAGACTTCTCATTAACACAAGACAACAGCCACCCTGCTCCTAAGTCAGGTTGCTCCGTTCATCCACCTGTTCTCAGCAGCCGTCGCCTCGTTCCGAAAGTTGCGTGGAGACATGGACCGTGAGCCGCTCATTGATGGCATGACCTCTTCAAACCTTGCTCTTCCGGAAGGCGGAGCTGGCTTTGAGTTCAAGAACGTGTCGTTCACCTACCCCTCCAGGCCTGAGATCACCGTCCTCGACAACGTCAGCTTCAACATTCCTCCAAACAAGCATACCGCCCTCGTCGGTCTCTCGGGCAGTGGCAAGTCGACTATTGCGGGTCTGGTAACACGTCTTTACAATCCCACGCATGGCCAGGTCCTCTTCGACAACCAAGATGTTCAAGAGCTCAACGCTCGTGATCTGAGGAGTTTCATGGGCCTGGTTCAGCAGGAACCCTCCCTTCTCGACCGTTCACTGTTGGAGAATATTGCACATGGCTTGATCAATTCCAGCAATCCGGCTCATGTGCATCTCAAGCCAATACTTCTCGGTTCGGAGCTTGCGGAGCTGGCAAGCGAAGTCAGGGAGGGTACTGATATGATGGCTGCAGCAGAGAAACGGGGCGCTGCATTCGTCGAGATCATCAATCTGGTCAAGAAGGCTGCCACGCTTGCAGATGCTGATGGCTTCATTGTTGCTCTGCAACATGGATATGGCACGACCGTAGGTTCGAGCGGGCGACTGATCAGTGGTGGGCAGAAGCAACGTGTGGCTCTCGCTCGAGCTCTGGTCAAGGATCCTCCGGTTTTGATCCTCGACGAAGCAACTGCTTCCCTGGACTCCCGAAGCGAAGAACGTATCCAGCGGGCTATCTCCAACATCACCACTGGCCGCACCATCATAACCATTGCCCATCGTTTATCGACCATTTCCAACGCGGATAACATCATCGTCATGCACAGGGGACACATTGTGGAGCAGGGAACTCACTCGGAACTGATGGCCAAGAACGGCGCGTATGCCGATCTGGTCAAACTCCAAACCGTAAAATCCGCGTCTGGAGAGACGGATACCCAGAGCATCAAGAAAGCCAACCGGCCTTCTACGTCAACTGGCGACATCGAGAAGAGGAGTCTGTCCGACGACGAACACGAGAACGCCGACAAAACACAAATCTCAACAACCGAAGCTGCCGTCGCCGAGTCGGCAGAAGAAGAGGAGCCCGAGCCCGAGACTCCCAAGAAGTCTCTCTGGGCCCTGGTGAAAGGCTACACGCCCGCCATCCGGCCGCATCTGCTCACCGTTGCCTTCGCATTCCTGGGCTCGATCGTCGTCGGTGGCGCTTTCTCGGGCGAAGCCGTGATTTTCGGCAACACCGTTGGCAGTCTCAGTCTCTGCCACACGCCAGCCAGCATCCGGGACCGCGGAGATTTCTACGGCCTCATGTTCTTCGTGCTCGCCGTCATCGAGTTCTTCGCCAACATCTTCAGCTGGGCTGGCTTCGGCTGGGTGTCTGAACACGTCGTCTATACGGTTAGGGTCCTCTCGTTTCGCTCGCTCTTCGAACAGGATCTCCAGTGGCATCAATCCGAAGGGCGGTCGCCTGCGCTGCTTCTCGCTTACATCACGCGGGATGGCAATGCCTTGGCCGGCTTCAGCGGCTCGGTTATCGGCACGCTGTTTTCTATCACTGTCAACCTCTTCGCCGCCATTATCTTGACGCACATCATCGCGTGGAGAATCGCCCTGGTCTGCCTCGCTCTCGTCCCGCTCCTCCTCGGCGCCGGACTGATGGAACTCCGGGTCCTCGGCGCCTTCGAGGAGAAGCACGAGAACGCCTACACCAAGTCGGTCGACATCGGTGTCGAAGCCGTGACGTCGATCAAGACGATCGCGTCGTACTCGCTCGAAGACGAAACGCTGGGCACCTACCGACGCTCCCTCAGCGGGCCGCGCAAAGAGACGCTCACCGTTACCATGCAGGCCAGCTTCTGGCAGGCCATGACGTACTTCCTGGGCAACCTCGTCAACGCGCTGGCGTACTGGTGGGGCGCGAAGCAGATCATCAACGGGAACTACACGCAGACGCAGTTCATGATCGTCGTCTTCTCGCTCCTCGTGAGCGCTCTCCTCTGGAGCCAGATGTTCGCCCTCGCCCCGGAGCTGTCCAACGCGCGCGCCGCCATGGCTCGCATACTGGGCTTGATCCAGATCGGCTCGTCGAAGATGCAGGGACACGTGCGTCCGCTCACTGTCGCCTCAACCTCCCCCGACCCCGAGAGCGGCGCTGCTGAACCCAAGACCCCCCACTCCCCCTCCCACCCCTCCGCCTCCAGCGTCCAGCTCCGCGACGTGCACTTCTCCTACCCCGCCCGGCCCGACGTCAAGGTCCTCCAGGGCCTCAGCATCGACGTGGCGCCTGGCCAATTCGCCGCGCTCGTCGGCCCCAGCGGCGCCGGGAAATCGACCATCATCTCGCTCGTCGAACGCATGTACACGCCTTCCGCCGGCGCCATCACCATCGACGGCGTCGACGTAACCAAACTACGGGGCGACGACGTCCGGTTCAGAGACACGATATCGCTCGTGCCGCAAGAGAGCGTGCTGTTCGAGGGCAGCGTAGCGTTCAACATCGGGCTCGGCGCTCCACCCGGACACGAAGCGACGCAGGCGGAGATCGAGGAGGCGTGCAAGCTGGCGAACATCCACGACGTCATCGCGGCGCTGCCGGAGGGTTACGAGACGCTGTGCGGGCCGAACGGCAGCCAGTTCTCTGGCGGGCAGAAGCAGCGGTTGTCGATCGCCAGGGCGTTGGTGAGGAATCCGCGGTTGTTGATTTTGGACGAGAGTACGAGTGCGCTGGATGCGGAGTCGGAGAAGCTGTTGCAGGATGGGTTGGATAAGGTGAGTGCAAGGGGGACGACGGTGATTGCCATTGCGCATCGCTTGCATACGATTGCGAAGGCGGATGTGATTTTTTTGATTGAGGCGGGCGTGTGTGTGGATCGGGGGACGCATGAGGAGTTGATGGAGAGGTCGGATAGTTATCGGGCGAACGTCATGCATCAGACCGTAGCGGTTTGATTTAGGGGTGGAGGTTAGGTGGCATGGGTTGTTGGACTGCTTTGCAGGTAATGCTTGATGATGTATTCGAGATAGTAATTTAAAAGTTGGCATTCCATCTTCAGCTGCGATGAAGGTCAAGGTGAGAATATACGCAAGATGATCCAAAGAATGCCTGCGGGCAGCGTGGAATATATCTGCTGCCAGTAGCTGTCGAACAGCAAACAACAACCGAAGGGAACCGAATATCATGGAGCCTACAGGATGCTCCTGTAGAAAGATCTCCTTAGTGTTGTCGAGCATTCTGGAGAACCAGTGATCAAGATGATAGAATGTGGGGGAGATTTCATGAGAATGAACGAACAGAACTTTATATTCAGATAAGAAACACAACAACTCTACGGATATACAAAACAAGATCAACCAAATCAAACATCCACAAACACCTCCTCCCCAAGCAACACACCCCCCTCCCCCTCCGGCCCCGCCAACTCCCTCACCGCCCCCACCAACTCCTCCAGCACACCATCCACAAACGCCTCATCCCTCTCACTCCCCACCACACCAACATGCACCTCTCCCCCCCTCACAAACGAAACGGCCTTAAACGGCACCGGCGCATCCCCATGCGGCTTCTCCACCCCGACCTTGCACGTGCCCTGCGCAAACGGCATCTCGTCAAAGTCCTCAGCCGCATCCTGATGATGCACGACGGAACCAAAGAACTCCTCAGCCCTCTCTCCCTTCCACCCCGGCACACACTCCGCCGCAACCCTCCTCCACCCCACGAAATCATGCGCCGCCGACGCGCCCGCCTGCGCCTGCACGAACCGCAGCAGCTCGCCCGCCCTCCACCCACGCTCAAATTTGACTCTGACGGGCGCGAACTGGTAGCACGGCCCGACCACGTCTTCGGCGTCCTCCAGACCCTCGACGATGCGCCCGCCCGTCACACCGCCAAACAGCACATCCGCCACGCGCAGCCGCCGCGCCAGGACGAGCGCCCACGCGGCGGTCAGCAGGTTCGCCGTCGTGATTTCTTTCGGCTTGGCTGAGATGTCAAGCGGGGGGCTGGCGCGGAAGAGGCCGCGGTCGCCTGGCTGTGCTGCGGCGCCGGGGAGGATGGTGGGTGGCGTGGAGGCGGACAGGAGGGTGCGCCAGTAGGACAGCGCTGCGGTTTGCGCGGCGGAGCTGGCGGTGCCGACGGTGTGCGCGAGGTAGGACGAGAAGGGGCGGAAGGCGGGGAGGTTGGTGGGAGAAGTGCCGGTGTAGAGCGCTTCCAGGTCTGTCAGTAGGCGCGGTAGGGCGACGGCATCGTACTGCGCGTGCGAGAGGCGGAGGATGAGGCAGCTTCGGCCGTCGGCGTCGTCCTGCACGTGGGTGAACTGGACGAAGGGGGTGCCGAGGGAGAAGGCCTCGGACGACTCGATGTCGGCGGCGCAGAGGGCGGCGACGTGCTGCTCTAGATCGCCGTCGGCGGGCTGGGAGGTCACGACGCCGTCCAGCGAGGCCAGAACGACTTGGAGGAAGCTGTTGGATCCTGCTTCGCCTTGCACGAAGACGGTGCGCAGGATGTCGTGTGCGGCGACGAGCTCGGTGCAGGCGCGGGACAGCTGTGCGGCGTCGACAGCGCCGGGCTCGAAGTACAGGAGGGTGTACTGCACCGACGTCCGCGGCGTGTTGATGGTGCCGCGGACGTCGAGCGCCTGCGAGTCCGTGACTGGATACGCATCTTGGATGGTCCAGCTCGGATCGGCCAGCTGTGGCCGCACAACATCAGACAGGAACGTTTCGACATGCTGCTGGCTCAGCAGGGAGAAGGGCTTATACACCGGTCGTGTCTTCGCTGCCGGCGTCGGAGCGCTCGACTTCATGACCTTCGCCGCGTCGCCCAGGCGCATGTGCGTGAAGATGTCGGCGACGGACAGGCTGTGACCCTGCGAACGCAGGCGGGAAACGAGCTTCATCGCCAGCACGGAGTCGCCGCCTAGCCGGAAGAAGTTGTCGTCGACGTCGATGAGGTCAGGAGCGATGCCGAGGATTTGCGCCCAGGCGGAGCGCAGCACGTCTTCTGCAGGCGTCAGGGCTGAGTGCGTTGCGGATTGCATCCATGCTACTCTGATGCCTTCGCGGAGCTGGGCGAGGACGTCGCGGGGGATGGCCGAGGCGAGCTGGTTCAGGGTCTTGTGGTCGGATGTGAGGATTTTGTCGACGACGATGTAGGCGAAGGGGACCATGTATGAGGCGAGAGAGTCTTGGATTGACTTGTCGAGCTTCTTCAGTGCGGCTGCGAGACTAATCGAGATGTTGGTGCAGATTTGAAGTGTCTTGCCATCTTCAGAGATGTCGTGGCTTGTGGGGATGAGCTCAACACTGGCTTCCTGGAAGGCCGGCTGTTCGACAAAGACAACTAGCTCTTGCTCTGAGCCCTGCTGGACTCCATTCGATGACTCTTGCCATATAGCTGCCGCAGCCTGAACGGATGGTGGGAGGTGTTTGGAGAAGGGAGCGTCGAAGTCGGCAATGTCGACCGCATGGCCTTGGATCCTGAAGATATTGTCCTTGCGGCGAACGAACACCAAGCTGCCATCCTCTTGCAAACGAGCCATATCGCCTGTAGGTTGGACCCTCCCTGTGCGGCCGGCACAAGAAGAACTTCCGGTGACAAGCCAAGCTGGGTTCTCGACAGTTTCGCCGGGTAGGAAAGCTGCTTCGAGCCACAGCTCGCCCACACAACCGATTGGCGACAACATCGACGAGTTCCGCGGATCACAAACCCACGGCACAACCGCGCGAGGGTAGGCGGCGCCCGGCTTGACGTCTGTGCCCGCACGAAGACACTGCAACGCCTCGTCGACAGCCAACGGCGGAGTCTGATTCCACTTCCAGATGCGGTCCAGCTCCGCCCCAGGCAAGCAACTGATCTGATCCAGCCTTCTCTCCCCAGGACCCCCGATCAACTGCAAGCACACCGTCTCCAGCTGCGCGAGGATGCGCCGCATCTGCGCGACCTCAACGAGCTTAGTGTCGAAGCTCGCACACACCCTGAACCCGCCCTTCCGGATGCCGAACGCCAGCATAACCGGATACGCATTGAAATGCAGCGCCTCGCGCACAACGTCCCCCATCTCGAACCCCAGATCGTCGCCCGCGTACTCGGGCTCCGGCTGGATGACCAGCCCCGTCCCCGTCTCGCACGCCAGCTGCGCATCGGGACTGACGCGCCGGATGTTCTGGAAGCCCATATGCTGCCACGGCGTGCGCGCCAGAACTCCCTCCTGCACCGCGGCTAGATACGTTCCCACGGTTTCTGTCCGCTGCACGCGTATCCGCACCGGCACCGTCGCGATGAGCGGCCCGACGACGCTCTCGACGCCGGCCAGCGCGATGTCCCGACCCGTCAGCGTCTCGCCGAAGACGACGTCGTCGCTGCCGGCATGCTGCGCGGCGACGAGCGCCCACGCGCCGCGGATCAGCGTCGCCAGCGTGAATGGCGAGTTGGTCTCGGGGAGAGTGATCTGCCGCTCGACCGTGGCGCCGGGCGTAGGGAGGTAGTCGCGCGAAGGCAGGCGCGGGAACTGTGGCCCCACGGCGCCGGCGAGCTCCTTGCGCCAGAAGTCCTGCATGGCGGCGTCGTCGGTGGACTGCACCCAGGCCACGAAATCGCGCATCTGCGCTGGGGCCGGAGTGGGTTGGGATTGTAGGGCGTTCCGGACCTGCTCGAGGACCAGCGGCTCGGACCAGCCGTCGTACAGCACGTGGTGGATCGTCCACACCATGTAGCGCTGGCTCTCGTCGTCGCAAGGAGCGTTGACGATGGCGTAGCGCGCCAGCGGCTGGCCCAGCTCCATCTTCTCCTGCCGGTCGCTCTCGAGGTACTGCGCGAGCGACGCCGCGTGCCGCCAGGTGATGCCCTTCTCGTTCAGCACGACTTGTTGCAGCCCGGGCGATTGGAGTTGGGCCAGGCGGCTGCGGAGGATGGGGTTGGCGGCGACGACGGTTTCCCAGGCTTGCTTCCAGGCGGCGAGGTCCATGTCGGCCGGGATGCGGGCGACGCGCTGGGCGATGTAGGCTTTGGTGGACTTGAGGGCGAAGGTAAAGAGAGCTTGCTGGGTTGGCGTCGAGGGGTAGATGTCTTCGATGGCGGCGGGGTCGGTGATGCCGCACGCCGCCGCTGCTTCCAGCCTGGCGCTTTCGACGTCCTGTGAGATCATCGAGAAGGGGGGCAGTTCAGCTCGTGCTTGCGTGTCGGAGACGCGGACGACGGCGGCCATGGCCGAGAGCGTGGGGTTGGCGAAGGTGCTGGTGACGGAGAGATCGAGGCCGTCGGCTCTGCAGACTGAGACGAGCCTCATGGCCGCCAGCGAGTCGCCGCCCAGCGCGAACAGGTTGTCGTCGGGGCGGATGCCGTCGGCGTCGATGTTCAGCACCTGGCTCCACGCCTGCCGGAGCCGCTTCTCCAGCTCGCTCAGCTCGCGCGTAGCGTTGGCAGAACTGCCCTGATCCAGCTGCCGCAGGTCGACCGTCTGGCCGAATGCCCTGAGCCGCTTGCGGTCCGTCTTGCCCGAGATGAGCACCGGCACGTGGTTGACCGGGATGTACGCCGTCGGCACCATGTACCTGGGCACAACCTTCGCCAGCTCCTTGTCCGCCTCCGCCAGCACGCCGCGCATCTCGTCATCCAGCTGCACCGCCTCGACTTCCACACCCACGGACCCCTTCGCGCCGTTGAACGCAACGAACGCCACCAGCGTTGCCTGGCCACCAGCTCCCTGCGGCACGATGACCTCCGCAATGACGTTTGTCTCCGCCGGCAGCCGTGCCAGGAGCTGACTCTCAATCTCGCCCAACTCAACACGCTGGCCCCTCAGCTTGACCTGCGTGTCCTTCCTCCCCGCAAACACGATCCCGCCCGAACCGTCGGGATCATACCTCCCCAGATCCCCCGTCTTGTACAACCTACTCCCCATCCTGCCCCTCACTCCCCTCGCCTCGTGCCCGGCCACCAACCACGCGGGGTCCTCAACGAACGCCTCCTTCGTCTTCGCCGGATCGTTCAGGTATCCCTGCCCCACAATCGGCCCCTCGACCAGCAATTCGCCGACCGCGCCGACGGGAACCAGGCGCTCGTGGTCGTTCGGATCCGCGATCCAGATGGCGGCGCCGTTGCCCGTGCCGATGGACACGTAGTCGCGGCCCGTCGCCGTGTCGCTATTGACCGTACACCCAATCGTACACTCACACGGCCCATACCCAATAATAATCCGCGTCTCCCTGCCCCAAACATTCACATCCCGCGCTGACGCCGCCTCGCCCCCCAACCCAAGCCCATACAGCGCCGCGATGACCTCGGGCTCGAGGATGCGCGCGACGGACGGCGTTATCCCGGCGTAGTTGACGGCCATCGCCCGCATCGCGCCGTTGATGTCGTTGAGCCGGTCCGCGTCGGACGGGATGCAGAGCGTGCCGCCGTGCGAGGTGGTCAGCAGCATGCTGTCGATGCTGACGTCGAAGGCGTAGGAGGCGAAGTCGAGGACGCGCCAGTCAGGGCTGTAGCCAACGGCGGCGGCGCGGGGGATGGCGCTGCTGGTGTAGGTGAGGTGCGAGATGGTGACGCCCTTGGGCGTGCCCGTGCTGCCGGAGGTGAAGATGATGTACATCAGGGTGGCGGGGTCGACGGGGGGGAGGGGTGGGAGGGTGGACACCGAGGAGGCGAAGGTGGCGCCGTCGATGGTGAGGTGCGTGCCGGATGGGAGGATGGAGGTGGCGAGCGAGTGCTGCGCGTGGGACGAGAGCATCATCTTGGCGCCGACTTGGGTCGCCATGTTCTGCAGGCGGGCGAGCGGGAGCGTGGGGTCCATGAGCGCGAAGGTTGCGCCCGCTTTCATGATGGCGAGGACCGCGACGATGGTCCAGCGGGATTTCTCGAAGCAGGCTGGGACCACGTCGTGCGGTTGGACGCCGGCGGCCTTGAGGGAGTGGGCGACGGTGCTCGAGTAGTTGTCGATTTGGGAATACGTCAGGCTGCCGTCCCAGGAGCAGATGGCCTCTTTGTCGGGGGTTGCTTGGGCACGTTCGGAGATCATCTCGTGCATGCAGAAGTCGTAGGTCGGAGGCAGCTCGCGGTTCCAGCTCCATATGTCGTCAAGATCCCTGGCCGTGGGCCGTAGGCAGTCTGAGATGGATGCAGAGGGATTTGAAAGGCACAGCTGGATCGTCTCAGCCAGTACGTCGGCATGCCGTGTTACGGTGAATGGCAGCATGTTGTCGGTCTGCCATGCTGGACGGATGTCGAGCTGGCCATCACTGAAGCGTACTTCAAGGTGGAGTACACCCTTCGGAGAGAACAGTCAGTCATTGTGCTTCTAGAGACAAGCTGTTCAACTTACTTCATCTTTTGTTTCTTCAGGTGTCCGGGACAATGAACTGGTGCTCAAGATAATCGAAGCAGGAGTTGGCGGAATTGCCTGCTGGTGTGGTGTGATGTCGGTTGAGATTGCTGCGGTGACTTTCTCGACAGGGTCTTGCAGCCCCGTCATCACCTTTTCCATAGACAGACATTGTTTGGTTGTCTTATTCTCGAGACCGAATTCGTAGGCCCAGTCAAAGCTGACTTGGCTGTCCTCTCGAGTCCGCAGAAGTACTATGAGCCATGACAGAAGCAGAATCTCTTCTTTCATACCCGAAGGAGTAATCGGCTTTTCACATGCAAGATCGGGCATCTGAAAAGTCTTGAAGCCAGCTCCACCATCCGGGCCCGCGGATGCCGTGTCCACAAGTCCATTCGGACGGTGATTTGCATCAGCTATGTCAGCCACAGGAGTAGCGCCCATGATTCCGGTTGTCCTGTTCCTCCGCTCAGAAGCAACCTGGAACGAGGTGGAAATACTAGCTCAATGGAGCCTTGAGCAAGTTGCGCCTGATTGATGTGGTCAGTGCGGGTCCGTCGTGGGGGAGCTGTTACTTAACACACCTCTTGCCGCTATACACGAATGACTTGGGCCTTGCAGCTTGAAGCGCACTGCTACGGGCTCTGACACCCTGATAAGATGACGACTGACACCATCTGATAAGATGAACGGATTATACCGTTGCAAACCCGTTCCGCAAGTGGCATGTGAATTGAAGGGCCACGCGGGCCCACGCGGGCCTGAGCACAGAAGGAGCTAACGAGGAACGCTAGGTACGCCTTTTTTTTTGCGGCGTGTGCCACACCTCGCCTCCTCCGACGAGGTGAATAGTGGAGAAATGTAGACCTTTCCGTGGCTACCGATTATGCAGAGAAATGTCTCGAACCCACGCCACGCAGGGGCTAGATGTGATGGTTGCCACCCGTCCTCCGGAGGGAGCCTTCCTCCTAGCGTCACCGCCCGCGTGCCACCACGAGCAGGGGCTCTCGGGGGTTGAACATAAAAGTTGCAAGAGAGAAAAGGCTGGTTCAAACAATTAGTCACGATATTCGTACACACGAATCCACCCTCACAACATGGATCTAAGGTCGAGCCCTCTTCAGTTCCAACACTTCTACGTCTCTTTCCCGCACGAGCGGATTCTCCAAGTCACACTAAACCGCCCAGAAAAGCTTAACTGCATCAACAAGACGACAAGCGATGAGATAAAGGAAATCTGGGAGCTTTTCGACCACGACGAAAGCTTATGGGTCGGCATCATCACCGGCGTAGGCAGGGCCTTCTGCACTGGGGCCGATCTCCACGGTAAGTCCGGCAGTCTCCTCCCGTTCGTCCCGTTCCTGCTAAATCCGGAAGTCCGTTCCATTCACTGACACATGCGCCCCTCGGCCAAAACCTACACACAGAGTGGAACGACATGAACAAAGCCGGCGTGGTCAACGACATGGCGGCGCCCGGTCTGGCCGGGCTGCCCCGCCGCAGCGGCAAGAAGCCCATCATCGCCGCCGTCAACGGCATCACCATGGGCGGCGGCTTCGAGATGGTGGCGAACTGCGACCTCGTGGTAGCGGTGGCGTCGGCCGTGTTTTCGCTGCCCGAGGCGAAGCGAGGCATCGTTCCAGTAGCGGGCTGCCTGCCGCGGCTCACGCGGACGCTGGGCCTGCAGCGCACGTCGGAGCTGGTGCTGACGGGCAGGAAAGTCGACGCCAGGACGCTGCACCGGTGGGGGCTGGTGAACCGGTTGGTGGATGATGGTGGAGACGTGCTTGAGGCGGCGCTGCAGCTGGCGCGGGACATGTGCGCGAATAGTCCGGATGCGCTGATTGTGGGACGCCTGGGGATTCGGTTAAGTTGGGAGGCTGGCGGTGTGGAAGATGCTGTGTCGGTTCTGGAAGGTCAGTGGTACCCGAGGCTGGTCGAGGGTGCCAATTTCGCCGAGGGCATCAAGGCCTTTGTGGAGAAGCGGCCGCCGCAATGGATCAATTCGAAGTTGTAGTAGTCGTCGGCAAATGCCATCCTGCCGTTTCTTTGGCGTTGAGCAGAATATTATCTAATCAGATCCTTTTAATCCACTCGCATGACCGCCGTGTGTCCTTAGGCTGTGAACTCGTGGCCATGGCGCGCCCTTCGGATACGAGTGTCGTATAGAGTCGGATGCTCTGGATGCCGAATGAAATGGGGCGTATTCTGGACCACGCCATCGGACATCAAGCTTCGGAGATGATCTGATAAGCGAGAATGCCGGGGACGGACACAAGGGTTTGCACTCGGCCGGGTGCTTGGCGCCGATGCCTGCCTCGGATTTTACTAGGGAAGGCCGAGGGTGCAGCAAACGAAGACGCCACTTTTCTCCACATGCGGGACAAATCATCTTATCAGATGCAGGTTGGCGTGATAAATTTATCGCCGAGTCAGGGCGAATAAGCTCGTTTAGCGCCATGGCGTCGCCTTAGCGTCGCTTGTGCCTCGTATGGCGTGGAGAACGTCTCCGGATTCCGTGGACACCGTCATGGGCTTAGCGCCGATCCGGTATCGGCCGGGGGCACCCAAACATGAATCGAACGAGCCTCGGGGCAGGCCGCTGTGACCCACTATGGTGTGCTACCACGAGATGGCTACCGCATTAGGCAAGAGGACGCTTGAGGTGATGGAAAGGGACGGATGGCGTATTCTCCAGCCTGCACGAGCTCCTGACGGCTTATATAGCTTGCGAGTACTAACCATCTCGTATTCCTTATCGCCTTCCTCTTCACGACGGCATCCTTAATCCTCCATTCCCGACCCAACAAGGTTGGTCGTCTCCACCCGTATGTTGCTCGTGTCACTAATAAGCTTTGCAGCAGGCTTGTCAAGGAGTCTCAACCATGGCATCCAACACAGCAAAGTACCCTGCGGTCAAGCTTCCGCACCCTTTCCTGACCACATATCGCGTGCACGCCGTCAGCGAAACAAGCCTAGCCAAGCTCGTCTTGGCTCTCGAGGATCAACCCCCTGCCGGACGACCCTTGGACCAGCCGCTGCACCTCGATTCCCTCTCCTGGCTCGAACTGACATTCCCGCCCAAGGACAAGAGTCCGCCTCCATCCAACAACAGTGCCTGGGCACGAGCCCGGCGCAGCCCGCAAACCAAGTTCCAGTGGACAGGAAACAGCGCACCTTCTCTCGGCCAAATCTGGAACGTTGTCCACGCCATCTACCTCGCCCACTCGACGTACGAGTATTTCAGAGTCACCCTGCATGGCGCACAGAAAGACGTCGTCCGCCGCGAACTCCTTTCCACCGGCTTAGCAGTCGAGCACCCCAAGCCATGGCGCCCCGCTGACGACCGCACCGCCCTCTTCACCGACGAGCTCCTGATCCTCCGCAGTTCCTTCTGGCAAGGCGCCGCATCCCCAACCGGGCCGCGTCCAATCTGGGTAGTCGGAGACGGCACCGACGGCTCCCTCCGCCGCCCTCTCTCCCAGTACCCCCTCATGCCCGAGAACTACGAGGTCACGATGAAGTTCCCGGACGAGCCGATCTACTCCCGCCACCCGGTGCGCCGGCCCAAACCGCATCCCGGGTCGATTTGCTACAGCCGCTACATCCCGGAGGTCGACGAGCACTTCTCGCTCGAGGTCGTCGACTGGCAGAACGCCGAGCACCTGCAGCTGTTCAACACGTGGCAGAACGATCCGCGCGTCGCCAAGGGCTGGAACGAGACCGGCACGCTCGACCAGCACCGGGAGTACCTGCGCCGTCTGCACGAAGACCCACACGTGCTGTGCTTGTTCGGCCGCTTCAACGACGCGCGGTTTTCGTATTACGAGCTGTATTGGGCAAAGGTGAGTCCCCCCCGTCCCAACCCCCCCTCCAGCTCTGTGCCGTGCCGCGTATGCTGACAGCCGCACAGGAAGATCACTACGGCTTCCACTCCGACGCGGGAGACTGGGATCGCGGCCGCCACTCGTTGGTTGGTGACGCGTCGTTCCGTGGGGCGCGCCGCGTCAACGCCTGGTACTCGAGCTGCATCCACTACTGCTTCCTCGATGACCCGCGCACGGCCAACGTCGTCGGCGAGCCGCGTGCTACCGGCTCGACGATTCTGTCGTACGAGAATTCGCAGGGGTTGGTCATTGGGAAGTACGTGGACCTCGGGCATAAGCGCTCGGTGCATTCGATTTGTAGTAGGGAGAAGTGGTTCCAGCTTTGTCCGCTGTTCTGGGATGGCAGGGAGAAGCCGTTGGAGAGTGCGGATCGGGCGGCTTGGAATGCGAAGTTGTGAGGTCGTGGTCGTAGGCTGAACAGAGGTGAACTTTTTGACCGTAACGAAGTAGTGATATACCACATGGAAGGGAACATTCGTTGGAGCGTTCTAGCACAAAGCAATATAATCCTACAAATGAATTGCTATCTGTGCTGCATTGAATTGGCTTTCACAATCTGTAAGCTCCGGCGAAGACTGTTTGTCGATTTTGAAATGTTTCTCCATCTTTAATTTTGGTCCCAGCCTTCTCGAAAATATTTAATTATTTACATGTTGCAAGGCAGTTTCAGAACATTTTCAGACACCTCAAAAGATCGGGAATCAAAACTGTAATAAGCAGGACAAGACGCCTTTTAAAAGTAGGCGAGTTAAGAGACAGATCGGGCTTTATTAGCTTTAAATATTGCAGAGAGTAGAAACACTGCTTGTGTAGAACGCTGTATTTTGTATAAAGTATTGAAGCTGTCGTGGTAGCTATTAACACATTAAATATGAAGCTTAAGCTGCACATATTAGTAGGCCTATTGATAGATCGTGTGGGGCCATATGCACCGAGGTGCCCGGGTGCGGCCGGTGGCAGGCTGTAGTCTGCATAAGCAAATTCTGTGCTAGCCCACTGACGCCCTTTCTGATATAGCACTTACGCTTTGCCACGGCATACTGTGCAGAAGGCATTGGCAGTGGATAACACGCTGTACAGGTTCCGCGTCCAGCTGAGCTCAGCCTATTGTGGGGCCTTTGCTGCCTAGCGATAAAGCGGACGAAGCTGGATAGCTGTTGCCTGCCAGGATCGCAGCCAAGGGTATGAAGCCAATCACGGGCAAGCGAAAGGCCATCCAGAGTCATGTAGTAAGCAGCCAAGATGTCTTGGCTTTCTGAAAGGGGTGCATCACTGTCATATTCCTGTAGGGCTGTCTGTTGTTGGCTCTTCGTAATGGGCGAGCGGGGTGAGCAAGAAGTAGAGCTTGTTTTCCTTCCCTTAAAAAAAGGTGAGGTATCCCTACATATTCCGCATTCTTTCTGGGCCTACGCTCTTAAGTATATTGTTGCTTTCTCCTACTTGAGGACTGTCATCCCTATGATATACTGATTCATACTTTCACGCCGTGTCTCGCGGCAGCCTCGGCACATATCAAAAGCTTACTCTAGATCCAGGAAGCAAAGTATGCCGGGTCTTGCACTTGCATCCCGGCAAAGAGCAGCAGCAACTTTGCGGTGAACTCAAAATTGTTGATTTGGAGAACCCGAACAGAGAGCGGTACAATTGCATATCCTATGTGTGGGGTGACCAGAATGTTACGGGGCCCATGTTCATCAATGGCGAAGAGCTGCAAGTGACAACAAACTTGCTGAATTGCTTGTACTACTTGCGGCACCCTCCGCATACGATCGTCCTGTGGATAGATGCAGTATTCATCCATCAAGAAGATATCTCGGAAAAGTCACACCAAGTTGGCATGATGGGCGAAGTCTACTCGCAATTCTCAATGGTGTACCTTTGGTTGGGATGTACCCCCGATCTTAAGCCTCTGAATGTAAATCCATTCACCCTGATCCGTCATTTTGCGAGATATGGCCACTACCATGAGCTCCCAGGTTTCACCAAAGGTTCAGATGGCACGGTTACTTTTCAGGGGAGTCAGGACTTTCTCGCCGTTCGGGAAAGATTTCTTCACGTGGCTCAGAGTACGTGGTGGAAAAGATCTTGGGCGGTGCAGGAAGCTGTTCTGACGAGTACCGCCGTTGCCATGTATAGGCACTGGACAATCCCATTCGACGAAATCAATCTGGCGAGAGAAAACCGAAACCGTCATATTATCGATCCACGCCAGTGCGGCTGCGCGCCAGGTATAGCGGTATTCCCTCAACGCTTTAGAATGATCTTTAGTCGATTCCTTTTGGGAGTTGAGTTTGTCGAGAGGCTTCGCCTACAGTATATCAGAAAGCACAACCCCGAATACTCTCATGGTCCCCAATGGACAGGTCCATCTCTCGATCCACCATTACATGAAGTTTTTGAGGCATTCTCCTTTCGAATTTGCCAGGATGCGCGCGACAAGATCTTCTCGCTCCTCGCTATGGCCACCTCTTCCGCTTTTACGACTTTCAGACCCAATTACCGTGTCTCTACGTCCGAATGCTACACAGGCATCTTCGGCCGCATGCTTCTTGAGACTGGCTACGACTACCGGCGCCTTCTTGGCGCCACCTTTCACTCGAGCCTCCCTGGCTTACCGTCATGGGCCCGAGACTTCTCCCAACCCTGTACCATAGAGGTAGCGGGAGAAGAACTACAACGACTCCAAATCTTCTCACTCTTCAACGCTTCGGGAGGAAAGCCGAGCAAATTACTGGTCTAGAACAAAAAGGAACTGCACGTTACAGGTTTCCGAGCGGGCGCCATCAAGGCAGTTAGCGAGTCCGCGGGGGACATCTCTACGGGGCGGATCTAAAAGGCGTTTTCGATGGGTGGGTGAAGCTATGCAAGACAGCCATCAACTCGACAGACGAGACTCTGGTCCGCAAGACCTCATCCCGCGTGGTGTGTCACGATATCACAGAGAGCCTTAAAACCTTGCAGGAGACGGGTAGAGCATGGAGACGCATTGACGAGACTGAGATGCTTGGCGAGACGGAGTGGCGAGCGTTCCTGAACGGGACGTATACGGCTTTGGAAGAACGGCATAAGCCGGGTGCGGGTATGTCTATCACCGGAACGTCTCTTTATGGAACTTGGAGATTCTAAGGCCCGAGCTGGGGATGAGGTCTGGGTGTTGTTCGGCGCCAACGTCCCTTTCATCCTTGGGAAGACGGCGAATGCCGGCCACTCAAGAGGCACACATACCTTCGTAAGTGATTGCTTTCTGGACAAAGCTATGGATGGTGAGAATGTATAAGGTGTAGAAGAGGAGGAGAAGCCTTTGATCATCCTCCAGTATGTATTGGCCGAGCTAGACTTACACCATTTCGCTGCTTGAGCCATCGTATCAGCCTCTGTGAATTAGTAGGGCGTCGATTCTCTAAATTCCCGCGTCTGCGAGCGCGAGATTGTACTAACGGATACTCCCGGGAAAACAAGCGTCGTCTGCAGCAGCTTAGCGCCCATGCCTTAGTACCACGGTGTCCGATCGTCCGTCCTTTTCAGCGCGCGATTGGCTTACGTAATTTCTAATTAAAGTAGTCGTGTGCGCGATTGCAATCGGACGGACGATCTGACACCCTGCATGGTACAAACTATCCTAACTCGGGAGCACGAAAACAGGGACCATCCCCTTGAAAGCTGCCCGCATATCTGGTAGGGGGCCGTTGCTTCGAAGCCTATACGAAAGTATCAGGCACGGCATAATCAAGAAAGCAGCGAACCCAAGGAGGAGCTCATCTGGAGACGAGCAAACTCAATACATTGACATGTTTAGTTTTAAGCTCCCAAAGAGGTGCTTCAAGGTAGATTTGGATTTGGAAGTGCGCCATTAAGCAAATTTATCGGCAGAAAGGACAGATAAATCTGCATTTGCTCACCCTGCCTCGTTTCCTTTTGACCAGCGAACGAAAACGGGCTTTGGGTATACTACGGAACATGGCAAGCGGCGTCAGCTTCAGGTTACATTCATTGAAGATACTTCATGTGGAAATTGGCTGTGCGATTCATATGTTTCACTCACGGAGGCCACAATGACCAAACGTAGCTAGGGCCGGGCTTAGCGGCCAAATGGACCACGTGTTACAAGCTAGGAGAATGTAAACACAAACTCATAAGACAAAGTTCTCGGCTGAGGTACGGATAATGCTACAGCGTTGCGCAGGGCTGGAACTTCTGAAATTGTTCGGAAGCGTCGCTACACAGACCCACGAATTCTAGTCTCAAATTCGGGTCAACTTTCCTTTTATGTAAATGATGGTTGTACCATTCTGCCTGGTCTACATATCAATCACGCCATTTAAATTTGCCTTGTCTGCCGCGCTGAAGCTCCCGAGTATTTAAACCACTAGCGATAATCTGCAGTATCACCATAAAGGGGGATTATATGATTTGACTGTGTCAGGTATATGCTTAGCTAGGCTATCTGACTGTGGGGTCGCAAGACATCCCTCTTACCTCGCCTTATTATCTTAAATTAGATCTCTATATTTGGCACTGGTTGCTGCCTGAATGTTGTGCTCCATTTCAGATCAGAAGTTTCAATATTTATGCTTGCATGAATTTATTGTCACAGCTGCTTATGTGTTTCTCTTACCGCAAGCATCTTTTTGAATTGCGCTCGTCGTATTTCTTGTCCTTGCCTTTTAGAGGAAAACATATAAACCTAACAATTGCAACTAATGCCCCAAGTTCTTTTCATTCATCATCCTGCAGCTCTGAACAAGCCTTTTTCCACTCTTACTCCGAACCTCGCGAAAATGGACAATGTTCTTTCCGAACTAGAGGATTACAGTATCTACTTGGGTACATGGACGGATTGGTCACGCGGAAAATTGCTTGGTGCCACCCTCACCTTAACCCGTCAGAATGGAACTCTTCTTGTGGCTTTCATTGCTCTGTTCATCACCATGGTCAGCACAAGCTTTTGGGTACTTTCATGCTTTGCTTTCCATCACCTCTTCTCCTCCGAATCGGCGCGAGATGGACTCCATCATCAAAGGCAAGTAATACTCCGGAACTCGGCAAACTCTGTCAGCGGTATCACAAGGCTTTTCCAGTTGCTTCTTGCGTGGAGGAAGATTGCCAAACGACCATACCGCCGAGTTCTGCCCCTTCTACTATCAAGCGCAATCATACTGGCGGGGTTTGCAGCCTGCAGCGGGTTCTCATCCAAGGTCTCTAGTGCGCTTGGTAACGACGTTCTTGTCCTCGGTGATAGGTGCGGATTGTTTGGCCCTCCGACCGACATAAATATCACCAATGGGATTGAAAAGATGATAACCTATCAGGCTGAGCGGTCCGCGACCGCTGCAAATTACGCCTTGCAATGCTACACGAATAAGACGAGTTCGGAAAGTTGCCAGAAGTACAAAAAGAAACGACTTCCATTTTCTGTTCACACGAACGCTAGCTGTCCATTCAACAATGACATGTGTCTCAGTCCGGACCGAAATATCCTCTTAGACACTGGATACCTCAACACCTTACATGACTTCGGCATCAACTCTCCGCCGGATGAGCAATTATTGTTTAGGAAGGTTGATCACTGCGCTCCTCTCAACCTGACAGGCCGCCAAGGGCACCACACCGACCCTAAGACAGGAATCACATACCGCACGTATTATCTTGGTCCGCGGATCGCGCAACAAACGCCTTTCACCTATCAATATCCGGAGATGGACTATTTGGAACTTCACCAAAATGGCACGAGTTCGGTGATGGACTATACATTAAGGTACGTGTATCGATGTCGAAGAAGATTAGTAATCTGACTGATTATATCAAAGCATACTGAAAGCTATCCCTATCAATGGATCGTACGACAACGTTTGGTCATATTTTCACCCCATACCGGAATTTGCAGTCCATGATGCTGATATCATGCTTTTTCTTCTCTCTGCGAACGGCCTGAATTTCATTAAGCCGTCGGAAGACCTCTGGTTTGCTGCCACTCGGGATTCAAATTACAGGATAGTACAGGTTTCATTAAGCGGGAACTCTACGTTTTATCTCCAAGATGATATAGTCTCGGTCCTTGGCTGTACATCTCGCCAGCAGTGGTGCAATCCTACTGTCAATGGGGAAGATCAATGCCAGCCATTAAGGGGCAATTCATACTCTTTTTACGGAGAATTTCCAGCTCGGAACGACAAGCAACGAGATATCTACGAATGGCTTAGCTTGACGGCTCAAAACATGATGCAGTCCACGGCAGATCTTGTCGCGACACTGGGAGTATCAGCCTTAACAGCAAGATTCAAAGTCACGGATTCAATACAAGGGCCGATACCAGATAACCAGTGGCAGTCAGAGGTTCTACACTGGTTTTCAGCCTCAATGGCAACTCTTCAGGATGCCTTTGTTGCGAATGCCGCAGGTGCCCCGTACCCAGATCTTGGTCCGTACTTCTCTCCGCCGGAAAATCCGCAACAACATGGCATCTGCACGAATCAGGTATGTTTTCACACTTAACCCGCAAACGTGAAGAATCTGATTAACGTGTGTCGAATATCCAGAAAGTCCACAGTGCTGACTATATGAATTTCTCCATATTCGGCATGGCCATCATCTTCTCAGTTGGTGGCCTCATCATAATTGCGTCCTACACCATTGAACCTTTTGTCGGTTGGCTGCAGAAACGACGGAGGCTGGACTCATACTCACGCCTTGAGTGGTGTACCAACGAGACAACTCAGTTACAGCGACTGGCTAACGAGGAAATCGGGCTGGGCGTCTGGGACCGCATTGACGAGACGATTCCAGTGACAGGGAGAGGCGATTTACTGGCTGTTCTGGATCTGACGGATCCGAAGCATCCCCGTCTGAGAGCGCCACCGGTACCGTATGAGGATGAGTTTCACGTTGGATCACTGAAAGTTGCTCAGGATAGCCCGGAACCCGGTGAGGCCGACCAAGATAAGATTGTTCGTGAGGATATTCAAGAAACTGAAGAAACGACCATGGAAACGCAGGTTCGCCAGGACAGTGAGGAGGATGCCCGGGCTCAGGACTTCCAAGCGAACGGTCCGGTATCACATCGTTAAGTGGCCAGTGTCAACAGGTAGTCACCCGTTCACAATCACCGCCGCTACCCTGTTGGACTTATGCTTGGTTGAGATGTTTCTTTGATTCTGTCAGCAGCTTCATCGTTTGTCATCTTTGACTCTGTCGCTCCCGCGCCGCCTTCCTTGGACTGGATGTTTCCGTCCACTTCGCTCTTCTATTCAACGCTCTCCCCTGGCCCACCAAATTTTATTCTTTTGTTCGATCGTGGTCTTGGAAATCGCTTTGCACTGCCCTAACTCGTTCTGCAAATTTTTGGCTCTATAATGAATTTCTTAAATTATCAAACTTCTTCACAATTGGCTGTGCTCTTTGGCTGGCATTAGTTCCGATAGGGGCTACGGTAAATTTGACGTGGTGCAACACTAATTTGGAGTCCCCTGGCTCTGAAACTGTCTTCGCAACAGGAAAATGGTGTTTCTTTGAATTTGCGTCGACCATCAAATTTTCCTTCAGAATTGGGTTTTTCTTTTTTTTTTTTTTTGGAAAAGGACGCTTACAGGACCACTGACAGTCTACCTCCAGGGCGAGGTGCTAATATTCTGACGTTAGCTTCCCAATGAGAACTTTAAGATTGATGATATCCGCCTTGCCCTCGGCGGCGTCGACGATCAGGTGTAAGATCGTCTTCCACTTGGTGGTTCTATCTTTTAATATTATCTTCTGCTTCTCCATCTCCGTGCTCACCAACGCGGGCAGCATCTGTACAGATCCGTTTTGTGCAAAATTTCTTCACTACAGAAAACGCATCCCGGAAAATTTCCAAATTTTCTTTTCTTTTTCCGCACATTTTTAGAGCTTTTCCAACTGCTTTCGTACTCCTTCCTCATTCTGAGCTTCCTCTGCACCAGACCACTTCTGCTCGTTATCTTCTGGAAGGGCTTTCTACAAGGACAAGGTTGTCAAGTTGTTTGAAGCAAAAAACAATTCTCTCATTTTGAATGGGAGGTAAACATGATTATCAAAATGACGTTGCACTTGAACCAGTGTGGTAGAACCAAAGATTGGAAGCAACGTGGGAGTCTGAGACCGGTGATTCCTGTGTAATCATCCAAATGACGTATTGCATTCGAAAATATGCCACAATTCTCTTTTGCAAATGTGACTTCAGCTCGCATGTGAAGCATATGAGGAGGTGGTGGCAACATTGATCCGCAATTGGCCAAAATAGGCGCGGAAAGTATGTAGATACCGCCTTGCAGCCGATGGCTGGTGCGGATCTGTTTTTTTCCAAGGAAAACTGGGGTTCTAATGTACAACCCCGTTGTGCAGCGGAATAATACTAGCGCGGAAGTCTCTTTGAGGGAGCCTGTTCTGGATGCAGTGATACGATAGGTTCGTTCTCATTTTCGTGGTACGATAGGTCAAATTTGCGGGTCTCCATGAAAAAAGCAACGTCGCTCTCGCGACCGGACGCAAAACCCCTCTGTATCATCAACCTGGGAATGAGCACGTACCCATAAGTCTGACTCACCATATCCCTAGAGCGGGCCTAGAGTCCCTTGTAATGGTTTTTGCGCTAGCATTCCGCTACAACTTGTGACTCTAACTGGTCCGCCAGCATCCTTGCAGCACGCAGTGCAACTTTCCAGTGTTCAACACGGCTGGCGCGCTGCTTCCCCGTTTCATGCGCGCCTGCAACACGATCCTGCAGCCAAACTTCAAGGGAAAATTTTGAAACATGCGTTTTCGTGATACCCATGTGCAACCGCAAAAGCGCACGTCGCCGCTGAAGTCACGTTTCATTTCGACGCGTAGCCGAAGATCCGGCCGTCTTGAGGATGGAGCCGGCAGAGAGCATGGTTGTGTTAGAGATGTGGCGACCAGTGAACAGTGAAAGAAGCTTTGGGATGAGCACCTTTTGCGGGATTCAAGGCGGGGGCTGAACGGGACGGGTCTCAGATAGCGATGCACGACCCAAGCGCTACATGGACAGGGATTGCGGGGAAGATAAGGTACCACCCGAAAACTCCACTGAACTGACGGGAGTGCCAACACGGATGCGCGTGTCGATTGTCTGGAAACTCTAATGGATGTTTGTCTGGATGTGCCATTGGATGGATACCGAATCACCATGCCGCGCTTTTGGGGTCACCCGTGTTCATCAAATATTAATATGCACCCTTGCCGTGGAAGAAGTTCCCCTGCATCAGGCAGCTGAAACACACGTGATCGCCAATGCAGGCTTGCATACTGCTCTCTGCTGACTTAACGGCATATTTTTCGCTTCGCATCTAAAGTATGGTCAACGGTCCACTACTCTTTCATTCAACGCACCCTCACAAAGCCGCTTTCCTCCTTGTGAAAAATGCCCAACAACGCAGCCTCAGACGACGATCGCCCGCACTCTGTCAGCGTGCATGAGTCGGCGGGCGAAGATTCCCATGCAGAGGATGGCTGGGAAACCGATCTCAGCGAACAGCCAGACCACAATCCGAATGCGTTGTCTCCACTTCACTCTGCGGCCATGTTCGGGGACATTGCAACCATCCAGGCGCTGCTGCGATCCGGAAGAGCGAATGTGGACCGCCCGGGTCCAGGAGGACATACCGCTCTCTGGATGGCCATCTGCTCCGGCCGGCTCGAGTCAATCCGAGTGTAACTCGACCACAACGCGGACCCGGACAGCGATAGGAATCAGTGCTCTGTTCTTGACCTCGCAGCAAGCAGGAACAACCTTGAAGCTGTCAGGCTAATTATTGAGCGAGGCAATCCCTCTCCAAAATCACGGGCCGAGGCCTTATCTACCGCCGCAGATTTTCGTGTCAATAATGCGGAGATGGTCCGATTTCTGCTCCAAAATGGCGCAGACCCACGCGGCAGCTCAAAGTCAGGTCCTGCCATCTGCAGAGCGGTATCAAACAAGAACCTTGAGACGGTAAAAGCGCTCCTCGAGCATCATGCGGATGTGAACGACTACGGTAGCGGAGGATACTCAGCGTTACACGATGTTGGGACACACTTTTGGGTGAATGATCCCACTGGGGAGTCTGGCGAGCCGCCATCGGTTACCATGACAAAAGTGCTCCTGGAGGCCGGCGCGGACATCAACGCGTGTATGGAAATGGAAAATTTCACTCCTGTACACATTCACCTGAAACGACACACTGAAGTGCTCGAAACAATTCTGGACGCCAAACCGGATCTGGAGATTAAGACATCTCCAACATGCTATATTCCCGGTATGACGCCTCTGGCGCTCGCAGTATGGGAAGAGAAAGTTGAAGCCGCCAAGATCCTCCTCGCCGCAGGCGCAGACCCAAACACGAAGACAGGGCATAAAGGAGGCGCCCCGCTCCATCTCGGCATGAAGGAGGACCTCGTCCGCGCCCTGCTCGAGTATGACCCGGATTTGCACTTGGAGAACGACGAGGGCGAAACACCGCTCAATGCCCTCCTCAGTCTGACCAGAGAGGAGAAGAAGGACGAATGGGTCGTGGTAGGGGAGGTTTACGCCCCAGACAAGGAGACTGGGATCACGCTTCCCGTTATCGAAATGCTGCTTCGCAAAGGCAGCGATGTCAACTACCCGAACAAAGCTGGACAGACCCCACTGTTCAAAGCGCTGAACAAGCCCGATCTGGCCATTGCACGTCTGCTGTTGAGCCGGGGAGCCAACCCAAATCACATCAGCAGAGAAGACGGCATGCCACTCCATTCGGCGTGTCGGAGTGGGACTTGGGAGGCTTTTCGACTGATATTCGACAAAGTCGGCTTCGCCGAGAAAGCGCTTTACGGCATTGGAAGTGTCGTCAACGCGACGTGCATGCGTGATGGTGGCGAAGAGGTGCCACTCCAAATCCTTAAGCACTTGCGCAAAACGGTTGGTCGACAGAAGATGCACCTGAATCAGAAGTGCGGTTCGTATGGCTGTGCACTGAGCTCTGCATGCTTCTGGAGCTCTGAGGGCGTTATCGGTTGGCTGCTCAAGCACGGTGCCCGCGTCCGGACCAAAGATCATGCCGGTCGGCGTCCCATCCATTTCGCTGCGTACCGGAACACCTCCATCTTCAGCCAGATATGCGAGGCTGGTGGCGACATTACGGCTCGTGACAAGATTGGCAGGTCGGTTCTTCACATTGCTGTTTAGAGTGGCTCAGCCGCACTGGTAAAGCTTATCCTAGAGAAAGACCCGTCTCTGTTGCACGCACGCGACAGGGACAACTGGGCCCCGCTTCATTACGCGGTGAGGAGCTGCTCTCACTCCGCGAGGTGGTTGCGCGAGCCGATAGACAGCCAGACTGACATTGTGAAGCTGCTCCTCGATGACGATATCTGTTCCGCCCGAGACTTCAAAGTACGTGGTCATGAAGACGAAAACTGGTCAATTCTGAGGCTTGCATGGTATCACGGCGCGAAAGCAGAAATACGCCGCATGCTGGAGACGTCTCTGAAGAAGCAGCAAGGGCGTAATTGGGATCCTTTGTCGGAAAGGATCGAAAGGGCTAAGCGTCAAAACTTCCGTTGTGGCTATTGCTTTATGGTGAGCAAGAATCTATCTTCCACAACCCTTCACAATCTGGATTCTAACATCGTGTGTTCCAGGCTATTCGAGGCTTTCGCTATCATTGCAAACAATGCGTTCAGTTCAATTTGTGTTACAAGTGTCATGGTAGAAAGAACAAAGTCCATCCAGGACACTATTGGGATACAATTGGACCAGAGTTCACGGAAGAGGAAGATTACATGGAGGAAGACGAGTCCACAAACGAGGACGAGCCCATGGGAGAGGATGGGGAGGACGATGACGAGTCCATGGAGGAGGATGTGGAGTACGATGAGGACCATTCTATGGAAGACGACAGTGATACGGACGATAGCGGTTCTGAGGATGAACTGTGATTCAAACGGTGAGGTACGAATCAGTTTGAGGGATTCGCTCAGGTCGTTCTTGATCAGGTTTCAATCTCCATGGGTTTTTTTCGGCAGGGCAAAATGCTTTCCGTTTTTCATCGGTGCTATACAGAACGATCCAAAAGAACACCACTAGAGTCCCAATCAGTCCAAGTTTCGACTTGTCTCGTACACTCCCCTCCCTTCTTCTTTGTCGAACAAAACGCCCTCCAAGCCACTCTCATCAAAGAATGACGCAGCGTAGTCAAACGACCAAGGCTCGTAGCACATCAACGAAATGTCATCCAAAGGCCCAAACATCGAGTCTTCCAACGAATTGTCGTAAGGACTTTTCTCGAGGTCAATGCGGCCCGCACCGCTGTCCGGTAGACCGTTGTTGCTGTCACAAGCAGCGACAGCGCCATTGACAGTGTTCTCATGTTCATCAATCAGCTCACGGCGGCTGATCGACACTGTGCCAAAGAACGGCAAAACAACATTACGAACATCCCCTCCTGCCAGTTCTCGACTACTGGCTACTAATGTTTCCAGTGAGTTGTAGCATTGACGGCATAACAGAGCGGATGGCGCTGTTGAGCAATCCCTGATGGCCGCCATGGTATTTTGGATGAGGTACTCGTCATGACAGGCCGAGCTCCGGTCTGATATTTCACGTTGCCGGTTGCCGAGAAGATTGAGAAACAGTATAATTGCAGAAGTGAAAGCAGAAAAGGATTCTAGGTTCGCAGTGACACCGTTCGGGAAAAGCGATCCAGCATGGACTTGCAAGTACGCTTCCAGCAGTACTCGTGAGCCGCTCACGCAGACCTTCCGGCTGTACTCGTGCACGTCATTGTTCTCAGTGCGCTGTAGGAAGAGCGGGAGATGGAGGAGGGATTTGAGCTGGTTGACGTGTGCCACGCGCATCAGGCGGGTGTACCTTTCTGTACTGTTGGCGCAGATTGAGATCTGAGACAAGTCCAGATAGCCACTTGGGAGTTGTGCCGTGATGCTATCCATCTGCTCTTGTACCTGGATGACTGTGGACAGAGACCATCCGTTGACGTCTTGCAGGCAGTCGATAACCCGGCCGGTCAATATGGCAAAGTGTCGATAATGGAATGTCGCTGGCGACAAGGCATTAATCGGAGGAATTTCCAAGTTGCAGAGACGTTCAGGAACCGAGTACGGTAGACCAACAATCAGACTTGCCCACCGGTCCGCGTGGAATATCTGCCAGAACAGTGACTCGGTTCTCTCAGATCTGTTTCTTGTGCGGTGGATTCCACTGAGCTGAAGCAACGCGTTGGCCCTTCGAAAGACATTCCAGGCGCGACGTGGCTGCATGACGCTCAGAAGGATCAAACCGAGGCCCATGAGGCATTGCAAGCCTGCATCGCAACCAGCAAGCTCATCGTCGTAGAGGATCCATCTTTCAACCAACGGGAGGTATTTTGACTGGTCGTCCGCACTGATCGAGAAGCAAATGAGCAGGTTTGCCAGCAGCGAAGGATGTCCCGAAGAAAAGGCACGTGCAGCGAAACTCTCCAAGGTAGTGTCTTCTTCATCACCCCAACTCAGCGCCAAGGACTCTCGCCATCCAGTCCACCAATCGCTTCTGTGCTGCAAAATGTCTCTCATCTCAGATTCAGAAGGAATTGCTGCACAGAGGTTTTTAATCGCTTCAGCATGCCTAATCGGTTGGTGGAGGGTCGAGGATTCCGTCTGTACATTTGCACCCATGCGAGATCCACCAGATCTGCTAAACTGAGCAATAGTCAGCTTATCCTTGTAATCGTGTTAGATACTTGGGATTATCACTTACAGTGGTGCTGTCAAATAACCTCAGAAGGGGTGCACATTCGCTGTCCATAGACTCATCATCGCCGGGTTTGTTATCCGCGGAACCATTGGCCTGTTTGAGCTGCTCGTGTGCTCTCGGACCACGTTTCCATGATGATAATCTCGAAACCCTGGTGCGCAATCGTCGAAGTTCGATAACATAACGGGGAAGTTGCTCTGCAGACCCGACCTCGCCCCCTGTTGCTGCGCGGGCCCTCCCCTTCTCAGACAAAGGCGATCGGCCAGTGTTGACGGCGGCGGAGCTCGAACCAATCTCCTCAGCAACCGGGCCTTGTAGGACACATCGGTCTCCACGTCGAGAGCATTGGACACACAGGCTTGGACTATTTCTCGGAAAGATGCAGCGGACCTTCCGTTTCCGACCTAGAGAACGAAAACCCCCGTCCATGTAAGCAGAGCCCACAGAGCCCAATCATAGTCACCTACACGTCACGCAGCTGCGTGTTCCCTTTCGCATGGGCTTGGAAGACCCCTCCGATCGGTCCGCAATGGGGACTTGGTTCGCGTCCATTTTGTTGGTGGCAAAGGTTTTCGTCCGAGGCTTGGCAAGGGAGCTTGTGGTTCGGGGTTCCTCACAAAAACTAAGGCTTACCTAAGTCTGGACCCGGAATACGCATCTGAAACATCATTGGCTCATCACTACACCGTTTGTACCATTAGTGCGGGATCGTCAAACAGCAGCGTTGTTCGTCCGAAATGTTGAAATCAAGCCAATTCGTCCGAGGCTTGGCGCTAAATGGTTAAATCAGAAACCCATTCATCATAACAAGTCATTATGACTTATTGGACCCTGCCAATATAAGTCATTTCTCTCGTCCCTCAATCCTTCCACCAGAACAACAACGTATCCATTGCAGTCCTCTTCCATCGCGAAACCGCCTCAACAATCTCAAAGATGGCAATTCCGACCAGAGTTGGCGTGATAGGCGCAACTGGAAAAACAGGCCGATCCGTGGTCAACGGTTTGCTTTCCTCCCAGACGAACTACGTACGGCCGCTACTACATGCCACGCATCGCATTCGTAGAATCAGCAGCTGACGCTCCCGCAGGCTGTCACGTCTTTTACACGTGCATCCTCTGTCAACAGTGCGATCAACCAGCAACTCAAAGCCAAGGGCGTCCAAATTGTTGGATACGATCTGAACGGCCCCCAAGAAGTTCTGGTCGAGCAGTTGAAGACCATCGACATTCTGATCTCATGCATCACCTGGGAACATCTGGACCAGCAGATCCCGTGGATCAAAGCCGCGAAAGAAGCCGGCGTGAAACGTTTCGTGCCTTCGGAGTGGGTTGGCCCGGCCCCAAGGGGCGTCATCGACATCAAGGACAAGGTATCTATCCTCTCCCACCAAGGCCACTATCGCGGTCGTGACTAATGGCATGGACAGAAACTCGAAATCCTCGGCGAGATCCAACGCGCGCACTTGCCGTACACCCTCATTGACGTGGGCTGCTGGTTTCAAGTCTATGTTCCGAAAATCCCTTCTGGCAGGTCCGACGGCGCACACATGGTCTACATTGACCACCGGATTGTCGAAAACGGAAATCAGAAGTTTGCCCTGACGGATATGGCCGACGTGGGCAAGTACGTTGCGCAGATTGTTTCCGATCCTCGGACGTTGAACAGGCGCGTATTCGCGTATACCGAGGTTCTGAGCATGAACCAGATCTGGGACACCATGGCCGATGCAAGCGGAGAGGAACCTCCAAGGGATTATGTAAGTCAATCCGTGCAGCGTTCTATGAACAGTAACGAAGTCTGAATGGGGATCACTGACACCATCACTTCAGGTGTCGCTGAAAGAGGTCAAGGAAATTATAGATCTATCTCGGAAGAAGCTCGACGCAAGCCCTGAGAGTCCCACGCACCCCAGCAATGTCATGTCGATTGCTGGTTACAACATGGGCCAATACTCCATTTCCTGGCTCGTCCGAGGAGACAACACTCCAGAATACGCGGATTATCTAGGGTACCAGGATTTCTGGAAGCTATATCCAGACTTTCCGCGAGGCAGGAGTCTTAAAGCATTCTACGAACAGGTTCTCAGCGGGGATCTGTCAGGCCAATCGATGTCTCATCTACGCGAAGATGGTAGTTTTGTTCAAGACTGAATAGTCAGCTTGGCTCGACATGAATAGAGGTTGGTAGACAGGCGTCATAGTATGAGCCAATTTGTTGGAAAAATGTGGATTACGTTGCATATTTTTGTGTTAACCCGCGATGTCATTTTGTGTTGAGATGTTCGAAGGTTTGGAATGAATCTCATCAGATTTTACTAATGCCCCTGTCGTCCGGGGGTCGAAATCATGTCGTCATTTTGCAAGTTTATGTTTCATTCGGGTATACCCCATCCCACAAAATTCATACATATTTAAACCTATCGGACCTATAATTACTTATTAGGAAGCTGATGTCATTAGCAGAAAACTTACAGTGCATTTTTAACGGCAGTCGAACAGACAGACTGTGCAGGACGGATTGTACTCTGTCAAGCTAGCGGCAATGACTGATCCTGCTGAATACAATAGTGGAGAGGAACAAGCCACATCATAGTCGTGCAGGAGCTTAAATGAGACTTAAGTGTATTTTCACCGCTTTGTTGGAGTTGGCCGGCGATTCGTCCGAGCCACGCTAAGGGCACCTCGGACGAGACTAACTTCGTTTTAGCACGAAGTCAATTCAGGCATGTTGAGTAAGTGACTACCCTTCTAAATACTTGACTCTACTGAAAAGGGGCACCACATGCATACAGATGGCTGTGCAGTTTGAAAATGATACGATATGTATTAACCCATTAGAATTATATTAAACGCGCATAGAGAACTTAGTTGTAGACGCAGACACTCTTCGGGGTCTCCACTTTTTCCGCTCTAGCCTCAAACGAAATGCAGTCGCTCGTTGGAGCATGCCTGTCGTACGCTTTCTCAGGGTAGATAGTATACTGGCCCGCGAAGTCAGTAGGGCAAGCGAGCCAATTGCTGCCATCTTTGTCGTAGATCAGCTTGATGTTATCCTCCTCTGAGCCAGCCAGCGTGAAGACGTCCACCCGGTCCCACTGCTCCGCGGCTTTATTTGGGAGGGTAAAGCCGAAAAGACCCTTGCCGCCTCCGGAAACATCGACGTAGGCTAAGTAATGTTGGCATGTGCGGCCTCATTGCAATGGGATGAATTTCACGTACAGTACTGCTGGTTTTGGTGTCCGTCCGCGTAGAAGCCCAGGCGTCCCGTGCTGGTCACGGTGACGGCGGGGGCTACGTCGCCGCAGGTCGAGTTGGCCTCTTTTCCGATGTACCAGAATTCGGCGTTGGGCTTCAGCGGCTGGTTGTCGATGGGCTTGCCGGGAGCTGAAGCGACGAGCTTGTAGTACGTTTCTTGTGTTGGTGCGGCGAGGGCGCCGGTGAGTGCAGCGATGAGGATAGATACGGTTTTCATGATGGCGGTAAGAAGAACAGGGTGAGTTTCCAAGCTAAGAGTGTTGAAGTGATACACTCGTGGACTTGCGGGGGCTTCACAGCTATTCGGGCAGCCCTTTTTTTGGGCGCATTATTTATGGGCGGCTTCGGAGCCCCTGAGCAGTTCTTGTAACAAAGTAACGGTGAGATCTGGTCCATTTGAGGTCTGTGCGAGTCTGATGAGTACCATAGAGGCCGGACAAGACCGAGAGATCCGCAAATGACTGAGGAACGTGCACAGCTGTTTCTCGCTCGGATTTCACTCACCCAATGACGTCAGTTCTGATTCAATGTGTCTCCCAGCCAGATCCCTGTCGATAGCGGGAAGAATGCATAACAGGGTTTGTACAAGCCTTTGTAGACATTTTACTTTAACTCTTTCGTTGTTAGGCAAGTTAAGGCTTTAATTTTGTTTAAAATACAGTGATTCAGCGTTGAAAACACTATGTAGCAAAATTTTCCAAGGCCTAAAAGTCCCACGTGATGCACAGAACTCTTAATTTTAATATTCTTCTACCTGTTAATCAAGACCTACTAAGTCTTAGTTTCGCTTCCGCACATCGTACGCTGCAGTCACCTCTAGCAACGTCATTCTTCAATACCATGACCTAGATCCATCACTAACTTGAAAAGACCATCCCATTTCTCTTGATCCTTCGCATTATCTATTTGTTTCCCTCTTCTCTTAAAAAGAGACCACACCGGCAGAAATTTCTCCTCTGGCAATGGATCAGCCCTGATGTTGTCGAGCGCCCGCTTCATGTTATCTCGTAATCGCAGCTGCTCGGCAAGGGTTGCAAAGCGGGCCTTATCCTGAGAGTTCTGAGGGGCCTTTTTTGCTGACAGCCTGGCGCAGTAAATGATCAAGGAAGCCAGTCCGGCGGCGAGAGCGGTGCTGACTGACGATCCGCTGTGGTACTTCACGGGGCCCGGTGATCGGGGATTCTTCGCCTCGGCCACTTGGTTGCCAGGAAAATAGTAGTCGATCCTTTTGACGTCCTCAGAGACGGAATCACGCTGACCATGCGCATGCGCGGCACCTATGCGAAAGATATAGTTCGGTTGCCTCTGATATGGCAGGGTGTCCATGGCGCCTGTCTGGATGTCGTCACTTGCCGAGCAAAACATTAGAATTCCCTCACCCACAGCTTCGTCAATAGCGGTCTCTAGCCTCTCCGTGCCTGAACATTCCTGTGTCTGTCCACCAGTATTTCTCTTAGTCCTAGTGGAAGTCGGTGCTATGGTAGTTCTGGCAGTGGCCTGGTGTTTGATCGTCCATGAGATGGAGATGATGTTCACCTGGAGGTTGATGGCAGCCCTGATAGCATTTGCAGCACTCCCCGCAGAAATGGTGCTCCCGCCGTCGGAAGACTCTCCATTTTGGACCCTTATGACGTACAACTCAACCCAGGGATTGATCCTCACGATCATGTTCGCCATGATAGTGCCGTGGCCATTGCTGGAGCAGTGCCAAGGGTTCTCAAATCCACGATCCGGAGGGAAAAAGCTCAACCCAATTACCTTGACAGTAGCCTGATGCAATTGGAAGGCGCTGAGATTCACTCCATCGTCGATAAGTGCCAACTATCATAAATAAATGAATAAAATTTTCGTAAGCGGAAAGGAAGAAGAATAATTCAAAAATTAGGTGGACCGGAGAGAGTACGTGGGGATAAAGGAAAAAAACTCACTTTGACTCTTTCCGCCTTGACCTCCTCTAATTTTGGAAGTATCCTCAATGTTCTACAGAATTCTTCCATTGTCTGGACCCAAGAATGATGTAGCTCCTCGACTGTATCATCCACTGGGAGCCCTGCCGTTTTCCTATTCGTATCCATATCAGCTAGAAGGCCTTTAGGCCAATACCAAAACTCCACCGCGAGTTCCCCCTGCGTATTGTTCTTGACTTCTTCCTGGAATCGGTTCAGTTTCTCGAACATCCTGTCTCGCGTTTCAAGGCCCTAGAAGCATCGGAATCAGAGAAAAAATTGTGCGTCAAGTGACCCATCAACCTACTGGAGCTGCATGAATGGTAACTGATTTCAACCTTCCTCCTGTAGCTGAGTACAGCTTGGGGATCCCGCTGGTGCACTCCCAGGCTTTCAACACAGCCTGGTTGCCGCTCCAGTAGAGATTCACATGCTCAACAGTCGGTGCGGCAAAGGCAATCACGTCAGTGCTGAGGTCGGGCTTTCTCCAGTCCCTTGGTATATTATTTGAGCTCAAAGTATGTCAAGAGGGCGGTTTGGATTCTTTGTTTGAGTACTCACCACTTTTCTACGGCTATTGGACGGCTAGAACCTGCTCCGTCTGTTATAGATTCGCGGCCTTGCAATGCCTCCTCGATGGCGGCATCGGTATGCGACGGCGATTGTCTGTCCTCGACAGAAAGCCGCAGTATGCTTCTGACGTTGAGGTCGTATAGCTTTTTGAATACCTGAACCAGTTCCGTGCGCCCGACTCCAGGATTTTCTGGTAGACTCTTTTGGTTGGTTTTAGGCTTCACCTTTCGGCGAGGTAGCCCAGAAAGCTCGGCTGACGATCGTCTGGGGGGATTGAACCGGACTGTCGGAAGGTTGACGTAGGCTAGTGTGGTGCCAAAGCCGCCATCCGACATGCGCTGCAGAAGATCTGTTATATCCTGCGCGTCCTGCTGCCCAATTGCATCAAAATACAGGTTCCTGACCAACCCTGGGCAAGCTATGTGTCAGTGCAGTCATTTGCCATCCAAGGCCCCAAATCCCAGGGGATGGCCAAATGGAAGACTTACCAGAAGCGTTTCTTCCGTAGATGAGGGTGCGAGCATCCGCATCTGATCGTGTTCGGATGTAGTGCACTGTCAGAAAGTCACGGATGTCCTTGAACGCCTTCGACTTGCTGGTGACCCTGGCTGGATTGGTTCCTTCCTTGTTTCTGCTAATGTCTTTCGATTCCCCCTCCTTTAAACCACTAGGAATTTGTTTCACAGGATGAGAATGAGCCTGCTGTTCTTTCTGCCGTGAAATATGCCCCTTGGGAGTGGTCATTGGAGGAACTTCTGAATTTAGCGCAGCGGTGGATTCTCTGCGAAGTGGTCGGCCTGGAGGGGTGTCTATTACTTTGGAGTTCTTATTTGCGGCATTGTTGATTCGGACGGTCTTCTCCCCCTCCCCCCTCAGTTTCTGTCGGGGTTGCGAGTGTACAGGATTGGTTTCTGCTGGGCAGGTGCTTGGATTGTCCGACGACACAGACATCTGCTGTTCTGCCTGGGATTTTGATTCCTTTGCTTTCTTTAACGCTTCGGCTGCCTTTCTCGCGGTATTATAGCCGTACAAGATAGGGGAATCACCGAATTTGTTGAGCACAGTCCCACTCTCCCTCATGACAGCATCCGCACTCTGCACCATGGCCTTGACAATCTCAACGTATTTGTCCGGCTTATTGAGGCACTGGTTGTAATCGAGTGCGTAATGAATCGGCGTGTTTCCATTGGTGTCCGCTGTCGCAAGTGTCCCTGCGTCGGCTCTGGGAGCAAGCCTTTCCATCTGGCCCAGGATGCGGTCCTTGCTGCGTCGGTCCCTGTTATTTGCTTGATCCCAGAAAAACAGATGATGAATACAGTTTTTCCCTTCCCCGTCTTGAAGGCTGAGCAGCATGGGAAAGCTATCGCCCAAGCATTTTTCAACGCAGTCAATGAACACGCCATTATCGGATCGCAGGGCCACTGCCAGGACTGGGTCCCCCGTGACGCTTGAATCGTGTCCCGAATCGCTATAGGTCGATCGGTGATCCCAAAGATACTGTACAAGCTTGCTGCGGATGTCTGGTTGCAAATTGCCAAATAGAAGTTTGTCCCTTGCCAGAGTGTGGAGTGCGGTCTCAATCCTGGGATAGGTACCGGCCTTCCCAGTCGCGAGAGTGATCTTCTTGTATTCCTCAAGAACCGGAACGCCTTCAGTTCCCGTGTTTTCGTCCCATCGTCTCATATTCCTTGTGAGAGCGTCCATGACATCCCTGCATTGTTCATGTAGTTGCTGTGCCTTCCATGTCTTCTCTGCCTCATCTCCACTCTCATGATCCTCTTCGCTTTCGACTTCATATTCATTGAGAGATTCGGCTGAACTATGGTCAAGTTCGTCGAGTTCGGCCGAGCCCATGATGTCGGCCATGTCACCTGTTCTCAGTTATGTTAATATAAACGACAGAATTACGGAATAGATATGATTCCTTGAGGTACGTAACACGTTGCTGTTGGGTCTTGGTGGGTGTGGACGATTGACGGTCTAGGGATGGTTCCAGCTCGTTGGTGGCTCCGACTGGGTATCCGTACATACACACAGCCCCGCTCTTACTTTCAGCTCCGCGGATTTAACCTTGCTGTGATGTGGTAAGCGCGGCTATTTCTGCAAACCCGAACTGAAGGGTGGCTTGCATGGTGGCCTACAGGGCCAATACGATCGTCTCACATCTGATCATGTGTAGGTGCCGGGGTTGGGTGGGGCCGGTGGTGCATTGCTCCCTGAATTATGTTAGCTCGGCCTGCAGCATTGTGGCGGACTTATCGCCTCCTATGCCCGGGAGTGACTGGATCCTTTACGTAACTCGGCAGCGATGAAAGATGCGAGCCACTATTACTAGAAGTGAGTTATCCAATCCATGAATTTGGCATCGAAACGCAGTCGAATATCATCTTCTAGGCCTATCCACTATTGAAAATTGTAATCACGAACGTTCGCGTAATGTATCCCAGAAATTAGGTCCAATAGCAAAACAATTTCGCCCCAAACGAAATGCGAACTGCAAGATAATGGGTTAAGAAGATATAGCCGCCTTTGTTTCCTTGACTATCGTGATTGTCTCAGCAATCTCTCTTGTTTCTGTCTGTGGCGGCCTTGAAACCTTGACAGCCTCCCCAAATTCATTGTGGAACGTACAGTCCCACACTCTGCCCAAGTCAACAGCTCCCAAGTTGCCCCTATCACATCCCAGCCCCTCTTCCAAATTGTCGATCGGAGGGCTTGTTGGAACCATCTTGACAGGATCATCGCCTCTTCTGAATGCTACAAGTGTGACCATCTTCGTCTTCAAGTCGGGGGTTACCTTGACCGTGGGCAACAAATCGAACTCCTCGCCAGTGTTACTCAAAAGAATACAAGCCCTGAAACGTGACACAATCCCATTCTTTTGAGACTCGTTCTCTTTTAAAGTCCACTGCGCGAGGAAACGGTTGCTCCAATCGTCACAGGGGTTGTTTCCCACAATCTCGGCGGCATGCGTCGTCGTCTTCTCGATCGATTGATCACCCCGAAGATTGGTACTCAAACTCGCAATAACACCCCCCGAAATGCCGCCATCAGCGCCAATAGTCCGCGTCACTGTCTCTGTGGTTTGCATCATAACGTACTTTCCGTAGGGGGCCACTTTCTCGACTGTTGGGCCAGGAATGCTCTTGCCACCTCTCGCCTGAAACTCGAATGTAATGCTGGCATCTTTGATACGCGTAGAGCGGCGGTGTGAAAAAAACGAGAAGTCATAAACCAGAAGAGTTGCGGGCGTCTTGTTCAACTGATCGAGCGTCCCATGAATGATGGCTTTCGCAACAGCTCCAACGTTGAAAGCCGGCTTCTTCCGCCGGCCACCGTAATATTCAGTCGTGTGGAGGCGCTGGCTTTCCCCAGGCCTGTTACGGACGTGGAAACCTTCAAGTTCGCTCATTAGCTGCGTTGCCAGTGAGAAAGATAGGGAATACTAACCTCCGGACTCGCCCTCTGGTCTGAGCTCCAGAATGAATGAAGTGCCACCTTCCACATCGTACTGGTCGTCGTCCTCCTCGCTAGTCATCCAGAGTTGAGGATCGTCCATGATGATTCTTCGTGTTGAGGGCGAGAACTTGAAGCAGACTTTTGAGCACAGTTCTCTGACCAACTACACGACAATTACTGCAGTCAGAAGAGTCTTTGTGGATCCTTTGAAACACTTACAGCTACATTCAACTACAACGAAGCTAAAGTACGCCACTGTGTGGTATGCTGGTGTGCAAAGCTAAGGAATAATGGCCTGTGCCGGAAGCAAGCTGAGAGCTTAGATGACATTAGCGCTCAATTTTCTTTTGTAGTAGATATCATTAGCGGGATTATTATCGTATGCTGCACACTCACCCCGGTAATGTCCTCAATCAGCAATAACTGTGAATTCGCAACCAGAGTGAGATGCCACATATGGTCTCCGCACACCAACTGTAGGTGGCCTCGATAGTGGCCGAGCAGATGATAGCTCCAGAATTGCGGCCTACATATATGTATTGGTCATTATTTATCCCATAGGCTAGGGGTATGATAAGATGAAATGGCATTGTGACACAGAAAAGCCACTTTACGTATGAGCTCGGCTACAGTACCCCGCAAAAATGTGGGGAATGAGCGCGCGCAGGCTGACTGCAGAGTGACACGCAAGTGGCAAAAAGCCCTCTCCTATTAGCAGGGTGCATTATTGTTATTACCCCTGCGGTGTAAGTGACTGACCGTTCTTAATAGATATGTGATTTTCCATTGGCGAAGGTCACCTGCACAGCATCGATTTCCTCCCTTCAGGAGTAGTTCAGCTATCAGCAAATACCCTTCCGACCATTGTACAGCATTTGCCACTCAAGCCATGCATCTGCGTCCAGACCCACATCTGCAGCGTTGACCTGATTTACGCAAAAGTTCCTTGGTACATGCGTGAAGCCAAGCCTCCTTACGAATTCTATCCACCCGAGAGGGGTTCCGAAAGTGAGACAACCGCCAGCTTGTCAGACATGCCCTGCTTCCATCCTCGCTTTCTGTTTTCACTTGCCTCGTCTCTTTACTCGCTTATGTCCTCTCTGTCTTCCCAGCTTCTTCTCAGAGCCAATCAAATGAAATTTCGCAGAAGAGTTCTCAACGTAAGAAAGCCCCGGAAGTTGTACAGCAAATCTTGACCAAGCGTCCCTTCGAATCCTCGAAGCCGCACTATCCGTCCAAGGCCATTACAGCCTATCTTCGAACGTTCTACTGAGAGCTGGATAAATGAGTTTACTAATCTGATTCTCGATTAAATCTCTCTAGTCAACCTAGAAAGGTGTTTCACACCGTTTTCGTGCAAAATATCGTCGCTTCCACAGCCATGTCTGACCTTCCACCGCCGAAAGCGATATCCGAAATTGATGAGCGCAGGTTCTTGGATGATATGCCCGTTACAGCGGCAACCCAAGAATATCTCCCGAGCCTGCATTTGGATTCAACTGTGGACACCGTTCAGCATAACGATGATGACGTCGAAAAAAAGAACACCCCGTTCGGACTGCTTGTGCAGAAGAATAATCCGCTGGCTGGCGTCAATCGCGAGAGTGACTTACTGCAGATTGAGTAAGTTCTGACGCTTGAAATGCTTCTCACAAACTTTAAATCACACGAGGTCCTTGCCGCTGATTACTTGAGCAGTGTGGTCCATGTCATGGCCCTGTGTCCTGAAATTGAGCGACATGGTATTGAGCACCTACTGTACACATCACTAAGAGGATTCACAAGGGAGTTCATCTTCCGGCTCGACATCCGCAACCTGTTGGCGGGAAACCTCGTCCAGGAATACATTGAACAACAGGCGACCCGCCTTCTACGTGGACTGGTGGCGAAAAAACCTAAGACAAAGCGAGCAATCATTCTTGTCGCATATGATCTCGGTGCTTTGGTCGTCAAAACGGTGATATCTCCATGCTTATGAAAATTCCTACCAAACTGGGTGTTGGCTCATGTGTCATCGTGACTAGGCTGTTTATCTTGCAGCAATCTTGCAGGATACATATTCCAGCATCTTTTTCGACGTTGCACGGGTTGTAGGTTGCCAAATACCTCCAAGAGGAAACAATTATCACCTTTCGAGCCTCTCCTAACTGCTGACTTTTAGGTTTTCTCGGGATGCCCCCAGCGAAGTGTTAACGCTGGAGAAATGGCAGTGCTTCTTCACAAGCTTCTGCATGACAATACGGATAAGGCTTTATGTCGTATTGTCTATCCAGACTCAACCGCCAATTTGGCCCATGCTGCCATTCGGACAACCGGGATGTTGATCAGTTCGAAAATCACCTTGTGCAGCCGAATCATCAGCCTCTACGCGAATGACAGCCAGGCAGGGGGAATTGATTCCGTAAGACACCTCAATTATAACATCCTTTGACCTGCAATGAGAGACTTACTATGTGGCTAGAGCTTGAATGTCTTCACCGCGACTTTAGGAGTCACTTCCGAGATAGGAATAGAGGAGCAATGCACAAACGACTTAGCAACAAGATTTCCGACTCTATCATTCTACCTCAGCCGAACTCTTAAAGGTATGGCTTCCAGACTATGAACGAACAAGCTGCGCCTGACATGCATTCGTGTACAGATTGGGTCCTCCGCCCTGACAGGGTACCTGTCGCGCAGACCTTGCATGCGCTCTCAGTAGCCCAAAAACCATCCACAGCTAACATTCAGCAAAGGTCCGCAATGAAACCGGGTCTAGACGCACAGGGACACATGGACTGGGCTGAGTCTAGTAACTCCCAGATCTTATATGTTCACGGGACTTCCTACCACGCCTCTCATGATATGGCCGATGAAGTTTTATACGCATGGAAGGATGAGCTCCGAAGCAAACTTGAAGACACAACAACTAGGTCGCTCTCATTTACCTTTGATTCGACAGATCCCTTGAGGGACTCAGTCTCGGACATGGTGGTCTCGGTGCTAGCTCAAGCCTTTGCCGGCCAAGATACAGATTCTGTTCACGAAGTGAACCAAATGTTTCAAGACCTGTTTATCATGCGTTAGTATTCCCATCTACAGTATTCTACTCTGGCACAGTTTTTCCCCATATGGCACTATTATCTCTAAGTTGTCCATACTGCTATATGTTTTCAACAGCCTAATAAAGCACATACTAACTAGTGTGGTGTAAATAGGAAGTGGGTGGACAGAAATGTCATCCTTAATCATGCTGGAATCAACTAGGCTCTACTGGCTGGAATTCGACACCATCCTGCTCTTGCATAACTTCGACGAATGCAAGTTGGACAGTCGATTAAAGTTCCTGGAATACTATACAAAGTTGTCCCACTACACCGAGTTCAATTTCAAGCTCGTGATCACGTCACGGAAGCCCAACTCTTTGTTGGGAGAGCTCAAAGAGTGGCACAAGCTTGATGTAGACCAGTTCGAGATTACTCTTGAAAGCAAGCTGCACGATGTAGAAGTCGATTTGATCTGTCTATGTCCGATCGACTCCACACGGAAACAAATCCAGAAGCATTTGGAAAGGCTTCAGACGATGGAGCGATCCAGTTTTCTCATAATACTGCAACTTCTTCGAAACCACACAGGCTGGCCAGAATATCCATCCCAGTTGTCTCTTTCTAGCTTTGTCTGCTGGCTGGATCGTGTCCTCCCCTCAGACACTCCAAAACGTGTTTTACAGCAGATATTTTGCAATTACCCGGACCTCGATGCACTCCTATGGAGCCTCAACTGGTTGCTGTGCGGCCATCGCCCATTAAGTTGTCAAGAACTCGTTGCCATCTTACGCCATCGCTATCGATCATATTCAAACAAATCAGAGTTCTTGATGGGAATTTTGTCGGCGCCGTCCTCCATGGAAACACAGCGACAGTTGGAATCCTGGTTACGTGTGGTTGCTGATTTCAGCAACAACGAAGTTACCATCCGGCTTGAGGTCTTGGATCTCCTGGAGGATACGGGAAGTGACTGTTGGCTATGGGATGAGGTAAGACAGAAATCTCACCAGGACATGGTCGATTTCTGTTACGCTTACCTCGGCCTTCCCACCACGGTTGAGACTCTCTATACTATTTTCCGGCAGTACAAGTCTCGTCTGGATAAGCAGCAGCAATCACACAAGATCACAGCCCCGATAACGTCGGACGGTCAGGAAATTGCGTTTTATGTGGTACAAGCGTTGCCATACCATCTTCAAAGCTTCCAACCTGGCGATTCATCGAACAGTCTGCGATTCTTCTTTGAGAAGTCCACATCCTCTTCCTCCATGCTATGGGCAAAGATCTATTGGGGAATGAGTAATCCCATGTCTCGAACTCCAGACCCGCCTAACTCGCCGCTGTCGGTCCTTTTTGGGCTTGGGCTGCTTTCCCAAGAAGCCATGAAAGAGAAAGACGAGGCATTACAAGCCGAGCATGTGGTTGCTGCTGTTGCTAATGGCAGAGGAAACGAGGTTGCAATGTTCTTCGAGCAACGCAGCTCTATGCTTTCAGTTTATATGGACGTGCTAGTGGTTGCCGTCCAAGCTAATGATGAACACAACGCACGGAAGGCACTGGACGCAGCGAAGTCTGTGCCGCCCAATTCTGAATGGGACCCAACCACACCTACATGGCCGGACCATGTCATATGGGCAGCAACGTGGCTCAATATGGCCAACCTGGTAGAGACGTTGATCGGGAACAGAGTCGATCCTAACCACGGGGAGGCGCGCGATACCTCGACTGGCTCGGCGATTCGCTTCTTTCCCTCGCTGATCTACATGGCATCTAGACTTGGTCACGCGAGCATTGTGAAAAAACTGCTTGATCGTAATGCAAATGCAAATATCCTTATAGAAGGAGCATCTGGCAGTTTTCAAACGGCGGCGAATGGGGGCCATACCGAAGTCCTTCGAGTATTTGTCGCCCACGACAGGTCTCATCTAAGATCAAGGCTGCCGGACACTGCTCTTTTTAGTGCTTCGGCCTGGGGAAACTGGCGTTCCGTGGTAGAGCTCCTTGAGCTCGGGAGTCACCCTGACGACGCACCAGACCCATCCGACGATGACCCTCCACGCTGGACCCCTCTCGCAGCCGCATGCAGCAAGGCAGCTCCACGAACCGTCGAAACTCTTCTGAACTACAAGGCAAACCCCAACATCATTGGTGCCAATGGTGTGGCAACACCCCTCTGGTTTTCCGCCGTCAACGTGCCCAACGACGAGTGCGTCCGCGCTATGCTCAGGCACGGTGCAAATCCTAACCACGAGCAATTTAAACAGCCACTGTTAAACGCAGTCGTCTGCTCAAGTCATAAGGTTGATACTATCGTCAGTATCTGTAATGCACTCCTCAATGGGAGGCAACCCATCAACGTCAATGCGTTCGACAGTTCTGGGGTGACGGCGTTGATGCTCGCCGCAGAGTTAGAAGAGTTGCCTGTCGTACGGTGGCTACTCAATAACGGTGCTGACGTCAACATGCTGGACGACCAGAACAGAAGTGCAATATATTATGCTGTCTCTGCCGGCTCTACCACTGCGGTGGAAGAGCTACTGAAGTTCGGGCCAAATCTGGCTTGCCTCCACACCTCTGTAAAGCAGCCGATTTTGGCCACCGCAATCCGGAATCCCCAGATCTTAGAGATTCTTCTTCGTACAGGAGTAGATCTCGATCTGGCTGACGCCGACGGGTGCACCGCTATCAACGAAGCCTCTACTCAGGGCGTGACAGATGCTGTCAAGCTGTTGATTGAGAAGGGGGCGGACATCAACCATACAGATAATCAAGGGTGGTCACCCATCTGCGATGCTGTGGGCTACGTCCACAATCCCGCTATGGTGCGGCTACTTGCCGACCATGGTGCTAAGTTAGATGTTACAATGGAGGATAAGAGCCTCCTACATCTAGCTCTTGGCGGGCCCCCCGATATCCTAAAAACTTTGCTTGAGTTCCGTAAAGCCCTCGACATCAACGCTAAAGACAAGAAAAAATGCACAGCACTCCACGTTGCGGCTGATTGCAGCTATACCGAACACTTGAAGATTCTCCTCAGAGCAGGAGCCGACGTCAACGCGCGCGACATCGCGGAGGAGACTCCTCTGCATAAGGCTGCACGAGATTCTAACTCAGACGCCTTATCCTGTCTTCTTCGTGAGCCAGATATGGAAGTAAATAGTATTGCGCCCAAGGAGGACAGCCCTCTTCACATCGCCTGCAGATGGCTCAATTTCAAGGGCGTCCGCACTCTCCTCTGCCACGGAGCCAATGTCCATGTGGCCAGTGCCAACAGCTTCTGCAGCACGCCGCTGATGGCGGCCCTGTTGTCATATCACGGGCCGGACCACGAAGATGCCGCGACGATAGACGTCATCGCTCGCACGCTCGTATTCCACCGGGCGAGCGAGAATGCAGGAGCGAATGTGCAGCAGGAAGTGCACGGCAGCCGCTTCTACACGGCGCTCTCGGCGGCGTGTCTGGGCGCCAGCGTGCGGACGCTGAATTTTCTGTTGGAGCAAGGCGCCTCGGCCCAGGTGCGGGACCCCGTTTCGGGCCGCTTCCCGCATCACTTCGCCGCCGCGAACGGGATCGATAATTTTCGGTCCATCATGCTATCGTATAACGACGACATGATGGTATCCGACAAAGCAGGCAAGAATTGCATCCATTGGGCGGCCCAATTCGGTAATCTCAACACTATTTTGTTCATCCTAGCCCGACTCCGCGACACCGGATCGCAAGAAAGGGTAATGCAGTACATCAATCAGCCCGACAGTGACGGATGGACTCCTTTATGCTGGGCAGCACGCCCATGGCCAAATACCTTGTTCGAATGGACGCGGTCAGAGAAGCGAGACTTTGCTGGTGTCATCCGCACGCTCCTGGAGAACGGGGCCAATCGCACTGTGCAATGCGCGCTTGGGAATGGCTGGGTCATTGAGAGACCCGACATACTGACGCCGTTGGAGCTTGCGCGGTGGTGTAAGGCTGATGACGACGTCATCAACCTGCTTCGATATGGCGTGGAAGGAGAATCCAGGCCACGCGATGAAGAGAGCAGTCAACCAGTGCGGAGATATGTGCTCCATACTATCACGTGTGATATCTGCTTGAATGTAAGGCTTGCGTTCATTCGCCCCTTTCTACTCTCTCTATCCCGGTACCAAGTACACAAGCTCACACCTATTCCAGTTCATCTTTGGTCTCGTCTTCTCATGCAATAGCTGTGCCGACTATAATGTCTGCACTAAATGCCTTTCCCATGTAAAGACATTTCACACTAAGGAAACACAGCGCGATGACGAAGAACACAGGTTTGCACTGGATTCCGAGCTGAGGGAGTACCGGGATCCACCGCTCCCTTTCCCCTTGGGTGGTGAGAAGGACATAGAATTATGGTTTGATGCGCAGGGGCAACGGCTTGAGGCTAAACCCGACCAGACGGGTGATTTATGGAACAGCGAGGACCTTGATGGCATCGAAATGGATTCAGACATCATCGATATGGACTGGACAGCATAGAGATACATGGACACACCTAAGTATGTATCAATGCCATTCGATTTGAGGAAGAACGGCAATATCAGGAAGAGCCTGATTGCTGTGTATATCTGGAAATACAAGAAAATAGGGTTTCTTGCTTGGTTCGGGAAAACGGCGATGAAAAAGGCTATGCAGGCAATTAAAGTCGTTACCCTTAGTTTCCATATGCATGTTGCTAGTCGTTGGCTAACCTAACTCAATCTTCACAGAATGACCTCTGTGAAAGTGCCATATCGACGCGCTGCGTTCTCGCCTTTGCTCTATGCACCACCAAGGTGAGGTCTTCTGCGCTGACCAATAGGCGTTGAGATGCACGCGCCCGGCTTACTTAGGTGGGCCCCGCACCACGCTACAGCCGAGCCTGTTCCCCCACAATCAGCAGTGTCATCATTCTACGCCCTTCAACATAAGAAATGGCAGATCAGAGCCCCCCTCCTATCGAGATCGGTGAAAGAACATTATCTTTTTATACTCAGCTGGAATCGCTAGAAACACACCCGGTCTGCAGAAGATGCAAGTCTCTTCTCGAACAGCTTCCGTTCCATCATCAAAGCATCGGTTTCGAAGACCTGATAACAAAACTTGATGTCGACCTAACCCAGTGCGATCAGAGTTGCGACTTTTGCGATGCGCTCCAAAACACAGAAAAATATTCTAGATTTTGCGGAGCAAACGTTGCTCTCCCACACTGTACACGAGCCGTTCGTTTCCTCTACATAAATGGCGAACCGCAAAAGGGCACTCCGGTCAGATTTGATACCTATACAAGCCTCATCGCCAGTGAGCCTAGTGATCAATACATGTGGCCACCTGATCCCTTATCAATCGACCTTACCCCAGTCCAAAAGGCGATCTCACACTGCAAGGATCATCACGGCAGCCATTGTGGTACGACTCGGCGAGATGTGATGCCAGGACTGATGGTTTTCAATTGTCACTCCCGGAATACTGAGCCCGCCACTGTCGACACTATCTATGTTGCTTTGAGCTACGTCTGGGGCCCAGGGACCGGGGATGCGGAGTCGGCAGGCTTCCCGGAAACGGTTGAAGACGCGATCACGGTTACTAAACGACTTGGCTACACGTACCTTTGGGTCGATCAACTATGCATTGACCAGATCGGCAACGACGAACAAAGCAAGGCTGAACGACACGCCCAGATATGCCAAATGGATCGGATCTATCAGTTCGCGGACTTGACCATCGTCGCAATGGCTGGAAATGACTCTTCATACGGCCTTCCAGGCGTTGGAAAGAGGGCTCGTAAGCGGCAACGACGATTTAGGAGCGGGGACTTTGTTTACCTCGAGGTGATGAAGGATCCTTGGGAAGTCCATCGTGATTCGAAGTGGGACACCAGGGCTTGGACGTACCAGGAATGGGCTTTTTCAAGAAGAGCACTGGCTTTTGGTGATTTCGAGGCGTGGTTTTGCTGCTGTTTGACCGAAGGGGAAGACTGTCGGGAGAGCGATTCGTTCGTTTATCAACCGGGTTCGTCAAATGATGACTTCTCCGCCTTGAAACCATCGAATTACGGCACTTCGAGCAAACATCCTTGGTCCTTTGGCGACGAAATTCAAGTTGGTCTAGAAAGGTCCATCAGCTTTACTGGAGACCGCCTCAACTCCCTATCCGGCATTCTCAGGTCGTTTCAAGATCAAAAATATCCCGTCTATCACCTCCACGGAATACCAATTCTGCCGCCATATGATACGGAGGGCGTTCATCTGTCAAGATCCACTATGGATGGCTTCGTTGTTGGGCTCTCCTGGCAACACGATGATTCCAAAGGCTACCGCGACAGAAGGGTCAGTAGAGAAAAGGAATTTCCCAGCTGGTCCTGGGCTGGTTGGAAGGAGTGGGGCCAGGAGGGAGAGACCATAACATGGCACTCACGATTGAGATCACGGGCGGAATGGCGCGAGCCGACGGACGTATCTGTCTCCATTGAACTGCGCGACGGTCCTATCATTCCTTGGACGAGATTTGAGAACGACTACTATTTTCAAGCAAACCCTGGAGTTGTCTCAAATTTCATTCATGTCAAGGCATGGACGTTCGATGTGGACCTGGAATGGAGCGATCTTTTCAACCACCTATGCTGGGCTTTTCCAAGCAAGGATTCGGCTGATACCGCTGACTCCCACCGCTTCCATTTCCGGGTATCCGGGCTTATTTCGCGAATCCCACTTGTTGAGGCTAAGAAAAAGAAGCTTATAGCTGTTATGATGGGAAATTTCGATTTTGCTTTTGAAAATTGGTCTTATCCTTTTGTAGTTATTGTTGAGGAGAAGGAGCAATGGACGGAACGCGTAGGTCATATGGTTGGATTTCGTACATTGACTGGCATAGACGAAGACATTAAAGTGCAATATCTTAAGGAACGGCGGGTTCGACGTCAATTGCGGCTAGGATAGTTTAAGATCAATTTCATTTTTACTTCTTGGACAATCCTCTCGCCTGTTGGATTTAACTCAAGGTTTTTGCTGTATTGTCCACATCTTATACTCTTTTTGTGTTCCGGCACTCGAAGAGAGGAAGCGACCTTGTGGAGATGGCAAAGATACACCAACAATTTCTGTATGAATTTCTCCGTGTCGTAGAGTCCATCACTCTTAATTGCTCGAAGGTGCTGACGAGGTTGCTGATCGAGGCTGCGAAGGCATGTTTGATGTATTATAGATTGGAGATGTTATACATACCATGGAGGATGAAGCTCAACAGCAATGCTCCTGGGCGGTGAAGCTGGATTGTTTTTGTTTTCTTTTGATGAAAGCATGGCACAGCAGTGTTACCTGGTTCAGACCTATTAGTGACGCCTGTGGAAGATGTCAGTCCGCCATGAGGAAACTTCATTTTCTATGGTGAGATTCAAAACTTCCCGACTCGTTACACATGTCAAGAGTTTCAGAATGGTCTGTTTCATAGCTTACGGGTAATCACTAGCTTAGGAAATCTTCTTGTGGGGTCTTCGTAAGTCCCTTCCTGTTCTGCCGTAGTGTGGTGGTTATCAGCCGGCAACTATATATAGGTATCCGCGGTCTAGATCGACCCCACTTTTCATACGATCGCCAACGTGTCTGAGATCCCGCCCCATCCGCCTAAACTCTTCGCTCAACGACAAAGGATCATCCATAATCAACAATGGCTTTCTTCCATCCATACGAACAACAAGCCCACTACAGCCGAGCATCACCACCCAGATATAGCCAGCGCACCCGTGCCCCAAATGCAATGCCATGGAGAACGTCGAAAGGGACCAACGGCCACCATGGCGGCTAAGCACGAGACACGACTCCGTCATGGACACCACAGAACTGAATGACCGTCCCCCCTTCCAATACCAGCCCCTCAGCCCTACAAACGAAATCCGCCTCATCACCCTGCAGCCCCTTGAGCCATCCCACCCACCCAAACAACCCGGCGACCCCCTCATCCGCTGCACCCTCACCCACGCGCACCTCACCACCAACCCCACCTACACCGCCCTCTCCTACGTCTGGGGAAACCAATATACCACGGCCACCATCCTCCTCAACAACCGCCCCTTCCCCATCACCACCAACCTCGCCGCCGCCCTGCACCACCTCGCCTCCGACCCGCAGCCCCCAGGCTACCTCTGGATCGACGCCCTCAGCATCAACCAAGCCGATCCCCACGAACGCTCCACCCAAGTCTCCCAGATGCCCCAGATCTACGCCTGCGCCGCCCGCACAATCATTTGGCTCGGCCCCGCTACCCCTTCCTCGCTGCTCGCCCTACGTACGCTACACGCACTCGACCGCCGCTCCCGCCGCGCGCCGTTTAAGCGCGTCCATTCGTGGGCGCTGGTGCACTTCGCGCCGGATGCCGCTGCTGGTAGCGTTGAACGGCGCGTGCAGGATGGGCTGGGGGAGGTGGCGAGGGAGCTGTGCGCAGATGGGGGGAGGATGTTGACTGCGGTGGCGGAATTCTTGGAGCGGCCGTGGTTCAGGCGCGTGTGGGTGGTGCAGGAGAGGGCGTTGAGTAGGGGGCCGGTTATGCGGTGTGGAGGGGAGAGGGAGGGGTTGCCGTTTAGGAGTTTTCGGAGGGCGTTTTGGGTGTTGTGTGGGTTGAGGGATTATTTGCATGATGGGGCGAGTGGGGGTTGTGGTGGCGATGGTGGGGTTTGGAAGGGGCTGGGCGGAGGAGGAAGAGGAGGTGCGGGTGGGCAAGGCGGAATGTTGCAAGATGGTTCGGGGGTGGCCAAGTTCCTGACGGCGAAGCTTGGGCTCGCGACGGCCGTGACGATTGCGAAGCCTCGCCAGCCCCTGTTGCACTTGCTGGCGCTACTGGTCGGCAGCGGCGCTGGAGATGAACCGCCGCTGCAAGCATCGGATGCGCGGGACTTTGTGTTCGCGCTACTTGGACTGGCGGGCGGGGAGAACAGCCCGGACGTGCGGGCGGATTACTCAAAAGATTGGGCAAGTGTGAGGGTTGAGGTGGCGAAGACGTGTTTGATGTTTTACGGTTTGGAGGTGTTGTCTTTCTGCAGCAGCCAGACCTCTACTTCTCCTGGCTGGGAGGAGGAACTGCAGGACGAACTCCAGCAGCACTGCTCCTGGGCACCGGATTGGGGCTCCAAAAATCTTCCTCGCCCCTTTTGCGTTCCCTCCCGCTTTGTCGTCCGCGGTGGCAACAAGCGGAGCGCCTACTCCGCCTCCGCCAACACTCACCAAGAGCTTACAGAAGAATCCTTCTCGATAGCCACCAACGGACAGCAAGTTCTCCACGTCTCAGCAGTTCTCGTGGATACCGTCTCACAACTGGGCGCCTTGTTTCCCGCATCTGCTGATGACGACGACCTCGCCGAATCTGTCTGCGCCTGGTTGAAGGGTTTCGAGAGCCTGCTGTCACCAGATGTCTGCGCATACGGCTCAGGTGATAAGAGGCAAGACGCAATGTGGCGGACTCCGGTGGCTGACCGCGCGTTCGTGTACAACTATGACTCTGTGCGTGCA